CGTTTCATCAACTTTGGCTGTAGTTTGATTGTATTGTCTCTGCTAGCCGTGACATTGACCGTCTTCAACACAACCAAGCACCTGCCCACTCGTAACAGCCTTCCTGCCTGGGCAGAGGGCACCAACCCATGGGCCCAGTACCTCCTTTTGGGTATGGCTTGCGTTTCCTTATTCGCCTGTCTAATCGTGTTCTGGGCCTACCGAAAGGGCGGCCACGGACGCGCGGAGAAGACTGCCATCTACTACACCAGCTTCTCGATCGCCTTCTTCGCCGTGAACCTCATTATGTGGATCGTCGGCGCAGCAGTGTACCAGCACTCCAAATCCACAGGAAACAACAAGGACATGTGGGGATGGTCCTGCGCGCAGAACACCCGCGAGCAGCTCTACCACAACAGCGTTGACTATGCTCTCCTTTGTCGTCTACAAGACTGGGGCCTTGTCTGCGCCATCATCGAAGTCGTCATCGAAGTCCTTGTGATCCTGATCTACGTGGTAGTCTTCTACCGCGTTTGGAGCAAGCGCAAGCTGATGAAGTCCATGGACACCCGAGACAACGCCCGTTCAGATCTATACCTCGCCCAGCTGCGGCTGCAGTCCGCCCCGAACACCCCCGGCTTTGCAGGCTTCGCTCCCTACCCTTCAAAGTCTCCCTTCTACGCCGCCGGCCCGGTGGACCCCTACTCGGCCGCCGAGAAAGGCATGGCTCAACCCCAGACTACTCAGTATGCCTCACCGCGCTCGCCTACTCGCCCTACCCCATCCTTCCAGCTCCAGGCGCCTCCTATCAAGGTTCAGCAGCCAACCCCGCAGAGTGCCCAGGAGGAGTTTGCTCCTCCTTCTCATTACTCGCCGCCGCCTCCTCATAGCCAGCGCCAAAGTCCGCCTATGAATAGGGGTAGTGCTCCCGGTGAGCGCACTTACGATTCCGTGCCGATTCCTGGGGCTTATCAGAGTCCCATGGTGCCGGCGTTCCCGCCCCTTGTACGCAAGTAAAGTTGAATGACGAATGACTACAAGATTGCTTTTTTCTTTCTTTTGACTTGGTATGTTTTGGTTTAATTCCATTTTCTCACGAGGGAAAATGGAAGTGCTTGAAAACAATGAAAACATAAAAAAAACGTGGAAAATCTGGAAAATACACATCGGGCCGTCACTTTGGATCGATCTGCTTCAAAATCGGACACTTGTTCGACCTTATTTTGTTTCCCCTCTCCTCGTTATGGAGTTTAATGTACACCCTGGGGTGTGTGGAGTTTTGGTGTGAGATACAGATACCTATTTGGCCTTTGGTACACTGTTGGTGTATTTACTTTGTTTGGTTTTTATGCAATAAATGAATATACTGCAATGATAAATGATACATATAAATGAACTCCTTATCGACCTTCATCTCAACACCACAGGCCATGGAACTTTAGAAAGCATTGGTGCCAACCTTCGACATCAAGGTGAGACGAACTGATCCTACCTTAACTTAAGACTACTTGGGTATTGAACAAGAAAATATGTATGTGAAATCGCTTGAATTCATTCCAACAAAAAAGTTATCCGAAGAGGTAAAAAGACCCAAGAGCGCCATTCACTGCGAACAGGAAAAAGCAAAACCACAACGCCGCAAGGATCTATCAAGTCACACCGTCCTGTCCATCACTCGTGACCAACATGCATATCGTAGTGCTTCTACCCGTGTCAACTGTACATGCAACTAAAAACAAAAGCAAGGCTATCACATTCCTCCCTCTTCGATGATGGCGTGTGTATCCCTACTTACGAAGATCTCTTCCAGGGTAGCCGCATTAGCGCCCACCTTGCTGAGATCACTCTCGAGCACGAGGCCCTGTTCGTTGGCAAGATGGAGTAGACAAATAAACCCGAATGAAGTGCTGATATCACGTAGGGTTTCAGCCGGGTAGGATGTCTTGAGGGAATTCATGATTTGCGTGAACCGTAGCCGGCCAGTATCCTTGCCACCGACAGACTGCTCTGGGCTCTCGGCCTTGGGTGTGGGCGGAACAAGGGCATCCGATTCACTCTCGGGTTCGGTCGGAGCCTCACTGGAGACGGCCCCTGGTTGTGAAGCCGAGGCGAAGTCCACAGCGTCAACTAAGCGCTCGCCCATGCCCTTCCACATCTCCGTTTTGAGGCGCCGAACGTCGACCTTCTTTGCGACACGTGCATATGCCACGTAGTCTGGTCGTGCACGGCGACCACCTTGGGTCACTAATTGTGATCCGTAGCCGCCAGCGCCCGGTCGGCCAGGGGTGGCGCCGACCATGTTCAAGAGCGCGCTGAGTCCAGTTGCTCCACCTGCTTCTCCGCCTGATGTACCTTGAGGCCCGTCTACTGGCGGAGAAAGCATCTCACGGGCATCTGCGAATGGCAGATTGTCGTCGTCATCGAGATCCATGCCGTTCGGGAAAGCAAGACCATCATCATCAGCAAAGAAGTTGGCATCGTAGGCACCCGCAGCACCTTCCTCGCCGGCGTTTTCTTCCGGCTTGCGATTTGCCCAGAACGCCTCATCCATGTCTCCATTACCAGCCGTCAAATCCTGCCGACGGCGTTTGCCTAGAATCCTCTTTGATCCCATCTTTGCCTTTGGCTTAAGGAACAATGTGAGTAGGTTGCGAGAGTTGAAATGCTTGTCGTCGGGAAGGAGGTTGCGACCCTTTGTCTTCCACTGCGTCTTGGGTAATGAGACGGCGGAGTTGGAGCTGGCCGGGGTGTAGATCAATTCTGCGACAGCAGGATCTAGAGGGGCAGCAAAATCAATCTCGAAAGGCTCTTTCTCTTTGCGCTGCTTGGGTGCTGATGTAGCGGGTGTTGCATGCTCTTTGATTCTTCGAATCTTCCAGTGTTCTGGGCCAGCCCAGTTCTTCTGTAGCGCGTTGTCAAAGTAGCTCAGAATGTTTTCGTGGTCGTGACTATTAGTTTGATGAGACATAGAGACGGCATATGCGTCTTCATCGCCATCTTCGCCTTCGCCATCATTGTCTCCGTCGTGGACCCGATGAACATTCAACATTGGTTCTAACGCGGCTTCCCGAGCCCATACCTCTCCTCCGTCACCAAACCCAGTGTCCCCGCTGAGATCAAATCCAGCTAGGGTAGCATCATCATCATCGAATCCGACAGCGTTGTCATCGTCGAGCATAATACCAGATGGGTCGTCAGGTGCTCGTCCATCTTCGTCCATCTTATCTTGTCGCCATTCCTCTGGCGCTTTGAGGAGAGGGAGATCCAGCGACCCGCTAGGATCACCCAAGTCAAGGTTTTTTAATGATGGGCAAATATCTTGTTCATCGAGACGATCCAAATCTGGGAAAAACTGGCTCGCTAGCGTGGCAAGGTCGATCTCTGTGTTATCTTCAAAGGTGTCGCTTGCGGGTTTCTGGGTTGGTTTTGTTTGGTCCTCGTCCTGCTGGTCGGGATCCGCAGACCCTTGACGGTCATCTTCGGCGGTTTTGGCACTATCGTCCACAGCGTCGTCGCTGCTGTCAAACACAATTCTTCCATGGCTATCAATAGCAAGGTGGTTCAGAAGCAAGCCCTTGGCGCCTCCTTCATCAAAGTCTGCCGATGCTTTTTTGAATAGCGGGTCTACGGCGAACTCTAGCTCGAACTTCTTCAGTTGTAACGACGAGAATGACGGCGCGAGGGTAGCCTCATGGGAGCGTGTCTAGAGACCATTTGGTTAGTCAAGTCCTAGATCTCTGACACCGTATAGAGCATACCTTTTTTCGCGACCTGCGAGGCTGACCGTCCTCGCCTTCCTCATCCTCATCGCCATCTTCTGCCTCCTCTTCTCCGCGCCCTCTCTTGTCACGGCTATCAGCCAGTCCACTCAGAAGTTTTCCTGTCTCCGTTGCGACACTGTCCACTCGGCTGGTGTAGATCTTAACACAACCATCAAGGGTGCAACTGGCCTTTTGGAAGTTTACACCATCTCCTTCCTTCAGCAATGACATGTCGTGAAAGTAGTCGATCAGTGCAAAGTTCCAGGAGTTATTCGCATTGATTTTGTTATCGGTCGCCATCTTCATCCACTCTTCAAAATTGGCCAGGATAGGCACGCGCTTCATCGGCGTCACTGCGCGTCCATTGACATCGCTAGTGCGACTGCGATGACCGGAAGGTCGAGGCGTTGCGGGACTGTCGCTCCCTTCACGATCGTAGGTGTATCGACGAGGTGGCATAGGCGTCTTGACTGCGGCTTTAATCTGACTCATTTGGCGATCATGAAGCGCCTGACGAGCCTCCATACGCGCTGCCTTCTCGCCCTCATCATCGTTGAGGGGAATCCTGACTCAATTAGTTGAATGTCATAACCAAGAGATAACCAGATACGTACTTGACCGGAGAGTTTTTATGCGGGGTCGAGGTGCCGTTAGAACGGCGATGTACCTTGTTTGCGACGCGCGGCATGGTTGCGGTTGCCCCCGATAGGGGATGGCGATAACAGCGTTGAGATGGAAAGTTCGATGGAGAGGGGTTGATGTCGAAGCAAAACAAATGGGGAAGTCAACAAACATACGGCGGTCCAAGCGTACCAGTGATGCACTATCTGTCACGTAATCATGGAGCGTTAATGCCTAGAATATCAGGTATTAACATCATACCCTGGTCCATCCTTTTGAACCTTCAACAGTCAACTCTCTTATGCTTGATTCCAACTTCTACTCTTTGATCATATTTTCTTGTTTTGCTTACAGTTATACTATCTGCGATCGACTCCTCTAGCCTGTTTCCCCAGTGCAACAACGATCGGCGGACTAAGCGCATTGGCCCACTCCCGAGGTCCGCCACAGCTCCTCCCAGCTGACATCACCGCACTCCTCACCGCACTCACCGCACTAGCATATACAAACCGACATTCGTTGGACGCGTGGGGTATATATTGTACATGCATTGAGTCTTCAATGTTGATCTTTCTGGTATAATTTGGTCTACAGCATCTAAAGTCTTGGCCCCACGATGCCGCCATTCTTCTCGTCATAATGAACCAGCTGCCGTCCTTCCTGCAGCCTGCCGTCCGGAAGCCACGATATTCAATCCGACCATTTTACACCACGTTGTTGGTGTTTACACTTATTGCAACCACGAGTTGGTTTCTAACTGGTACTACAAATGAAAATGGCCAGTTTGCGCAATCAGGTACAGAGCTACGTACAGGCCTGTTCAAACGAGAGGGCGAACTAGAGGTATCTTTCCCTTTCCAGACTCTTTCTTGTGAGATGGCGCCGAAGGCTAAATGATGTTCTGTCACACGATGATATAGTGCCGCTTGGTTCGTAATGTCAAAGATCAGTGTGCATATGTCCGCGCCAACTGCCCCGATCACGAGGATGGACTACTCTCCTACCTTCAATTTTACTATTGCGGGCTGGCCGATGCCAAACCGGTAGCATTCACGATATTGATACTCTGGCTTTCACTGCTCTTTAGTACCATAGGGATCGCGGCAAGCGATTTCCTGTGTATTGATCTGAGTACATTGGCTAGCATTTTAGGATTGAGCGAGAGTCTCACAGGCGTGACATTCCTTGCATTTGGCAATGGAAGCCCTGACGTTTTTTCCACTTTTGCTGCCATGCGGTCGAATAGTGGGAGCTTGGCGATTGGAGAGTTGATCGGTGCGGCGACTTTTATCACCTCCGTTGTCGCCGGCTCCATGGCATTAGTTCGGCCATTCAAGGTCGCACGAAGGAGTTTTGTTCGAGATGTGGGCTACTTCATAGTGGCCGTTATTTTCAGCATGTTTATGCTGGCTGATGGGAAACTTCACGTGTGGGAGTCAGCTGCGATGGTAGGCTTGTATGTTTTCTATGTCGTGATGGTGGTGACCTGGCACTGGTATCTGGTACGACAACGCCGAAAGAATGAGAGAGATCTCGCAGCGCGAGCTCACTTTCATATACCGGAGAACCAAGAGCTGGAGATCGAAGAGGCCGCCGAGGACGATGATCCCGGTGTAGCGTCAGAGTCACGAAGTCTTTTCCGTGGAGCCTCGACTGAGGATTTTGATCTTTTGGAACGCGCCGATGCTGTTCCTCTGTGGAAAGAAGAGGACGACGAGGACGACGAAACACGCAACCGGTACTTGGCCGAGATTCGTGATAACATGCACGTCTATCGGCCTGTGAACTCGAGACGTAATACGATAAACCCCATTCGAGCGAGTCTTGTCGGCGCATTGGAGTTTCAATCTGTTCTTCACTCGCTGCAGAAATCAAGAAACACCCGCGGGAATCCGACAATAAGCCTGAACAGCTATTCAGACGACGGCGAGGCTGATTTCGACACGCGCTCGGTGGCCTCGCATCCTCGCGCCAGTCGACCATCTGCTAGTTCCGACCGCCTGTCGCCGTCCAGTGCAGCTGGTTCCTCTCGGGTTCGCGCTGTGTCGGCAAATGATGCCTTGGGATTGAAATTCGACTCCAGTGTTTTGGAGCCCCGGCCAACACAAGGTCCACTGCTTACAGTGAGTAAACCTTCTTTTGAGGATACTTCAGGGCAAGAAGCCATGCACTCACGCCAGCTCCCTCGAATTGATACTGGGATGCCGCTGGATGTGTCTTCTGCGAACCGGTCGCCGAGTCTGAGCCCAGGTACCACAACACCTCGGACTCCCGACCGGCTCGCTCCGTCAGACGCGTTTAACTCGCCCAATTACCACAGCGGAACGATACATGACCGGTCCCCGATGTCAGTATCTCCTAGAGGCACTCCAGCCCGCCCTCATTCAGGCTTCGGGGTAGAAAGCCCATCAATGCCCTTCCCATCGTATACTGATTTGCCCTCCATGGCACCCTCACGACCACCCAGCATTCGACTTCCAAATCCAGCCGGTCAGTTAGAACGATTACAAGTCCACGACGGGTATGATGATTTCGCTCATGTAGGCCTCCCTTTCCGCAAATACCTAAGGAATTGGTGGCCTGACTCGATCCCTCCTCCCCAGCAGATTGGTTGCACACTCTTCCCGACCTTGGCAGGCTGGAAGTCTAAGAATATTTGGGAGCGATTGCTTGGGATTATCGCAGCTCCTAGTGTGTTGCTTCTTACCATAACGATCCCAGTCGTCGAGCCTGAGGCACCAGAGCCTGTGGAACCGGACCCCATACCCTCGGTCATCATTCAGGATGTTGGCGATGGAGAGAGCCCTTCCCCAAGGGTAAGACTTCCAGCCGATAGTCCAGTGCTTGTAGCTCAGGCACATGACCATGCCGGGCTACCTTCTGATGTGCCGCCAACGCACCCCCATCGAAAATCCTCGTATGAACACACTGGTCGCCCGCGATGGGACTCAGAACTCCCGGCAGTGCCAGTGCCAGGTTCACCTCCTGTGTATCCTGTGCCAACAAAGGACTGGAATCGCTGGCTGGTTTCCATCCAACTTTTCACAGGCCCCTTCTTCGCCGTGCTCATCGCCTGGACCACCGTGGACGAAGACCGTCAGCTGCGCAACCTCGTCTTTCCCTCCCTCGTCTCCCTCTTATTCTCATCTGTCTCTCTCACAGCTCTAATAATAAGCACGCGTCGTCAACGAAATCACCGACGTCCTAGCGCAGAATTTTCTATTCCGCTCCTCCCCCACGAATCCCGACCCCAAATCGACATCCTCCCACCACAATGGCGGCCCTTCCTCTCCCTGCTTGGCTTCTTAGTCGCCATATCCTGGATCGCCACAATTGCCACAGAAGTTGTGGCCCTACTCAAGACCATCGGCGTCATCCTCAACATCTCCGATTCCCTACTCGGATTGACTATCTTCGCCGTCGGGAACTCGCTAGGCGATCTAGTCGCTGACATCACAGTTGCCCGACTCGGGTATCCGGTCATGGCTCTGAGTGCCTGCTTCGGTGGTCCCATGCTCAATATCCTCCTTGGTATCGGGCTTGGTGGTCTCTACATGACCCTCAACAGTGGAAACCAGAGACACAATGAGGCACTGCAAGGAGTCCGCCCTGTGCAAGTCCCATATGACATCGCCATCTCTAAGGTGCTTGTTATAAGTGGCGCGACCCTTCTTTTTATCTTGGTTGGGCTTTTGATTATTGTTCCTATGAACAACTGGAGAATGGATCGCAGGATTGGGTGGGGTCTTGTCGCTGTTTGGTGTGTGAGTACCCTGGGGAATGTGATTGCGGAAGTTATCTTGTGAATTGGTAATTGGTGAATTGGTGTTGGAAGATGAACACACAAATCAAGAATGGCGAGTATTGGTCTAGGTTTTCTTTTGGTTTTGTTTTTTTTTTTTTGTGTTGGTGTTGGTTAGGCATTGTGACGTTTTCCCCCCTGCTTTCCAGTTTGCAATGTACAGCTAGTCGCATGCTGGTAGGTAGTACATTCTTGTTGCATGAGAGATAACCCTGAAAGGATTATGATATACGAAATACATCCTCATTCAGTTATAAATTTCTGTAGAGAACACTTTGTACAATCATCAATGGTATCACCACGATAGCTACATGCATAGATTACAGCAGAACTATAAATACTTTTGCCTCTATGAGTCTCTCAGAGCTTCAGGTGTATCGCCTTGCATCTTCCAATTCCCCTTTTGAAACGCCGACAATTCCCCCAACTTCTTGAATAATCCCATGACGCGCGGTAGCCCATCCAGATTGGTCCCATAGGCAAGTGCCATCTCCACCGCCGGTGCAAAACAGACATCAGCCATGGTCACAGCATCCCCCACGGAGAATTGCCCGCTGTATTTGGCTAGTAGTTCTTCATACGCCGTCAGGCCAGCGAGAAAAACCTCCATCACAAAAGTGATCTGGTCCTTGGCTTCACCTCGAATAGCGCGGACTCGTTTAGCGATGCGCCCATTGGTAATAGGTTGAATGTCATTTGTGATTATGTTCACCATCTCTCTGACACGGGCACGCTGTACTAGATCGCCACTTGGAGGTAGTAGTGGTGTCAGGGTAGGTAGGCTTTCTTCCAGATATTCTAGAATAGCAATTGATTGAGTAAGAACAGTCTCGTTCCTATCTTCTTTGATTATGAGAATCGGTACGGATTTGCTTGGATTCAGCGCCTGGAACTCGGGGCTTTCGTGCTCAGCCTTGCCGAGATCAATGTAGGTGTGCTCGACGGGAATACCCTTGAGGTGCATGGCAATCACAACGCGATTCGTGCATGTCGAGCGGAAATATGAATAAAGATGATATGTTTTGCTAGTATTGGTTGCCATTTTGGAACGAATAGGTTAGGGAGTTTTGTGGTGGTGTTGTGTGTGGTCGGAATGGTCGAGTGATCGCGAGTTGCTAAGAGGGTTGGTAAATTGTGGCTCAGCCTTTGTAATTCAAATGTAACTGAAAATAGCTAACGCTTCTCTTATCTTTCTAACAAGGATGTCCGGAAATTCATACAACAGTATCCGTCCCAACTCCGTAGTGGGGTACTCATCTCCACTTTAATGGCTCCAGACGGGAGTAACCTAACGCAATAGGCGTTCATAACTCCGATTGGCTGGGGTACACCTACCGCTACGATAACGCCGAGGACATCCCATCGGTTAGCGGTAGACCTCAACAGAACAACCTCGAAATACTTTTATATGTCAAGGTCGCTACCCAATCAGTTGAAGGGAGCTTCCTCAAGTTACTCTATATGTTGAAACGATCATCTGCATGACCCTGAGAGCGCGCTCATTCGCCTCGGTCTTGTCTTGTTTGTAGCCTTATCAAAACATGACTTGGAGGTTCAACATCATGCTCGTTACCATCATCTCTACCTTTCTATTGATTCTCGGCCAACAAACCTTTGGCCGCATATCACAGGTTATACATAGAAAAGTCGCTTGCACAAAATATGCTTTTTTTTACTGCCCTCACATCTATCTCAAAACACCAGCTAAAAAGACATTTGAAAAGACTAACCAAAAAGCGGGATACGAAGGTAGTATATTCTATACCATGGGAGGATAATAAGGGACATCTCCAAAGAGCATCGCTATACATAATCCCTATAGTACAAACAGGGAAGGAGACTCCAAAACAGAAGGCAAGATCACAGGTCGTACTAAACAATGTCCTTGCGGGTGATGTGATTGAGCTCACACATCTGGCGGAACTCGGCATTTGTATCGAACAATCTAAGTGGACTCTGGAAATCAACAACTTTGCCTTGATCTACCATGCAGATTCGGTCATAACGTATAATCGTTTGCAGTCGATGAGCAATGCATATGACTGTTCGGTGCTGAAATGCATCTAGCAACGTCTGCTGTACTGCTCGATCCGTGTCTTGATCGACTGCAGAAGTAGCCTCGTCACAGACGAGGATGCGAGGATCTCGCACCAAAACACGTGCCAACGCCAGCAACTGTCGCTCACCCAGAGAAAAGTTCTTGCCGTCTGGCTGAACTTCTCGATCAAGGTGCACTTGCGGATAAAGGTTGGTTTTGCGAAGTGCATTGCAGAGAACATCATCTGGGTATTCTCCAGAGGGGTCCAGGTTTGTTCGAACCGTGCCCTGGAAGAGGGTGGGGTCTTGGGGGATGATAGCTAGTTTGGATCTCAAGGAATGAAGATTCAAATTTGCAATGTCCATGTTGTCAATGACAACCGAGCCATGCTCTAGGGGGAAAAGTCGGAAAAGGACGGATACAATTGAGGATTTGCCTGCACCGGTGCGTCCAATAATGCCGACCTTTTCTCCATCATTGATTGTGAGACTGACATCTTGCAGTGCTTGAGGATGATTGCTTTGATAGCGTAGGCTGACATTCTTCATGGTTATGGTTCCTGTTTCCGGCCAAGTCGACGGTGGCACAGTAGCCAAGACAGACATCTCTGTCGGAATTTCATTGCCATAATGTATCATTCTCTCGACTGTGATAAAAGAGTTCTCAATCTCGGCAGTTTGGGATACAATGCCAGGGATGATTTGCACAACAGCCAGGGCGTAAGTCATTAACAACCCAGACATACTTGCTGGAATGGAGTTGTCAGACATGACAATCAAAGCCCCGACAAACAGAATGAGAATATTGCCCAGTGTATCCAGTCGAAGATTAAGCCACTGCTGGCTTGCTGACATCAGATATGAAAAGTTGCTGGCTTCGTCGATGGCGACACCCAATCGACTTTGGAAATTTTGTTGGACGCCAAAGCTTCGGATCGTCTGACGGCCTGCAATGCACTCGACGGTATTTCCTGCAACAGTAGAGCGCGAAACAGTCTCAAAGCGCTTCAGCTCTTGTCTCGAAGCGCGATAATAGGCGGAAGTATAGGATACGACCAAAGCAATCACTGGCAATGATAATACAAACTGCGAAGTTCACATATTAGTTCAATGCCGATGTGATAGCAACTGCAACCGGTTTGTTCCACTTACCAGAGGAAACTGGACAGATATAAGTAGGAATGTGGAGAAAGCAATGCCAACCAGCAGGAAGAATGCCTGGACTGAGCCACTAACACCATTATCCAGCTGGTTCACATCGCTGGAGAACAGGTTCATCAGCCGGCCAGCAGGATTAGCAGTGTGAAATGACATAGGCGCATATAAGACACGCTGGAGAGCTGCCTTGAACAGATTGTCACTGGCTCGCAAGCCGGTAAATGAAGCCTGGCGGAGATACACCCACGCGAGAACGCTATGGGCTACCCCAAAGAGGATACAGCCAAGTATATAAGCACGGTTATCCCACCCCAAGGTGTTATCCACCCACCATGATAGCCAAACGCCAGTGAAGATTCCAGCTATCTGCGAGACAATCAATAAAAAGAATAGAATAGGCCAATGGAAGATCGAGCCCGAAGCAGAAAGGTACGTTTTGTAAACAGACCCGTGCACCCTGCCCGACTTTTGAGTCTCCCTGTCTATCACCGTGTCTGTAATGAAGCCCATTAGTTTTATTAGCAGGAAATTTCAACTACAATGACTCCTTACTTTGATCTTGGGTACTATGTACTGCTTCATGGTCTTCATTGCTCAATCCACCATGCTCTGCATTCTTCGGGTTTTTTTGCTGGTAATTCTCCTGGGTAGGAATCAAATGCGACAGCATTTCATCACCAGACGATGGATTGGACAGGCTTTCAGAAGCCTTAATATGGCCCTTTTCGAGCCATAATATACGATCGCATTGGGTGATTATGTGCCTTTGGTGGGTCACCAGAATGCAGGTTTTCCCACGCAATAAACCAAGAATGGCCTTGTTGAAGATGTGCTGGCCAACATCCGCATCCACAGCCGATAGAGGATCATCTAGAAGGAGTAGATCGGTGTCTGCGTATATTGTTCGCGCAAGACTGAGACGCTGTTTCTGACCGCCGGACAGTGTAATACCCTGCTCACCAATGTAGGTAGCGTCGCCATACTCCCATGTCTTGAGATCTGGCTTCAAAGCGCACGCCTCCACCACCTCATCATACCATGGCTGTAGTAGAGGTTTTCCAAACAGAATATTCTCCTGGACTGTTCCACTTTCAATCCACGGCACTTGGGAGCAGAAGGATCGTGTAGCGCCTAGTACGATATGGCCTCGAGTTTGACTCATCTGGCCGGCAAGAGCGAGAAGAAGGGCACTCTTGCCTGCGCCTACAGGCCCCGCAACTGCGATAAGCTCTCCTGGCTTGACCTGCAAGTTAACATTAATTAGGGCTAAAGAGGAAATCTTACTGCCAGGCATGTTGGATTCCTCATGCACGGATAGCAGACTGGTCTCCTCGTTAATTGTGGGAGACGGAATATCGCCATCAGCAGCATAGTTCCAGGAAAAGTATCCGTTGGTTATTTCGATGACGTTGGCGGCGTTAAAATCCCACTCTATTGTCTTCTGTTGATCTTCCGCCATTAAAAATGATTCAATGCGCTGTAGGGATACCCATGCATCGATGAGCTGGCTAAGCACCATAGGCAAAATATTGAGAGGCTTGCGAAGACAGTTGAACAGCGCTAGCGAGGAAAATGTCTCTGCGGCAGTCAGTCCGCCATGGATTGTCGCGAATATAATGAAAGATAGCATGGCCGCATATGAAGGTAGCGAGGTGGATAGGGACATGATCGTGCTCTGAAGACTTAATAGCTTGTGTTGCTGCTGGACCTCGGCCTCTCTGACATCAGAGATTTGACGCAGAAAGTATGGCTCCCAAGCATGGAACTTAACGAATTTCATATTGCGCAGTCCTTCAAGAAGGCTCAATATTCTGAGATCTACCGCGGCATTGATTGCCATCCGTCTTGACATCAGCCAACCCATGCTGAATTCCAAGCCTTTTGCACCCACTCCAAGGAGTAAGAGACCACTCAGCGCACTCCAGGTCAGGTTATAGAACAGGATTGTCAATGCCACGACCACGGCCACTGGCTCGCTCCAAATCATGTTGGCATATAGAAGAGCGCTCTGAATACGCTGCGAGTCGACTGTAATAAGGTTTGATATCTTCCCATCAGTCCACTCATTACTCTCATTGTTGGAGAGCTTCAAAGACTTTTCAAAGACCATTGCAGTAAGAACAGCCTTCACCTGGCTACCGACCACTCCGCCCAGATAATGGTAGTGTACAAGAGCGAAGCTCATCCCCATCTGGGTGGTAAAGAGCAAGGCCACAAAGTTCAAGGAGTTGCTGTGGGATGACGACTCGTCTGAAAGACTGACGAGAAAATACCTCAATAACAAGGGTGCCATCACTTGCAGGAGGTTCGCAAACAGCATGGCAATCCCCGCAAGCCAGAATTCAAATTTGAACGCGCCATGCAAGGCCCAGAGAAGTGGAAAATTTCTCTGATGAGAGAGGCCAAGCTGAAAGGATTCAAATACAATATTTTGGTGTATCGCAACCGCACGGGTTGGATTTTGGTTTCGGGTATCATCTCTTGTTAGAGGTCGAAAATATCCGATCTTAATACAAAGTTGTGGTGAGCTATGTATGGCTTATATGCAGAGGAATGCGTCGGGCAATCCAAAGACTTACAGATAGCAATGGAAAGATCCATTGAAAGGTCAGTCGACTTAGTAGCCCGACACGGTCCTCATGAATAATTTGGGCGTGATTCAATCCCTCCCCAGTAGTAGAGCGATGTAACGTCATTTTTGCTCGACTTTGGTGGCATCAATGCAAGACGGATGGATCGGAACGTTTAATTAGGTGGTGTCTTTCTTTATGAAACAGGAGGCTGCCTAGTGGCTAGCGCGTTATCGGGGAAATGGGTCGGTTTGGAGTGGAGGTATCGTGTTGTATACGGAGTACGGAATAGTTAAATTACAACTAGAATATGAGGACCTATGGGATTGACGGCAATGACCACTTTTGAGGCCAGAAACGGCTGCCTTTCCACCCGTAACTTTGGATATCCACTATTCTGTACCTGTACGCCTTAAGCCGACCTCGACGATAGGTACCACAGGATGCACGTTAGAACTAATGCATTTGATATAGAGAGCATTCAGAATCTTCACCTCCACGCTACGATTCATCCCCGGCCCACTGTATACTATCTTCACCCGCCTCTCTCTCGGTTTATCGATCATACCCGGCTAGCGAATTTATTTCGTTGACGCCTTGCACAAGAAAAATGGCCCAATTGTCCGGGTCAGCCCCTTCGAAATCTCCATCTCCTTCCTCCCCGAATTCAAAGAGAGCTATCGTGTCGAATTATGAGGATAAAATAATGATGATATGGTTATTCTGATGTCAAAATTCCTGAGAATAAAGCTACAAGTTGTCGAGATTTTGCAGTAATCTCAATCCCACTTTATCATTACCAACCAGCCCATGGTCTCTTCGGAGGGTTTGGGATGCCATCATGATACCGAATACCGTCTCGACCAGAATCCAGCCAGATATCATAATCATCTCTCATGGGTTCCACTAGTTCTGAAAGATGCATAATATCCAAGGCGACAATCGCGTAGAATCCGCGAATCAGCGACTCGACTGCAACTCTAAAGTAGCCTTTGAAGGACGCAGGCTGTTCCCGGTGAGCCCACGCGGACACAGCAATAGCAAATGGAAGCATCTGGCGTTCGGGCTCGGGCGCCGACGACGGCAGGGGTGAGTCGAGAACAGAGTCGATGACCTCCGGAGTCACCATCAAACATGCCGTCGTGGCAAATGCTCGGGGAAGGTCATTCCTCATCTCCTCGAAGCGACTAGAGTCCATCCGTTAGCTGAGCGAGGTTGCATCGCAGCGGTCACACCAACCGGGAAATATCCTTGGGACCGGCCATCTCAAGCGTGGGGTCCTCCACCCAGCGAAACTTGAACAGTTCAATCGCGCGATCAGACTTGGGATGGAACCCGCGATACTCGGCAAAATCTTGCTCGAAAATCAAATCCCAGCGCTGGCGGAATTTGGCCCATTGCTCCTCGTGCTCACCCCCGTACTGCCCCGCGCAAAACACCACATACCCCCAGTCTGACCACTCCTCCGGCTCGCGCCAGCGGAAGAGCACCTTTAGCGGGCTGATGTACGGCGCCCTGGGCTCGCGCTCGGCGAGCTGTTCTTCCTGAGGTTTGGCAGCTTCTTCTGCGGCTCTTTTTTCCGCGTCCTGCTGTCTTGTTTTCGCGAGAAGCCCTTCGAATAAGCCTGCCTCTCGGAGGCCGCTCATCAAGGCTTTGTGTTGTTCATCTGTGAGACTTAGCAAGTCATCGGGTGGACCGTTGAGGAGGCGGTCATAGTCCCAGCCGGGTGGGTAGAAAGACATTGCTAAAAATAGGCTCGTGGTTGTGGTCACAGGTGAGATTTCTCGGCCAGAGCTGATATGTCTAGTATTTCTCTCCGAGGCTATAGTACTACACAATATAACTCCAATTCAAAAATAATTCAATGCTATATATTACTATCTCTTACCCTACATGGCCGAAATAAGAATAGAAAGATCAGTATTTTCAAGCAGGATGCTCAGAATCGCAAGCTCTTACATAGTCTTTTCAAATGTGTTTTTAGATGTATGCTTTTCTATATATAACCAGAGACAACATACCCACGCTCGAATCGGTACTAATATTCCATTATATTCCATGTTGTATCAATAAGCTACATCAGTAAATACCGTCGATTTCAAAGCAAGATGTTCTTAAGATACCCCTATTTACGGAGCACGTACGGAGTACCCACGGAGTTAACTAGATGATCCATGTCAGACAGGGATCATGCGTCGCAATGACCAGGGGCTCTTTATTGAGCCGGCTGAATGAATTTCATGGCCACTATGGAGCCGTCACTAAGCTCAATGCGCTGACTGCCAATCTTGAGCTATATCTCTCTGCAACTGAGAAATCGCAAAACGCCAACCCAACACGCTCCACTGCCCCAGACTTCAATGCAACACATATGCACAATATACCTAGCTAGATCCACACCTGACCCCGGGGGACCAATATACATACACATGTCAATTAGTTCAGGCAGACTGGAGGGAACGCCATCTTCAAAGTTATAAGTTAGATAAATGTAAGGCATCAGAAATTGGAACCCCTAGAATAGGAGGTAAGCAGAAGTCTAGAGGTATGATGATAGATGATAATAAACAAAACCGATCAGTATTCCAAGAAAAGTACAGAAACACAGCTAACTACTCGCTAACTACTCTCCCATTATCCATAGACCTCGTCACTTTACCCTCCAATCATGTAAGTACGGTCATGTCTTTCCCCGCATCTCTGCATCTGTACAGTATGTAGTCTCAAAACAAAAATAAAAAAGACACTCCAATTCCTTCTTCACAGCACGCGTCCAGCCGACGAGCTTGTGCTGCGGTCATTTACTTGAGTCTTCTTCAGGGTCCTTCCTTGCTGGATAGACGCGAGGAGGGCGCCTCGGTTACCAGCGCCACCAGCCGCGGCTGGGGGAGCAGGTGGAGGTGGGATAGGAGCACCGGCTCCTGGAGGAGGAGGTGGGGGAGGGGGAGGGGGAGGTACTGCAGATGGTGCAGGTGGTGGGGAGATGGCATCACTAGAGCCTGGTATAGCAGGAAGAGGAGGCAGAGTTGCTGGAGGCGGGGGCGGAGGTGCAACAGGGCTTTCTTGTACCGGGGTAGCGGACTTCGAGGCAGACTTGTCTTCATCCATCGCACTCAGAGGACGTGGGGGTGCCATAGTGCCGAACAGGATGCTGGCAAGTTGTTTGGCGCTGCCCCCGGTTGGGCGGTCGTCTTCATCATCAGACGAATCGAAGTCGGAGCCGGCAGCGGACCAATCATCGTCTTCCTCGGGGCGGGCACGAGTCTTGCGTTCCAGAGGGGCTACTCCGGTGAAGGTGGGCTTGATGGGCTCTTGCTGCGTCAAGCGGTGGAAGGGATTCGTAGACGGAGCTGTGGCAGGCGGCGAGGTCGCTTGGGTGGGGTCGGATGGCTGTCCCAATTTCTTGAAGTACGGGTTCTTGGATTCAGCATCGGGTGTGGCGGCAGGAACACCACGGCTGCTTTCGGGGGAGCCCACTTCGCTAGGCACGCTTTCGGGGGCGGGGGGTTCAGGAATAGATATTGTGGGCACGGGAGGCGGGGTAGGGAGAATCTGGCTCTGCGTCGGGGTGCTGTACTGAGGCGTAATGTCGGCGGGGCCTTCGTCATCGGACGACGACTCGTCAAGTCCCTCGAGTTCACGCTGCAGCTGTCGCTCACGCTCCTTAGCTGCCTCCAACTCAACACGTTGGGCTGCAAGAATAGCCTCTTGTTCTTTGGACTGTCGGCTAGCCTCTTCCCTGCGACGTTTCTCTTCCTGCTTCTTGATCTTGCCCTGACGGACTTGTTCCTCAAGAGCACGAAGTCGAGCGGCTTGGGCATCCTTTTCCTGTTGGAATTCCAGTTCGCGTTGGCGTGCCTCACCCCTGTAAATGTATTAGCCAACTCCACTAATTGCATCTTTATCAGCCGTGGATTACTCACTCTAGACGCTTAGTCTCTGCCTCCTGCACCCCTTGCTCTTCCTTGATGGCCTGCTCACGGGCAGCCTGATCCACTTTAGTAGGTTCATCTCCCCTCGTGGCATCAGCTTGACCGGCACTATCCGTCCGAGCTCTGCGGGTGGGCGGCGCTGGCGGTGGTTTCTTGCCCGCAGTCTTCGGAGCTGCATCACTAGGCACACCACGTTCCTCAGCCAGGCGACGCTGTCTCTCCTCTTCCCGCTTAGCATCCTCTTCCTCGGCGCGTCTGACACGATCTTCGCGCTCCTTCTTCTCACGCTCCTGGCGTTGCGCAAGAGTCTCACTAGAGTCATTGGGCTTCAAACCAGCAGCAGCCATACGCTCAGCAATGCGCTTCTGCGCACGCTCTCGAGCAGCCGCCACACGATCTTCATGTGTGTTACCAGGAAGAGAGCTCGATGAGCCCACGGACGGGGGCATCGACGGGCGGGCAGCGGCAGATTCGGCCGCTGGAGAACCCCGAGACTGCACTCCAGGGGAAGGTCTCTCTCGCCTATGAATCGTCAGCATTGAACAGTTCTCCTAATTGACAAGAATAACATACTCCTCTTTGCGAACATTTGCAGTTCGCGCATTGCGGTTCAGATCGTAGATAAAGTCACGGATGACATCCTCAACTCCCAATGCATCTTCCCAACGACGCTTCTCGTGCTCACGTGTGGAGTTTTGGCCTTCCTCCCGAAGACTGTCCTCCAAACTGCGAGCGAAATCACGCACACTTTCCTCAACATCGCGAGTCATAGTGTCGTTGCGCTCTCGCTCGATCTTCACGTTAGTGCTCTCAGACTCAAGACGACGAGCCGCTTGGCCATCGTCATCTTCCGTCACGGGTGCGGGGCGGCCGGAAAGCTCCGCGGCCCGGGCTTGCATACGCGCACGCGCGCGGGCTTTGATTCGATCTGACTCTGTCACAGTGCCACCAGGGCCAGTGCCAATGATGTTAGAGGCGCCACCGGGGTGTGCCTTGGCGTCCTTGAGACGGAAGAGCTCAAGCTTCGCATCCGCAATCTCACGCTCAAGACGACGCACATCAGATGCAACCTGAGGCACTTGATCCTCAAAAGACTGCAACTGGCGACGAAGAACCCTGCGATCTGCCCCATTGTCAACTTGACGGAATGAGGCATTGGGGTGGGTATCGAGATCGTCCTGCACACGACGGATACGGTCCATCAGAGCCTCTGCCTCGCGGCGATCCTGGCGATCCAGAGCATCGTCATCCTCGGCTCGGTTCTCATCCTGGAAATCAGCAGCGTCAATCATGACTTTGGCTTCGCGGATCTTCTTGTGCAACTGTTCCACGGAATACTCCTCGTCGGACGCGCCGGAGGCGGCTGGTGACGGGGTACGAGCCTCGTTACCAACACGGCGGCGTGCACTAGAGCGGTATCCACCAGCGGAGTCATTGTTCTTGAACACTGTTGCATCCTTGCGGCTTGCCGCAGAAGAGCCTGCTGCACCACCACGGAAGGAGTGATCTTTGAGGTAGCTGACACCAGTCTTCTGCGGCTGCAGGAATGCCCCGGAGGCCTTGCGATTTTCAGCATCTTGAGAGAGAAGAGACTTGACTGTACCGATAGAGTCATTCAAGTGTCTCGTAGAAGGAGGAACAAGCTCGGGCGGTAGGCGGTTTGGAACTGGGTATCCATTCAGAGCACGGTAGATCATGTGCATAGCTACGGCGAACTCATCCATGTTCAGTCGGCCGCGGTTATGGGGATCAGCCAGGGTCCAGATCCGTTCTAGGTCTTTTCTATTCAGACCACTTTGACCCATGATCTCGATGGCAGTCTCGCCACTGATGAAGCCCTTGCGGAAACCGTCCCATGCGCGGAAAAGATCATCGTAAATCTTCTTCTCCTCTTTAGTAATTGCCCAGGCAACTGTAGCATTTCCTGAAAGGCCAACAGCACTGAAACCACCTTCACGCCCAGGCTGCGGCATGAGCTGCTGCTTCATAGCATCGATGTTGGGCAAACCCTGCGCTGGTGTGTTGATGAATCCCCATTGACCTGGAACTCCCGTGGGTTGCGCTACCAAGCCTGTAGGCTGCACACCCAGGCCTTGCATTCCACCGGTCTGGGCGGGGCTAAGGTTCGACCCGTAGCCAGTGGGCATAGGCGGCATCGGAGGCCGAGGGCCGGTATATCCAGTGGCCTGCGGGTTCGTCATGAAGCCGGTTTGTTGAGACTGAAGGAATTGAGACTGGTTCTGGCCAGGGAAGCCCGTCGGGTTGGGCTGGATACCTGTCTGCTGGGGGAAAAACCCAGTAGGCTGTGCTGTCAGCTGCGACAGGAGCTGAGCGTTGTTCGGTTGCTGCGGAATGGGCTGTTGAACAATTGGGGGCGTCGACTTGTTCTCCATGAGAGGCGCATCGAAGTTGGGGACGTTGGTTCGCTGGACCGGCGCCGGCTGTGTGTCGGGGACATCGAACGAGATGATGTCGACCATACTGGAAACCTCGTTCTTGACTATCTCAGGCAGGGTGGAAGGAAGCTCGCGACCAGTGAGACGAATATTGCAGAGGTACATGGCCAATGCAAACTCGGGGAAGAACAACTGTCCGGACTTGGTGGTATCAGACAAGACCCAGATCTTAGAAAGGTCAGCGCCCGTCAATTTGGAGCGCAGCAAAAGATCTCTTGCTTTGTCGCCTATTGTGACCAGTCAGTACTGCTATACAAGCCATAATATGTGACCCGTTGGGTACATGGAAACCCACCATCCATTGTCTTGCTATCGCCAACCGCAGACTTGAAGAGCTGCTCGAACCTCGCCTGATCCTGCGCCGTGATAAACGAAAGCCGAATGCTTGGGATCTTTGACCCTGTCTTTGGCGGCACCTGAGGAGGGGCCCCAGAGCCGGCAGCATCTTGGAAGGAGTTCGCGACATCGCTGGACGTCTTGAATCGAGTTGGTATCTGCGGCACCGGAGGAGGCTGCTGCGCCTGGTTCTGAGGAGGATATCCGGTGAATTGTGGTTGAAAGCTTTGCGCTTGCTGCTGCTGGGGTTGCTGGGGTGCGGCGCCAGGGAAGCCAGTGAATTGCGGCTGGAGCTGTCCCGCGGGGAATCCGGTGGCTTGAGGCTGTAGCTGCGAGTTACCGAACGGGGAGGGCTGTCCGGCAAATCCGGTCGGCTGTGGAGCAAGACCAGTGGGCTGGGGAGCAAATCCAGTCGGTTGAGGTTGTTGGATTGATGGTGGTTGTTGGCCTTGAGGAAATTGCGAATAGGGGGGTTGTTGTTGCTGTTGCATGAATGGTGCCTGGCCGGGATGGCCACTGGCACCACTCCCGAGGAAATTATTCGACGAGGAGTACATCACAGAAACCACGCTCGCATGAGCAAAGAAGATGCAGAAAGGCCAACAAGAAATTGACGAGAAGAACGAATGCAAAATGGTAAGTGAGTTGAGTCTCAGGAGGATGCGAATGACGCCGTTGCTGGACGCGGAGGCACGTGCGCTAACCTCATTTGGTGCTTAGTCATATGTCCGAAATACCTATTTTTGGATCTACAACTGGGATTACTTGATTTGATAGATACAAGTAATGACTTGGAGCTTTAAGCTCGTAAATTTGTCGGTATCAGCTTGCGTGGTATAGCTGAGTCTCTCAGAAACAGTAGAAAGCAAAGATGAAAAGGGCCCGCGAAAAAGGGGCCACCCATAAATGTCCAGATCGAAACCGAAAAGGAAAACAAACGCAAGGCATAAAAGACCGTAACTGCTCCATGCGCCAGATTTTCAGACCTAAAAAAAGAGGATAGGTAATGACTTTGTGTCACTCATAGCCATTTACTCAGCAGTGTTCTGCTGTTGCTGGTTGGCGGCGTTGGCAGCCTTGCGGAGCTCGTACTCCTTAGTGAATTCCCGAGACAAGATGCCCAGGTCCTTGATCAGAGCCTCGGAGGCGTTGATGACAGCCTGTCGAGGGGTGACCTCACCATCAGTCTGGATGCGCAGCTGGAACTCGGGGGTCAACGGATGGGGGACCTAATGGATCTTGTTAGTATGTTTCCAAGATGGAACACCTTGTGCATATAGCAGGTGGCTTACGCGGTAGGCAGCAAAGATCACATGAGCAGTCTTCAGGAGACGGTGGCGCAGCATGTTGCCAAGAGTGTGGTCTTCTTTGCGGAAAGTAAATATGGCGGCAGAAGGGAGACCTAAAGAGATACAGTCAGCGAGACTGTGTGGTCTAGATTGACCAGCATGGCTTACGGGTGTCGACCTCAACATCAATCTTGCTCTCTCCAGGAGCGAGCAGGATGGCTTCATACCTATGTTCATAACCTAGTCAGCTTGTGGTTCCCTCGGATAAAAAAGCAAGACTTGAAAATTCAGCAGAAAAAGGACATAAAAAGAGGCAAACAGAAGCCTTAATCCGTGAGTTGATTCAACTGACACGTCAGGTGCATCATCAGGAACCATAGGGCGAGGATGGCGCGGGTGGGGACCATGGCCGCGGCGACCAGCACGCTCTCTGGCGATGGCCGCAGTGGCCGTGACAATGGCAGGGCTCTGAGGCATGACTGTAAAAAACAGAGATGACAAAATAGATAATTGGCAGTGAACAAGAGGATGACAGTCCACGAGTTAACAAAAGGGTGACAGGGAAAAGAAAGTGACTGTGCAGGAGAGGGAATAACCAGACACGCAATGCTCGTCAGGGCAGGAACAACAGTGCGAGGAAAGTGCCATCACTGCTGCCCGTGTTCTTCCCGCCTTCCCATCTTGACAAGATATGGAAAAAGGAAGGCGCATTTTACCCCGGAATCCGGGGAATATGTTCTGCGGTACGCATGATATCCAACCGAATTTGGAATCCAGAATTCAACGCACAATCAACTTCACCGGAGGGCCGCAAAATGAACAGAATTTGATGAATTTCAGAAACGCTGACATGCACTCACCTATCCGGGGCATTCATGGTGGCGAGAAAGCTTTTTTGAAAAAGCTAAAGGGTTTGAAGGCAAGATATCTGTATCGAGGATATGATTTTATGTATGTATCCAAGAACTTGCGGGGTTGCAGAATAGAGAGATTGATAAGAAGTCAAATGCCGGACGTAATTCAAACGCCTATTTATAAGTGACCAGGTCGTTTTGACTTGTGAAGACGATGGCGACCAAACGCGTGTGGCTTCGTAATACGCTTTTGAGGGTGCTTATTGATAGCAGATAAGTTCAAAGGAAGGAACCCAATGATCCGGTGCACTTTATAAGATTATTTGGGCCCTGGCTTTGTAAATGTCTGATTGCTTGATGTTGGCGTTGAGTGATGAAGATATTGTGATACATCTCGATATCGGAATCGATATCGATCATGTGACCATTTTAAAGTATAATGTCACGTGATCATATTTGAACTATGTACATGCCTCGGATCAGTTGCGGAGGGGTACTTTATCTTCATCTCACTTCAAAGAGACTTTGTTGGTGTGGTGCTTCTAATTCAATGGTTGTTCACAATACCCACATTTCCTGATGGAATATAGAAGGTGCTATCTCGGTTTCTAGAACATAATAAATTATTTTTGTTTACTGGAATCGATAATGCAACTAATGCATAGTTATATGTTTTGTACGATTTTTCATCCTTTGGATTGCAACATTTAGGAAGCGAAGATACTTGGCGCCAAAGTCATGATTGCGCGCCATTCGTACTGTGTAACTTAGAAACCATCATCTTGATATGATATCTAACATATATTGACTAGCAGTGGTGTATAGGGAACCCCCGTCTCAACCCAGATATACGACATGGTAAGGTATACATACACCCATATTTAAGCAGGAAACACGAAATCCGAGCAAAAATAAAAAAGAAAGACAGAGAGAATGAACCTTGGGAAGAGCCGATATAACGGCCACAAGGCCCGAAATGTATTAAGAGAGTCGAGTAGAAGCAGAGCGCTCTGACAAGAAGACAATGCAACACAAAAAGACACAAAGATAGAAACCTATAAAATAAATAACGCCATGTATCTTCCCGCGCCGATATCATAAGAAAACAAGAGAAAGAAAAACAGAGGACCGGTCTCAAAATCAAAACTAGACTAAAAGCACAAGGAAAGCATATGTATTCATACTTGTAAATGTCGAACTCATCTGCCCAGTCCGGAATGACCATGAACACAAGGATACAAGGAAATCCGGGACAGGGGACGAGAAGTGACATACAAGATGTGAGATGAGGGCTAGGGATGCATTATTGAGCCGGCATATCCAATTGGCACGGCAAGCCCCTCTCTGAGTCGATGGTATGTGCGTCATATGTCATGTCGTAGACGGAGCGGGGGATATTAGGAAATGGAAGCGGAAATGTAAATGCAGCAAAGAAAGAAGCAGGCTATACAGCGTAACGCGGACATATTTCTTTTCAGATGCAATGCAAGCACGCTTTCATGGTCGAGTTGAGGAAAAACGAAAGAAACAAAAGAAGGCAGAACTGGAGGTTTAGTGCACAGCGCTCAGCAGATCTCCGAACGAAGACGTCCCTCGCTTCATCTTCCAGCTGCTCTTCTTCTTCTCGCGCTTCTTCACCATGTCAGCCCAGGCCTCGTCGTCGTCCTCTTCATCCTCGGAACCGGGCTTCCGATTTTCAACACCAGTGCTCTGCGAAACAGGGCGTACGGTCACAGTGGCGAGATGCGATTTCGGTATGTGAGACTGAGGCATCAGCAGGGACGGGTTGTGATTTTCGTCACCAAAAGGCTTGTTTGAAGATGCCACTGCGTAATTTGATTCAGGCTGCATGGTTGATACCGGTCGGTAACGAGGCGCCATGCCAACGGTGCTACGCTCGGACGGAGCGATTGAAGCGGCATATCCGGTGTTGGGGCGGAAGGGGGTACCTGACAGATTTGGCATGGGCGAGCCAGTCCTACGGGTTGAAATGTTGGGGTCCATCATGCTCATCGTACGCTGATCAATGTGTGGGAGCGAGGGTGAGGCGTTGAGAACGGATGTTGGCATAGACATCGGCCGGAAGTTCGGGTTACCAGCCATGGACTGGGGCCCGGATATCGAAGGAGGGCCCATGGGAGGCATGGCCATCGCTCCACCAGGCATCATCATAGGAGGCATTGGCATGCCTTGCATCATAGGTTGACCCTGCCCACCTTGTATTTGCATCATTTGCTGCATCCACTGCATTTGCATCTGCATCATAGTGGTCATCTGCTGCGATAGCTGGATAGACGCTTGTTCTCCGGCGCTGACGTTTTGCTGCTGCTGCTGCGGCATCATCGAGTACGGCCGAGGCACTCCTCCCATCTCGTGCATTGCTTGTGTATTCGGGCTTCCTCTGCGCATCGCCCGCGCCCGCTCCTCACTTGCTATAACACCGACAAGACCTCCGGGGGGAGGTGCGGGGGACGAAGATCCTCCATATACCGAACCACCTCCGAACGCCAATGATTCACGGTTGGCGTTGTTAACCAGGCCTGCACCGAAGTAAGGATCTCGCGGCAAGTTCCTTGCAAAAGGTGGGAGACTGCCCCGGCTGGCGTTGGGGTCGGCGCCCGAAACAGAGTTGGAAGATGATATATAAGGCGGTTGCATAGATGCGCGAAGGTTGGGATTGGAGCTGACATTGTTCAGGCGGGTTGGTGGGCGGTTCTGGCCAGGGAAACCGTGCGCGGCTAGAATACCAAGTGGCACATCGTCATCCTCCTCCTCGCTGCTCTTTCCACTGTTGGACTTCTCGCCTAGCACAGACAGGCGACTGGGGTTTAAATTGGGGGTGCTGTTGCTAGCTCCACTCATGACCGGACGTAGCGATTGCACAGGTGCTTGCTGACCTGTGATCTTCATCATTTGCTGACGATACACAGATAGATGAGCCTCCTGCTTTCGTCGTTGACGTTCCGTCTCACGTTGCTTCTCCACCTCATCTTGTTCATCGTCAAACTCCTCGTGATCAGACTCGTCATCGCTCTTAGTCGCGTCGCTATTGGAGCGTCGGAGTTCTTGTTGCTGGCGATAGTGCTCGAACTGAGATGGAGTCATCACCTTGTTACCCGGAGAAGATGACTTGGGGAGACTATCTGCGTACTGCACAGCCAACCGCGCGTGATCCGCAATGGAGGGGTCCAATCTGTCGGCCGGAGGGGGCGAGCGGCGGTATTGGAACATATTATCAGGTTCTGGGTTCACTTGCCCAGAGTAATTGGGTGCTTTGCCCTTGTCAATCAATGGGGTTCCACCTGAAGGGCTGCCCTCAGCCCACGGCGAAGTGCTTTCTTTGCCATATACGACAGACTTTCGGACCATTTGGGCATCTTCGTCATCAAAGGGTGCGGATTCCCCCTTGGCCGAATATATCCCACTCCTCCGCAATCCTCCTCTCTCCGATCCCCGCGGGCGCTCCAAGGAACGATGTGAGGTAGTGGCCTCGGCAAACTGATTAGGAGACGGCGAAAGCTTCCGGAAACCAACAACCGTATCGGGGGTAGACTGGCTCTGGTTCAGCGGTGGAGATTGCGGGCCACGTAGCAAGCCCTCCTCGGATGGGCGACGATCCCAGGAGTAAGGGGGTGACTCGACAGCAGTCGATCGATCTGTATTGATTGCGGCGGGGGCTGCAGCTCTGCTGTTTTGGAACTCGGGCAGAACATGCGTTGGTGGAGACGACGAGTACTGCGATACTGTCAGCAATGCATCCTTGTCTGGACGAGCGATTGCAGGTGTTACCTTTGTCGGTTTAGGGGATGATCCCCGGATTGCGGAGCCCTGTCCACCCATATTATCAAACATCTTATTGAAATCGTCCTGCGAGCTGAGAGCGAAGTCTGTATCTGGCAGCTTGGGTGGGGTGGCCGTGCTGTCGGTGCTGCCTGTCACCGGGCGATTCTTTGAGGTATCCGGTGTTTGTTGCCGAGGGACGTGTGGTCCTGACTTGCCGAATCGACCACCGAACGAGAAAGTTCGTCCTGCGGCGCGCAGTGCACTCGTGATTGGTGGAGCTGGAACATCATGGATTCTGGAATGAGGGGATTGGGTCTCGTCGGGCGGCGGGACTTCGGTTGATGATGGGAGGGTGGATGATGAGCTTAGCCTGGTTGACGTCGAACTTTCGTAGTTACCACTATCGCGGTTCCCAGTCAGCCGTCTCCTAAGAGAATCCATGGTCGAAGGGCGATCGTACCGGCTCTTGTCCAGGGGTCGCTCCCTCTCCGCAAAGATATTATCGGAATCCTCCATCGACGGCACTGTATGACCCTCACTCAGCGGCTTGGTCAGCACCGCTCCATCCGTCATGGATCGATGAGGACCCGGGCGCTCGAAGACTCGAAAGGAGGATTGGTGAGGGGGTTCCACGTCTTCAATAACGTTGCCGGACGATTTCCGCCTGGTAAAGCTCTTAGGTAGTTTCATTGGCATAGAAGTGGCTGTTATGACAGATTAGGCAGGTATTTGAATAACCGGCCAGGTGCGTCTTCGCGAAGCAGCTCTCTCATTAAGGTTTGGACGATCCTGAGGGGGGTGTGTGTTGTCTTTTGAGGGTGATGTGTCGAATGCAAGTGATGCCGAAGAAGCGATCAGTCCAAATAGATAGGTATAACGATTGATCACGGATAAACAAAGCAATTTTGGAAAGCTTAGGGGTTAAGCTGAAAAAGAATTGAAGTCAGTCAGAAGCTTCCTGGGAGAAACGAAGCACAACACGGGTTTGTCTAGCGGCCGATCAAAGGCCCGGCAGGAATCCACAGAGTGGGTTGTCTTGCGTCTGTCCGATCCGATGGCATCTCACAACAAATTGGATAATTATTCCCAAATTCCTTGCAGGGCCTCGAATATGTGCGCTCTTTTTTTTTCTGGAAAGAAGAAAGAATTGAACCCACCATAGGTGTGTCGGGTGAGACGCGGAAATGTCCGTTTCAGTTCTCTCAAAGTAAACACCAATAAGAAGAGACGGGGGGAGTGGAGAGACCCTGGAAGTAAGACCCTAGAAACCACCAAGGGGAGTAAAGAATGGAAAAAAAAAGAAAAGAGAGAAGAGAGAGAGAGAGAGAGAGAGAATGTGTCGCAGAGGCAAAAAAGAGAGAAGACGCTACTGACAGTCTAGTCCCTTTGGTATCCGAAGTGGTCCAGATATGGTCTGAGTATTCTGACTACTATTGATCTAGTTTCTATTATTATTATTATTACTATTATTACTATTACGGAGTACTATTATGTGTGATGATTTATGCCCTAAACCTTAGGAACTTGGGCACTTTCATGATCTCATAGGAGTTCAATGTGAAACCCTTTACTATACATAGTAAGAGTCTACGGGAAGTCCCTTTGTACATCAACAGTGGGCTGTTTTTTTTTTTTTGGCCGTCTAAAAATAAAACAGAAAAAGACAAATTCAATTGGAATGTTGAAATGTAAAGCGTTGGGTCTAGACATTGCCCTGGAGGTACCTGGGTAATCATACAGTATATAATGTTAATACAATACCCATGTCAATAAATAAAAAAAAGGAGGACAAAAGTACTCCAAAGCACATCCATGGATGGATCAAGGTGAAATCCCGTCTGCTCCAATGCGATGCGCACATGTTACCGATCGATCACGTGAAGTCGATCCCGATCGGCAGCACATTCTTCTTGCATCCATGGATCTCCTATCTACATCTCCACATCCACACGGAGTACTCCGTACATACATAATGTACGTAAAGTATCTACAACGTACATCCCAAAAGCCCACCAGCCTGAGTTGTATTACTAGTTTACTCCTTACACGGTCGGCTGATAATCCTGTACATAATCCTGTACCACTAATAGTGACACAGGACTCGACGGAGAAATTCTGATGATCACGGAAGATGTACTACATCGGGATGAAGAAAAAGAGAACTCAAATGACCGCACATACATGCACCATACATAATGGTTTCAAATGATACCAAAGGCTGATATCGATACTCCATCATGTTTCCAATCGCACAAACAAAAACACCTTCTCCCCCGCCTTTTATCACGGATTATAAGTTATCTTACAAAAATTGCGACTTGGCAATTTCAGTTCGGCCCATCTCGAAATGAGTCCGTTCTCTAGGAATTGGGCCAAGGAGCCCACCGATGAGCTTATTTGGCAAAGTGCAGGTCGTAGTTGAGCCACTTGCGCGCATTGACACCCGCCACATCGAGGCCGGGGGTACCGTAGGTCAAGGGCGCATAGAAGATGAAGCCCCAGATGGTGGCAGCCAGGATAATAAGGGTGGCAATCCAGCCTGCGATGAGCGACTTGCAGCCCATGCGTTCCTTGGCCGTGATGAACCGGCGCAGGCTGCTGACCGACCGCGCCTTGGACTTGCCCGAGGGGTCATCCACAGGGGGAAGTGCAGTGCGGGGATCGAGCGGCTGCAGGTTGAAAATGAATTCAACCAGTGCGCCACATACCATGGTGGAGGCCAGGTGTGAGGGCAAGTAGTGATGCAGGAAACGCTGGCGACCCATTAGCCAGAAGGGGAAGTAGTGCGCAGCCCAGCAGAGGAACAAGAACCCGGTGCTGTTGTACAGACGCGAGCGGGTACCGGGGCCCCAAACTGTTGAAAGTGTGTTAGTTACCCGAGCAAAAGACCGGAATAAGAGTAGGATATTTGGTTGTTCGACTTACTTTCTTCCAATGCATCAACACCACGGCGGAGAGACAGTTGATCAGCACCAACAATGCCGGCAAACACGGCAAGAATACTGCTAGCAATCCACCATCCAATGGGGTTACCCAAGAAGTAGATCTGCTCGCGAGTATCGTTCTTAGTCCAGAAGCTCACACCCCGCAACAGGAAGGGCCACTGGAAGGGCTCGGTGGCATAGGGGTGGCTGCTGGTCAGAGCGTTGTTATGGTGGAACATGGCACCCTGCAGCTCGAAGTACTTGCGCAGGAAAGACAGCGTCTTGACCTTACGCTCCTCCTTGACAAGACGAGGACTATCCTCTTCCAAGTTCTCAATGTTCTCAACGTACCACGCGTTGCTGGACTGGAGGATGTTCTTGTTACCATTAATTTCGGCCTGCTTGTAACCCCACTCTGGCAGCGGAGTTGTGTGTGTCCACAAAGCGACCCGAGTTGGAACGTGGACCAACTTGAACAAGCTGGCAAGAGTACGGAACTCTTGGGCAGCCTTGCCCGACTCAATCTTGAGCTCGAAGAGGGTGTCGTTGTGGCGCTCACCATCAGCCAGTTCTTGAGAGACCGTAGTGAACTCTTGGTTAGTGGGGAAGAAGGGAGACGCAACATCGTGAGTCAGGAGATAACTCTCGGTGCCGACATGGCGGAGCTGGATAATGTCGCCGTTGCGCACGCTCTTGGGTTGAGATGGATCAACCAGAGGCTCGCCGGGTAGGATCTGCCATTGGTTGTTGGTATCGTTGTGGGGATAACCAGTGACCTGCTGACCCTGGCTAGAAATACGGCCATCGTCATAACGCAGGGGGTACTTGTCCCAGTGGCTGTGGAGGAAGACCTTGGTGTCCTTGTGGCGCATGGTAATGGTGTCGAAGTATTGAATGCCAACAGACTGAGCGGTCATCTGGTTGTCACTAAGAGTCTCCTGGAACTCGGGAGTCATAAAGTCGTCGCCGGGGCCAGACCGATTGAGAATAGTAAAGTGGACCTGGAACCAGAACAGGTAAAACATGAAGGGGATAATGACCAATCCAACAGCGCGAGCAATAAAGTGCTTGCCCCAGTTGATCATGCTCAGCGCTCCCTGCTCGCGGTTGATATCCAAGAGGTTCCACAAGTCAATGAGGACTGCCGCGCCGATGGTCACGAAAGTAAAGAAACCAACGTATTTGGTGGAGATGACACAGCTCATGCAGAAGCCGGTCAGGAGAAGCCACTTCCACCACTTCCGGCTGAATGGTTGGTGACGCAGCTTGTAGAAACGGACGTAGCACAAAATACTGAGTGCCATTGAAAGCACGAGGGTCGCGTCCAAAAGGATCAGACGGTCCTCGCCAACATGGGCGTTGTCAAACACCATCAGACCGGCAGCCAGCACACAGGCCGGCAGAGAGTAGCCAGACTCCCACATGATGAGGAACACCACGGGAATGGTCAAGGCGCCGAGAGTAGCCGGCATGGCACGGAGGGAGAGGTAGGGCACATTGTTTTCGATGTAAGAGTCGCCGATGTTCTCGAACAGGAATCTTCCATCGAAGCCCACGAGCCAACCCATGAGGGCAAACAACAGCTTTCCAAAAGGTGGGTGCACATCGAAGAAATAGGTACGTTGAAGGTAGTAAGAAGCGAACTAGCCAAGAAATATTAATGTTAGTCAAAGGCGCCCCTTTTTCGTAGTGGTTGTGCCACCACGAGAGGCATTGGATCTCGTACCTTGCCGAAATGGACCTCATCAAAGACAACCTCGTTAGGATAGTCGAGGCGGTAGAAGCGTGTCGCGAAAGCCAGAAGGGTGAGAATCACTATGGCCAGCCAATAGTCCCATTCCGACTTCTGTTTGACCGGCACCGACACGGGAACGGGAGTCGAGCCATCGTCAGAGGGCAATGCGGTGTAAACATCCTTCTTTCCGCCTCTCTTCCGCAGAGAGGGCGAAGGGGACGACATGTTGAAAATATGAAATGTAGAGAGCGACCGAGAAACTACCTATAGCCAAATAGACTGCCGGGGGGTGTGAGTAAACATCAACAAAGCAGAAAAAGACGGCAATAGTGTGTCAAAAGAAGCTTACCAGAATCACCAAATAAGCATGACACCCAACGATTGAGGCCAAGAAAACTATGAGAAAGGAAAGGAGATGTGGAGGGGGGTTGACACCAGAACGTTGCGTGTCTTCTTAGTTTCCGGGTAGGGCGGTGGCCCAGGCGGATCTACGTATACCATTCACAAAAAGGGTGATAACTCTACTTTGTGCATTGACTCCTTGTTTCATTGAATTGTCGAGTCGAGTCGATTATTCAAAGAAATTGAACCTTGAAATTTCCAGTTCATTCTTTATTTACATATATGGTGTTCTATCAATGTTTTCATGTCGACTGATTCATGCAATAATCTTGGAACAGGTGGTCTCTCTTTTGAGCAACTGTTCGTTCGCTTTTCCGACATCAAATGGACACATATTTCCAAGGTTATAACATAAAGTTCTGGTATCTTCATTGAAACATGATTCGTCTAGAGTCGTGCTAGTTAACACACAGAAAAACACCAAACCATCCGTTGTCGTTCCTTCGTAGCCTTCGTACAAAGGTAGCGTAATGAGGCAATTGAAATAATCCCCCCGTCCTCCTTCAACCATTCGTATAAGATCAACTCCCACTGGTTGTTCGTAGCTTATCACCCCCGCTCTGGATACATGTTCGGCGATGCAGAGAAATTCCTCATCGACTTCGGAGTATTGTTCAGGCAAATTAACGCCTTTCATCCGTCTCAACCTCCCGAATAACAAGCCAAAGAGCCTTCTTAAAAGGAGCTTCTTCCTGTTCGGTCTCTTGAGCGTAAAAATCGATTCGCTTGCCCATGCCTCTCCTCTCCTGATCTCGCCTGCTCATGCGTCTCTTACCCATGCCTGCCCTTTCCTCATCAGCTGCCTCATTATACTTCTTCAACGAGGCATTGAACCGCGTCAACTTAGACTTGGAAGACCAAGGCAAAACATCAAATTCAAGCTCAGCAATCCAGGGCTGTAAAGTTCTAATCCTTTGATGCAAATTAAGCTCCTGCTGCTGCCTTTCATCGGTCCCGGCGCTGGCCACGGAAGCCTCGTACTGGAGTTGTTGAAACAGAGGCGCCTGTCGATTGATCTTGCCCTGAGAATCCAATATAGGGAAATTCGCGACATGTGCTAGCGCATCCAGTTTCGCAATTTCAACTCTCAAGCCACGCGGACCAAAGATGTCCCTATTCGCTCGTTTGATAGAGGAGTCCGTCCGGCTCTTGGACATGCCTAGGCTGCTCAGGTTCGCGAGTCCGCTGACGGCATTCCCAATCCAGTGCAATGGTAATAGGATCGGGATGGACTTCAGGATCCCGCCTGTCGCGTCAAGGACTTGGAGGGGCGGACTGGCGGCTATGTCTTTGTTCAGTTGGTCAAGGAAGTTGAAGAAGGATTCCTTGGGGAGTTGGTAGTTTTTTAGGATGGGTGGATATGCGCGTATGAATGGAGAATCAGAGGAGGAGGTGAGGGCTGGAATTGCGATTGGTTTGTGGCTTGTTTGAGAGGGATTTTCTTGCACTGGTGGTGATCGGCTTGGTTGTGTCGAGGGTCCTGCTGTGTCTGTTGAGGGCCCTGCTGTGTATGTTGAGGGCCCTGCTGTGTATGTTGAGGGCCCTGCTGTGTCTGTTGAGGGCCCTGCTGTGTCTGTTAAGGGCCCTTCTGTGTACGCTGGAGGGTGATCTGAGACCTCTCTCTCATCATAGTGTCCCAGTTCCTCGAAGGGATTTTGTCTCTTTTCATCGGCCATTGTGTGTGAGTGGAAGAAAAAAAGCTGGTTCTTCTAAGCGTCTTTTGGGGGCCAACATCCCTTTAAGTCTGAAAGTGGGGAGTGAACTCAGCCTTAGATTATTCCAGTTGCTTGAATTGGTTAGACCGATACATAGATTGTCAAATAAGCCTTGGACTTAGCCACACCTAGGCAGCATTGATGGTCTTTCTAAGGTTGGGTTTGGGCTGCGCTACGCCTTATCGGGTATCCTGTGCGAGATGGCGTTACCCGTGCAGGATTTCTTGAACAGCCTCAAATTATATGATGTCAGTTAGGGCACAAAGAAGGTAGCATGGTATTGTTTTATTGTTTTATTGTGGTTTTTTTAGTTACATATCCGACACGGAACAAGATCAAATGCCTAAAACAAACCATTCACTCCCAATAATGCTATCAATATATGCAAAATGGATTGGCCAAATATGAACCCGAAATATCAAGCAAATAATATGGCTCATGGGTATCACAGTATTTTCGGGCCTTAATCGTCATCCGTAATATTCAAAAGCTCCAATTCCATAGAGACTAATGCCTGGAACTCTGCACGGGGCATTCCAGTGGCTTTTGCTAAGCGGAACAAACTTTTGATGCTCGTACCGATATGTTGTTTCACTCCCACCTCGTAGGTGGACTGGCTCTCTGCCTCATGTTCCAGTTTTGCGATAGCATCAGAGCTACCGGAAGATGCAGAGGCCGGCCGCGGGTGACTCAAATCTTGTGCGGCCTTATCGCTGGGAACATGGTCTGGGGAATATCCGTTGGTGCGGGGCTCATCCTCTGGGTTGACTCCGTTTACCTGTCGTCGCAAGAGACTGGCCAGCATATCTCCATTGAGCGATGACGGACCAACTTCTGATTGCTCCTCCGTGGGATCATGATTATCCATGGCGGGCTGCACATCGCCGTATTGCGAGAAATATGACTGCTCAGATAGGCCAGATGGACCGGCCTTTGATGAACCACCAGGCGGAGCAGGGGTCTTGGCTCCGGGTGTGGAGTCGTACTGAGCCCAGTAGTCATCGTCGTCGTCGTTCTCCATGCTGTTCTCCTGGGGTTTCTCTTCCTCGGCAGCCTTTAGTATATCAGCCAGGAGCAGCTCCTTTGCCCAAATGTTCGCTTCCCCAATGGAAGAAGCCCAGCTATTGTCATCCTCAGCAGGTCCTTCACGTGGCAAAAGCTCTGCGACTCGCCAGCCACGGCCACCGCCCTCCTCGTCTGTCGGGCACCACAAATAAACCACCATCAAGCTGTATTCGGTGAGTGGAACTTGTGCTTTGAGGGTCTCATCGTCGATTCGTTTGTATGTCACCGGAAGTTCATCCGGAAGCTCAATTTCGCCCGATACGGGGTGTGGTTCAAAGGTGGCACCGTCAATGACTCTTTGTAGACGCTCTGCTTTCCCAGCATCCCAGCACAGTAGCTGCAGCCATGATTCAGTGGAAGATGTGGATAGCGAACTGAGAACCCCGACTCGTTGGCGCAGGATAGGGGAGAGCAGTGGCAACAGAGCTGGGGGAGCGCGGGGCGAGACAAAGGCTAGTGGAAGGCATGCGAGGAGGGGAGGGAGTAGTTCGCGAGTTTCCGGTGGGTTGATGAGTTCGACCATAATGGGTAGTGTAGGTATGAAATGCGGAGAGAGAGAAAATCGAAATCGTGGGGGGAGGTCCAAGGCAGTGTTTTGCAAGCTCCTCCGGGCTCCATTCGACCGAACGTGGGGCACCAAACAGAGCAATCACCGGGCCGTAAAGCTTACTGCGTCCATGGTTCAATCAGGTCTAGGGCTCAATCTTTCTTTGTGCCTGAATATTTTGGATATTTTGGATATGTTCAGTATTACTTATATTACACCTGTATTCATAGAGTTCTATATGGTTTTGTTTTTCTATTTTAGCCTACCTATGTACGCTTATATCTTCTTTTTCCTATCGGCTCTTTCGGACATTATCCAGCATCAACCTAATCATGAACATCTCATACAATAAATCCACCGGCTGTCATTCCAAACTTGTAAATCTCACATTCCACATCACGCATCCCAGATGTCAGGTGTCAGGTGTCAGCCCGAGACACAGTCGGACTAGAATCAGTTACCGGCCAATTTGGAAATTTTTCGGTGCTACGGAAGGTACGAAGTACTAAAAAGCATACAGAATCAACTGGCATGCCTTTGGTGCCTTGTAAAAAGCAGAGAGGAAGATGCGATCATAAGATAGATTATAAGCATATAATCTGAGAGGGGTCAGGCTTAGATAGGCAGATATTTAATTGCATGGTGGAATATGGGATTGGATCGGAGAAACTAGAACCTGAGACTATCTACATCGTAATATACGGAGACAGCGGATATTTCCACCACCTGGGCACTTCTCCATCTACAGGCACACTCCGAGCCGAAACCAATCCAAGACATACTCCGTAGAGGTGCCCAGATAGCCCCGTTTAGAATAATGGGCGATGTTATCTTAATCACCCACCTGGACATACACTATTCTGCGAGTGCATGTCAGCAAGTTCAATCAAGTTTACACAGTGAGGTGCAAACCGATGGTTGTCTGAGGAGGAACATACCTCTAAATGTCCCACAGCTCCGACTCGCGATGTTAGTTCTCCTGAGTAGCCTATCGCACTCTTCGCATATGTGAGAGAAGTTCACACAAAGGTCAACTTTTAGCGGTCATGAAGGAATAACAATGAGACTTAGGGCGATGATGACTCCCTGACTGTGATGTCTACGGATTTCTTCAGGTTGTCTGTGCGTGGGGGCTGATATTGTGCCAAGCACTACCTACCTATGAGCAAGCTAGGGGTTGGAAGCGGAATTAATTTTCTTAAGCATAAAGATACTAGAGATCCCGCTAGAGATCTATTCACAAGAATTAGCCTCACATCAAGAGCTCTCCCTGGTTCTTCCTTACACCCATATTTATAGATTTCCCGAAAAAAAGCGTAAATTGTAGAATTCAATAATGAGCCAAAGCCCCAATGTACGGAGTATGTAATTATTCGTTCGAATTCACCGAAGAAGCGTTCTATAGACATTCCAATTGTGGGAAAGAGGGGTCTGACTATCTCGCGGGGCGCAATTTGGAATGTGCTGGGTCACATGCTCCTAGAAATTCTTTCTACAAATTGTCGACGCGTCTAGGGAGTACTCCATAAGCATCCGGTCAATTAACTTATGGAGTAGCTTGTTTTTACCCTATAACCTCCCGCATAATGAAAAAATAAGCCGAAAGATCTGGATTGATAATCCGAGGTCCGACGTGCGCGCTAAGAAACGCACTACTCGACCGGCTTCTATCACGTTCTTATCTTGGATTGCCTGAAAAAACAAAAGACGTGCATAATCAAGTTAACCTGTGTCACATCTGATTACAGAAATTGGGAATTGGCCTGATCGTTCAGACAGTCAAAATGGCCGACTCAGAGAAGGGCCAGTTCTCGCTCACTTTGACACCAACGGCCCAAGAACCCCATGCCCACGAGCCAGTGGCAGAAGAGGCCAATGCACGGTCTGACAGTTTAATGTTCGATCGCACTCCTCTTGAAGATGGTCAAAGCAATCTCAACCCAGAGCGCGGGGAGGAGTGGGCCGCTCTAGAGAAGCGGGTACGATGGAAAGTCGATCTCCGTCTCTGTAGCATCGGCGGGCTCTTATGCAGTCTCAATTTGCTAGACTCGGGAATTTTGTCCTCGGCCTCGGTCACGACTATGCTCGATGATCTTGATTTGAATCAGGGGAACAGGTACTCCGTCTCCATCTTTATTTTCACAATCGCGAGTGTGGTCTTCCAGCTGCCGTGCACAGTCGCAGTTCGCTTTGTCGGTCCACGCATCTGGTTTGCGACAATTACATTCTTATTTGGGCTATTGACACTGTGCACCGCTTTCGTCCACACCTGGCGGCAGATGATTGTTCTGCGTGTGCTACTCGGTATTTCCATGTCCGGTATTTACCCTGGTCTGACCTACCTGGTTAGCGCTTGGTACCCGCGACGAGAGCAGCAGCTCCGATTTGCATTTTTGCAATCCGGAGAAGTTGTGATTCTGGCGACTGGTAATATCGTCAATTTCGGTCTCAATCATTTGAACGGCGTAGCCGGGTTAGCGGGTTGGCGCTGGATGTATATTGTCCAGGGTCTCATTACTTGCGTCCTGGGTATCATTACCTATTGGTGGATGGTCGATTTCCCCGAGAATGCTCAGCACAGCTTTTGCTTTCTTTCGGACCAGGAAGTGCGTCTCGCAACGCGCCGAATTCAGGATGATCGAGCTGATGTTATCCCCGAGCCGTTTTCCTGGGGCACGCTTCTTGCTAATTTCAAGGATCCGAAAATCTATGGCTTTGCGGTCATGTTTTTCTTGCTCAATCTCATCTCGACTGCCTTATCGTATTTCTTACCCATCATCTTACAATCCGGCATGGGTTTCAGCTCAAACAAATCCATTCTGCTGTCTACACCGGTAAGTTAACCCAGAGTATAAAACGCCACATTTTCTGACGTCTTCAACAGCCCTACTACTATGCTGTAATACCGGTTATTCTCACATCGCTTATCGGTGATTTCTACCGCGTTCGTGGGCCTCTGATCGTATTCAATGCCCTTGTCCTAATAGCTGGGTTCCTGATGTTCGGTCTTCCCGCATCCAACCTGGTTGTAGTGCGTTACATCGGTACCTTCTTGGCGACTGGCGCTTATATCTCGAACTGGGCTGCCCTCAATGCTTTCCAGGCCAACAATATTGTGGGCCAGTGGAAAAGAGTGGCCACTGCGGCAGCGGTAACTGCATGCAATGGACTTGGGGGTGTGGCAGGCAGCTATATTGTCCGGCAGCAAGAAGCTCCGCACTATCAAACCGCAGTTTGGGTGTCAGTTGGGTAGGTTTTAGAAATGATTCAACATTGGGCTCTAGCTGACAACATTACCAGTTCCCACATTCTTCTCATTGCGATCGTGGGCGCGTTCGCAGTTTACTTTTATATTGTCAATCGGCAGCAAGGGCGGGGGTTAAAGGTCCTTGAGGGTGTGGTGAGTGCTTTTTATCAATGACCGGTCGATTGTCTGATCTTGCTAACGAATGAAATCTAAAAGTCTGGCTTCAGATACACTTATTGACCAAGTGCAAATACGAAAACTCGACATGTCGTGTTCATTAAATACAGATACCGATTTTAAAGTCTTCAAATGTTGTGATATGTGGATATATTTCGTTTATCACAAGCCAATGCATCTTTTCGGGGTTTCTACATTTCCATTTTCTTCCAAAAACTAATTGGCATGATATTCCTTTTTTGGCTCTTCCAATATATATTACTAGATCCATACAAAGGGATTTTATCTATCAATCACCCCAACACTGCCACCGACTTCCCCGTCCACAAGGATCGACCATCTCTGATCCTCCAAATCCGCCCACGAGGAAGACAAGAACGGCGAGCTACTCCAACCTTTCTCTTTGGGCAAACGAACATCTCCAGAACATGGAACACCTTCTTGACTTTCACCTTTTGTGGGTGCTTCTCTCCAATGCCATTATCGGTGTTGAGCTCTGCGAGGCGGGACCGAGAGAACGTTGTTTGAAACCGCCGTGGCACGACTTAGGTGAAAAGGACTCGAATTCTGATAATCCAAGCAGCGATAATACCAGGCCGCCTTCGAGACGCGTTAGTATACTGATTTGGTTTAAAACCCCTGGTTTAGTATACATCAGTTCTTACTCAGTCCAAATTTTGGATTGTTCTTACACGTTGGGTGGTCCCTAGCGAAATCTACTTCGGCGAATGATATCGCCATTTTCAAGATGTTGGCCATGTTTCCTCTAAGATGTCCAGATCTGTGAGTAGCACTGCTAGCTCACATTGCTTCTGAAGTTCGTCTAGTAAACGCTTCTTAGTAGCATAGTCGTAGACTCGAGACTGATGCAACTCTTCACTGAAATCCTCTGTATTCAGCCAGTCACTCCATCCGTGGAAGCCGATTGAGGTCACCTGAGGACGGCGGCATAGGCCAAGACACAGGCTTCGGTCACGAAGAAAGATCGACCACCAAAGTCGTTTCTTGAGCGATATTGGCGCATATTCCACCACCAAGGACGGATGACTATCTATGAGCATGGCATGCTCGATGGCCCTTGTGATCCACAGGCTTCCAGCTTCGGGGTCTTCCGCCGAGGTATAATGCGTAAGAAGAACAGCAGCTTGCGCGGTTGCATAGGGCCGTTCTTCGGTTCTCAGTTGGAATAATAGCTGCATCCAGCGCAATCAGTACCAGGCCATGGCAAATTTGAGACTGAATTTAGGGATGCCTACATTAGCTCTGTTGTACAGCTGCTTCTGTGCATCCTTCATATCCTCAAATCCACATTGACGCAACGTTTTTAAAGACACAAACTATAATAGCTTAGTTCAACGGCGGAGTTACTGGAGGGACAGCATGGCACTGACTGGGCAGCTTGCTAAAAGCAATGATTGGAACACAAAAAGAGATATCTTGGGACCGGTAGATCGGTTGTCTCGGTAAATGCGCCAGAACTTAGCCTCGTCCAAGACAGGTACGGATGGATGAATATGCCTGAAGTATTCTTGGACAAACTCGTCGATTGCATTGAATGTTGGTAAGCTCAAGCAGCCTTTGGATGTGAGAAATGCTACATTTTCAGCAGGGAGTGAGAGCAGTTGTTGCGATTCGACGAAGGCGTATTCCGTATACGGAACATTGGGGGACTGGGGTGGGCTTGTGCCATGGTCATCCAAACTGAGACCATGTGCTCGGAGCCGTGAGGCAAGACTTAAATGATCATAGGATTGGTGCAGCTCGTCGGAATACCGGCTAGTGGTCACATTGTTTGACCCTGAACTTTGGTGCGCGGGAAGCACCGGGTTTGCTGATTTTGGGGGCCTGATAGAGGTTAGTAAATGGGGAGTGGACGCAAATTTTTGGGTTATAGTCACTGCTTAGCGTTCTTAGCACAAAGAACACATTCCCTGCGACCGTCTTGACGGCACCGGGTACACGGAGAGCCGAATCTTGTTGCATCGCAGCGTACTTTGCGATGACGGCACCAGGAGCAAGCTGTTGGCGCTCTTTTTATGCGTTGCAACATTTGGTTTATGACATCCAGTTTTTTAATGTCGGAGTTTAGTGAAGGGGAGATGACTGAATGGTTATAAGTTGAGCAGGGCCCAAGAGAAACTCAGAATGATCAGGGGTCGAAATACAAATGTTGGAAGAAGCCGACTCGGCTGTCTCATCCCGGAGCCATTTATGCAAACTCTACTATCATGTGGATAATGATGTCCCTCGGGCTTTATAACCCTACTGGCTCTTGATGGCCTCCATGGTTCCAAGGGTTTTAGCTGGTAGTTAATTCCTGACATATGTAAGCCTCTACCCACTGCACCTAGGCCGTGGCTTGAGTAGAGAGAATGACCGAGTACACTAATACTGACCTGCTATCACGGTAACCAACAGCCAAGAAACTGACTACAGGCATCTACTGATCTGTGAATCCAGCTCCATTGGCTTTGGAGGCCTGAATATGACATAGTAAGATATTAAGATATCGTGAAGCACTGCTTCAGTTAGACCTATGCCATTCCAATCCAATACCCTTGTTCATCCATGGATAGGGCCTGCAACACGTCCCCTACCCCGCTGAATTAACATATGCTTACCCGCGGAACTCGGCTTCTCCGCACTTCCCCACTTTAAGTTCTTCTTTATGCAAACAGTCACGCTTCAGTTCTCTAAGTGGCGTTAACAAGGTATACCAGTTGTTAGGAAAGAAGCAACAGAGCCTGCTTCAATGTACCAACCGGCAACGTCGAAGGCGTCCTAGCGCTCTAACACGTTAAACAAATTCAAATTGTTCTAAATAGATGACGGCGTGTACATCTTTGACAGAGAGAAAGATGCCAAAGCATGACAGCGCAGTCCCGTTGTGAAATGTAGTCTTTTGTAGCTAAAGTAGAAGGTTTATTCATTCCGCGTGATATATTACACTGCCCCGTGTAAATATTTGGATGGGCGGGCATTTGGTCAAGCGGTTGTCGTTGGCGACAATTGGCGCACTGCTTCTTTGGGACCCCTCATCCTCAGGCCGAGTGCCGTTTGATCTAGAGCTGCCGCCATCGGTCAGAACTCGTTTCGCTGAAAGCTTTATCCAAATCATTGATTTACACAAAACAGAATATTTCAAGAGCCTTGCTAATGAATTATTCTACCTATATATTGAGTGAGCCTAAAGCTTGGCTTTCAGAGGCCCTGCCTCAATTTCTTTCTTAGCATCTTCGCGCAATACCCTCTTCAAGATTTTTCCACTTGGATTCCGTGCAATCGAGCCGACAAATTTCACTCCACCTGTGAGTGCTTTGTATTTTGCAAGACGACTCAAAACATACTTTTGAACCTCAGTTTCCGTTAGCTTGGACCCCAAATCGCCGGGTCGTCGAACCACATAGGCGCGTGGATACTCGATATCAGTACCAGGGAAGGTTATTCCGATGACAGCCGCGTCCACAACCTGAGGATGCGACAATAGTGCTGCCTCGAGCTCCGGCGGGGCCACCTGGAAGCCGCGGACTTTGATCAGTTCCTTCCTGCGATCCACAATGTACCATTTGCGAGTACGCTGGTCACAATAGGCTATATCGCCCGTTTTGAACCAACCCTCAGAATCAAAGGCCTCGGCGTTAGCCTCGGGGTTGTTAAAGTACCCAGGTGTCACTGTCGGGCCTCGGACACACAATTCGCCACGGATATCAAAGGCCGAGATATTCTTGCCGTCTTCGTCGATGAGTCTGAGAAAAATAAATTAGCGGCAGACTTCACGTGATGCCACAGATCTGGCAGTAGATCTCGGTGATACGCACTTAGCTTCAAGGTTTGGGATAAGCCTGCCAACCGATCCCGTATCATCGTGCTCGGGATGAGGAAACATGGTGGCCACACACGATGTTTCAGTCATGCCCCATACCTGAGTGAATGGGGCATTGTCACCCATTAGTGCGCGGAACCTGGCTTGAACGTTCTTATCCAAAGGAGCTGCTCCACAACCTGCCATTCGGGCCTTTCGCAGATAAGGCCTCTTTTGAGAAAGAGGAGACATGAGGATTGCTATCACAATTGGTGGAACCATAGCGAGATCGGTGACGTTGTAATTTTCGATTGTAGTGAGATATGTCTCGAGGTCGAACCGACGCATCATATATGCGACTGAGCCAGCTTTCAAGGTTGAAATATGCGATACTGGAGCTGCAGATGCATGGAATATGGGCACCGCAATGACCCGCGAGATCTATTCGAGTATGTCAGGTGTCAGTGAGACTCCTTTGCTCAAGCTCCCTCCAAGCCGACACCGGGAATGGACTGACAGGGTAAGAACGCGGATTTACACCGTGAACAAGCTCATTCTGTCCAATGAGATTGTGATGTGTGATTGTCACGGCTTTGGGCAGACCAGTGGTGCCACTGCTAAACAGTCTCGCCGCTGTAGTCTGTTGGCAGGTTTCTAAATCGTTGAATCGCACCCAGTCCTCCTCGCCAACTTCTAATAACTGTTTCCATGATCGCATTCCATCTGAAATAGATTGTCCTAGATTGTCAAAAACCCAAATATTTTGTTTGGGTAGGTTTGCCTCTCCAACAGCACGCATGAGAGAGTCCAAGATCTCGGGCTCGGAGAAAAGGAACTTGCTTTCGGAGGCCTTAATATGGTGAGCGAGCTCATGTGGAGTATAGGATGGGTTCGAGCCCGTGAAACACCCTCCAGCTCCGATAATGGCCAACACAAGGATGCTATAATTTATCTAAAGTACGTTAGCATCTCGCAGCCTCATCTAACTGCATGGGGAAAACCCCGTACATCATTGAAGGAATGAATCAGAACACAATCGCCTTTTCGGAGACCAGATGCTCGCAGGCCGGCGATGAGCTGGCGAATGAGCTTTCGCGCCTGGTTACATGAGATCGACCGGGTGGGATTGTTGACGTCGACATAGATCTACCAAGGTCAATTCGGTGACCGAATGATGGTAAAGTTAAGATATTAATTGTCACTCACTGGCTGGTCTTGGTCATATGGTGGCTCGTCAAAAATATAGGACAATAGGTCCTTTGTTGGAAGCAGAACCCTTTCTGCTGGTTCAAAGATCATAGTGTGCTAAGCTGTAGATGCTGACAAAACGAACGGATATAAGATTATCGGGTTTTATTGCGTTATTAAGAACCGGCTCGAGGAAACGGACAGTTTTAAGGCATTGGACGATGTATTTCAGTCTCCGCTGCTTCGACTGAACCCCCTCATATGTTTAGCTCGGAACTCGGGTTCGCTTAAGTGGAAGAGCATGACCAGCCATTTTTATCATGAATCAAGGGTGTCAAAGACCTAATTGGGGGATCAAATAGAGTTGCCAACGGATTAAAACACGATTTATGCAATGCAATGTTGATCTTACTACAGTGAATATCGTCGAATCAATAATCAAGTCCAAAATGCATATTTTATGCATTTTCTCTTACCCCGCTCACCCGGTCTACCGTGCGGAGAATCTTTTGTGGACTTTATATCACCAAACTTCTCTGGGGGGCTGAATTAGAGCTACAACGAAAGCAATGTCCCACTCGTGAGACCCTTTCCTCTCAGAAGGGGAAAGAAAAAAAATCCCAAACCACAATCTCCCGTCTATGCCGAGCCCTTTACATCCATATTTACACACAGGCAACTTTGCCCCTGTGTACCAGTGGGTCTTATGTCTCTCACTTAATCCTTAAAAGGATAGTCAGACGATTATGCAGCCTTGTGTCGTCTTGTTGGGGGTCTTTTTTAGAAGTCTTTCTTGCAGATTGTTTGCCCCCGCTTTCTACAGTTTTATATATAGACGGCAGAAGAAGGCAGAGAAAGGCTTAATTTGTGAAATGGACTTTTCTGCGTATAACCAGGGACCGGGGTTCCCAATTTGACACACTTGGAGGGAAAAAAAGCTAGAATACAGGGGAAAAAAGAAATGAGTTTGAATAAATTATGAATTATGAATATTGTATAACAGGAGTTCATGATGTTCGTCTTCCCACAAATGTTGGATCAAAATGCTTTTAGTGCCCTCTTATGTGGGTGTATGGGTGTCTCTCAGATGATTGGATATCAGTTTCTGCAGCAAGAGCCGAAGCACATGTCGGCAGCTGGATAACGTTTCCCCATTAGCTGATGTTGCATATCATTGCATTAGGGTTGGGTGCTCACCATTATAATTCTGGCGGATATCACGCTTCTTATATCTAGTTTCTTGTGTCTGTCTAGGTTGAGTTAGCACTGTGATGTCCAATTATTTTTTGGCATAGTTGGGGTCGGCATACCGTGGAACTAGTGTAATTTCAGACGTTGTGTCATCCTTGATCTCGGGCTCTTGGCTAGAATTTCTGGAAAACAGAGCCTTAAGGTGATCGTATCGGCTCAATCTGTTGTTTTGGGGCATTTTGAGGAGTATGATAGTTGATATTCCGAAAGCGGAGGTATGGGATTTGATTTTAAGATAGTTAAGCAATGCCTTTATGGCTGGATATGTTTGTTTTAGTTTACACAGATACCTACAGCCAGGATATCCAGGGCCTTTATATCTATGAGAAGTGAAAATTTGCATCGACCGGATAGTTAGATGTTGGCCGTCGAACGTATGCCGAAGTGGCCAAAATGTCTGTGTTCGGCCAATTCGCGGCGACCGGCGGATGACGTCATTTAATATGACCCCCAATGGTGGGCAATGGGTTCGCCTATTGGTATCTTTCACGCATCTTTCGCATCTCTCGGGCAACTCGCTCTACCTAGTGCGGAATATTCTTACATCTCTGACTTCAGCCACTAGATAATCTCGGCCACTCATCTCGGCCGCCCAGTGTTCTTCGTTCGCCGAAATTTCTTCAGCATGACTTGATAAATGCGCGTTAGCCTACATTCCTTGCGTTCGCCGATCATCTGAAACAAGTCATGTCTTCTCCCCTGTCTGCTCGGCCATATCGGTCAAAACGTCAGCGTCCGTGTGATCAATGCCGTGCCCGCAAGCTGGGCTGTCAAACTGACGGCGGAGGCCCTTGTCAACGATGCCGGTTGGCTAAATTGGAGTGTACGTTTGATAATCCTCCACCAAAACGAGCCCGAGGTGCAGAGAATTTTTCGTCTTTTGCCGCCCAAAGTATTGATGGGAACACACTTGTGTCGCAGACATGCGACAATAATTTCACCCGCGAGTCTAGTTGGGCAGAGAGTGGAACACAAAGTGTCGAACCACGATTTCCACCCATCGGCCTCAACCCAAGTAATACTGGAGTTTCCCCAGGCTCCGGTGTTCTAGGCCCCGGAAGACCCCCGACCCAGTTCGTGCAGAGCATTGATCAATTGGAACACGGTCACGCCCAGCTTTTCGGCGCATCGGCTGAATCAGATCCCTGGCTGTTAAGACATTGTTGCTTTGACGATTCTGGCATGAAATATTTCTACAAAGTGCACTTTCGCAATGCCGGGGGTGTCCCTACGGCACAACGAATTCCAATACATTTCATGATTTCGTCCGAAGACCTCACCACCTCCATTAAGCATGAAACTAGGGCTGGAGTCGGCGAAGCGACACGAGAACGCCTGGACTATCTCGTACCCCCAGAGTATGGAAGGAGGCTAGTAGCTTTGTGAGTACTACCCCTGAACATAAGACTGAAGCATCACTGAACTAACAGAAGGTCAGATTTGTCAAGTATGTCTTCCCTGCCCTGCCAATCATTTCCCGTTCTCAACTAGGGTTGACTACGGCAACACATCAGCTACCGGAGCTCTCGGCATTAGAAAAGGTGCCTGTGCACCTTCTCGCCGCCATTTACGCATCCGCATTCCCATTTGTCGCCCACGATGACTATCTGTGTGTACTGAGCACGTATAATGCGTCACCAGTTGGGACCTTGTGGCGGATGGTCTATGAGCTCGTGACTGAAGAGATCCATAGTCCCCGTTTGGCCGTGCTGCAAGCAGCGTTGTTATATATACACCAACAGCCAAAAGATGAGACCCGCCTCACGACCGCCGATACCCCCTTTCTGTGGTCTTTCGTCGGCCAAATAGTTGGGTTGGCCTGTTCTCTCGGCCTTCACATCGAATGCCGCATGTGGGGCATTCCGGCATGGGAGAAGCGCCTCCGCCGGCGGTTGTGGTGGGCGGTGTATGCCGAAGACAAATGGCGCAGTTTGCTGATGGGCCGTCCACCATATATCCATCCTGCCGAGTGGGACGTCAGTGAATTGGATGAAGGGGACTTTTTAGTGGGCCCACGACAAGGATTCTCAACTAGTTCTTGTGATACCGAGATTCCGTTCCGATACCTTGTCAATCTCACACGAATCGGCGAAGAGATCCATGACACATTTTAGTAAGTTCTGACACTCGGCCCCTTGTTTGCTCGCTGGCCGAAGAGCAATCTTGTTGACCTTGGTTTTTAGTACGCTCCGGGCCTCCCAATTCTTGAATGCAAACTTCATCGCCTCTGCCGAGCTCGGCCGCGGGCTGCTTGAAAAGTTGAATGGCTGGTATTCTTCTCTCCCTGAGACTTTTCGACTTCCCAATTGGAGCAAATCCGTCAATGGCCTTGCCCCGTACCCCACCTCTATTCATTTTGCTTACCTGCTGCTCGTGGTATATGTTTACCGTGCGATGCTCAGACCGATGGCACGATCATCTGACCCACCGCTCATTTTTGACTTGGAAGATCTGTCTGCCACATCACCACTGCCCGTAGATGAGTCGATGCTAGACTTCATGGATCTCCCTGAAATCGAATCCTTACCGGAAATATCTATCTCAGATGAGTTTGGTACTGGTGATGCCACTCTGCAAGCGGCAGAGAAGTGCGCCTCCATATTGGTGAACTTTGCGAGACGACTGACGTCTAGTGATTTCACGGCATTCTGGTATTCTTGTAAGCTTATCACCTTGACTTCCACTATATTATACGACTGGATGCTAACATTATAGGGTCGCGAATTGGCTTCGCGACAATTTCAAATTACCTCATGTTGCTACTAGTACAGGCTCCAAACGTCGCACATGCAATACGGGGAAAGCATTTAGTAGACTCGTGGCTACAGGTTCTGCGATGTCAAAGCCAAAGCTTTCCACTTGTGAAACTCGGACTTGCAAGACTTGATGCGCTTCACTGGGCGGGACTGGGAAACACCTTTGTCCTCCCTGTGCATGTTCAAGCGGCTATAGTAAACCCGGATATACCAGAGTCCTGAATAGATGATCGAGCACCACTTTTTCTTGGGTGCATATTCTCTTTTACTTACATCTATAGTGTCCCTCATCAACTCCATCGTGAGCGGTTTTCCCCAACAAATTACCCGGAGAAAAGCACAACGGCGGAAATATAGAAGGGCCGGAATGAGATATTGACCACATATAGTCGTATGTATATTTGAATAAAAGTTAATGGTATGGTTTCTCCTACTTCTTGCTAACGGGTACTACCCTGCCAATATCAAACCCCCACAGGCGTATCAACTCCGCACTTCCCCGCAACATTTACCCCCCACGCCCCTGTACAATCAGGAATGTAACGCTGCCAGATACAACCCCTTGCTTTGCATAAAAAGGCCAGCTCACATCGCAGCCAACATCACAATGTCCAGATATGAAGTGGATTGTCCTCTCCCTTGCCGCAGTCGCGTCTGCGCTGCAGATTCTACCCCCGGTGCACTTTGACGACACTGGCTCAGCTCATAACAAAGGCTTTTCGTTAACAACCACCGACCGGACAATCTACTTGAATGCCGATTTCGCCAGATGGAAGGATCAGAATGGGTTGACGCTGCTTCCACCGTCGGCATCCGACTTTGCCAACACATTTCGCGACGACTTACAGGAGTTGACGAATAGTTCATGGGAGCTTCGCACGGTCAAGCAATTTCCCAAAGACGCGTCGGGAATATTCCTCGATCGCGCAGACCACCCGGACCGGTTTACCTATGAAAATGGACGCGAAACCGAGGAGGGATATGAGTTGGAGATCAAAGATGGCAGTGTGTTCATTCGAGGCTCCGGGGCGCGAGGTATGTGGTGGGGGACGCGAACACTCCTCCAGCAGCTCGTTTTGACACGCTCACCCTTACCTACCGGTCGCGTGGAAGATGCGCCCGCCTATGCGACTCGTGGATTCCTGCTAGACGCTGGTCGCAAATGGTATTCGCTGGACTTTTTGAAAGATTTGTGCACCTATGCCTCGTTTTTCAAAATGTCTGAGTTTCAGTACCATGCGACTGACAACTACCCACTGAGTCGCGGTCAAAATGATACCTGGAATGAGGTCTACTCGCAGTTCTCCTTGCACCCTGAAAGCGAGGCTCTTCACCCTCTTGTCCAGCGTGCCAACGAAACGCTGTCCCGGGCTGAGTTTGATGACTTCCAGCACCACTGTGCTCAGCGAGGTGTTACAGTGATTCCCGAGATCGAGAGCCCCGGGCATTGTCTTACGGTTACGAAATGGAGACCTGAGCTCGCATTGGAATCGAGAGACCTGCTCAATCTCTCCCATCCGGACACTGTTCCTTTGATGAAATCCATTTGGACCGAGTTCCTTCCTTGGTTCCATACAAAGGAGGTGCACATCGGCGCCGATGAGTACGATCCTAACTTTGCGGATGACTATGTTGAATTCGTGAACGAGATGTCTCGCTTTATACAAGAAACATCAAGCAAAAGTGTCCGTATTTGGGGCACATACGAGCCATCAAACATTACCATCGATAAGAATGTGACGATTCAACACTGGCAGTATGGACAATCAGACCCAGTTGATCTAGCCCGCAACGGCTACCAGGTCATCAACTCAGAGGATTGGTGGGCCTACATGTCACTGAAAAGCAACCATGTACCTATCTCCCCAGCCCCCTATCCGCAGTTCTTTAACAATGCCCGTGTTGTGAACTTCGCCGATCAGGATGGGTGGCAGTGGACTCCGGAGCTCTTCAATCCGGTTAACACCACTGAACAACCGGATGCCAACGCTGTGCCAGGTGCTCTCTTGGCTGCATGGAATGACAGCGGCCCGGACGCCACTACTCAACTTGAAGCCTACTATGCAATCCGTGATAGTATTCCAGTCGTGGCTTCACGGGCGTGGTGCGGTGCGCGTGGACCTCGCCTGCATGAACAAACCCTAGCCGAATCTATTGTAGAACTATCCTCTCAGGCTGTGGGGCAAAATCTTGACCGACGACTTCCAGGAGAAGAGAGTCATGGATTAGGACCTTGGCTTTCATGGACAAGGCCAACTACAAATTCCAACCAGGATGAATATAACCTTGGCTATGGTAGTAAGGGTATGGATTATACCCTCCGACTAGACGTTACTGGTCCCTTTTCTCTGCAGTCTTCGGATGCGACACTTACCTTGTCATCGGACGGTGAATTGACTTTTTTTTCTGATGGATGGCCCTATCCTCTTCGCTCTGTTGCTGAAGCTGATGGCTTCGACCAAGACCAGCCTGGACGAATTTGGGCTAACAAGACCTCCTCAAGCCACGAGGTTGTGACAATCCCCCACAAATCACAGATCACTATCTCCACAAACGAGATATATGGAAGTCGTGTGTGGGTGGATGAAGCCTTTGTCGGCCGCTTTGAAGTCTTTATCTATGGCGGAAAGAATAAAGTTTTCTCGTGGGCTCAGATGGCTTTTATTGCACCGTTGGATGTTTTGGAAGGCTCGGGGTTGCAAAGTTTGGCTGTTTTTCAGGGTAGCAGGGATGATTTATATTGAATCTGGGTGCTAGGATTTCTCTAATCCCGTTCAATAAGCCAAGCTAGATTGTGTGAAACTCACCAAAAGGAAAGCAAATATCTGGTTCGTATTACTAGCTATTTCTCTTTTCTCAACTATATCCTAAAGCCAATTTCAAGCGATCAAGTGATTGGGCTTACAAGCACAGCCACGCCTATTATAGGCAAAAGGTCCCTTGCAAATCAGCCATCTTAAAACACATCTTTTCTAACTTTCCATAGTAGAATTTAATAGCGAGATCTCACGCTTCCGTAAGATACACCATTGAATTGTAGGTCAAATAACAAGGATGCAGAAGTCGGAGTGAGAACCAAATCATATTCGATGTGGTAGAATTGTTTCCCTTTGGAGTTCTTTTTCTTCGTAAAAAGCTCTTTCGGGATTCTGCTGAGATCTGCCTCCAGGTTACACAGCATCGGGACGCCATTTCATGTCAGTAAAGGTTGGTCGTTTTAGATACGTTTGACGATATGGGGACATACTGGGATCCATGACTTCGGGAGCTGTGTTCTCCTGGCAAAACCGCAATGGGTTGTTGAATACCAAGGAGTCTCCAACGCCGACCGTACGGTAGAAGGTCATCATGATCGGCTCATTCTCCGCTACTGAGTTTCCCTTGAAGTACCTCAGGTAAGCACCAAAACCCTCCAAGTAATGGTCAGTGGAAACTGCGGGTTACTCACTTTGAGGATATACCATTGCATACGGTTATGCACATACCATTGCTCTTCGTAAGGACACCATTGGAGATTTTCATCTGCGCGGTGCTTGCTGGAATCAAATTTGACTCTTATCTTAATGCCATAGCTGCATCGAGAAACGCGACTCTCTACTTGGTTGCCTTCTTGTCCACGAATAACAGCACCGCTGGGCCTGTTAGATACAAAACAGGTGTTAAACATGCTTCGAATACATACCGAGCAACAGCAGACCACCTGTTTTTATATTAGTCTCGGGTTGAGTTGGCAAGAGATTGAGGACTTACGCATTCGGGGGCTGCATGATTTGGATGCCGTCAGAAGCAGCCTGTATGCGCTTGAAGAGATACTCCGATGCACCAAGGCCTCCGACTAGAATAATAGCCTAATTAAAATTAATAGAGCTTTCTTTCAAAGTGCTTTAGGGGTTCACCTTGGTTGGAAAGCCTGCTGCTTTGACGCTCGTTCTCTGCTCGGCAACGAGATTCTCAATCTCCCGAACGATAGGATCGAAGATTTCCTTCACTTGGCCTCTGTACCTGAATTAGAGTGGCCCACGGCTGAGGATGAAGTGAAAGTATTTTATATGTACCTGTCTAGATATAAGTGTCCCTCACTAAGGTCGACGTTTGAGATCCCCGAAACTCCAGGAACTGGAATCCAATATCCTGGCTCACAAATATCATCCTCGTCAAGGGGACCTGTGTAACCAGGTTTAATGTAGTCTTGCCAGTACTTTCTTGCAGCCCTTACGGTGGGCTGGGGAATCGGTTGATGTGACTGTTTCTCAATGATGCCTTTGATAAGTGCGTCGAATCTCTCATCCAACATCACTGAGCCACAAACAGCACCTAGAAATTGTTAGAGAGAAACAAGGGTATAAGTGTATGAGCCTTGATAAATACCAGTTCCCTTTATGGCTTCCTCAAATCTCAATGGGTCGGTTTGTTTGACGCGGTAGGTAATGATGTCCTATTATGATTGTCACTCAAATTTGTCCAATCAGCTCTATACATGAAGACTCACGACCGTTCCACCACCAGCATCACAAACGACCAAACAGTCCCCTTCCTACAATTTGTCAGATAATTCAAGTCCAATTCATGGTGGGATGAGATCTATACCGAGATTGTATTCGGTTGGATTGTCCGAATTGCATACACCGCAGCCGCCTCCGGTTCAGACAAAAGTCTCAAACTTGCAGGAGATATACCAGCTTGGTGTGCCGCCTGCATAGTAAGATCCTTGCCTTTATCAGACCACACAGCGGGGACAGTGAGGATATATTCCATGTCCATGGTCTGCAACGCAGTACCAAAGCGACGTGTCAAGACATCCTGAGCATGGGCAATTAGTTTTCTTAGGTAGTCACTAGCAACCTTCACCGGTGTTTGGTTCAAGCTTTTGATAATCTCTTGGGAGTCAATAGCGGGTGCATAGCGGAATTTCTGACTCTCATCTAGCAAAAGCTTGACTCCTTGGATGAGCTTCTCCTGCTTGCTCGGATGGAGCGACTGGTCAGTCTGATACCCCCATTGCATGCGATCACCGTCATAGAAACATAGAGTTGGGACTTTCTGGCTTGTGACTGTTGAACAGTTAGTTTGATGAACTTGTCTGTTGTCTCCTAGACTCACTGTTGCCACCACCTGGCCATGTCTGAATGAGCTCGATATCATCAGGACAGTCTTCCAATCCCCAAGCAATACTGTAAAGGTCAGCTAACTACTCAATCACTACTACCAACACTATATATACTTACCCGCTGAAGGTTGTTCCAAAGTCAACACCCACTATGAGTTTTGGTCGCTCCTCTGTGGTCGCCATATTCAATTTGTACTCCTTATGTATTTCTTAGCGAGTCTTGGAAAGTAGAGTAAGTGTGAAAAGAAACTGAGGGGCAAAGCTGTTGATAAAATATAATCAAATGTTTGCTCATTTCGCAAGTTTGATATCATTGACTCTGCGCTTAGCCGCAACAAGCGTCGGCGTGAGGCATATTCCTACAACATCAGCTCATGATGGTGTCATCAATTTAGACAATTTGTGAGTCAAAAATGAAATTGTTCCACTTGTTGTTTTTCAGACTTCCCATCACTCGACTATCGGTACGCAATGTGGCCTTGCGACAACCCTGAGCCTGAGCAGGCGAACAAGAGTACTCAAACATCCCCAGATGTATCTTCAAAATGGGGGCAAGTTACTGTTGGTTCGTTATTTCCTCCATGGCATACATGGAATCCACTAAATTCAGTAGCTTGTATGGATCATAAGGCTATATGTGATGAGGTTGAATGGCTTCGTCAGGTCTGTGGTGAACCTCCACCTTTACTTGTTTCTATCTAACAAACAAAATAGCGACTCAAAACTGCAGAAGCAGAACTAGGGTTCTTTCAAAAGGGTCGGCTTCTTGCAGAGGAGCAGTCTCGTCAACGAGGCGAGCTGCTCGAAAATGCTGTTCGAGAAACGAAAGTAGCCAGAAAAGAGAACCGAATCCTCATGACTAAAATAGCAAGCCTACAAGCTGGGATTGATAACTTCTCTGACGAAGAAGCTAAAAAGGAGATGTTTTTACTCTATCAAGACCTTACGCACTGGAGGTTTACTCATTTTGCAGCAAAGCCAACACAACAAAGCAACAACGCCACGCCAAGATCAGATATCCTCGATATCTCGACATTGGATATCATCCAATCCGACATTGCCGCGCTAATTTATCAGTCGTTTTGGAACCGATTTATGGTTGGATCTGAGCCACTTTGGAGTAATTATCTCTTCAAGGTCGACTCCGAAATTGATAAACAATGTAAGCCCCCAGAAAACGATCACTATTGTTACTGTTTTCTAACAACAGAAGTTTCTAACCACATTTCCCGGCATTGGAGATGTGCGATGAGCACTGCCGTCTTATCATTGGGGGCCCCAACTTTACAAGAACAGTGCAACTGGATCATCGAGAAGGTAGAAGCCTGCTTTGGTCGCTATGCTGTCACCGACCGACCAAAACGAATGAAACAGCTACACGACATTATTGCACGCTGTATCAAGTTCAAACATAAATTGGATTTTCAGGAAGACAGATACATATTCTGGGGTAGTTACCAATATGGGTTGCCGTTCCGGGATGAGAAAATGCGCACCCTCACAGAGGAGGAGAGCTCGGATGGATTCGTTCAGGCTAGCCTGTGGCCTGGTTTATTTAAGATCGTTGAAAAGGGCGAATGGTCTGTTGTTGAAAAGGAGATTGTGAAAAAGATTCCCCCAGTGACCCCTTCGGTTGATATGAGCGATGAAATGGAATCCCACGAAGGTGATCCAGACTTGGATGAGATTTAAAACGATGGCTTATCGGGGGAAATTGTATATTGCGAGTGTTGCTTCCAATTCAAATATCTAGCTATAGAAACTCCGTTGCTTCTCAAATGCAAAATATGCAAAATATGCACATATCCATACTAGTCACCACAGTTTTACTAGACTCCCTCGGCAAACCCGTCATTTCCAGATTCTGTGTCAACCTTCATGGAGTCCATCAACCCACAGACCTCGAAGATCGTTCGTGGTCCTAGTCCGTCAGGTACACCGACGACTCCATCTGCCTTGAGGCGCTCGAGAGTGGCCTTGATACCCATGTAAGCAGGGGTGATCGTGGCAAATGAAAAGATCATAATTCTGAAGCCCATTTCCTCGGCCTCCTTTGTGGTAATGAGGGGACTAGCTCCATTTTCGACCATGTTGAGGAGAAGAGGCCAAGGTGCCAGATCCTGAACTGCTTGTCGGGCTTGCTCTTTTGAAGTAAAGCCCTCAAGTAGTCCGACATCCGCTCCAATATCTCTGGCAGCCTTCAGTCGACGGATGCACTCTTCGTAGCCGTGTTGTTGAAGTGCGTCGGTTCGTGCAATCAGAACAATATCTGAGTGCAAGCGATCCTTAGTCAACTTGGCGGCACGAATGCGCATCAGGTATTCCTCCAAGCCGACGACTTTCTTGCCATTGAGATGGCCGCAACGCTTGTTTTGGATCTGATCTTCAATATGGAAGCCGGCCACGCCCGCTTGGATGTATTGCTGTACAGACTTTGACACCATTAAAGGGCCTTGAAGAAAGTTAGACTCATTTTCAGACAAGCGATAAGGAACTATTGTTTCAGAGTGCGGAGTACTAACCTCCGTAGCCAGTATCCATGTCTGCAATCAATGGAGGACCAAATGGATCCAAGTTTGCAATCATCTCAGCGTTGGTCTTCATGTCATGAAGCTGAGCCAGGCCGAGATCAGCCATTCCCAGGCGTGAGGCGGTAGTTCCAGCACCAGTCTGCAAGTTTGGTCAGCAGACTGTGATGTAGAGTGATATATCAGATTTCTTACCATGTACAGTCCCTTGAACCCGACCTGCATAGCAATGCGAGCAGAAAGGCCATCATACACACCAGGACACACGATGAGGTCTTTGGTGTCTTTCAGCATGCGGCGCAACTTGGAAGCTGCGGGAATCACATAGAGAGAGACAGTAGGCTCCTGCCGGGTCCCGTTGACCTCGTAGTATCCATCCTTCTCGACGGTGATTGTGATAGTCATGTTTGAACTTTGGTAAAGGAAATGTCTTTTTGTTTGGACAGTTGGATTCTTGTGCTACAATCGAAGGACAACGCTGCTCTTTATATCCTTCAGCCCTATACCCCGCAAGCAATCTTGCCAAATGCAGATGCCAGTCCGAGAGGAGAAACACCGGCCTGCTCGTAGAGGACAAAGAAATCTCACCAAAGGCAGAAGCCTTGGTTTCTTGGGGATGTAACATTCCATCATCTGCCAAGCCATCTGGATGGCTTATCTCCCTTCGCGTCGTACTGACCCTAAATGACCTCAGCTGAGTGAATTCATGAAGAAGACTAATTGCGCAAGATTAACAGCGCTAGGTGCGGAGCCCGCGTTCTGATTATTCCCATCAATCAAAAGCCACAATGGTCTCGCATATATTCATCTCCGAACGAAGAGCTAGGAGCTAGATAATGCATGTTTACATTGGGCTTTCCAGGTTGATTGGGATAGGCTCAAGATTGGTAAACTCGACCCACAAAGTTGATCCTGATGTCTTGCTTTCCAAAGAAATTTAATCAATGTGAGTACCTTGGCAAGATGACTGCATATTGTAAAGTGTTGCAATGAATTTAGCGCCCTTTTCACCGGAGAGATCTTCGCCGCGACGGCTTCAGAGGGGTTCCGTCTCTTGGCCAAATGCACCGTTCCACAAAGACCCTCGTTCGCCAAGCTCTTCACACCGGGAGATCATCACCCAAAGAACGGAGAGGGCGGTATTGTGGTGCTGTGTAGCGAATCAACGCGTATTGTCGTGCAATGTGTGCCTTGTGTACACGAAGTGCCAAGGTAGGAAAGTGAACATTCGAAGTTAAGTGAGGATTCCTCTAGCCTTCTTAGGTTGTCGTGGTGGAGATGAGTCAGCTGGGTGGTTCCCACCCGGGCCGGAATTCCTCCTCTGGGACTCCGGAGTGCGTCGCCAATTTCCACCTAGTAATCGTCACGACCCCCAATACCTCATCTACCCCTGTTGCTTGGAAAAACGCCCTTTTGAATTCAAGAGGACTATACTCGTTCTACTCATACGAATTCAATTACGCTTATCATGGCTCTCACACAACCAACCAATCCCGAGTTCCCTTACTCGCTGTAAGCCCTTACCCCCACCCCGAACTAGCTCCCAAAAACAACACCCGAAGAGACCAAGCAATACTTACCTCTTGACTCAGCACAATCTCTCTCCCTCTCCCAACCAGTCGTCTTGCATCATGCGCTCTACGCGCTTTGGAGGTTGACGCCGAACTATCCCCTTTCGTGCGACGAACTCTCACCATCGGGGCTCCGGCGGTCGAAGCACCATCCCATCCGCAAGAAAAAAAGCAAAAGCAAGACCCCGATGAGTCTAAGACCGTGTTAGAAATAACATACGTCGCGACGACCAACCGGATGCTCCGCGTTTCTGTCAATGGATTTATGGAGAGTCTCGGCGTTGTCCTTGGGGTTATGGCAGAATTGGATGTCGACGTGCTCAAGGCTGAGATGGAGGGTTGAATGCTGTATTTGCCCTGCAGCAACATGCACCATTGTCCTGTCCGTCTTGGCCTCATCGTTTCTGGTGTCATCCTATCGGGAGACTGTGTCTGTAAACTTGAGACGCTTGGCTGCCACAAGGATTGGCGATTATGCACAGCGGGTCGTACATCAACCCCTCTTCAAGAACCCATAGTTACACAAGTTCTGCCTGGGGATGGGGTTTAGGAGACTAAACTTGCCGCCAAGCAACTGGCCAACACGCATCCCACCGGGTCATCCTTGGCACTCTAGGCGTGCGTCGGCGACTAAGTTAATATGAGGTCGGCTTGGTCTGCGGCCCGTCCAACGGAAATACCAAGGGCACTATAAACGGCATGTGATTGTGGCTATCCTTATCTTGCTTTGAGTCTTGCAGATTCCTTAGACTTCCACGGAGCTTCGGAGTTTTTCACTACCTTGGCCCCGTCTTAGGGTGCATCAATTAGGTGAGATGATGCGATTGACCGGGGGGAAGGGAGGGGAAGGAAGTATTGGCAGATTTCATAGTTTATTCTCCCGTCCTTCAATCGCCGCGGAAAAGCAAAATGCCTCTATCAGTTGTGTTTAATTTCGATAGTTCCCTGTGTCTCGTTAGTTTCCCATCCTCATTTATCTCCCATTGTAGTCAATAAAATCCAATATGGAGCATGAAAAAGGCGCATTCGGTGGACTTTCAACCTCTCTGAAGGCTGAACTCGAGCCACAGCATGCTGACCTCCTACTTTTCGCTTGTTGTTTGACATCAGGACTTGTGGATAGCACGATATACAGAGGTAGGAACAGGCCCAAGTCCCGTCTACGCAACCGCGACACATCGAACACTAACATCTATAGCCTACAACACATTTGTCTCTATGCAAACAGGTAAAATCACAATCTCACCCATCCACAATCCCACCTGAGGGTGGACTAACCACAGGGGTTTGTAGGAAATACCATCTTCGTCGGACTGGGTGCCTCACACCAAAACCTCCGTCCATATGGCTGGGCACGCTCTCTCACCTCTATCGGATGTTTTATCCTAGGATCCTTCATTTTCGCACGATTACACCGCGTCCTAGGTCCTCGGCGACGAGTGTCGTTGATATTGTCTTTCCTGTTACAGGCCAGTATAATCCTGCTTACGGCTGGACTAGTTCAAGGAGGTGCCGTTTCTAGTACACTAGCCGGCAAAGGATCACAGACAGCACCCCCATGGGACCAGGAAGTCCCGATCGTTCTTCTTAGTATCCAGGCTGCCGGTCAGATCGTAGCGAGTCGTGCCTTGGGATACAATGAGATCCCGACCGTGGTGATTACCAGTCTTCTCTGCGATCTTATGTCGGACCCCCAACTGTTTCTTATCAGGAATGTGAAACGCGACCGACGAATTATTGCGTTTGTACTAACCCTTGTGGGCGCCATCGTTGGCGGATGGGTCACCAAAGTCACCGGGGGTGTTGCTCCCATTCTCTGGCTATCGGCCGGTATCAAGGGCTTGCTGGTCTTAGCCTGGGCCTTTTGGAAAGCTAAGTAGAGGACATCATCGTGAGTTCCTCCGTTCAGTCTTAGGGCTATCAGAGACAGACTTGACACAACCGTCAGGAACGTTAGTGTTATACTATTCAACAGAGTAACCCAAGATAGGCCACAACTAGAGTCTCACGCCGTTTGCCCCCGTCCACCGCGATCGCTACCCCGTTGCCACCTCCGAAAAGAGGCAGATACACAGGATGGGCCCGGTTGGATTGGGGAATGATGCGATGCTTTGATGAACACTTCGTTCCAAGGATTATCTATTAGAGTTTCCTGCGGTTCAAACGTCTCGAGGCTTATGCCCTCCCTTGTTTACACTCCAAAACTAGAAAATAAAGCACGAAGATTGCACACAAAAGGAGCGCCGTATTCGCCGTCTATTCTTGTTCATATGTAATTTCTATCATCGATCTCAAGGATAATCAGATCCTCACTCGGAACAACCAATTATCCCCTCTTTTGATGCCCGATCAATTGTGGGCCAGGGACAGTTCCGCCTGACGGAACATTCCGAGGACAGATAATCAGATACACAACATTTAAAGTTATTTAAAACGTCTGCAGTATGGAAAATTGCGAATCTGACCTCTCATTTCTTCCTTAACACTAACAATGGCTTCCAAATTGACTGTCACGGGCATCCAAGGCCGCCAAATTACAAGTAAGTCCATCTTAGCCCTAGATGTGACCATTGCTAACCCCCGCAGTTCCAACGGGACTCTTCATTCACAATGAATTTGTTCCGTCCTGTACCGGTCAGACGCTAGTTGTAGAAAATCCCTCCACTGGAAACCAACTCGGGACAATCTCCGCCGCAGGCCCGGAGGATATCAACAAAGCTGTTGAATCTGCCAAGTCAGCCTTTAAAACATGGAGAACAGTTCCTGGACCCGTTAAATACCAGCTATTGCTCAAACTTGCAGATCTGCTCGAGCGCGATGCGGAAGATTTGGCATCTTTGGAGGCTGTCGATGCAGGAGTTCTGTATACCGATTCAATCGGAATGAACATCCCTCAGGCCGTCGGCTGTCTGCGATACTATGCGGGCTGGGCTGGGAAGATTGATGGCAAGACACTTGACATGGATGGTGGAATTGCCTACACTCATCGCGAGCCTTTGGGTGTCTGTGGCGCGATTGTGCCTTGGAATGCTCCACTGTAAGTCTTCCACTCCCAGCGGCCTATTCGCTCTGAAACGCCAAAGACGTCTAACTGGTTTTCAGGATGATCACTATTTGGAAGCTGGCTCCTGCTCTGGTCACTGGTAACGTTTTGATCATCAAATCCTCCGAGAACTCGCCACTGTACGCCCAGAAGCTTGCCGAGCTGGTGAAGGAGGCCGGTATTCCTCCTGGAGTTGTGAACATCGTTACCGGTGAGGGCGCCAGCGCAGGCCAAGCTCTGTCGGAACATATGGATGTACGCAAGATCGCCTTCACTGGCAGTGACCTTTCAGGCCGCAAGATCTTACAAGCAGCATCCCGAACAAACCTAAAGAAGGTCAGTCTTGAACTGGGCGGCAAAGGGCCGTCTATTGTCTTTGACGACTGCGATATTGAAAATGCACTTCTCTGGACTCGCATTGGAATCACAGCCAACAATGGACAAATCTGTGCGGCTGGGTCCCGTATCTACGTCCAGGCCTCTATCTATGATCGATTTATCGAGGCTTACAAGAAGGCCGCCGCGGATGCTCCGACAGTCGCCGGTAATCCATTGGATGCTTCTACCACAAAGGGGCCGGTGGTTAGTCGTGTGCAGCATGAGAAAATTCTTGACTTCATTCGTCAAGGAAAGCAATCTGGAGCCAAGCTTCTATTTGGTGGTGAGCGGATCGGTGATAAGGGATATTTCGTCCAAAATACTGCTTTTGCGGATGTTGGCGATGATGCGACAATCATGCGAGAGGAGATCTTCGGTCCTGTTGCGGTAAGCAATCTTCCATGCAAGGCTCTATAATTTTGAATACTAATTTGGACATAAATTACAGAGTATTGCCAAATTTACCACCGAGGAGGAGGTCATCTTCAAAGCTAATGATTCTCATCACGGCCTCAGTGCTGCCATCTTTACCAACGATATTAACCGCGCTCATCGCGTGACTAAGGAACTTGAGTCAGGCCAAGTGACTGTCAATGCGTGGGCGATGCTCAGCCCCAATGTTCCATTTGGGGGAGTGAAGCAAAGTGGATTTGGACGAGACATGGGCGAGGATGCTCTTGAGGGTTGGACTACTGTGAAGGCTGTCAAGTATAACATTCTTCCACGACTCTGAGTGTCATATGTGGTGAAATAGGCTTCCAGCTCTCAATTTGGTGCGGGTTTTTCTTGATGATCCTGCTTATAAATAGAACCGTATATCCTTACAATATAGACCATTCTTGTGCAGTCCTATCTCCTGTCGTCCTCTCGCTAAGAGGGAAGAAAGACACTAAGAACAACGCACAAATGTTCCGGGAAAAAAAGACTCAGAGACGATCTTTGAAAAAGGCCAGCTAATAGCTGCTTACATTCCCTTCATTTTAAGTCTTCGCCCATCCTATTCCTTCTTGCCAACGGATGCACCAGTTGCGATTGGCTGCATTTTGTGGAAAACGTTCTTTGGATCATACTTCGCCTTCACCTCTTGCAGTCTCTCAAAGTTCACGCCATAGATATTGCTTACCACCGAGTCACCAGCTGGGTATGGTGTTAGTATCTATTGCGGTACAAATATTCTTGGGCCAATCGGACTCACGTTCTGCATAGTTGATGTACTGAGGTACGCTTGAATCCTCACCCTGGTCTTTGGTTCTGGCATCCAATTCAACCTTCCACTTGGACTGGACTTCTCGTGCCCAAGCGCGATGCTCCAGATCTTTGGATGGGTCGGTCCATTTTAGGAAAATGATGCCATTCTGAGTAGGATTTCGGCTTGCTAGGGCGGTCGCAGTCAGCGGCACTTCGCAAATCTTGCGCATATCGGTGAACTCGAGGATGATGGCAGATGCCTTGAGATCCGGTTCACTCTCAATTTTGGCCATGAAATCATTGAAAATCACCCTTGCAAAGTGAGGATCCAATGGCGGCTCGTAGAAAATGCCCTTAAACGACTTTCGACCACCGTAGGTTGCAACGGGGTTCTGCAGGGTGTTCACCACAGAGTACGGGATCATATCAACGGTGTTCAAAACTGGCTCAAGGGCTATGAAGCTGGCGAATTTCTTTTGACCTTCTTCGCGTGGGCCATTGTAGAAGCCAATCACGATGATCATCGGCCCAGATCCATCTGGTGCCAGTGCAAAAATGCACATCGCACCGAAGCGAGAGTCGGGATTTGCCAGAGTTTCATTCAAAGCATCCATAATTCCTTCCAATTTATCGGGAGTGAATCCAAGGAGGCCAGAGTACACTGGATCCTTTTGGTCATAGGCCTGGTAGGTAAAGTCTACCACGACACCAAAGTTGTACCCTGCACCTCGCAGCCCCCAAAACAGGTCGACATTCTCAGTGGCAGAGGCCGTGACAATACGACCATCGGCTAAAACGACGGTCGCCGATAGTAGATTGTCAATAGTAAGGCCATACTCTCCGCTCAGCCAGCCATAGCCACCCCCTAAAGTGAGACCACCGACGCCAGTGTGGTTCACGGTACCCCCTACGGCCGCCAAACCGTGGGCTGCACCAGCTTCATCGACTTCCTTCCAGGTTGCTCCACCCTGGGTGGTGATAGTCTTCTGCTCGATATCTACCGTCACTTGGTTCATACGCGACAGATCAATGACCAGGCCGCCATCGCTCGAGCTTGTGCCGGCGGTTGAATGGCCTCCACCTTTCACGGCAAGGTCGATACTATATTCCTGCGCCCACAACAGCGCGATCGAGATATCCAACGCATCAATTGGTTGGACTACCACTCCCTGTAACTTATCAGTCGGTTATCTTGTTTGTTATGTTTAGGTTCCTTACCGCATATTTCATTCCAGTGTCCGACCAACGGACTATGATATCTTTGTAACCCTCTGATTCAGGTGTATAGATAGTCGCGGCCTTGAGGCGACTCCGCAGAGCCTCAAGAGCTGTAGCATTGATCTCGGGCATGGTTGAGAGTGGAAGAAATGGTGGACACAAACATTTACCCCGCGGGTTGTGGGTATTTCCGTATTTCCCTCGGGGTAACACTTAAAGTTACACTTGTCTAACATAAAAGAGTAAAGTTGAGATCGGTAGATATCTGCAGGTAGCCTTGGAAATTGACTGTACTTTGTATTTTGCTTTGATCCACGCAGAACTTTCTGTATGAGTTTGGGTTGTCAAGATCTCTCGGCTGTTATTGGGGAGTATATATATTTGAGTTGAGCAGTGATTTACTTCACAATTTTCTTGGAAATCGTATACGTGGGCCTATACTGCATGTACGGGAATTATAATATTGGAAAGGTGATACTGGGGGCTAGGAATAAATTGTCAAGCTGAAAATCTCTTCATACTCGGAACAGAAGCCCAGATTTATTGACTTCACTTCCACTCTAGATAGCTCCTGAATTGTGGAATTTGTAATAGAATCAGACATAAGAATAACAAAGCTAGATTTTATTAACTAAAAGCAGCCTGAACTGAAATATTTGCCTCTGATACAATACGCTTCAATTTGTATGCAGAGAAAGGCATAAGCGATGTCAAACTGCATCGGCAGTGTTGATCTTGCTTCCGTGGATAGTGCAGATTCTTGGCAAGTTGGAATGCCGAGTCAGTAGCCGATTCCATGCTAATTACGGCGAATTAACTGGGATTCTCTCCGACATTTCCTTACTAGGCTATTTTAGGACCTGCTGAGAATACTTTGCATACAGCTCCGAATACCACCGCTGGCCCACATCCGGGTGGCTTAGGATGCGATTTCTCAAGTGAGCCTCGCCGAACTACGATTCGTTAGTCCCATGTAAAAAACCATTAAATCAGAACCACTCACGCAAGAGTACAAAGGAGAAAGGAATTCACTCGGCACATCAACTGCCCGTTTCTTCTTGTCGTCGGAGGCTGGAATTCGTTGCACGATATGAGCAGCGGATTCCTTGAGCTGATCTAATGTCAAATCTAGTCTAACACCCTGGAAGAACGGGATGCTATAACGCGTCTGAGAGGTGGGCGCCTAGGAGTAGCAAGGGATTAGAAACGTCGTCCAGTGACGAATAGTACGGTGAACATACGATGACTCGGTGGGTCGTGGCCGCGCAGATTCCTCCAGTAATTGCTTCAAATCCCTGCTGGATATTCACTACTAGACTCCCCTCAATAGGAGGCACATCGATCCATTCTCCATTCTTGTTGAGTACCTGTAGTCCTCCTGTGTTGTCCTGGGAGAGGAAGGTAAACAGGCCCGCTGAGTCCTTGTGAGGGCCAACACCCTGGGAGTTTTGCGCTGCGGGTGGATATTTAACAAATTTTAGTCGGCTCATGTTACCCTTGAAACCATCAAAGGTCTCCCGCGGGAGGGACAAGCATTCTGCAACGAGGCGTACGAATGCTTGCGCCAGGCTATCGGTCTTCGCAATGTATTCGTCGACCAAATCTTGAGCCCCTGGGTAATCTGGGTACTTTTGAGGGTTAGTAGTCGGGACACGCGTCCAGGGGGGTGACTTACCTGATTAGGCCCTTCAAGCCGTTGCCAAAAGGGGTCCTGCTCTGTCCAGGGTTTCACGCCAGGAGTGCCAAAATCAAATTGCTAGAGCATCCAGAAAGTCAGTGCCCCAGAAATGTAGTAAATTCCAAAAGGAAATAATCTCACCTCGCGCAGATCTGTTTTTGCCGCTGTGGTCTCGGCACCGAGGCGAGTATAGCCGAGAAACGATGGTGAGTTAATCATGTTGCATTTCTCCTTGTCCTGTGTCGACAGGGCAAATAGCTTGGGTAGACTTTCATGAGCATGATGAATTAGGCTCTATTTCAATTTCGGGTTAGCATCTCGGTCACCCACATTGGTTGTGACTCGCACCTCTAATCCAGTGTTGGTCAAATATAGGAACCCAACGACGAAGATGGCTTCCCGCAGATTTGAGAGTTCCTCATCTTTCGTCACAGGGTTGTTCAACCGAGCGAAGTCGACGATCGGCACGGATGAAAATGTTTCTGTCATTCCGCCTATTGGAATCAAGTTGAAGTGCTTTCCTTTTGGTCGCGATTCGCTTTCCCCGCAAATCCAGTACGGGGTGGAACAGGGATTACTCAGCCACAAGACACAGGGGACGAAATTGTATGGGGAATATTCTGTATGTTGTATAGTCTCAGTCCTAAGTTGGATAATTAAAATGTGTCAAACACCTGAAGATCTGAAGATCTGAAGATCAGGTTGTCAAAGACTTCATTAACTAATGCGATCACGCCATTCACCCCGTAGTGTTAACCCTCCACCATGAACATGTACACTCAAAAATAGTATACAGCGTGAATTTCCTACGACCAGCGCTGACTCTGAAATCACAAGGGGAAATGAATGCATATGCTTCATAAATTGGGCGATTGATGGAATTATAACATCCCCTTTCGTATCCGAATGCCAAGATCGGGATTCCGTGTTGAAACCTCGGAACCCTTGGCATGAACTCACTCCTGATGTTTCGAATCATTTGTGGAAGTTCTTCCGGCGAAGAGGTCCCATGGATAAATTAAAAAGCAGCTCATCGCTGATGAATATTTCTCCATCCAAAGGACCTCCATCCAGTAGGGTGTGCACGGGTGTCGTGTTCTTGGCCCGGAAGCTCTCCATCCCGCTCTAGACTGAGCGCTTCGATAAATTTATGCCAAGCTTTGTGTCTAAGAGGAAACTGGCGTGATCTTGGCTGTCACAAGGGAGCCCCTGGAGCATCAATCTGACACTTGACGCGTCGGAGAATATGTCCATCACGGCAAATCTTCGGTTCAGCCAGACCGGAATAGATTATCCACCACGCAAATTCTCCAACAATCAGGACAATAGTGGATGTGACTTGTCTCAGGAGCTTCCACAGCCCAATGGAGCTCCTGAGTGGTATATAAACCCCTTGGTCGACCGTGATATAGTCTTGATTTTTTGATATCAACACTCCCTCATTCACTCACTCACTCACTCGGGCAAAGGATCCTGGCGATTCAATCTGCTCTTTCATTCATTTAAATTTTCTTTTAATATCCAAAATGGCTCCTTTTAACTTGATGGCAGTTTCTCTGCTCGGCTGCTTGTCCAGCCTTGCACTGGGAGCTCCTACTGCAACCACCTATCTGGGAAAGCGCGCAAGCGTCAATGATGTGAGTACCAATGCGTGGTTCGTTCAATAACCTTCGATTAATATACTAACATCACTCTGATTTAGGTCGCTACTGGCTATGCCAGCCAGAATGGAGGCACCAAGGGTGGTGCTGGTGGCACTACTACCACTGTCTCGTCGTATGCTGCCTTCACAGCTGCCGTTACGGGCGATGATGCCAAGGTTATCATTGTGGACGGCACCATCACGAAGGCGGCCAAGCAAGTCCGTGTTGGAAGCAACACTAGCATCCTCGGCAAGGACTCTAAGGCAATCCTGAGCGGCTTCGGCCTGTACGTTGTCATTTCTACCATCAATGCGAGGTGATACTAAACCAATATAGTCTGGTCAAGGAAGAGAGCAACGTCATCATCCGCAACCTCGGTGTGCAGAAGGTGCTTGCCGAGAACGGTGACGCCATTGGTGTTCGTAAGTACATTATGCTGAAGGATATCCATTGAGGAAGCAGGAGAAAGGCTGACTGGGCTTAGAAAAATCCACCAATGTGTGGATTGACCACTGCGATGTCTCATCTGACAGGGACCACGACAAGGACTACTACGATGGACTCATCGATGTAAGTTCGAATCACAAGATATGGAATCCGAACAAAGCACATATGCTAATATGAAAAAGATCACCCACGCTGCCGACTACGTCACTGTTTCTAACACCTTTATTCACGACCACTGGAAAGCCTCCCTGATCGGACACTCCGACAGCAACAGCGCCGAGGACACCGGTCACTTGCGTGTCACCCAGAGCAACAACTTCTGGTACAACATCAACTCGCGCGGTCCTTCCTTCCGTTTCGGCACTGGCCACATCTACAACAGCTACTACGAGAACGTCTCCGACGGCATCAACACCCGCAAAGGCGCCCAGCTCCTGGTTGAGTCTAACACCTTTGTCGGTAGCAAGAAGCCCCTCTACTCTACCAACTCTGGCTATGCTGTGGCCAATGGCAACGACTTCGGTAGCGGAGAGAACGCTGCTGAGGCTGGAACCCTGAAGTCAGTTCCCTACGACTACACCCTGCTTGGCTCAGCCAAGGTTAAGGCTGCTGTTGTTGGTACTGCTGGTCAGACACTTACCTTCTAAGCGAAGTTGTTGCGAGAAACTTTGTGACAAATGGTGAATCGCTCTTTTGGCAGGCGCAATTTGTGTCTATCATTTGGTTTGAATTTGTTTCAGCTTAGTCTTTAGGAAATATCTAATTTTTTTGCTTGCAATACTCTGTACTATCTCGTAAACGTAAAGTACACAGTGCGTGACATTATGGGATTAAAGGTCCGATAGGGCATAGCAGAGCAGCCCTCCAACCAAATCCAAAACGGTGAGATAGAGAAAAGATGGAAACATGACGGAGTTTATGGGATGGAGGGCCCATGTATTATTCACACCGTCCGGCATTGGTTTAATAATTCCACAACTGAATGAAGATGTACAAGTTGGATGGAATGTATTCAAACTATTTTGGTAGGTTCCATGGTTGAGTGAGCGGCACGGCCTAGGTATGTACTTGATGTCCTCTGCCACTTCTTGGCCTTCCCTTTCCACTTTAAGGCTCCGGCCTTGGCGCCTCTTGCTCACTGAGCAGCCTGATTCATACTGAGCTGAGCAAAACGCGGGAGTAGCTAAGTCAAGCTCACCTCAATAAAATGCACCGCGCCAGCCTTATCTAAATGCAGTTGTTCACCAGACCTCTTGACCGTTGTGCCCTCAACGAAAGGCTGGCGCCATCAATTTGTTGGTCGATCCTGGTTGTTTCGCCTGAAATACATAAAATTACAGCCAAAAAACGCATAATTTGAGTAGCTATAGGATCTTAGCATATTTACTATTTTTATTACCCAACATTACCCAATTGGGTATCTAGGGGTTGGGTTAGGTTTTCTAGTATAACCCAAACTCCAGCTGAGGTCCAACCTTAGAAAGTTTGGCCCTAAAACTTAACCCAAAATTGGGTTGAGAAGCCTAGTTGCGGCCCGTCGGCCCCGAAACCATATCTCGGTGATGTAGGCCAATAGCGAAAATACCCCACTACCCCTTGCGTTCAATACTTTGCATATTTTCTGGGGATCTTTGGCATATTTGGTTACTTCAGGGCGTCCACTTATCTATTTTAGAAAATTCCTAGATCGACTCTACTCCTATAGGTGGCCTTACGTTCAATACTCCGCATGTTTCCTGGGGATCATTGGCATATGTGGTTACTTCAGGGCGTCCACTGATCTATTTTAGAAATGCCCAGATCGACTCTACTACTAGGTATGGGTGGTTTTAAGATACATATCACATTCAAAGTATATAAATACTCACCTGAGCACCTCTGATCAAACTGGTATTTCAACCCATCCATCCAACTTCCACAAATATCGAAAAACCTCATTCAACTAGCAAATATGAAAGTCTTCACATCGATATTCGTGTTAATTGCATTGGCTACCTCCCAGGCAATTGCTGTACCTACAGGTAAGCCCCTGTCTCACTTTCAATGCCGCCCATTATACGGCTATTTTAACCAAATATAGCCGAGGCTGCAGACCTAGAGACGCGCGCCAAATTTTGCGTTGATATCAAAGTATGCCACGGCTACAACTACGAGGGTGGCTGCTATAGCGAATGCAATAGGCCTGGTACGGGTTACGGTATTAGAAAAGAATATCGGAAAAATGCCGGCTCGTTCAAAATTGAGACCAAGGGTTATAACTGCCAGGTTGGATCGTGAGTTTACCATCTAGCTCTGCTAAGCATAGGAGCTAATATATGTCAAGATCCGATCAAGGCACGCAATCAGTGAATTACCCTGGGGTCAAGAGACTCAAGGATGGATGGATCAATAACATTGAAGGCTATCAGTGCAACAAACTCAAATGAGCGATACTGCCCAGGGGTGCGGAGGTTACGAGGGAAGTTCAAATTGAGGTTACTACGTGTTGTGATCTCCGGCTACTAGTGTGGGGTCTATATTTCAATATATACCTCCCACAGTTAGAGAATATCATGTTTCCCCGTGGAAAGCTATCAGGTCCACCAGGAAGTAATCGCGAGCTTAGAATCAATTCCAATATAGACTCAAATCCTATGTAGTGATTGAAGGTAAGCCTTGGAAGCTTTAGAGAACCAGTAAATTCATTTGTCTTTGATGGGGGCAGGCGCTTAGCATAATTGTGAAATTAGTACGGAGTATCCCTCACCCACGTTAGCTCTTCGGCTCAACTGCACTACCGGATGTGAGGTGGCGTATCGCAGACCACGTAACACATACCTCCCCTGCACAACCTGTCATCAGTCAAAACAAAAACCCGACCATGCGTCTCATTCGCACAGCACCTCCCCATGAACTCGGTGAATATCAAGCGAATGAAGTCTCAAGGGTCGCATATGCATGCCATTCTCCCCCATCGGTGGGACAGAGGAGGCTGATCCCCGATAAATGGATAAATTGCAAGAATCACGCGCGCGGCGGTGTTGTATCATACAAACAGAAACATGTTGTTTACGTTATATTACACACGGTCAATACCTGTTGGGGCTACCTGCTTATGCGTCGTGTGCAAGTTATGCACGGAGTAGGTAAACGTGACTTCGGCCACCCCGAGGACAAACCAAAAGTAACATTGAGCAGATGCAAGTCCAAGTAAATGTAAGAGAGACTGATATTTTTGCGGAAACTTCCAGGAACATATCCATTAGATGTATACTGGGAGCTAATTATCGGGTATCGATTAATTCAAATGATTCACGCTCTACTCCGTAGTCCATGCACGCTAACCCAAACTCCACCACTGTTTTTTTTTAAAACGCCATTTCCTCCTCATAGAGTCCGATCTCTCAAAAATGAATCCAGTGAGACTAAGTCTTCACTAGGTGCTGGCGTGGGGAGGGCCATCTTAGTTGCGTCAAAGGCCCATGCAGCCTCACGTGCGTTTTCGTTGGTTTTGAGATGGAAAGTCATCATCCACTCTTTTATCCTGCCCTCTAAGAATCCCATCTCACGGTTTCGTTCCCACATACGACGGGACTCTTTGAACGCATGGTTGATTGTATCGCGACGAAGACTCTCGTACGCATCAAAAACCTCCGTCAGTGGCTCCGAGCGATAGCTTGTGAGAATTCGAGAGAACAAGATTGCGTCATCCAGTGCGTATGCAGCTGACTCGTCACGCGGAGGCATCTGTATAACGTGTTAGAAACAACAAATAGAACTTTGTTTTGGCATGATTGAGACATACCGCATGTGCTGCATCGCCCAGCAAAATCACTCGATTCATGCACCAACGCCCTCCGGGGGGAACTTGATATACGGGATAAAGCATCCAGTCCGCTTCACTCTCTATCATTTCTTTGATACAGGGAATGGTACATTTACCAAAACGGTCTCTGATCTCCTCGCGGAGGGCGCAGCGAATTTTGTTCTGGGTGGCCCAATCCTGACCGGGAAGGAGTCGATGGCGACTCAGCGATTCCTGACTAAATTGAACGATAGCCGCAGCGAAGATCTGTTCGCAATCACGGTCACAATAGCTGGCCAGCATTGAGCCATGTCGTGAGATATTGAGCGATGATGTGCGGAAGTGAGCAGGCGATGAAAGTGTAGCCGTGTCAATCGTGGCTTGTAAAAAGGAAAGCCCCGTGTACTCAGCCGGCCGGTCAACGTCCACAAATCGGGTCCGGACCGCCGAGTGGACGCCGTCGCAGCCGATGACTAAGTCTCCCACTGCCGCTGTGCCATCCAGGAAATGCACAACGGCTCTATCCTCGAATTCCTCGCCACCGATCACTTTTTTGCCGAAGACAATCTCCACATTCGGAGTGCGCTCCGCCACGGTCAACATGGCTACGGATAGAGCAATCCGCATAACCCTTCGGCCCTTGTATCCGCCAAATCCCTTTCCTTGGTTGTCTGTGAATTTGATGGAGCCGATCGAGCGACCCGAACGCATAGAGAAAAGTTCAATAGCGTCAACATCAGCACCGCCCTCAGAACCCATCCGGTCTAGCTCATCCAGCACGCCCAGCTGTGCGAGATGTCTCTGGGCAACGGGAGTCAGATTGATAGCACCGCCTGAAGTCGATAATACGTCATGGCGCTCATAGACCGTGATTCTCAGGTTCGGCACAAAGGGAGAGAGTTCCCGGGATATGGACAGTGCACACGCGATGCCGGCGATGCCAGCACCGATGATAGCGATATCCTGTGGGGGGCGGAATGGCTCCATTTCGTGAATTGAGAATAGAGTGTCTCAGGATTTGTAGAAGAGAGAAATAAGTATGAAGGAATTTCTCTTGGTATGAGCTTGTATCGCAGAATTTTTTCAACTGACAACTCCGGGATCTCTCATCCAGAAATAATATATTCTATGCACCTAAAAAAACTAACGAGCAGGCTAGAAGCCTCTAAGGTTCGGCCGGGGAAGGAAATCCTTCGGCCTCTGCATGTCCGTGGAATCCGTGGTGGAGTCTCACGAGACACAACCATGGTTATCACAAATTCGAGTGTATAGCTCACATTGAGGTATCTTATTGATAAAACCTACAACATAGGATATAGGGGTACTCCGTATCTAGGTAAGCCTTACCGAGTGGCGCGGAGTCTGGGGGAACCTTAGAAGGTCCGTGGGAAGTTTATACAAAGAAAATAGATGAAACTGGATGAAAATAGATGACCTCACAGTCAATTACGGAAGGAGCTCGGGGGAAACTAGGGAAACTAAAGAGCGGAAGGCACCCGTCGGACCGGAGAAATTGACAGCACCGTTTGACGGGTTGCTTTTTTTTGTCTTACTTTTTCAATTCCATTTTGGGACTAAAAGGGTAGAAGACCAATACCTACAGTCCTTACAATCCACTTTTGAACACAGATCCCAGTTCCACTTTCGCTTCCAAGTTTTTTGTACCTTCAAGTCTGGGGTTGTGTGCTATTCAATATAAAATTCTACCTCGGCAAGAATTGAGTGGCCCCATCTAACCTTCTATGCGCATTCTAACGGTATCGGCTCCCCGTTTGGTTCTTTTGTTGCGCTAAGTTTTTAAAAAAAATTTAACTTTTTTTTTTGGCTTTTCTGCCTTTTCTGCCTTTTCTTTGTTTTTCTTTTGTTTTAAGCGAGATAGACATGTCAACTCCAAACATTGGTGAAATGTGGAGGAGTGATATTGAGCACGAGTCATTCTCATGTGAAAACTCCACCAGAAGACGTTTGATCCTTTTGACCCGGCCGTTGCGGCACAGTCGATTTTAAATTCCAGAAGGCGGTGAAGGAGCAAAGTCCGCACATCCCCGCTGCATTGGTTAGCGTTGGGACATGAAGAAATCAGACAGGGGGATACGAACCCAATACACAATTCATTCCATAATATCCGATTTGTTCCGTACCATATCCCGAAAGAATCGGCCCAATAAACATCCCCAGCGTCCAACTGATACTGGAGGCGGATATGGCTCTCGAATAACCCCCATTCGGACCGAAGATTCCGGGGTTTTCTCTTTCGATCTCATCAACGGCTTCTGGAAAATCATTATGATCCACTTCTCCACGTGACCGTCGGAAAACAACTTACGAGTGGCTTCCATCATCCCCACCCCGTTGAGCAAGCATATCACAATTCCGATACCTGTGACAGCTACGCTGTATATGACCGAACCGGTCGTCTCTTCACTGGCCCAGGGGAACCGTTCATCCCCAGGAACACCGATCAGCCACAGTAATGGTACCAGAAGAGCAAACCCGATCGTGGTCGGGTACCGAGTCCCCACTCGATCCTTCAGCCAGCCGACAGGAACGCTAAAGAACACCGCGGGGCCCTGGAAAGCGGCGAATAACAAACCAGCGGGGAGGCTTCCCCAATGGAAGGCATCGCGCACATGGAGAGGAAGCGTTGTGTCGAAGCTGGCGGTTAGAACGGCGTAACAGAAATAACTAACCACACCACCAATGAAGCGACCGTTGCTACACAGGCATAGATAGAATTGTATACCCGTTTTCTCCGATATAGCCTGACTGCTTACCTGTTGATCCGGGTCATGCGATGGTGACAAAAGTGCCTCTCTCTCTGGATCCTGCCCGGCCCGCTCCGCGCGAGGAGATCCACTGTCACGCGATCGCTCTAGCATCAAACATCGCAGGATCACATCAAACACAATGACGAAAAGCACACTCGACCAAGCCACCCAATACCCACATACGTCGAACAGAACACCAGCCACAAGTGGCCCACCCGAGGTTCCTACGCCAATGGCAATAGTCACGAACCCATACATTTTGCCCAGCTGGTCGGCCGGAACGTTCTCCGCCAGGGTAGCAAAGCCTACCACCCACAGACCAGTGCTGGCAAGAGACTGTACAAGGCGTCCGGCAAAGAGAGTGAATACTGCGCTGACATTAATCACCTCGCTGCGAATGTCATCCGTGGATTGTTAGCCACTACTTACATGAAGTCGCCATGGCGAGCATCAAAGAGCCTAGCAATGCGCCCGCAAGTCCATATAATAGCCAGGCACGTTTCGCGCCCGAACGATCGGCATGAGACCCGATTAGGGGACTTGCCACGACCATGATGAGTGCGGTCTGGGATAGTAGCGCTGTGCTTATGCGCTGGGTGAGCGAGACATCAAGTCCCAGTCGATGTTCGAGCACGAATGGAAGGAGTGGAACGAGAAATCCATACAGATACATATCTATGGACTGGGTCAGGATATGTTTTTTTATGGGGTATCTGCGCAAAGAGCCTACCTGTGAGCAAAGCCACTGCCACTGTCGCGACGATGAAATAAGTGGATGATCTCCATTGAAACCCCCATGGTTCTTGGTGGTCTGATGAGGCTCTCATGGTATCCCGGGTTGCTTCATGAGCTTACTGTGAGCTTAATGGTCGGGTCAGGAAAAAAAAAGGGGGCTGTTCTTGGGTTTAACACAGACCAACTGCCACTTGTAGTCTAGACTCGCTTAATAATGTCTCTATTAAAATCTATGCACTACCCCTGTGGCAGGATCGCAGAGGATTCTAAGTGAAATTATGGTATTGCCCGACATGTTCCGGCTAATAACAAGCCAAACTGGGGTGGTTGAGGGGTACCCCCCTGGCCTGTCAAAATCTGTCGGCAGAGCAAGGAGGCTTACATTAGTGAATTGGTACTTTCAGAAAACTGCGCCACCATATATCAACCACAAAAAGAGAAGAAAATAATGAATCGCAATACATGTATAAATACTACCAATCATAATAGAGTAGTTTAGACACGGATTAAGTATTTCGAATGTAGATCGCAGCCGATGTGCACTACAACACTTAAAATCCACACATCTGCCACAACACAGTTCTAGAACTTCAAATAAATTCAATCATGCATTTGGCATTAAAAAATTCGTTGACTCGTGATACATTGCATCATATCACTGAAAACACACGTTCGCCTCGCCGAGGTCAATTCCCTTCCCCTAGTCCGCATCGCAAAAGGTATAGAATAGAAACGGGGTGCATATAAAAACAATAACACAAATATAATCCCTTCACATCAAAGTTTCTTGGTGACAAGCCAGCGTCCACTCTCCATCCGACCCTTGACTCCAAGTCGTCGAGCCCGAGGCAGTATATTCTTTCTTCCCTCGCACAGCGCGGACCTTGTATGTGACAACGCCTGCCATCAGATCGACGATAATGACTCGTACCTCCTCAAACTGGTAGGCATCGAATCGGTGGAAGGGTGGTCGAACGGCTTTCTTGAATGCGTCCTCGTCCTCGAGTGTGATGATGCGCATTTGAGGGAATAGGAAACAGGCCTCCGGGTTGCTGAGTTTCCAGATGGCTGGTGCTGGATCGGCGGATGTGAGGGCTGTCCACAGTGCTCGCTCTTTGTTGAGGAGGTCCTCACGGATACGTTCGTGCATTGAAGGCATGGTAGGTATGTGGTTGTGTGGTTATGGCTTGTGAAGGACTTGGGCTGGTGGGGGTATCGAGGAAACACGCCGTTTGAAATGCGTTGCGATGCAGATGCGAATGGGATATTATTTTCAAGAAGATAAAACTAGAAGCCAAAATGTAAATCAACAATGACTTTGAGCGTCCCTGGCCTTGATTTTATTGTTTTGCCATCCGCTGGTACCTATATTAAAAAATGACGTCAGATGACGTTGAGCACCAAACATTTTAATCTCCGGGGATCAACATATCCTGTGCTATTTTGATTCGAAGTACCGTAAATTCAGTAAGATAGTGTGCTTGACATGCGTCATGCTCCACGTTTCAACGTCCGGCAGTCAGTGGCTTGAAAGCCCCAGTATCACTGGGCCTGGCGCATCCACTGTTCATCCATGGAAGTGTAGTTGGATTTTTTTAGATTGGTGCTCGTCACCAATAAGATGGTATTATTGTTACATTCTATGGGGCAATTCTTCCTGGGATAGTTGGGCATGGACACGTTACACACGTACCTGTGCTATATCTTCCGTGTTTTCCTATTGAGCTGCTTGAATGGAGGCGCGTGGACTACACACATAGTCACGCCTATGATAACTGATCCTATGGAAATGCTCACTATGTATATGTTCACTAATTATTTAGTGATGCTCAGTGTCCGATGAAAAGTACTGATTCCTTAGACCACCATAGATTATCCACACCTCCAGTGGAATAGCCCTATGGGGTCGTTTGTACTACAGTAATATTTCGATCATTGATAGTATTGCTCTAGCCCTCATATTGTGGAGTATCTAGACTATAATCTCATCACGTCTCTTGAACTTGGTACGTTGATATAATATCCAATCCTTTTGCTTTGCATGTGTCGGATGGACGGATACTGGTATATGCTAGTTATAAGGATGTCCAACTGAAGTAAGGTGTCTTGTATCTGGATATACTGTAGTGATATCAGATATTAATTCCAAGGGAAGAATATGTACTCCGTACTCGATGAATAACGTTGCTCTTGGTGGACAATTTATTGGTTATTGGTGGCGGAGATAGCGGCGGGATTAACAGATTCTGGGGGCCGGGGTTCTATAACAGACGGAGTTGACGGCGGAAAACATATTGATTGTTTAGCTATTTAAGAGTCAGTTCGCAGTCCTCTTGCTATGAGAGTATCAGAACAGACAATTTTATTTACTTTATCCCTTCTTCGTCAACACACACATTGATTATTTGCCCAGCTTGAAACCAACAAAATGGCAGCATTGAGCAAACTACCCCTTCGCCAGCTAGGTCGCAATGGACCTTTTGTCCCTCGACTGGGCTTGGGATTAATGAGTGCGAGCGGAACTTACAATGCGCCTCTATCGGAGGCTGACCATCTCGCTTTCATGGATGAAGCTTACAAGCGAGGCGAAACGTTCTGGGACACTGGTAGGTGCATTCATACAAATAAAACGAATATAATGCTAATGGGTTCTGTACAGCCGATAAATACGGCACGTCCGAGGACGTTCTAGGCAAATGGTTCGCCGCCAACCCTGACAAGCGCGAAGATATCTTCCTGTCCAGCAAGTTTGGCATAGTACTGACACCCAACCAAAAACCGGCCTTCAAGATCGATTCGACCCCCGAGTACTGCCGGAAAGCCATCGAATCATCTCTCCGCCGTCTCAATCTACCCTACATCGACATGTATTACATCCACCGTCTGGACAAGGTCACCCCGATCGAAAAGACCATGGAAGCCATGGTCGAGCTCAAGAACGCAGGGAAGATCAAATACATAGGCTTGAGCGAATGCAGCGCTGAATCACTCCGACGCGCATACGCAGTCCACCCCATCACGGCTGTCCAGGTCGAATACAGCCTTTTCTGTCGTGCCATCGAGTTCCCACAGACTCGTCTTCTTGAGACCGCGCGTGAACTCGGAGTCGCTATTGTATGCTACAGTCCTCTTGGTAATGGCTTCCTCGCCAATACCATCCATACCAGAGAGGATGTTAAGCCCGGGGATGCTCGGGGGCATCTTCCTTGGCTCAGCGAGGATAATTTGGAACAGAATGTGGCCGTTGTCGAGAAGATCGCGAGCATCGCTGCGTCCAAGGGTGTTTCATCCGCTCAACTGGCTTTGGCGTGGTTGCTTGTCCAGGGAGATGACATCTTTCCAATTCCTGGAACAACTAAGGCACATCGGCTGGTTGAGAATCTGGAGAGTGTGCACGTTTCCGTGTCGGCGGGCGAGGAAAAGGTGTTGCGGGAGACAGCGGATGCTATTGTGGGTGCTCGGTTCCAGGAAATGACTGGTTATGCTTTTGCAGACACACCGGTGCTGTGAAATGTATGATTTGAGTGTTTGTGTCGCTGCAATCACAACGGTTCAACACCTTGGCCTTGTTTCCCAGGCTTTAATAGCCTAGTTATTCAACTAGCTTGGGTTTGTTTATAGAGAATAACAGATTCATTTCCTCTCTTGTCACATCCGATACCGATTAATGATACTCGCGGTAGTGATCCAAAATTCTTAGTCGCAATTCGGGGGATCTGGAGACGTTTCACATGAGACATGGAGCCTGCCAAAATACGGCAATGGGAAGCTTATCCTCTGATCTTCGATTATCGCCTGAGTCTCATTGCTCTCTTGGGTTTCAGGCTCCAGCCATGTAATATATTCGGCTCCGTTTGCTGCATACTCCTCCATGCGTACTAATGTAGATAGGATCTTCACACAGGACTGGGTCAGGCTGTCTTTATGAACGTTAGAGATTTCCTCCATAGCATGAATCACGCCATCAATGACAGCCAAGTCCCTAGGACGCTGGTGCTCTAACACATTTTCTGTCTTGAGGCGATGCCCATCCATATGTATCATCAGGAGGCACATTGCAGAAGAAAACGCCTTCTCCACAAAGCCGCGGTGTGGAATATTCTGGAGGGCATTAAGGATCATGCCAAAGTGAGCAAGAAGCTCGCGGCTTGCGTAGAGAATGGCCAGTTTGCTGTACGCATAGTTTGGTGACGGATCGGCAAGTATTTGACGATGTGGTGTTGATTCTAGACTGAGGTATTCTAGAAGGTATGGCTGATGAAGAGAAACCACCAGATAGAATTGATGCATCTGCGTCAGAATCCGAACAAACTGTTCTGGTGAGTTTAGATCTAGTATACCATTACCTAGCAATGGTAAAGCCCACCAACCCACGGGGGGTATACGGCTGGCCCTTTTGAGCTGAATATCGATGTCCTGTGTCTCTTGGTAGACATTGACAGGGGTTTCGTACATGTCAGGTTGGTTTCCATGGTGTTTCTGCATGCGGAGGTTTCTGGCAATGATCCTGCCTACGACCACAACATGGATGCGCTCCAACTGATCAGACCACCGGTCAGCGACAATTTGCCGTTTACCAGTGAGCTGACAGTCCACATCGACAAAAGGAAGTCCTAGCATAAGGGATAGAAAGCGATCACTGTAGACTAAACGGAACCATAGGGATTCTGCACGGTTGTCCTCATGCTTCCGACATGGGAGGAGCAGCAAGCGGGCGATTCCTAATGCGCGACGGAAGAGAAGTCGGGCATCCTGGAGATTGCCTACATGGAGATGAAAGCGAGCCTCCAGACTGAGTGTCTCTACGCCATCGAGAGAGTCGACGAGTAGGTCCTGGGAGGTGATATAGCGAGACGCGACGCCGATAAAATAATGTGCCATCTCGGGACTAGGCTGGTCAAACCGGAGCTCTAGCACGTTCTGCTTCGGCTGCTGTAAACATAGGGCAAGTTGGACGATTCTCTGCGCAAGGTGCACTAGCTGATTGGACTCCGATGAAGATTGGAGGTCGACCTGGGTAGATGTAGTTGAACAGAATAGCAAATGAAACGGTCGAACACGGAGCGGGCTGCGATCCAAAATTTGCTTAAAAATGACAGCTGATGGAAGTAATGATTGAACATGGCCCAGAGAGCCTCTCTCGAGAGTGGCATAGTTGCCTGGCCTGTGAGAATGTATCGCCCTGGGGTCTACAATATTCTTGAACAAATTTTTGTTCACCTGCTGGTTGACCGGTGATCTTTGGGATGGTGAATGGGCCTTTTGGTGCTGTATCAGCGTCGCCACTAGACCCTCAACGTAGTTAAGGCGCCATTCCACGGCTTGATAGCTTGTATCTTCGGGATTAGGGCGGTCCTGGCTGATGCACGGCACTCCATTGTGCTGGCAAAAGACACATATTGTTGCAGAAGATGTGATGAACTGGCATCGAATCTTACGATTCTTACATTCCCAGCAGCTGAAAGTGCCTTTCCGGATCTTCCGGCGCTTCTGTGTCGGTTCGCTGGGAGTTTGTGATAGGGAGCTCATTATGAATGGTACGGCTACCTCATAAGAGCCAAGGTTTATATCTCGGCGATTAATCGAGGGGCCCTCGCAAGGGGAGGTGGGGACGCTATCCGCGACAATGAAATGATTGGCTGATATTGTTAGTACAGAATTCCCAAGGTTGCTCTACAAATTGTAGTAACTAGGTTCTTCGTAAAAGAGGAACTCTAGCTTCTGAGTCGTTTCATTCTTATTAGTTTGATACAGCGTAACATTCATAAACTAAACAGACAAAAAGTGATCAAGGTCAAGAGTGGTTTGATATATGCCAGTTCGTTCGGAGAGCAAGTGAAAATACCCTCAAATTTGAAAACAGCTATTTGGTAGACAACAAGCACCGCTTCTCTCACGTTCTCAAAAAAGAGCTCAGAAATAGAACGTCACGCCACAAAGTGTCGGCTTTCTACTCCCTTACCCCAACAACCATACTAAATATTGCATCGATACCATCAAATCTACTTGTTTCCTGCTCTTACCAAATCACCAAACCTAGTTCCAGCTTCTCGGGCTAAAACAGCTGGCTTGCCCACCTCCACAATCTCGCCGGTATCCATCACCACCACCCTATCAAAGTCCATAATCATGTCCAATCGATGACTGACTGCAATCACCGTGTAGTTCTCGAACTCGGTCCTAATAGTCTCCTGCATTATACGTTCGGTCTCCTGATCCACGCTTGAGCTCACTTCGTCCAGAAGCAAAATACCGCCGAGCTGCACAGCCGCCCCAAATTTGCGCTCTCGAACGGAGCGTCTGAGAAGGGCTCGGCCAAACGAGAGCAGCTGCCGCTGTCCATTGCTGAAGCTTGATGAGTTCATTCCGGCGGCTAAGCCGCCTCGCTCCTTGACAAACTCCCATAAGCCGACGGATTTAAGTACGGTCTTGCACTCCTCAGGGGTAGCCTCCTCAGACACATCAAGATTGTTCTGAACCGTAGACCCATCGGGCAAAAAGACGGCCTCTTGGGGCACTGCGATGATGCGCTGGCGTAGCACGGATCGGTTTAGCCGATGGAGCGGTAGGTCGTCAATCACGATGTTCTCTGCCGTGGTGGCTATTGGATCCAGGAGCTTTAGAAGCAGGGCGACGAGGCTGGATTTGCCGCTACCGGTGCGACCACAAATAGCAATCTTTTCTCCCGAGTTAATAGTTAGTTGTATATTGCGGAGAGCAAGGCTGGTGGCCTCATCGTTCTGATCGTCAGTGCTAATGATATGGTCAGCGTTACTTCTGACGGAACGTGGCTTATAATACTTACGCATATTTTGCTGAAACTCCCTTCAGTTCCACCACGCCGCGCTGAGGCCACTGTTCGGGTGCGTCGATGTCCTCTCCATCTCTATCCTCGGGCTCAACCGTCTCAGTAAATGTCTTGAGTCTAGCAATTGCACCAAGCGAGGTTTCAAGTTTAGTCCAAAAAAGAACAATGCCAGTGAGGTTCTCTCCAAAACTCAAAAGACTGTACAGAGCAGCACCGGTGAATGAAGAGTTAGAATGGAATCGCACGGCAAACGTTGTCAGCCCTACTGCCAACAGCATCACTACCACGTCGAGGACAACATTTAGCCATTCCTGGATCATGAGAAGGAGATACGAAGGTCGCTGGCTCGAAGTCAGAAGACGGGCGTTCTTATGGATATCTTCACGGATAAAGCCTATGTGCATTGCGTTAGCAACAACGCATCAACCGAACGCACAGCTAGTACCTACCGAACGCTCGCAAAGTTGTGATGCCTCTAACAATGTCAAGAAAGTGCGTGCTGAACATATGTCAGTAACGACGTGAGGATACATGACGATATGCTACTATTCACTTACTATAGCGGGCTTTTGGCCTCTAGGTCGAGCAATCGAAGTTGCCTTGAAGTGCGCAGGTAAAACTTTTGCAGCACATACAGGAGGGCGGCGAGGAAGGGGAAGGTGACGGCCAAGTAGGGAGCCGCCGTAAGCATAACAGCCATTTGCCCAATAACTTGGGTAATCTATCCATTCGTGTTAGCTACTGTACTTAGGTTTCTTGAATAGTTCATCATGGGTTAGCCTACCGAAAAGAGGGTGCTGACTGTGGCATCTGGCAGCTCCGTGTCAATAAGGTTCAAATCTTGCGAAAACAAGTTTGTTGTAACACCAATGTCGGTTTCGGTAAAGAAGCGGAGTGGTGCTCGGAACAATGTCTTCAAAATGTCCTCGTGTAGGTTTGCACCAGCGCGTTTGATGGAGACGATCCAAATGGAGGCGCCAAGTAGGAAGAGTGAGATTAAGGCAGAGATCTGAAACAGCGCGTAGATTCCGGCCCAGTAAGCGGAAGAGTGCGCTGGGCGTTGCAATTGTATGTCGTTAACCCAATATGTGAGCCCTGTGGTACGCCGTTAGCTTCCAGGCACCCTCCTTCGGAATGCATACCGTATTCAAAGACATGGAGTACTTGCAGATTGTGGAAAAATTCAGGAAGAAGCCCCAGAGTGAAGCAAAGAGAATGGCAGACCCTGCGAGCAGCCGTCCCATGCTCTTCATGTACTGCTTGTAGACGGTGCCATCTCCAACTTTCCGCGACGCATCCATATTGGGGGTAACGATAAGCTTGGCTGCTTTTATCTTCTCTGCCGGCGATGAAGATTCCTGTGCGCTATTTTCGATGCTAGATTCCTCCGAGGTTGTCTTGCTTTCGGACAAGCCCTTCAACCCCACACGGTGGACATAGCCATTACCAGCCATTAATGCATCAAATGTGCCCTGCTCACTAATGCCACCGTCTCCGCCAAGGGCGATAACGTGGTCTGCCGCCTGTAGGTGTCGGACGCTGTGAGTGCAGAGCAGAACGGTGGTTTGGCGGCGTCTTAATAGTCCTGCTGGTCCGAAGACTTTGCGGAAGACTTGCTCTTCTGTGTCCGCATCTAAGCCACTGAAGACGTCATCGAGAATAAGGAAGTGGGCTTGTAGGTATAGGGCACGTGCTAGAGAAATGCGCTGCTTCTGGCCTCCGGATAGAGAGATGCCGTCGGAACCTACGTTTGTCTCATCGCCTTGTGCTAGGGTGTCAAAGTCAAAGGCGAGAGACGTTGCCTCGATGACCTCAGCATATCTATCCTCGTTCACCGGAGAGAAACCTATAATGTTTTCCTTGATGGTTCCGTTCAACACAAACGCAGTCTGGTCGCAGAACCCGACGAACGAAGCCGAGGCATGTGTGCGTAGTGTGACTTTGCCTTGATGAAAAGGAATTTCTCCAAGTAGCGCCTTGCAAAGAGTAGACTTGCCCGAGCCAACAGGTCCGACAACAAGGGTAAGTGACGAATTTGGTATCTTGGCGTTGATGTCTTGTAGGACAAATTTATCTTGCTCCCATCCGAAGCTTCCATTCTCAATGACCACTTCGGACTCGGGTGACGGCTGACTGCTAAGCGAGTCCTTTTCGGAGTGTTTCTCGAAGGAAATTGCGACTTTACGGAAGTCTTCGCGAGTCTCGCACTCCATAAAGGCCTGAATTCTGCTAATGCAAGCTAGGCCGGAGATGACTTCGGGAATAGTCTGGAAAATCTGCGATAGGGGCTGTGTCATAAGGGTTAGGAAAGAGAGATTTGTGAATACCTTTGACGAATCTAGTCGACTCTGTGTAAAGGCAAACGTTAGGGCCGGGCTGATAAGCAATGGAATAAAGCCAAGCAGGGCGGCCCCGATATAGATCTTACGATATCGGACTCCTGCCGTAAGCTCCTCGACTCGGAGCTTCTGCACAAATGTGCTCACGGACGAAGAAAGACCGGATATCTTAAGATTCTTCATACTAGCGATGACAGTAGCTGTCAAACCAACGCGCTTCTGCACTAGGGACATCCATCTCCTCTGCGCCGTTCCGATAAACTTCATGAGAATAGCAAGGCTCAAGAAGCAAAGAAGCACAACGACGATAGGAGCCACAAAGACAACGCCGAGTCGCCTGTCCAACATCCACGCGCATAGTGCCACCTGGATCAGACTTGCCCAGACATCATGCAGTTGTCGAAAACCCATTCTGATTCGCTCAATATCGGTGCTCATTAAGGTTAGCGCAGCGCTGTCGTCATTCCCGATGCGAGCATTTGTAGCCGTTATGAACGTCTCAGTGACGAGAATAGATCTCAGCATAGTGCGCATACGATGATGATAGTATCTCGTATATATGTTAGTGTCGCGTAATATAATTCACCCCGTCATCGTCATAAGCTTACCGGTGGAAGGCCCAGCTAATCACAATGCCAGAGTAGATAAAAAAGCTGGCGCCAATAAAGCCGTAGCCAACATTTTGGTTAAGCATATTCCCCGAGAGGTAATTGAGGAGCCCCTCGATAAAGAGTGGCTGAGCAAAGGAAAACCCCAAGAGGGCGAGACGGGGGATAGTAGGGAGTAGAAGTGGACCTATAAGCGTGCGCATAAGGACCTTGGTAAGGCCATACTTATCACCCTTCATCTTTGGTATGGCAAGATGTCGAGAGAATTTCTCGTGCAGTCTTGTTGGGTCCATGGCACCATCCAGGGGGTATAGATCATTGATAGACAGAACCTTATTGTATCCGGTTAGGAACAATCGGTTGAGCCAGAAGAAGACACCAAGGGAGAAGATGCCACTTGTTTCCTCTGGGCTATGCTCCTTTTTGTCCCAGTGAACCCATCTGGATTTATGCTGGGATTCCAATAGCAGCACAACAACTTTGACGGCCACAGCGGCAGTAAAGAGGTTGCTATAAGCGCGCTCAGTAGATACGGCGGATGATAGTGATAAGTAGAGCGTCCTCGACTGGGCTGCGTCGAGGAGAAGCGTCAGGATCAAGTAGCTCATTAGCAGCATAGACGGCCGAGGGGTTCGAGAGTGCTCAACGACACTTAGAGGCAGCATGGCAACGGCCGCTAGCAGCTTGATGACAGAGGTCGCCATGAACATAGCTGTGGCATGAAAGTGACCAGCGGCGGCTAGGACGACGAGCGCAAGTTGAAGCGCTGCGTACGCGGTAATGGCACCCTGCAATGGTATTAGCAAGGTACCGTGCTTGTGTGGGGTTATGAGGCTATAAAACTACATACCACTTTGACAAGTCGAAAGACGGAAGCGTTAACGACGATGGGCCTTCGAGAAAGGGAAATTGTCCTCCATAACGCGGGTATTATGAAGAGAGCAGATGGGATGATAGCGAAGAAGACTTGCTCAAAGTCTATGTTGAAGTCAAACTGCTCGCTGTTTTGCTCGAAGAGCGAGCCATATTGGGAAGAGAATGGCATTTCGGAGTAGCAGAAGCCGCCAGGTAGCTGAGGTGAGCTGGACTGCTGCCGGGTGCCCTGGAAAAGGGCTGTGCAACGGGTAGTAAGACAAGACGACGTGGGCAATGGAGAAGGAGGGCACGTTTAAATAGGGGAGAGTAGCAAGATGCAGATCATGCCAGCAGCGCAAAACGGTGCTGCTGAGCAATCAACGGACCAAATCGTCCGTGATGCTACCATAGAGGAACGCTAATTAATGCAAAAGCACGAAATGGGGCTAAAAGGATAGGGTCAACATTTGGACCAACTCAGTGTTTTCCAACAAAGATGTGTCCTACCAGGTCTGTCCGTGGTAGAAGAGGCGAAAAAAAGAAAGCAAACGAAATAAAATCCATATGCCATAGGTGTAGGGTAGATTCATCAAATGCGCTCATTCGGCCATTCTGGGTTCATTTCACGAGGTGCAAGCCAAGCAAGGTAGCGACATTCGACAATAGATAGACACTTCATCGCATTCCTCTGTTACACCAATATATAGCAATACCACTAGTTGCATAAAGCTAACGATCGAAACATGAAAAAGCCAGTCCTTTATCAATGCTATACCAGTCCTCGTCTTGCCTGCGCTTGAGCAGAGAGACGCGATGCCCGACGCTCGCTAGCTTGTCCTTGGATAGGAAGCGCAAGTTGTCATCGGTGCTGATGATGGCGTGGCCAGGGCGATGCTCCAGGAGCTCCCGAAGTAAGAGACCCTACATCAGTGTGGTTGTTGTAGCCCACGCTGGTCGGAGGCACGTCTTGATGCTTTAGGTAGTAGATTGGAGAAATCCTGGGCGGGAAATCCAACGACGTATACAAAGACTAGTTTTGGGCATGGGCCCTTCTTCAGTGCCGAAAGATTCGTATCTGAGGCGAAAAGTAAGCAATGAAGGCCAAAGACGGCCCGATCATCTGGCAAACACCCCTGGTTGTTCTAAGGTTGCTGCCTTGGCTTACCTCGGTTCCCCGCATCCCCGTTAACGTCGAGACAAAAGAAGGCCTCCGACAAGCATTAGAGCTATATACCGATGCTTTTACTTCGTCGCAAATCCCGCTAATGCTTGTTTCAGCTGAAGTGAAGCCCGATTTAGCAAAAAAAAAAAAAGATGCAACGACGGCTGCATGATTCGAACATGCGCCCGCGAACGGAATTGATTTCTAGCTGTTTGGATTGTTAGTGAATGTTTTGGTGGACTTGTTTTAAGAAGAGAAACGTACTCAATCGCCTTAGACCACTCGGCCAAACCGCCATTTGATGAAGTTTAGTTCTCAGATTGTGCACCATAAAATAATTGCAAATGCAAATGCATTCACAAGATTAGTCATAATATTGCTCACTGCCCGAGCAAGACACTGTGGGGACCAGCTACTCCACCGAGGACGACACAACAAGCAAGATTGCTTTCACCCCCCCAAAAAACAAATAATCACAACTAGCAAGGAAAGAGAAAACAAATCATACTGCATTTCGCTTATGTTGTATTCCCTGCTGCAGTCAGGATGTAAGGGGATCAACCCGATGGCTGTCAAGCACTGCTTGCTTTTTCTTCTGGTCCGGGGTCGGTGTATGTTCTACTCCGTAGTTTCTTGTTGATCGGAGCATATTCAGGGGCCGAGCCTTGGAGCCAGACACAGTCGAGATATCAGATACAATTGACATCCACAATTGAGTCCCACTATTTTCGCCTAGACACAGAATGGCGGGTTTCTAGAAAGGCAAGCTCATTCTTGCACTATATTTCTTCTTATCTTTTAATATGGTTCAACCAGGTGGATCCCGACAACGGCACATATCCCGAGTTCCAGCAGAATGTCAACAAGCAGTGATGAGCTCAAGTAGTACAAAGCAAGTACAGCATGCGCAGTATCTCTCAGAAATTTCCAATGGCAAGAAGCTCAGAGTCTGAGAACCCATCGAGTTGGCTCTTTGTCGCTGAATCTCCACCGTTTTGTCACACATATACCTGGAGTGGACCCCCGGCAACCTCCGATTGCTTAAAAGCAAAAAGTCGTCCTAATAAATTGCGAAATTCCTTCACGATCGACCCGCATTCGCATGCATAGGACCAATAAAATTTTATTTATCAATCTCTGGTGTTCTGCATATATATTGCACGAATAAAATTCTATCAAGAGGGCCGATAGGACAATCTCCGGTGGTTTTTGGCAGAGTTGCTCCAACTCGTTCCACGTTCTGAGTTAATCATGTCCTAATCAGGTATTGATATGCCTATCGATCGGCGATGGTCCCTCGATAGCGTGAAAGACGCAAGGGCTACAAAATCTTCACTTTATAAAAGGCCTCGGCGCATGGAGGAATAGAGCTCCCATTGCAACAAAAAAAAATTCTCACCATGCACCTCCTTCAAACTTTGACGGCCTCGTTGCTGCTCACTGGCAGCTCACTATGCGCCGGAGCTACTAAGACCGAGAAGGGTCACCATGGAGCAATTGCTCCCAAGGTGTTCATTGTGTCAATGGTACGCGCTTCCACTGCAAGAAATGTAATGTCGCTAATATATTATGACAGTTCGAACCTGAAGCTGAAGCTTGGTGGCACATTCCCGAATTCGACTTGTTCACCCACAACATCACCATTCCTGGCCTCTCGCCTCTGTTCCCGGAAGTCTACTGCACCAAGAACCATGAAGTTTGCCAACTCGTCACCGGAGAAGGCGAGATCAATGCCGCTACCACGGTTAGCGCCGTTGCTTTCTCCCCTAAATTCGATCTCACGCAGACTTACTTCTTCGTCGCGGGTATTGCCGGCGTCAGCCCCGAGAAAGCCACCACTGGATCCGCTACCTTTGCTCGGTACGCAGTCCAGGTCGCGCTGCAGTACGAAATCGATATCCGTGAGCTCCCCAGCAACTATTCCACCGGATATGTCGCGCAAGGCACCGATTTCCCAGGCGAATACCCGACTAGCATCTACGGCACAGAGGTCTTCGAAGTGAACGCCGATCTGCGCACAATTGCCGCCAATTTCGCGCGAAAGGCAAACCTCTCCGAATCCGACTCCGCCACAGCCCAGGCCTACCGCGCCCACTACAAGACCCCCAGTGGGAAGTACAAGGCTGCCACCTTGCCCCCTAGTGTTGTTGAATGCGATGTCGCGACCTCCGACGTGTACTTCAGCGGCAATATCCTAGGCTCGACGTTCGAAAACACCACCAAGGTGTTGACTAACGGTACCGGTGACTATTGCACAACCGCGCAGGAGGATAACGCCACCATCGAGGTCTTGCTGCGATCCGCGATGCACAAGCTGACTGATTTCTCCCGCATTATCGTCATGCGCACTGCGTCTGACTTTGATCGCCCTTATCCCGGTACTTCGGCGGCCTACAATCTCTTCCAAGCGGAGCAGGGCGGATTCGAGCCCGCTATCAAGAATATCTACGTTGCTGGTATCAAGGTCATCGAGGGTATCCTGGACGGGTGGGATTCCACCTTTTCTGCTGGTATCAAGGCCAACAACTACATCGGCGATATCTTCGGTTCTCTGGGCGGTGTTCCGGATTTCGGTCCTGGACCCGAGCACGCTCTTGTCTCTAAGCGCAGCCTTCAAAAGAACTTCAAGCGTCGTCTTTGAAGACTCTATGCCTTTCTACAGGAAAGTTTGAAGTTTTAATTTCCTCATGATTTGAAAAAATATGTAATTATATTTGCATCTGCGGGCAAGAATCTTGTAATTATTTCCCTCTTATTGACCTTTGAGAATGAATAATCATGTAAATATCACTCAAATACCCCAAGAGGAAAATAATCAGCCAATGCTTGATACCCCGCCACAGTAGGATGAAGATGGTCTCCTGAGTCATATTTTTCCAGCAACTGAGATGGCGCCTGCGGATCCCTCAACACGCGGTCAAAATCCAGTACCGCGTCAAACACGCCACTTCCCCGGATAAATTTATTAATTCGTTGACGAGTCCTCTCCCGCTCGGCACTTGAGTAAGGCTGCACATAGTCGGAGGTCGCCGACGACCCGAATGGCGTGATAGTAGCTCCAAATACCGGAATACCCAAGGCATGCACCCTTGCCGCGATTTGTTTATATGCCGCAACAAGCTTCTTCTCGATCTCCGCTTGCGTGGCTGCATCACTATCAGCGACGCCAATATCATTAACGCCTTCGAAGATCATCGCATATTGTACTCCAGATTGTGCTAAGACATCCCGATCAAGACGGCTAATCACATTTGGACCTAGGCCGTCTTGTAGGATTCGATTTCCGCCAGCGGCTTGGTTGAGAATGCCGATATTTGATGTGGATTTGTACTTTTGCATTCTTGCCAGCAATAGATCCGGCCAACTAAATTTGTAAGTCATAGGCAAAGACAATAGGACAGTCCACTCACCGGTCATTTCCATTTGTCGTGCTTCCTCGCCCATCAGTAATACTATCGCCAATGATAACGAAGCCGCTAGACTCAGAATGGAGCCAGGCTTCTACTCCACTGATAAAGTACCTGAGATAAAGGTCAGATACAGATGTACGGAGTATATATTAGCAATCTGGCTAATCAGATAAATTGTGGGGACTCACCAATGATCCGTGCTTTGAACAGATGAGTCAGTGAGGTTCCCTGCGGCAGTCCAATCCCCAAAACCCAGGTATGAAGTCGTTCTACTCCCAGGATGGCCAGTAATAGAAAAACCTTGCTGTCCCTCTGCGAGATATATGTTGATCATAAGAGCCGATTGAGCCTTCACGGGGAATTGCATTGGGTCCGACACAACCAGCCCACCGTTTGGGATCTCCACATCTGGGCTTCCATTGAAGAATACAGTTTTCAATGTCTCTGTCTGTAGACCACTGACTCCCACCTGCTGGCCCGCTGGTAGGCTAATAGTCACATTGGTGATCTTGAGATCGTTTGTCCCGAATGCATTAGACAGTCGGATACGGATCTCCTGTGCAGCTACTGAAACCTGGAGTGTTTGACGAATGGTAGTATTGCTAAAGACAGAAGTGGATCCATTCTGCACCCCACAGTCAGTGTTGAGGCATGAAATACTGCCACAATTATATCCAACGTACAAATGGAGCAGGAGGTAGGTTAGCAGGCTCGACCAACTGCGGCATGGTAGTCCATATATTCACCCAGTGCGATTGTCCTGCATTTCTTTCATGATTTTCTCGTGCCAGTAAAGGGTAGGAAAATACCAAGTGGGCGCATAGAGTGATTAGAAATATAGATCTGAGTCGAAACATATTCACTGTTGTTGCAGGTAGTCGATGATCTGGTACAATGGTCACCTTCCCCCCCGGATTTTTTCAAACCGATTCTCGATCTGCAATTTATAGCTAGTCCTCTGCCGAATTTTTCCCGGATAATGTGGCTAAATTCCGTCCAACACTTGGCTCCTCCATTTCCCCGCTGCATATCCTCTCCACAAAGACAAATTGCGGGGGAATGGGTAAATGCAGCTGCTCTTTTTGGCGGCGTCTTGGATAATTGGATAAATGCTAATATTCTGAAGAATAGTATTAGATGACAGATGTAGAAAACAAAGTTGTCCCTGTGGTCTATGCTCTCATGGTTCAGATCAATGCTATCTCCGCCAAGGCTGCGATAAAATCCACGTGCCCCCAGGGGCTTCATGAAGACACAGGCCTTCTTATTCACGGATCACATCAAATTTTGATTATAGGCTGATTAAATTTATTCGGACCGCGTGGGTTGAGTTAACAATCGGAGAAGGATATTTAAACATCGAGATTCCCAGTGCTAGGTACTGTTTAGCTCAAGAACAATAAGGAAGTGATACGAATTGAACCTGAAAATGGGATCGACAATGCTGAGATGATTGCGCCGCCTCATTGTGAGAAATATCCTTTTTCCCAAAGAAAGATATAGAAGTTCCAATAAAGTTCGAGTCCCTGGTCAAAAAAAGCTTTGTGGAGAATTTTCCTGCCAAATCTGCTGTCATATTCCAAGACGGTACCTTGATGTTGAGGAATTCATAGGCTTAGATGTGGTGAGGTCATGCGACGGATGCAACCCTACTTTGTACGCCGGAATGGGGATACACCGCTGATTTCACTGCCTCTAGATCTTCTGATTATGCGTAGAAATATCTAGAAGGAATTTGAGAAGGAGAATAAACTGGTGAGACATGATCTGCATGGGATACCAAGGGCGAAAAAGGGGCATGCTTTACGGGATACAAACATAAGTTGTAGACTTTCCGTGACATAGGATTCAAATCAAGCTCGCGGGAAGTACTTACCTTTTTCCCCCGCAGATAAGCCTATAAACAGTCCAAAAGTCCGGATGCGACCATCGTAGGCGATCTTTGCCTGTTCGGCCAAACCTTTCATGATGCGGAGAAACGTGGGGGGTGATATTCATGCATGGGCGATGCAACATTCTTCTTATCTAACAGAGCAAGGGATGTCACCTCTCTTTCGATAAGAAGAAGCTTGCATCTGGAGCTTTAAATCTTTGACAGGTGGCACACTGACTTGCTCTTTTCATATATCTTTGTCTATAAAAACTTGGATACAATATGTCGGGTTCAGCGCGCGTATCGTCACCAGATGGCACGGTGAAGAAAACGGACACCGTGGGCACTGTTGAGGAGCCCAACACGCTGAAAGGCTATGGCTCTGTGCCGGGTGTCATAGACGAGGTGACCCGAGTTGTCGACCACAAGGCTGAACGGCGTCTCTGTCGGAAGTTTGACTATCGCCTACTCCCCATCCTAGCGGTGATGTGTAAGTCTACCCAATCTGGTCAGTAACGCGGAAAAACTGACTAGTGATAGACCTATTCAATGCCCTAGACAAGGGAAATCTTGGAAATGCAGAAACCGATGGAATGAGCAAGGGTATGTAAGATGCTCGATTTAAGCGACGGGCACTTAAGACTAATTGGATGGCTAGATCTGAACTTCAAGCCGAATGAGTACAACCTCCTGTTATCGATTTTCTTTGTTCCGTTCGTGATATTTGCACCGCCCTTCTCAATGCTTGGAAAGAAGTTCAGTCCAGCGCGCGTACTTCCGATCTTGATGTTCTCATTTGGTTCCTTCACGATGCTCTCCTCAGCCGCCTACAATTTCAGCGGGATGTTCGCCTTGCGCTGGTTCCTGGGAATGTCTGAGGCTGCATTTTTCCCACTGGTCATCTATTACTTGACCACATTTTACCGTCGTGGCGAGCTGGCTCGTCGCCTGGCTGTTTTCTACGCTGCCTCGAACATCGCAAACGCTTTCTCCGGGCTCATTGCGTTCGGAGTGTTCCAGATCAAAGGGTCTCGTATTCCTAATTGGCGCTATCTTTTCATTATTGAGGGCGGCGTCACTGTTCTCTTCGCTATATTCGCATTCTTTTATCTCCCACGGAGTGCCGCAGAGGCGAAGTTCTTGTCTGAGGAGGAGAAGGCGCTAGCTTTCCACCGAATTCAAGTCGACTCCAGTGCAGTAGTCAACGAGAAGTTTAACTTCCGCGAGGCTCTTGGCATCTTCAAGCACCCCACCACATACGCCTTCTTGTGTATTGAAATATGTCTCGGTGTGCCTTTGCAAGGTGTCGCGCTCTTCATGCCGCAGATCGTCGGAGGGCTGGGTTATCCCACCGTCAAGACCAACCTGTACACCGTTGCACCCAATGTGACAGGAGCAGTGATGCTGCTGGTGCTCGCCTTCTCCTCCGATTGGACTAGACTCCGATCGCCATTCATTGTTCTGGGTTTCCTGCTCACTTTCTCCGGGTTCATGATCTATTCATCCATCGACGATGTCCAGAGTGACATCCATGTCGCCTACTTCGCAACTTTCATGATGACTTGGGGAACGTCCGCCCCATCCGTGATGCTAAGCACTTGGTATAATAACAACATCGCCCACGAGGGTCGCCGTGTACTATTAACCAGTATCGGCGTGCCTTTGGCCAACTTGATGGGCTTGGTGAGCAGCAACTTGTTCCGGAAGCAAGATGCTCCCAAGTATACGCCCGCGCTGATTAGCGTTGCTGCATTCGGTGCTACTGGCGCTTGCTTGACGGCTGGTCTGGCACTCTACATGTGGCTGGATAACAAGCGACGCGACCGTAGTGATGGAGTCACAATTCGGGCACGGGATATTCCAACGGAGAGAATGAGAGATGGGCCGGCATCTGCTGAGTTCCGATGGTTTTTGTAGGAGGAAAGTCGAAATATCACATCTGTATTTAGTTATGCGAAATGAATATCCATCTGTCCAAACGCCTCGTGTTCCCTAATCTTGCTGACACCTATGGGCGACAACCTCAAGTATGCCACCCGGGACTTAACTCTCATTAGTTTATATTTTCCAGGCAAATATTCCGCTATTCACTCTCACTCAGGAATTATATAGTTTGTTTACTTACCTGGATGTCTTAGAACAAAGTATACAGTCTTTCTAAATCCAAAATTGAATCAACTTGTCTACTATATATATACTCTAAGTGCAATTAAGTGATACTTTGTACCCAAGTGTATGCCCCAGGTAATAATATGGTGTTCAATCAGTATGTTCTTTCATTAAACCTATCAGTTACTATTAGTATGATACAGGGCCAATGGTGACCATAATGAGCGGCGACGATTTAGCGTCCAGTAGTGGTACCATCATCCCTGTATTCTACCACCCCATCGCGACTAGTGCCGGCTCCTCCGTGTCCCTGTCGTTAGTGAGAATGAGGTAAATCAAAATCAATTCGCCTGCATCTAAGTAGCTTCATACAGAGCACGTACGTAAACTTTTGCATTTTTAACTACAACATAGGATAAACGGACCATTCGGGGATCATCAATGGCTGAGGCACTAGAAAGCTTATTGTGATTCCCGATGATTTCATGTAAATTGTGATTTGTGAAGCTAACTACCTAGCTCATGTAGCATGACTCATTTATATTAGGCTACCTAATTCCAAGTTCGAAAAACAAAAACTAGATGAACCAGGACCGGAGCTCCGTCGTTTAAGAACCCCCCGGGGCCCTCTTTAGTATTTGAACTCACCATTCTCCTCGAATTGAGTTAAATTTCATCCAGTAGTTCGTTCATATAACCCACCTGTGGCTTTCTACCATGGAATACTTCCGGCATACCGCTCACATCGGAACCCACTCCTTAAGCTACGCGTTGCGAGGCATCCCTCGGCAACCCGGCGCCCCATTAGTGGTGGTAATCTCCGGAATCACGAGCAGCGCGCTAGAATGGAGCGGAGTGTGTCGCCATCTCGAGAAAGACGCGTCTATTCTCCTATACGAACGGACTGGCTACGGCCAGAGCGAGGAATTCCCAACGGCGGAGCCAGACTCTCTGACTATCGTCGATGAGCTGTCCAGACTGCTGATTGCTGCGGCACTCCCGCCCCCGTACCTGGTGGTGGGCCATTCCTGGGGCGGGATGCTCGCACGGGAGTTCCTAGCCGCGCGCGGGCCCGAAGACATCTGCGGAATGGTGCTAGTGGATGCAGTGCAGGAACGGATGTTCATCGAGACGTGGCCTGATCCCAGCATCGCCGCAGTCATCGAGGGGCTCGACTACAGGGAGGTCGTGGGGCTGGACCGCGATCACCGACTGACCGAGTCCGAGTGGGCGGAGATGATGGCGGAAGAACTTAGCCCCCACCACGAGCGCCAGGCCGTCCGGGAGCTGCCCCAGTTGCAGATCAGCCGCGGGGTCCTAGCTAAGAAGGAACAACTTCGTCCTGGTCGGGATCTGCTGCAAGGTAAGCCGCTTAGTGTGCTTCGCGGTAATTCTCTGCGGGATATGGAGCGGCTGTACCAACGGGGCGTAGAACAGGGGTTGGGGACTGACGCCCAGCGAGCAACTTTTCGTGACATTATAGCCAATACGGACCACAACGAGGAGGATTTGCAACGCGAACTTCTGAATCTGTCGACCAATGCACGCTTCTCCACGACATCTCAGAGTGGCCATAATATTCAGCTCACTGAGCCTGAACTAATCGCCGATGAAATTCGTTGGGTCCTACAGCGGATTTGATCCGTCGACATCGCCATCTGAGCATCGGTCTATATTTGCATGTATCTATCATATCCCAGAACATATATCATCTATGAGCTCTCACCCCATGTTTTAGAAGTTAGGCAGTAGGCATGAACGAGGTGAGTGCACAGTAATGGTTTAGGGCTCAACGGTTGAAGTGGTGCAGATGTCAGCCCTTAGTTCCGGACGTGATAGACTAGTAGGCTTATGTGCACCGGAAGAGCTGTCTTTGTTACGCGTAATGTACTTTTGCATGGAAATCTGGTATTTTCGATATGCATGACTCGTCATTGAGGGATTATTCGTCGGCCGAACATGTGTCCGAGTTTGTAAGGACTCAGCATAAACCAATCAAAACTATATTAAACCAAAGGATACCCCGTTGAAGTAATCAGCTAAACCAAAAATCCCTTCAATGTTCCAGAATGCAGGTCTGTAAGTAAGTGTGTTGACATCCCTACCCGTGAACCTGGGCGGAGAAAGAATCCTAAAACTTAGGGGGGAAAATCCCTCGTACTTTGTACATCGATGTAGCTGAACATCCCTGCAATATTCGTCTCTTTGATTTTTCCCCTGTGTGATCGATCTCACAATCGTGAGCCATTGGGCAGTCCTCAAGTGGCAACCGATTTGACAATTTGAATTAAATCAGTCTTATTTGGTTGCTTTTGAACACGCCCACTTGAAAAAGGAATACGCACGAGCTACTGCGTATTGTGATTCCCGTTCAGCTCACCGCTGTTCGACCTGACATCCATGCAACTTACCCCGCATCATGTGGATCAGGGGATATAAAACAGTCACAGGGCTCACCTTGGACTTCGTGCATTGAGCTGGTTTTAACAATTTCACACCTTCGACCCCGCTTCTCATCTTACAAACAATGGCTTCCAATACCAGTCAAATATCCCCTTTGCGGCCTGTCACTCGGCATATCACAGGCCACAATGAGAACGGGAAAGCAGTGATCCATTCCTCGACACCGGCTGAATGGATATCACTCGACGAAAGCAAGATGGCATTCAACGTTGTTTACACGAACCAATTCCACCCCGATCTCAACAATGATGCGGACGTCAAGACCCACGAGACATTGACAAAATCGGACCAGCTGGGCCTCGTTAACCCTGGCGGAACCGTGTGCCGCATTGTGGACTTCGCCCCCAACAACATTGCTGTAGTTCACCGGACGAAGAGTCTTGATTATGGCGTGGTGCTTGAAGGGCAGGTTGAAATGATACTGGAAGATAGCGAGCCAGTCATCATGAACCGAGGAGATGTTGCGGTACAGCGGGCTACGATGCATGGGTGGCGCAACACCAGCGAGACAGAATGGGCTCGTCTCCTGTTCGTGCTGCAGGATTGCAAGAAATTGACAGTGGGTGGGGAGGAATTGGGGGAAGATCTGGGAATTGCGGCTGGACAACTCAAGCCGAGTAACAATAACCAGGAGTGAATGTTCTCGGCTTTTCTGGGATAATGACAATGAAAGTTCAATTTTTTTTATTGAACCTTGATAACTACCTTGCCAAAGTGGCTGCCGCTTTCCAGAAACTTGAATGCTTCTTTGGACTCGGCAAACGAAAAGACCCGGTTAACTACGGGGTGAACCTGGTTTGTCTCATAGAAACGGATCATCTCTTCAAACCGATCCTTGGGACCATTGATAATTCCTCTAAGTGTCACCGTTCGACGCAGAGTCAACAGGTTGACATTCAGGCGGTCCTCGTCGGCATCTATTTTGCCCGAGACATAGCCAATGCAGTTGATCAATCCTCCGAAAGCGATGCAATCAAAGCTCTTCCGCAAGGTTTTGGCACCGCCAACTTCCAAAATGATATCAACACCGTGATTCTCGGTGATCTTCATCACTTCGGCTTCCCAGTCGGGGTTGGTGCGGTAGTTGATAGTAAAATCAGCACCTAGCGTTTTAGCCTGGTCCAACTTCGCATCGGACGAGGAGGTGATAATAACTTGTTTGCAAAATTAGCGTTTCCCTCCTATAAACGGTAAAAGATCCCGCCACCCACCCTTCGCACCAGCCGCCTTTGCAATCTGCAGCCCGGCGATAGCCACACCACCAGTGCCCTGGAGCAAGACGTATTCGTCCTTCCCACCACTCTGCCCTATCGGTCGCATGCCATTGATAGACATCCATGCCGTGACTGAAGCAATGGGAAGCGTAGCCGCCTCCTCATCTGACATGAAGCTAGGCGCCTTCACCAGGCCGTAGTCAGGGAACACGCGGTGAGTTGCAAGGACACCATCCTGCGGTAGCCCCAGGCTCCTGGCAAGTTCCTTCTCGGTCACCTGGCCGGTTTGATGATCGGGCAGGAAAGTCGAAAGCACCCGGTCGCCGACTGTCCACTTTGTCACACCAGATCCAACTTGCGTCACCACCCCGCACATGTCCGAGCAGGGCACGATGGTGGCATCTTGTTCGGCGGATTTGTGATGCTTATACTCGCCATTTGTCACTGGAAGTCTCGGTCAATATTACTCCTGGACATATGTTCTTGGTGACTTACCTTCCACGTCGCGGTAGTTCAGAGAGACAGCACGGATCTCTACCAACACTTCGCTTGGCCCTGGTGCGGGCATGGGAGCTTCGGTCTGGCTAAGGCTGTCAATGCCCTTCAAGGGCGAGATCCATTGTTTAACGGCCATATTTCCAACGCCCTAATTGAGAGACAGGTTTAACTGAAAATAACTGCAACAGGTTAAGGACTTAAACCGGTTATAAATCAAGTTGGAGAAAATTGGAGATACGGATCCATCCTGGAGGCCTTGGAGGTGCTGAGTAATCGAACTGTTCGACCAACATTCTCTCCAAAGCTCCAGGGCTGCTTTCTTTCTGGCAGTCGATCACCAAATGGATATCTCTGTAAGTGCTGATACATAGCATTTGGTGTCCTCTCACATGAAAGAACTGCAAGTCCGGCAAGCAAATATGCTATCCAGCACAGCGGGGCTTATCTCCGCCAAACTCCGATAAACCGGTTATATCACCCCATCTGCATTCCTCACTTCCTCAACACTCACAACTCCTTTCAAAATGGGCGACGTATCACCTATAGTTCCGGAAGAGCATTCACATGCAGTCAAGTCAACTCATTCCCCGCAAGCTCTTTTCCACCACAACCCGGTTGCCCACTCCTCCCCGCGTCTACCTCATGCCATCGCCCACCGCGGGTTCAAGGGCCAATACCCCGAGAACACTCTACTATCAATAGATGGCGCAATCCGAGCCGGGGCTCAAGCCCTCGAACTCGACCTCCATATCTCCCGTGATGGGATCGTGGTGTTATCACACGTAAGTAACACACACACCCCGCGATCTGGAACCACGCTCATCGATCCAAGGACGCAAGCCTCATGCGCTGTTACGGCATCAAGAAAAAGGTCATCGACTGCGACTGGGAGTATTTACAAACTCTGCGAACCCTACAAGCCCCCCATGAACCGATGCCCCGGTTGGTCGATGTGTTGGAATACCTAAGCCAACCGGGTCGGGAGAATTTATGGATCTTGCTAGACATAAAGGTAGCGAATCCATTCTCTCCAACTCACACATTACATCGGGAAGTTAACATCATACCCCCACTTCCCAGCTCGCCAACGAACCCTTCGATATAATGCAACGAATCGCCAAAATCGTCGAGTCAGTCCCTTTACCCGCGAACGGACCCGACTGGCACCACCGAATCGTTCTCGGCTGCTGGTCTGCACGATACATACCCGCACGAGCAAAGCACTTGCCGCTGTACGCGGTAACGCTAGTCTGTGTCGACGTGAGCTATGCGCGGCAATTCCTCCAAGTACCGCTTATATCGTTCAACATCAACCAGATGATCTTGATGGGCCCGCTAGGGCGAGGGTTCTTAGACGAAGCGCGTGCAGCTAGGCGTCAAGTCTATGTTTGGACGGTGAATGCGCCGAATCTAATGCGTTGGTGTATCCGACACGAGATCGACGGGGTTATCTCCGATGAGCCCGGTCGGTTCCGGCAGGTTTGTCAGGGGTGGGAGAAGGAACATACGGGTGTATTGGGAGCCCCGAATCCCGAATTAGATCGGATCCCTTTTAGACAACGGATAGAGATCATCGCCGTGGCGCTTTATGTGATTTGCTTTGGATGGATCTTGAAGCGGATGTATCTTACTCCAGTTGAGCGACTTGGGTTTGAGGAACACAAGTCGAAATAGTTGCATAGCGTTGACGTTGGGGTGTGATAGCATATTGATGGTTAATGATATAATGACGCATGGTTTTTAGTTATTGATGAAAGATGAAACTTAGAAATGACATTATGTCTCATGTGCATTAAACTTGTAAATCCTGTACAAGAGATAGTCCGCCAACCAAACACCGAGCCGAGAGATAGTAAGTACATTAGGAACATTTCGGCATGAGGAAGAAATCAACAAAATACACCACCCCGGATGATGGCCCAAAAATCACGAAACATGCCAATGGGACGATTTCAATGGATACACATTGAAGGATAGCCCCGATGGAAGGGAAAAAACAGACGATCAACGCCATTGCCAGCGAAAGTCAAAGGGTGAGATAGCAGAGGGTATATCGCGATATATAAAGGAATGAAGAAAGTGGGGGGATGAAATCCACGGTATGTGCACAAGAGGAATGTGCAACCCATCGCTCTCCTAAGTTCACAGGAAAGAAAGATGCGAAAGACGATTTGCTCAAATCATCATAAGCCTGGTAGTTCGTCGTTCGGGGAACCGTCCTCCACCTCCAGGGGGGAATCGGGGACCGGGATGGAGTCCAGGGCCAGGCCCGGGTCCATGTCCAGGTCTTGCCCCAGGTGGAGGGTACGGACCCGGAGGGAATTGGCCGGACTGGGCGAGGGGAGACGAGGGTAGGTTGGGTCGGCGACGACCAGGAGGACCAGGAGGACCAGGGTGTGGTGCGTGAGAGGCAGCAGCGGCTCGGCGAGCATCTCTTTCGCAGAAGACTTCACCATTCCACTCGAAGTAGTCGCCCTTGAGAAGGACGTGACATGTACGACACTGCAAGCAGTGGGTGTGGAATCGACGGCGCTCTGGTCGTGCAGGGTTCCGCTCCACGGTTTCTAGATACTGGCCCTCGATACCGGTGTGGCAGCCGGCGCAAAGGGACCCGTTGCGCTCGTGGTAATGTTGCGCGCAAAATGGTCTGTTGTTGAGGACGTAGAAATCGGCTGTTTGGAAGGGAGAGTGGCACTCGAAGCAAACGAAACAGCCACGGTGGTATCGACCTGTGAGACGGCCGTCCGAGGATGATATCGATTTTCCTGTAATTGGCTCATTGCAGCCCTTACAATTCCCCTTCGCACGTGTCACCGACCGAGCTGGTGTTGTTGTTGTTGGTGTTGTTGGTGGTAGTGGTGCTGTGAATGAGCGTTGTGGTGGTGGCTTTCGGGGAATAGATTGTTTTGGTTGTGTTGGGGTTGGAGTCGGGGGGACTTCTTTTCTCTCTGCAATCAATGAAACGCCACCTCGGTTGATTGAAGGGTCGGTAGGTGAATCCGGGCTGAAGAAAGCAGCCGGGATGGGAGGGACATCTATGGTGCTCCGTATACGGCCGGGTACTTCTAAAACCGTCTGTCGGGTCCGGACTGGCTGTTCTTCAACCACGGGTTTTAGATTGAGCGGATCGGTGGGTTTGTGTCGGCTCAAGCTAGCATCGGAGGGGAGACTAGACATTGAACTACCGCTGCGAGCATCGGAAGCCGATGAATCAGATCCAGAGCTTTCGGAGTTGTTCATTTGGTCATCTAGACCAAGAGCCCGCGCGAAACTAGTGACAGAAAATGCACTTGTCGTACTTGCGTTGGAGCTTTTCCTTGGCGCATCGCTACCCGGCTCTGTTGTCGCTGTGGTAGGGTGGAGGTTTGCCGGATTGAAAGCGGTATATTCAGTATTATCTTGGAATTGGGGCGAAGGGGGTTCCTCAGGGAGATCTTGTAGTCCGGTAGTCGGGTTTTGGTTTGTGGGAATACCAAAGTCGAATTCACTGGCTTCTTCCTTGCTAATCCGGGATGAAGCCACCGAGACATTAGAATCACGGGGGAGAGAAGTATTGTTGGTGGTGCGGAGAGGTGCCAGTGGGACTGGTGGTATGTCTTCCATAAATGACCGGAACCCCCGCGAGAGGCTATTGGTCGATGACCTCGTTGTGGAATCGCCGTAGCGACTGCTGGCGAAAGAGGTCCGGTAGCTACTGTTGCTCACCACCGACTCCCCCCTGTGGTGATTCGTATCTGTGGACTTGGGCGGCAGTGGACTAGGTGGAAGTTGTATATTCTCTGGCATCACAGCCTGCCCTTGTCCCGGCGACGAGACTGGTGGTCGTGACTTGAACATATTCCGATCCATCATTGGACTTGGTGTCCTCACTTCAGTGGGTGACCTGTTTCCAGGCATGGGGAACGAGAAGACCGAATCATCGGGCAGACTGTGCGGAGACGGGCGCGCCGTGGATGGAGGTGCTGGGCTGACAGGCAGAGGTGATAGATGGACACTGTTAGCTGGTGTCGGAATATTTGGCTGCAAGAATGCTCGATCTGTATGTAGGGTTAGTCGCTGATCCCTTCAACTCCCCACATGGCGATTTGAGACATACTTGCAGCGGAGGGGTCTATGGCCAGGGGAGGGCCCCGGCCAACCTTTGACTCTGTGAATCGGTCTGAATCGAACCCTGCCGATGGAGGCGGCGATGGGATAGGTGCGACTGGGGCTTTAAAGTCAGCAAACATAGACCTGGGGTCATGTTGGATATTCAAAGCCTACCAAAATCATTTCGAATACAAGTGTGATCCCCCATGGAGGAGATCTCGACATTGGACCCGCAATTGGAGCATTTTATGGTGGGCAAGAAGCCCATGTTCATTGAAGCCATCAAAGATTGTGAACATCGAATTCAGTCATATCCCCTCGAGATATGGGGAAGACTATTCTAGAGCGATTCTAAAAGAAATGGAAGATGAGATGCCCAGGAGAATTGATTGTAGTTTGTGCCAGAGGCAAAAACACGCTAGTTGTTAGCGTCTCCAGTGCGGAAAGGGGGTGCGTAACTGTGTTCAGGGGTTCCAGGACTTTCTCTGGGATTAATATAATAGACATTATGGGCTTATTTTAGAATTATTATACTCAGTACGGAGTATACGGAGTATAAATAATTAGATGTGATACACAGAGTATCGAGTACAATATGTTATAGATACAATAATCCTTCAGTTCTTCCTCTATTGTCTCGAAATTGTATATTACCATCTCCACTATATCACTAAATTCATCTCTCCTAAACCGCCTGTGGATCCAAAAACATTCTGTGCACAAACCTATGCACATCAATATGGAAAAAGAGATTCAGCTTGCAATGCGACTGGTCCATACCTAGTGTGTGATCCTCCACCGGTACCAATCACATTGCCCAGATGATGTTGTGAGACTTGTAATCTTTCGATCAGTGGGGGGTGTCTCGATTCGGATTTTGAATGGATTTTGACACTCCAAAGACTTTCCTAACACACCCCCTGAGATCATGTGGCGACAGTCCCTCTTGGAATACGGAAAAACAATCAACTCTGTTGCTTTTCGCCCGTGCTGGCGATCCGCGGGGCCATTTTTTTCCCCTTCCGAACCCGCTCCTTTTACTGGTCACTACTTCCCACTCAACGCCACGCATCATGCAAGACCCTGGCACTTGGCCGAAACCAGAAGTACATCTCCGTACTCCGTCCATTGTATGTTGTAGATACGTCTCTACCGTTTGGGTAGTTGCCAGAAATAACGCGCCAAGCCCGGGTGTTTTGATCCTCACTGTTTGAAAATTCGTAGAACCCGTATGATGGTGTGAGAATGAGACAAGATGCTACCCCGTATGGGGCTTCTGATTGTGCGCGGGAGAGGGACGATCATTTGTCACACCTGTGCCTCCACTGCAGACGCGGCCCAGGTTGGAGTTGGAGAGATGCGAGACATTCTCTCATCCTCTTTCTCGCTTTCCTGCTTACATGGTAGCACAAGTTTCAACACATGCCCCACGTCTCCCGAAGCTGTCGCTGGAGCGCGTGAGTTGGCCAGCCGTGGAGTTTATCGGTTTGGATAAGGACCTGGATCAAATGGTCCTGTTCATGTGGGTCCGTGAAGCGATCGCCGCCTGTGATCCTGATCAGCCTCATATATACTTATAACATATTCACACTTTTCGCCGCTTACAGAGATGGATTGCCATGCACCCGACAACCATGGCTGGCGGCACAGAGGCATTAGACAATGAAGCGCCGCAGACTTTCCAAACCCCGCTGCGGATATGATCCTGAACCTCCTGTTAGTCTCAGCTTGAGGGACTAATGTAGATTGGAAAGTAACTCAAACACTTACATCAGCCTCCTGAATCAGACGCCGGCGAAGAGGTCCAACCGTAGGCAGAGTTGGGTCATGCACGGAAAGCAGAATCTGGGCAAGATCGATATATTGATTGCCGATTGCTATTTCTCAATCAATTAGCCTCGGTTCATATCCTAAATAGCATTCGGGATACGCCGCTTCTTGGAATATCACCCGATACGTACCATGCCAGGGACACCCGTAACGAATGTCGGGGAATTTAGTTCCCACCTCCCCGTCCTCACCCACAAAATAAGGGTCGAAAGTGTCTGGCCGAGTCTCACTCCATTGCTGATTATGCACCTTAAGGTCTGCATGCACAGCCGCCGAGCGAGGTCCCTCCCCGAAACAAAACACCAAAACGTGGGCACAATGAGTGATTGCTTGATTTGCCCATGCGCAATCACCTGCACCAGGGCCCAGCGAGTTAAAGTGTGAATTCAAGTCCAAGGATCTCAGCTCAATGTCTGGAGTTTGGTGGAGGCTGAGAGAATTGTAAATCTCCTGGCGCAAGCCACTCCAGTAGACAGCCTGTCGTAGACTTGAGGTTGTGGTAATCATTGATGGGGACCGTATGAAAGCCTTTGTCCCGAAGGAGTGGCCTCGAATATCGGACCCAGCGAGTGGGACTATTATCATTGTCAGCAGGTTTCAAGATGCACGTGGAAATGAGACCACTTCTAACCATCAAACTCTTCCAGCAAACGTAGAATTACAGTCGCAGCCAGCAAATCATCGTCCATTGTAACACCGTGATCATTCAGCGCAGGGATCAACTTTTCCAGACATGCTTGGTAATAGCGGTCTGATACAAAAGGGTCAAAAGCCGTTGTGCGATTCAAATGACGAGCTGACATGGCCAGTATCGCATTGAACAAAGTCTCACATCGGCGTGCTCTGTAAGGGATATGGATGGCAAAATGCTGCTGCCGGTCCGTGCAATCGAACTTGATATCGTACAGTCAGACTACCGCTTGTCATTTGGAACAAATAATTATTACTTACGAAAGGTGCAACTTTGTCCACAAAATGTTGCAACAAACGCGCCTCTTCGGGATCTCTCAAGGGCCATGGCCGCTGATTTGATCGTTCAGGCGTGCCCACCACCGGGAATGTTGGCGAAACAGCACTACTGCTCGTATTTACTTGGTGGTTTGAGAGACCATACTGCGGCAACGGGGCGGTATATGAGGACCCGGGAGACAGCCTTTCCGGTATAGGATTTGACTCAGCATAACTATGCAAACTTCCGGCAGGCGACAGCACATTGGTTGCCGTCTGGGTCGAGTTATCCACTTGGTCGCTTCCGCTTTCGAGTACAAAGTCAACTAGCAACGGTCTGGTGTCAGATTAGATCTCAGGGGAATTGGGTACAGAATCCAACCTCTAGGTGGTGGCCGAAGCCAAACTTGGTTGCTGGGAAACTTGGTGCGCACCGCCCGACCCTTTGCCTGTCGAAATTTGGTTTCCTTTTTACCTCGAGTGCATTCGCGGCCTGTCCGCATGCATCGGCTGCATTGTGGCAAGATCCCGTCGCCTATGACAGTCAGAGGAGAGCTGGTTCTGGGGGGAATACGCAGTGTTACATTTATGGTGAAGTACACGGCATGGATCACTGAATATAGTCAGATATCAGCACTAAAAGCCACTAGAATCATTTAGGCCGTTGCTTACCAGCATTGGGGGTTCTTCGCACCAGGCATGGCGGAGATGTTGATTTTCTTCATCACTTCCGTCGGGGAAGTTCCCCACTGCGGGGAATTTAATCCGGTGCCACAATATACGAAGTGGCGATGATATCGTTACTCTCGGCGACTATCTGATGACTATCTGTTCTAGGGCGATAATATATTAAAAGAAACAGCATTTCTCGAAAATGTACGTACCGGATCATGTTTCTGTATGAACATGCAGCAAGGCCGTAATTGACCCACTCGGGTTCACATTCTTGTCTTTTCCCATTTAGTTCCAAGGCTGGGGGTCTTTGCCTATCTGTGATGCAGATTTGTAGGCCTGAAGTTACCTAAGGGATCCAAGCTCAAATGTTCGGTTCTATATATCACTGCGATTGCATTCGGAGCTTAGCTTCAGAAGGCTAAAGCCATGAGACAAAGATCTCCCTCGCTAAACATAAAACCTCCCATCAAACCCTACACCTATCCACAGGAATCACCCTCCTCAACGCATCATCATGCCGCTTAAAGACATCCCCAAACTTGCTAACATCCTCCGCCCCCATCTCCCGCCTCTTCGACGCCGCATGCGAATAATTCTTCCCCGTCCTCACCCTCGCAGAACCCAAAAGCAAATCTAGCACCGCCATGGCAGGGCTCCCCTTGTTCTTGACAGCATCATACACGCTCATCGCCGCGTTGCCAACAATATCAACAACAATCGCGGCCTCAACCACCCAAGCTAGCCCCGCAATCTCACCGACGATCTCCCCGGCAAAGGGCATAACGACCAGAATAGCGGTAAGAATCTTCATGATTAGCTCTGTCTCCTCGTATTTCTTTTCTTCCATGCCGAGCTGTTTGACCTGCTCCATTGACTCGACTGCCTGCGCCAGCATAAATACAGGAAGTGAGACAGCCTCGGCTGCGTCGTCGAAGTCCCCGTCCCAAAAGCCAAACATCATCTCCGTCCAGGTCGTTGCAATGTCCAGCTCCAACTGGTCGAATCTGCCGTTGCTTTTGCTTAGAATATCCTTGGGATTCACGAAAGTCATGTTATCCGCTGGATGCGGGTAATCTTCCAACACAACCATACCATCCCGACACGTATCTGGGTGCAGAGGGATCTTAGGCGGACAAGGTTTCGTAATATCCCAGTCCTCAAAACTAATCCAGTCTTTCTGGATCCCGCGCTCGGCTGCGTCATTCCAGAATCCCTCCTCGTCATTAAAGTCGTAGTCGACGTGGTAAGACATCACGAGGGATCCAACAGGGCAGGTCTGCGGGTCATGGTGCTCGTCATCGCGAAGCGTGCAGTCGAAGTATTTATTGCCAGGCCCTTTGTTGCCATAGGAGACAAAGCTCCAGATTTGCTCCGGGACGACCCGGTGCATATACTTGACGTAGTAATTGAACCAGTAGTCGTAGTCGTTGTCGACGGCTGTGTAGTTTGCTTTGGTGCTCTTCAGGAGTTTGAGGAGGACTTGCATAGTGTGAATACCGGTGCAGCCGCTGGGAATTGTGGAGAGGGAGTTCTCGAGATCGGTCATTGTGTTGAATGTTAGTGACAGGTCGCATGCTTCGGAGTCTGCGAGGGCGTCTGTTAGGCATTGGGGGTCTTCAGAGTCATCGTTGCACATGACGACCTCGTTGGGGCGGTAACTTTTGCAGGCGGTCTCGGGGCAGTAGCTGCGTGAGCAGGCAAAGCTGCAGAGGCCCGAGTCGTCGCCTTCTAGTGTCCATTCACCATCGTAGTCTAAATCCTGAGCAGGCGGAGGGACCAATGTCCCGGTCGAGGTGCAGGTGCAGTGCTTGATCGGGCAGAATCCAAAGTCGCATGCATACTGGCAAAGGCCAATAAAGTTATCGTTCCCCGTGCCAGAAGTGCAGGCTGATGGGAGGAAAGGCGACACCGTGGGCTCGGTCAGGGCAACCTCAGTTGTCCCGCATGCGCTGGGCGGGCAATGGCCATAATTACAGGCAAAGTCACAGAGACCAATATAGCTAGACCCCTCACCGGCAATTGGGTACCCTTTCACCCCCGTTGGCTCTGGGAGCTTCTTCGGCGGTCCGAGCTCCAGGCAGACACAGGCGCCAGTAGGACAGTATCCGTAGCTGCAGGTAAACTCGCAAAGGCCCTTGAAGTTGCCCTTTGCCGTGCCCCTGATACATTGCTGCTTGTCGACAGCGAGCATTGGCGACACAGCTTGAGCCAGCTTCGGGCCTGTGGCACTCCCCACCACGCGTTCCAGTTGGTGTAGCCGTCCGGACAACTCGTGGTAATATCCGTCCCAGTAAACGACGCAATCGTATTCCCGGAGCGCGAGATGGTGATCTTGACAGCCCCGCGATTACCGCCGTAAGCCACGCTCCCATGATAAACACCCACACCACCGCTGGGTTTGTTTTCCCATTTCGCGGGGAGTGCCACTCCACCCACCATCACAGATATACTAGCATCGGAGGCCAAAACCGCGGAGAAGACAATGATATCCTGCGCAACTTCCGCAGGGTCAAACTCAATCTGAAACTGCTGGGCCGTGTTGCCGGATGTCCCGCCACTATTGCAAGCCGCGGCCGGGTTCGGACGGTACCAGCCAACTACCAGTTCTTCCGAGATCGATGCCTTGCCCTTTTTGTACGTGTCGATCCAGTATGGCAGGAGCTTGCGCCAGGCATCGTGTGGCATCCCGGTTATGTAGTCGTAGGGGGCTTTTCCGACCTCAAAGGCCTTGTAGTCGCCCTTTGGCAATGGACCGATGTAGTGTGACTCTCCGAAGTCGTTCCAGCTGATGATCTGGACCAGGTCCGGCTGCACAACCATGACCTCTTCCCAGCGATCTCTCCACAGGTTGTCTCCTGGTTTGTTTACCATATATCAGCAAGGAAATCCCATCACACAATGGACCAAAACAGACAAGAGTTAGAGATATTACTTACCGCGCCAGAGCCAATTCTTGTTATACCCAGGTAAATTAGTATAAAACCACGGCGAAACGGGCATCATATAAGGCTTCCCATCATCCCTCTCCAAATAATCCAAATACGATGCATCAACATAAGTATCCATATCCGTATTTCCCCAAGGCCAAGCTGCCCAGTTGAACAACCCATCCGCTGTTTTGAGTGCCAGCGCATCCTTAGCGCCCAGGGACGACCAATCCGGCATAAAGAAACAGTCGACTGCGGCCTTGATCTCCACCCAGTCCACCGCATTCGCCGAACCCTCAAAAGTTGAGACCAGCGGTTTGCCTCGGAATTAGTAGAACGCGTCATATGACACCCAGTAACGGAGTGTTTGAATGACGGTATCCTTGGTAAAGGGACCGTTACCGGCGTAGTCAAATGAGAAAACGAATTTGAAGCCTACTTTGTTGGCGGCAATGACGGCCTTGAGGATTGCTACGTCGTAGGGCACGCCGGATCCAAAGTTGAGTGCGAAGCCGTCGATGTGGGCTGCGCGGGCGAGGTTTATTTCGTCTTCCCAGGCTCCTAGGTCCCAGTCTTTGGCATTTTACGAGCTATGAAGGAGTTAGCTTGATCGAGCAGATATTATGTGGACAGCGTAGTTTAGGGATAGTGGATGGGTTTTAGATGGCGAGAAGAGTCGCAGCGTAGTTCCATCAGGCAGAGGTAGGGGTACTACCAGCAATATCGCAAATATCACAAATGTAGGCAGGCTTACCATAAAGTGCGCAAAAACAGCCTTGGGCTCCTTCGCTCTGGTGACAAGTACATTACTTGTCGAGTGAGAAGATCGGTGCTCAAGGGACAGGCCATGGTGATGATGGCGCCTAAGGGACGGACTGTGAACGTGATGGCTTCGACGATCCGTGTAGGCTGAAGATTTTGTAGCATTGCCGAGAAAAGCCCATTGTCCTGATAGAATACTTGCCAGATCCTCCAAGGTTGTATATGAACGAATCTTGGGGGACCAAGTGCCGTTTAGACGTGCGAATGCCTGAATAACATTGTGGTTAAAGGTCCGATTCTCGTAAGTGGACGAGTAGGTGTCTGGAACTGCCACTGGGGAAAGGCCAAGGGTGTTTATAATAAGGAATGGTAATATTAGAAGTGAGTGTAGAGGCTTCATTGTGGCGAACCTCAGAACCGTGAGTTTTGTGGTTAGGGAATGGAGCGTCTGTTAAGCAGATATAGGTGGGAGTTGGACAAAACAGAGATGAAAGAGAGTGAGGGAATGGTGACTAGACATTCGGTACAGAGAAGTGAGGTACTGAGGGAGTGTATATAAGTACTCTCACTACTGGCGCCCATTCCTATCATAGAAAAGCTCCGCAAAGCCCCTGGTACTGTCTAGGATGTTCCGGTGAGCTGAAAAATTCACCATATCCACTACGACTCTAAGGCTTCTTCAATATCAGTCTTTGTTATGTGATAATGGGTTTGAACGTAGCAGACTGATCAATATTATGATAGGAACCTCGGGCCCTCTCTAGCGCTTGTAGCCACCATACATAGCGAGTTCGCGACATCTATCTGAAATCGACGGTCTTTTGCTTATGATGGAAGCTCTTTCATACTGGATTTCATAGCAACCCTTGGCATTGCATGGCCCACTCCCTAAGCCCGTAGTATGAGACTAGGTCGATATCAAATTTCCAGCCGAGAAGGTCCGACAGCTGTTTCTAAGTCTCTATATCTCTAGGTTTGACCTAAGCTTAGCTGGCTTGGTATTATCTTGGCATTGATCATCGTGCCCTCTATCTCTACAGTAGTTCGAAACGTTTTTTTTACTATTATCCACTTTTCTGGTGTATGTTACCAGCTAGTTCTTCGAACAGAAGAGTGTACTCCGTATTTCATTCAGAATACTACCTAAATACAGAGAGGAAAGAGAAAGGAAGAAAGGATTGGTGGGTCAGAAGCCCTTTGTGGGTCGCGCTCCTTATGAACACACCAAACACCACCTCTTAAGAAACGAAGCAAACGTCCTAAAAAGGAAGTAGCCCCAAGGCTGTTTCAAGCGGCAGAATCTGGACTCTAGTTATAGGTTTCCGCAGAGCCTATGGATAAAACCAAAAGCGCTTCAGGGGTGTTTTTTTTGGCCTTTGGTGCAATATTTGAATCGCTTAAAAGGTGTAGAATGATAGAGCTTTAAATATATACATTATAGTTTAAATATAAAGAAAGTAGTGTGTTTAGGAGGTTCAATAAATTATAGAGGTTCATTAGAAATAGTAGTTGTATAGTTTATGACGATTATATATCCTCCTGTTTAAAATACTAATCTTAATACTTTTCTCATTTTCTCACTTTCCACGAGTCGGATTTACAGTCAACCCCCGTTCAAATGAACTCCACTTCTTTGTAAACCCCAGTTACTCCGTACTTTGGAAAAATTTACGCTCCCGGATATTTTTGCCATAGTAAAGAGTGCCAAGGCTGCCTAATTAGGTAGAACTCCCCCTGTTTGACGAACTTTGCTTTACAAAGTTGCTTTTTACTACATAATTTAGGCCTACCGTCCACATGTTTCGTTAATTCCATTGGCTTAACTTTTTATCCTGCCCTTTTCTGCCGGTTTTAAACATTCCTCAAATGAGATTATATAATGCAAGAAATGGCATAACTAACTATTACATAGCTAAAAAAAAATGCCAAGACTCCCCTTAAATTTGTAAGAATTTCCTCTCCGACAATCCTTACATTTTAACGGGGTTTGACTGTATGTTGTAGCTTTAGATTAATATAATAAGTGGATATAATAAGTGGAAGCTAAGATATAGTAACTACTCCGTACAACATATAGCATTGCTGATGCCAAGGCGGTTATGAACGCCAAGACTAAAAAATTATATATGGGCTTTCATAAGGGCCCATTGGGGGCCAATAATCTATCGTGGGCCGGGGATTAGGCTTTGCGGAAGCCTGGATAATTCATACGAGGTCTAGTAACAACGGGGTATAATTACGAGATCCTTCTAGTCTATGAACTACGTATTCTCTGGTTAGGAACGACTAATAGAGAACATTGAATAGCTCACTCTTTAAGCCCCTAGTGCGAGACCAGGTCGATATCAAATTTCCGGCCGAGAATTTCCGACAGCTGTTCCAAGTCTCCATAGACCTAAGCTTAGTTGGCTTCGAAGTTCCAAGGTTGTTATCATCTTGGCATTGGTCATCGCACCCTCTACGGTGTAGCTCTACAATACTTCGTAGTTCGGAATGGTTTGTTTAGTATTCTCCACTTTTCTAGTCTAGATAAAATCCCTGCTAGGCACTGTTTGGTAGGCTAACTTACTAGTTAGTACTACTAACTTAGTAGTTACACGCAATGTAACGTCCAACGGATGAAGACCTTAAGAGGCAATGCGGAGACCCTGCTAGTCCAGGAACTCTCTCTTGGCTAGTCAATATAAGGTTCAGGAACAACTAACCAGCGAGCACAAGTGCGGGTATCTAGCCGAAGCCTGAGTGGGTTTCAACCGGGAGATATTCGGAGCTGATGAGTCTATACTGTACATGGCTTCACCGGTGACTGTAATGTTGGTTTCTCGATGAACGATGACAAATGAGCGATATCTGTAGTAATGAAAGTCACTTGTACTAAAGCGGGCCACCAGAGGAAGGTCTTGAGTAGAAAGGGGAGGAAACCTACGAGGCGGTAGTCGGTAGTTTAGTTTCAGTTTCGTAGAGTAGAGTAGTATATAATTTGGTCGTCGCCCGAGGCAGGCAGCCAAGTGAGCACCAAGCATACCTATCTCATACTTCCTCATTCTCTCTCATCCATTGACAACCCCGCCGTCTGTCGTCGATTGTTCCGTTACCATGAAACGACTGCCATTTCTTCTACTCTGCATGCTGTTCCAGCTGCTAGCCGGAACCGTCGAAGCGCTCAACGGGGCCGCCGGAGCAGAAACCACCTTTTTCTATCAAGCCTATCTGCTGGAATTGGAGCATGTCACAGACCTAACCCGTCGTGGGATTGCCCCTGGGTGCCCTATATTAGAGGGAAAGACGAAGTGCAGCTTTGCCGAATTTGTGGATTACATTAGCACGGATGAAGCTAGGGAGCTCAACGGAGCAAACCGGCTCTAGTTCCAGGAAATCTTCAACAATGCTGGAAACACGCCCCTTGTCGATACATCCAGGAAACTCCGAGAAGCAGGCTTTTACGCCCATTACGATCAAGAAAGACTCTATCCGAAAGAAAAGAACACTCCATCCGTGGCTGTCGCCATCCGGGGAATGAGAGGAATCGCGACGGCTACCAAGAAGAAAGATCATCAGGACCAAAAGCGAAAAATGATCGAGGCATTGGAGTTGGAGGGAGAATTGCGGCGGGCGGACAACATGAAATTTTTCATCCCTAAGCTGGAGCAAACAGCGGGGGTGAAGTTGGAAACGAAGCCAGCAACGACGTCCGATGGGGTGGAATATACTACGTACGACGTGGATGCAACGGCGGAAAAGAACAAGGGCGTCAAGGATCTGGCGCAGAAAATCAACACGGCAGCGGAGGCACTGCGTAAGGCGAAGAGAAATGCCAATGGGGACCTGAAATTCGTGATCCATCAGGGGATCATTCGAGAGGCAAATGAGTCGCTCATCGAACTGAAGAAAAAGTGCCCTTAGGGTCTGGAATTTCCAAGGGTCCACAATTACTTAATTTCTTCTAGTACTAGCCGTACTCCGTACAATTTTCTCATATCTTTTGCTAGATTAGCGGCAAGAGATAGTGGAAACGGAAATTTGTATATGGATACTACTGGGGTTTATACATAGATACATAGATTGGTGGCGGTTGATCTGTTTGGTGGATATTTTGTATTGTGGGACTGCCTAGGGTGGGATTGATGGTAAGACGGCTACCATGTTATTTTTATAAATACCGAAGTTTCTTCCTTCTTCATTCCTGTAACTCACCATTTCACTGAACAATGGCCGAGATCATTCAGACTCGTTTGGATAATAAGACAGCACTAAAAGTCCCCGGTCTCCATGATCTTCCCATCAATGCGTTACTCCCCCACGATCAATTCGCCACAGGGACAAATAAATGGGATGCTCACATTCTCACGGCCAAATAACTGGCCATCCTAGATCTAATCAACACCATCACCGACCGACCGGATTGGCACCGTGCCATCTTTGACAAGCAAGTTATCGCTCAATGGCGAGAAGACGCTGTTGCATCGTCGTCGTTGACCAATGACAAAACGTGGGACTGGTGCTTGAAAGAGTTGCAAGACAAGGCTCGACAGTTCGACCGAGACGGTCGCTTGATCGTCCTTAACACGAGTAGCGGTGTCTGTAAATCCGATACGGCAATCTCTTCCGGTCTAAAGTCACAGCTGTCAAATTCTTTCGATCTGTTATCTCATCAAGCCATTCAGCAGAAGTCAGAGTCAGCTGTGGTGAATCTCGTCGACCCATCTTTGTTTCCTCTTGTCTATAGCAGAACGAAAGTCCTGACCGGAGGACAACCGTGCGGAATGGACGAGAATTCCTGGTCGTCACGTAGTAAAGAGTGCCCGATCGTTTCGGAACACCCACAACTAGTGAAAGGGAGCTTAGCCTGGTCATCGAGCTTCGGTCGGTACATTTGGTCCTCGAAATTTCAATGGCTGCCATGTGAAGTGGAATTTACTGGTCCTCCTGGGTCTACGGATGTTCGGATTTCGTCTTATATCAACAATCTTCATCCGACGAACCGCGAGATGTACTCCGCGATCGAGGCCGTGATCTCCGGCAGCATCAAGCAGTGGAACGAGATTTTGGTTCGCAACAAGTGGAGAGCGATCAACCTTTTCCACAGGAATTTGAACTCCTATTCTCGTGGGCCCATACGAATCCGCACTTACGGAGTCGAGTGGAAAGCCCAGTTCCCCGAATGGGCAAAAAGATTACCCTACCAGGAAGACGAGGGCAAACTCTCGGTGGAGGAATATGAAGCCATGTGTGCTCAAGTGGAGGCGTACCTTCAGGAACCTGAATCCAAGGACAAGGTATACTGGGATCGGGTTAGAACGCAAAGGATCCCGGAGGATTGGAAGACCCGCTGGGGGCTGCTTCGCACAGCTTTGACCAAGTATGCATGCACATTCGTCTTTGAGCACTCGGACCCAGGAACCGCGTACTCGTACGAGGACTGGAAAGCAGGGAGGACCGGGAAATCAATCGTTGGCCCGGCGCACTTCGATCACGTTTGCCGTCCGGATTTTGAACTGCATAAATTCTTTTACGCAAACCCTTGGTTGACACCCTACGAATGGATGTATCAGCCAAAGGAAGAGGACCCCGACGATCACCAGTTCTACACGCTTGCATTGCAGGATGAGTTTCGGGAACAGGGTCTCCAGATTGTCGTCCAGATCCACAGCATCGAGCTAGGCCCTGAGACGCCATCCTTCCCCGGCGAGGAGTGGCACACCGAAGGAAATGCAAACGAACGTATAGTTGCCAACGCCATCTACGCGCTTGATTCGGACAACATATCCGAGCCGCAAATTAAATTCCGGCAGAGGTGTGGACGAGGGGGCCGTACCTGGGTCTACGACCGAATCGGCGCCGATGATTCGGACTACGAGGAAAGTGATTTCGCAGGGGATGAGGCTTCAAATGAGAGAGATGGCCTAATCCTCAAACATAACCTATGGGACGTCAAGTATATAGGAAGGCTTTACGGATTCGAGGACCTTCAGTATGCTCCAGCCTGGCAACAGCTCGGGGAGGTGAAGATACCTCCGGGCCGCCTGATCTCCTTCCCCAACGCCTTCCAGCACCAAATGGGCCCATTGCAGCTTCAGGACAATACCAAGCCCGGTCACTGCCGTTTTCTCACTTTGTCTCTTGTCGATCCGACCTACCGGCTTTGCTCTACGCGGAACGTTCCACCCCAGCAGCCTGGTTGGATCAAAGGCGATGGGGCTGAGTCTGCAACGCCAATTAATCTGGGGGAGGCCCTCGAGCTGAGAGAGGAACTGGTCAAAGAGCACGCCAAGAAGGATGAGGGTGTCTTTCGGCTTGCTTCAACTATCTCGTTTTCTGGATTTTCGTGAGCGTACGGGGTAACCAGCTATAATATACACACCTCCTAAACTCTGAAATGTCGACATCTCATGCCTGCTCTCGCTACCCAGAAGTCAACGATACAGGTCTGAATATCTTTGTACCAACAGAGAAGCTTCTGGTCATAATATGTGTACATAACCAAGTTACTATTTGGGATTAAATGATCTTTATTAGACAGTTCCAGCCTGTTGTATACGCCGATACATGCATGTCTATATTTATCTATACAGTTTTTGAGAAAGGCACCAACGTGCTGCTTTCAAGGTTTAAAGCCCATACATGAGCTGACATTCTCAAATAATGCCAGTACTCAAAGAATAAGCCCAAGCAAATAAACCAAAATCAAAATCCCAAAACCCACTAACCATTAACCATTCTCCTGAAGGAGATAATGAAAGTGGAGCAAATGACAACCATCTACCGCTCCGCATGAACGGCTTCGTGTTTCTCGCCTACACTCTCATAAAGATCATCTCAACCCACCCGAGACCCCTGTATATATTCAGCTTCACTTTTGTGCTGATATTAATTTATATCGGAGTTCAACGAACAATAAGACAGTGTACCCCTTGCAGATATCCCATAGATCATCTTTGTTTGAAACCCAAAACTTCTTTACAAATCAACACCTTGCTGAAGTGGTAACACATGCGTTTCTAGAGGCTGAGCTGAGATTGGAATGCAAGAAAACAACAAATATGCAAGGATCGGATTCACCCACAATTGCAGGATCTTTGATTAATTCCAAAATGCGCACCGGCCAAAGTCCTCTAGATTAATCTCAAGCCGTCTGAGCACAACTTTATTCCAAACCTTTATTGCACGCTATATGGCACGTTTTCTTGGCCTTCGGGGCAGTCGCCTCAACCATGTAGCGCTCCTTGCCGTGGTTATGCCTGCAATGATGTCAATGGGCTATAATCAAGGATTACTAGGCGGAGTTCTCACCCTGCCCTGGTTTGAGGCCCAATTTCCTCAAATCAATGTGAGCAATGCCCAACCTTCAGAAAAGCACTACAAATCGACTTTGCAAGGTACTGTGGTAGCCTTGTATGCAGCAGGTGGTTTCTTGGGAGCCATCGCCTGCATTGGGCTGGGTGATGTGCTTGGGCGTCGGCGAACTATCATACTCGCTTCAGTGATACAAATGATCGGGGCTTTCCTGATGGCTAGTTCCTTTCCCTTTGCCCAGCTTGTGGTATCACGAGTTATCCTAGGTCTGGGCACTGGTGGCCAACTAGCCACTGTGCCTATCTGGCAATCGGAGATATCACCGGCTAGCAAGCGTGGTGCGCATGTTGGGACCACGGGCATCTTCGCCGCTCTAGGTCTTACGCTGGCATTGCTCGTCGATCTTGGGATGTCATATGCCCCCAACAGTGCAAGCTGGCGTGTTCCAGTTGGACTGCCTATCATACTTTGCATAATTGTGATTGTATTTACTTCACATATGCCCGAGTCACCCCGTTGGCTGGTCCAGCAGGGTCAAGTGTCTGCTGCTCGTGAGGTATTGGCAGCCTTGAGGGACACTGAAATTGATAGTGAGATTGTTAAGAAGGAGATACTCGACGTGGAATCCTCGTTAGCTATCGCTGGTAAAGGGTCTCTACGCCAGATCTTCCAGATGGGTCATCAAAGAATCTTTCATCGCGCATCTCTTGCGACTGGAGGATTGGTCTTGTTACAACTGACAGGTGTCAACTCTATCACGTTCTACAGTACGTACTCTATTCTTTCCATTCCATAAAATGTCCTTCGCTCACAGATCCACCAGGTACGACGATTTTCCAAACCAACCTTCACCTTGACTCGACAATATCAAGGATTTTAGCTGTAATTTATCAGTTATCCGGTGTCTTGGGTGGCATTGTCTGCGTGTTCAGTATAGAGGGGCTTGGTCGTCGTTTCTTATGGTTGTCAAGTGCAACGGCCAACACAATTGCCATGGTCCTTGTGGCTGCACTTAGTTCTCAGTCGACAAACACCATTGCCATGCACGCCGCTGTGGTCTTTATGTTTATCTTCCATTTCAGCATGATTGTCGGTTTTGGTGGGATACCGTTTCTCTACGCATCCGAAGTGGCACCTCTCAGTCTGCGTACCACTATCAACGGTATCGGGTCTAGTATATATTGGGCTCTGAGCGTTTTGATTGCCGAGGTCACACCAATTGCCTTCAATGCTATCGGATGGAAATACTTTCTCATCTTTGCCTGTCTGAACTGCGCGATGATACCGGTTGTTTATCTCTTTTTCCCCGAAACCGCAGGCCTGTCGCTGGAAGATGTAGATGAGGTTTTTATTATGTCTAAAGGTTGGTTAGACCCTGTTCGTGTGGCTAAGCAATTGCCCAAGAAATTAAATGGTCGCCAGCCTGAGGGGGATTGTCCTTTGGAGAACAACAACAATGGAGAGCCGAAGGTTTGAGATTATAAATACTTATTTGTGGCAATACTATGGAGGATCGCACAATGTTTTCGGGAGTGAACTATATTGAAAATGCCCACACAACCTCGACAGAGGCATAACACATCGCCAACACAGTTGAGCCACATAGAAGAAACAAATCATAGAAGAAACCATGAGAAACCACAGACTAGACACAAGTCTCGACTCTAAAATTTGGAGTTGGGGACACCTTTCAAAAAGTCCTCCGGCATGCCCCTTTCCGCGAAAGTCGCGAGCGTTCTCGCGGCTCGGACACCTCTTAAGAGTTTGCAGTCTTGTAGCAATCGATAGTCTTTTTCAAATCCAGTTTGGTGAAGGACTCCTCGTAATCATCAAGATCATCCGGCGACAATCCGACGATAGCTACATCGCCCCCCACAGTTGAAGCCTTTCAAGGTTGGAACCATGGAAAGTTCCAAGGTTACGAGATTGTAAGTTTAGATTATACTTCCAAGGTCTTAAGCTCCGCAAAATTAACATGCATTCACTTTGTACTTTGTACTTTGTAAAATTCATTTCGCGGTAATAAGTGAATAATAATCGTTAATATAAAATAAATCAAAAGTAAACAATAAAATAATAAAGCAATATCCTTGTCTGCCATGTCCGCCAAGCACACGTTGGTATGGGCTGACCGCCATTCTGCCCCGCGGATACCCCTCCGATGTGTAGATGTGCTGTGCAGATGTGCAGCACGGTTCAACCGAGGGCTCGTGGCCTGATGTATACACTAAGGCTATCCTATGTGGCCAATTGCGATTTCAATTGACATGCAATGCTCATGTTGGACTGTCAATCTAGACATCACAAAATACAAAGCTCTTGACTCGAGATACGTCACCGGAATTCGTATTCGGCAACGAAAACTATGGGTGGCCAGGCACCAGAGAAACCCGTGGAAGCTAGAAGCGGAGCCCCGGTAATTGACACAAAAAAAGGAGAATTATGAATTGGATGTGCTAAATTGCTGATCACAATGCATTAGCCGACCTGAGGAGGTTACTACTCCGTACAGGTTAGTACATGGAGGACTCCGTACTCCGTACAAAGGAGTGCTATACTATGCAGGAACACCGAAAAGATGTGCGGTATCGGCTCATTGAGAATAGACGGTGAGATATTTACAATAATATAACTAATAATGAGAGTAATACGGTTAATACGATTAATAAATTTAATATGCCAACAAATATTGGAAAGCTCGAAGCTAAAGAAAGGGAAAAAACAAAAAAAAAGGGGGAGAAGCCGGGGGACTGGGGACCGGTGGACCAGAGGCCCCGGAGACAGGCGGAGACACATAAAGTCGCCCTCCTGCCACTTCCCCTTCCTCTCTTCTTCTTCTTCTCTATCCTCAATCCTCATTATTCTTGCCCGTTTATTTTAGGTTCGTATAAACCTTGTCAGCAGGTCAGATCACTTCTCGTCGAGACAGTGGTCACATACAACCGCCACAATTTTCGCGACAAGTCTTAACTCGTGAGTTCCTCTACCTGCCTCTAGAAGAAGGCAACCATGATCTTAAAGTGCAATTGCTAACTCCTCCCCAGCCGGCACCACCCGTTCAACGGCCGACGCTCATCCAACCGTGGAGGAGCATCGGATTGCGCACCCTTTATCCGTTAAAGCTACGCTATCACACACACTTCCATCAATTCGCCTATTCATCCCGCTGTGAACGCAATGGCTCCTCACGCTAGCTCGGATGCTGCCAATGGCGCGCTGAACGGGTCGGTTCGCCAAGAATCTTCCTTGTTTACTGTCCAATCCCCCAATGTCGTCTACACCGATGACGAAATCAAGTCGAAGTACGCCTATCAGACTACTGAGATCACCCGCACCGCGGACAACAAGTTGGTTGCCACTCCCAAGGCCACCAACTACAACTTCAAGGTCAACCGCAAGGTTGGCAAGGTCGGCATGATGCTGGTCGGTTGGGGTGGAAACAACGGTTCCACCGTGACTGCTGGTATCTTGGCCAACCGTCGTAACCTCTCTTGGGAGACCCGCGATGGCAAGCAGACCTCCAACTACTACGGTTCTATCGTCATGAGCTCCACTGTCAAGTTGGGCTCCGATGCTAAGACCGGCGAGGAGATCAACATCCCCTTCCACGACCTGCTCCCCATGGTCCACCCTAACGATCTGACCATTGGCGGTTGGGATATCAGCAGCCTGAACCTCGCCGAGTCTATGGACCGTGCTCAGGTGCTGGAACCCACCCTCAAGAACCAGGTCCGTAAGGAGATGGCCGAAATGAAGCCGCTGCCTAGTATCTACTACCCTGACTTCATCGCTGCCAACCAAGAGGACCGTGCCGATAACCTCATCGAGGGTGACAAGGCTTGCTGGGCTCACGTCGAGCAGATCCAGAAGGATATTCGCGACTTCAAGGCCCAGAACGGCTTGGATAAGGTGGTCATCATGTGGACTGCCAACACTGAGCGGTATGCCGACATCATCCCCGGTGTCAACGACACTGCCGACAACCTGATCAACTCGATCAAGGCCGGTCACCTTGAGGTTGCTCCTTCCACCGTGTTCGCCGTGGCCGCTATCCTCGAGGACACTCCGTTCATCAACGGCTCGCCCCAGAACACCTTTGTCCCCGGTGCCCTTCAGTTGGCCGAGCAGCGTCGTGCTTTCATTGGCGGTGATGACTTCAAGTCTGGCCAGACCAAGATGAAGTCCGCGCTCGTTGACTTCCTGATCAACGCTGGTATCAAGCTTACCTCCATTGCCAGCTACAACCACTTGGGCAACAACGACGGCAAGAACCTGAGCTCCCAGAAGCAGTTCCGCTCCAAGGAGATCTCCAAGTCCAACGTTGTGGACGACATGGTCGCGGCTAACCACATCCTCTACGAGAAGGATGAGCACCCCGACCACACTGTTGTCATCAAGTACATGCCTGCTGTTGGTGACAACAAGCGTGCTCTGGATGAGTACTACGCCGAGATCTTCATGGGTGGCCACCAGACTATCAGCTTGTTCAACATCTGTGAGGACTCGCTTCTGGCCTCCCCTCTGATCATCGACCTGGTTGTGCTCGCCGAGATGATGACCCGTATTAGCTGGCAGTCTGACAGCGAGGGTGACGACTACAAGGGCTTCCACAGCGTGTTGAGCATTCTCAGCTACATGCTCAAGGCTCCCCTGACCCCTCCCGGTACCCCCGTCGTCAACGCCCTGGGTAAGCAGCGCTCCGCTCTTATCAACATCTTCCGTGCCTGCGTTGGTCTCCAGCCTGAGTCGGAGATGACCCTTGAGCACAAGCTGTTCTAGAAGACATTGTCAATGCTTCCCTAGTTTGATCATCTTTACGCGCCAACTATAGTCACTCGTTTAACAATACAAGCTTAAATTGCTCCAACCATACTTTCTATTCATAAAGCCGTAAATTTATGTAAGTATATTCTCATTCTTTAAACATATTCATATATCTATTCATTGGTCCGGCCAAGCTCAGAGTAAGCATTCAAAGCCAACTGCCCACCAAGGTGCGCATACAAGATATTTCCCCCCTTGATCTCCCCACGACGAATCATATCCATCATACCTGCAAAGCTCTTGCCTTCATAGACGGGATCAGTGATGAACGCCTCCATCTTCGCCGCATATTCAATCGCATCCCAAGTCTGACGATCAGGAATACCATAGATACCAGCATGGTACCGCTCATCAAGGATAACATCCTCCTCAGTGATATCATCCTCAGTAAGTCCAATCTTCGCCGCGGTATTCTTCGCAATGCGCAAAACCTGCGCCTTCGTCGCCTCAACAGTGGCAGAAGCATCAATCCCAATAATCTTCCTCTTCGCATCCTCAGGATACAACTTCTCCAACAACTTAAACCCAGCAATCATACCCGCAAAGGTCGACCCAGTAACAGCACAAACAAGCACCGTATCAAAGAAAACCCCCATCTCCGCCTCCTGCTGCCGGACCTCAAACGCCCACCGCGCAAACCCAAGTCCACCAAGCGGATGATCCGACGCACCAGCAGGGATATAGTACGGCTTTTCACCCGCCGCCTTTGTCTCCTCAACAACAGCCTGCGCGGTATTCTTATGCTCGATACCGAATCCAGACGGGTCGAGGCGCACGTCCGCGCCCATCAGTCGCGATAGCTGGATATTACCCGTGCTCTCATAGCCGGGATCGGTCCATTCCACCCAGTGCTCCTGCACGAGACGGGCTTTCAGTCCGGAGCGCGCGGCGACGGCGGCGACTTGGCGCGTGTGGTTGCTCTGCACGCCGCCGATGGATACGAGGGTCGTGCAGCCCTGTGCCTGGGCGTCGGCGAGCAGGTACTCGAGTTTGCGGGTCTTGTTGCCGCCGTAGGCGAAGGCGGAGTTTAGGTCATCGCGTTTGGCGTAGATGGTTACGTGTGGGTGGGGGTTGTTGTTGGCGAGATCGGCAGTTATGCGGGGGAGGGGGTGGATTGGTGAGGGGCCTAACAGGAGGGGGGTTCGGGGGATTGTGGAGAAGGGGGCTGGTAGGGGGACCGGGTTTGGGTCGGTCACTTTTGGGGATGCCATGGTGTCTTGGAGATGTATAGAGTGTCGAGGTGGTTTGGTTGTGGTGGTTTGGTGGAGAGAGGCTTGCTCTCAAGTATATGACAAGTCAAGTAAATGTTATAGACTGAATGTAAAGAAGATTTGAAACAAGTTGATCTAATAAACCATGATCATCGTGGACTATATACCCCCTCCTAGGTATCGCCGCGGGCATCGCCGCGGCGAACGGAGTTGGGGTACGATAACGAAGGCTGCCCCTCCAAGACCCATAGGCACCTTAATCACGCTATTTGCAGGCAATATACCACCTATCATAGGCCGCCAGCGACGTTATTCCGAAATTCAACCGAGATTAGCTTCTTTATCAGTAGCTCGTTGGTGCGGGCATGGTGGGGGTTTCGGACTCTCGCCGGCAGGAGTATAAACTGCGCGGTATCTGTGATTCTCTTCCGCGGTGATTGATATGATTGAAGAGGCCATGTTTCATGCTTGGAAGTTGGGGATCTATACAACAAGACAGGAGGATGGAAGAAGATATCAGACATCAACAGCCGCGGGCTCTAGGCCCTGAGGCCTTTGAATGCTATAATTAAGTGGCTTGTATCAGTTCTAGGGCTATCAATTGATCTACGGCGGTGTTGAAAATCGGTTCATCGTTCAATTTCTGTACAATTTAACAATTCTATGCAGTCTTTGGAAACAAAACGTATTGGAAAGATATCAGTGTTTACATATGTACGTACCGGATAATGCCTGGCACTCGAAGCCTTTCCCTTTCCGTTTTAGTGCTCACCTCTTGCCGCTTTTTGGTCACTGAGTAAAACTGAGCACGTCCCTGAGTGCCCTGACTTTATCACGGGCAATTATGTTGTATATAATTAACTGATCTGTTCATTGAGCATCACCTGATCATCCCGTGAGCACCATGATTTGATCACTGAGTTAGACAGGGGCAGTGCAAGATGTATTTCCTTTTCCCTCAACACGATGCTAATCATAGAAACTGATCTTTTGTGGAAAAACTTTCAGGAACAGAATACCAAGTACTAGTCGTATCTAGGTATAGTTGAGAATAATTGAACGTCTAATTATACTAATAAATACTTTGTCTAGTATTCATCAGAAGAGATGTATTAAAGATACAACAAGAGATACAGAAAACGAATAGTTCCACCATAGTCAAGGAGTGATTTCCTCATAAAAATCTCTAGTCCATATAAGCAGGTCCTTTTTGTTCGATCCTAGCCTCAGACATCCTCTAGCTTGAAGTAGCACTTTTATCCTTGGCTGCTAGTTGCCTCTTATGCGCCCAGCCCAAATAAAATAGCCGGGCAAAGTACAGGACTAAAATCATATCTATGCACTTTGACGCTGTGCTACGGTACGACCGGCAAGTGTCGTTACCGCATTTCATAAACAGACGGCATATCAGATATTCGAATAGATATGGTGATGAAATGAGAGTGATCATATACCTAGATGTATGAGACAAGTAGGCAATCTAGTATGAGGGTTGTGTAGAAATCTTACAGCCTAAGGAACGCTTCGTCATAAAAGCCAATCTTGACGAAAAAGCGCTCCAGAGTTGGTAAATCACGACGGTTGACGTTTGGTGCTTTTTGGGCCGATGCCACGGAGTGAGCGGAGGGGTTTTTGGGGTCCATTCTGAGCCCCAGGGACTTAGTAGACTAGAGAAGTTGGAGAAGTTTTGGTGAATTAGGGTGTTTTTTAGAATGTGGAAAGGAACTTGAAAGGAGACTGATTAGGAGGTTGGGTTGCCTCTAGTGGATTGGGATTTAGGCCGAACGTGGTAAAGCTAGCCCGATATAGTAATTCGCAGGTCCGATCTCATCGACGTTGAGAGTGATATCTTGAATTTGAGCACCTGCATATCACTAGACAAGAAGCCCGTTGAAGAAATTTTGAGATTGTAAATTGTGCATTTCTCCTTTGTACGGCATACGATGCCCCGAGGTGATGCCTGATTCAGCCATTTTTGACCCAATTTTTAAGCTGAAAAAAGATTAAATACTGGAATTATCAATACAGAGTAGTGAAACACATTCGCCTAGCTATGTGTAGAGTAAGGCTTTGGGTCACTAAATGCTTCAAAGGGCATCACTGGCCAGCCAACAATCTCAATCTTCATATCAGTCTGCTATATGTGTCCGAACCCTTCATGATTCAGATTGCTTTCACCGAAGCCAAGGGCTCGCCAAAGCTTGATGCGAAATATAAAACAGTCAGTCCCAAACTCGTCGAGGATATACCAGTGATCATCTGCATCAGAGCCCGCAGTTAATGTGTTTGTCTGCGGGTTCTCCGCTGCGTAGTCCGGACTAGAAATGTCATCCAATTCGTCAGGCAACTCGTCCGATTCATCATGCATGTCGTCATCCTCTGGCAAACTTCCACGCAGGTTCTCATCCCCAGTGTACAATCCCATACAATAGATATCTGCCGTGCATGGGAGAGTCTGGAGCTTTGGGATTACTCTTCACCACTTGATGACAAAATCATGCATTTGGTCTGACTACATTAGTATCCTTGGTTAATCGAACCAGACGCTTCTGAAGCACATGGGTTTCAAGCTGGACAGTGGACGGGCTTGATGCATCAGCAAAGGAGAAAGGAACAATCGAGCCTCCGGCAAGTTCAAAGAAACGAGACGCGGACACTAATGCGCGAGATCAGAAAGCCTTGCACCATTCATCCGATACCTGAGGGTCAGGTTTCGACCGGACCTTAGGCCTAAAGTTGGGCTTTGTGGAAGTCTAGTAGAAAAAAGGTTTTATATATATGAATAATTATATAAAGTCTTAACTAGTAGTTTTGATATATATTATTAAGTTAATGTATTATTATACTTTAGAAACCAAAGAGCTATTAAGAACTTAGAAAATATAAGAACTATAATATCCTAGGTTACGGGTTAGTCGAGTCTACCTATTGGGTTTGCGGGTGGGTTGCGGGTTGGAATCTCTTACCCATTCTCTGGTTTTGGCGTAGACTAATCTGAGCATGATCACTGATCTGAGCCTATGCTGACATCTACTCAGTGAGCCTGAGCCTGAGCACCCTCATAAAAGCGGCGGCAGCTCAAATAGGAAAGCCCCACCCGCCACGGAAAATCCGGTACGTATAGCTGCATGGGTACACATCTCACCCTCAAGGTCCTGCGGGGCTGAGGACCTTGATGACAACCTCAGCCCTACAAAGGATCATGCCCCCCATGAATTGTAATGTGAGGAAGAGAAATTTAAATCCAAGAAATAATTAAAGTCATATTTCACATCAGTTATTTTTTATCGACTAGCAAATATTGCATTTATTGCATGTCGACAACACAACGAACACAGTCACCCTCCTTCATTGTTTCGAAGGCGGTGTTGATGCCATCCAGCGACTGGCGGTGAGTGATAAACTCGTCCACCTTGAGCTCGCCGTTGAGGTAATCGTCGACTAGGCCAGGCAGCTGTGTGCGGCCCTTGATGCCACCGAAGGCACATCCCTTCCAGACACGACCAGTAACGAGTTGGAATGCTGTGACATGCGTTAGATAAGGAAAATATACATTGGGGAGTGAAAAACAATGGGGGAACTTACGGCGAGTGGCAATCTCCTGACCAGCAGCAGCGACACCGATGACAATGCTCTCACCCCAACCCTTGTGGCAAGCCTCGAGGGCAGCGCGCATGACACCAACGTTACCAGTGCAGTCGAAGGTGTAGTCACAGCCACCATCGGTCATCTCAATGAGGTGCTCCTGGATGGTCTTGCCGGAGAGCTTGGTGGGGTTAACGAAGTGGGTGGCGCCGAACTTGCGAGCCCAGGCCTCTTTGCCATCGTTGACATCGACAGCGATGATCTTACCGGCCTTGTTCTTGACCGCACCCTGCACGACCGAGAGACCAACACAACCGACACCGAAGACAGCGACGTTGGAGCCTTCCTCGACCTTGGCAGTCACGACAGCAGCACCGTAACCGGTGGTGATACCGCAACCGAGCAGACAGGATCGATCGGTGGGGATCTTAGGAGTGACAGCGACGACCGAGATATCGGCAACGACGGTGTACTGTGAGAAGGTGGAGGTGCCCATGAAGTGCAGGAGGTCCTTGCCGCGGGCCTTGAAGCGGGAGGTGCCATCGGGCATAACACCCCTACCCTGGGTAGCACGGATCTTACCACAAAGGTTAGTCTTGCCAGACTTGCAGAACTTGCACTCGCGGCATTCAGGGGTGCTACAATTGTCAGTGGACTGTCGCGCCGAGATCGGAGCCGGGAACGTACTAGAGAGCGACGACGTAGTCGCCGACCTTAACGGAGGTCACGCCCTCGCCGATGGACTCGACAATACCGGCACCCTCGTGACCGAGGACAACGGGGAAAGCACCCTCGGGATCCTTGCCGGAAAGAGTGTAGGCATCTGAGACATGTCAATAATTGTGGTCTTGATAGATCGGGTTTTCCTCGGCATTTTGTTTTGTTTTCCGTGCAGAGGGCGGGGCTGATGGCGGGGCTCACCGGTATGGCAGACACCAGTGTGGTGAATTTTAATGCGCACCTCACCAGCCTTAGGGGGAGCGACCTCAATGTCCTCAACGGACAGAGGCGCGCCGGCCTCCCAGGCGATGGCAGCCTGTCAATTGTTCAGCACTATTCATGACTCATAGATGCGAACTGTGCTGGGCGACGTCATATGTGCGGGGCGGTCGGATCGAGCTTACCTTGCAAGTGATTGTCTGTAGATTTCCGAGTCAGCGAGGTTCTTCAGTTTAAAAAGAAGAAGAGTAATTTACCTGTCCTACTGTGCTAGCCATTGTGTATGTTGATCTCTAAACTAGAACAATGTTAGCAAGTTCAAAAGTGCCAAGGAAAAAAAATTACTCACACCAAGAATACGATGGTAGAAGAAGAAGAGAAGGGGAAAATGACGGGCTTTTGAAGGGTGGGGGGTGGATCCGGGTATGAGGGGAAAGATAAAGCATCAACTTCAGAGTTGGAGATCCGGAACAGCTTATAACTCCCCTCATATGATTCCAAGATTCTCCCCACTTGGAGAAATACAGTCCGTAAGATAAGCCACTTCCCGTTCGAATAGAAATATACGTGATCGGGAATGCTCCCGAGCTCCGCGGGGAAGATCTTGTAGGGGTATACATACCCTATTTGTCTAAGTGCACTATATATACAATTTAAGTATTATATATAGTCCTAGAGGCATACTTTACTATATTGTAGGTGGATTCCCTACTTGCATCGTTATTGTCTCATATTTTGATCCTAAGACTAATGTTATGACAAAATCAGCATAAAAACAGCATATCGCCGACCTCGGAAAACCTCATTAGTCGCGGAATAGTCGTTATACCCACCGTCCGGCAACTCACTGCAATGATAATGGGAGGTATAGTGTTGAATCGCAAGCAAACTAACTAGAAAAAACAACGGCAGCAAATATCCGACAGACCTAACTCCGAGTCTGTACGCCAAAAACCTCCTCTTCCCAAAAAGGAAAACGAACGCGCCCTCGGGGTTCACGACCGCTAAGTTGCTTGATCACAGCAAGGGATAGATATCGAGCTTATGAAGAGAAAGATAACTTAAGCTAAGCTCTATTTTGCGAACCAGTTCAGCGTACATCGTCACATCTCATTTCCTTGATTTGGTTAAGTCTTTTGTATTTTGAGCCCCGGGAGAGGAGGTAGATATCTCCCGTGCTAGTCACTATGGTACACGGAAAGGAGCCGATCCTGTCTGCTTCCTCGCCAAAAGGTCATCGACCACGCTGTCATCCCTCTAAGCTTCAATGTAAAGCCACTGTCGGGCCGGGGACAACCGGGTCGATGGAGCCGCCTCGCCAATCACTCAATTCATCGAATGTATGTTGCCAAAACGGAAAATAGTCATCGACAAAATGTTCTTTATCATCAAAATAGACCCTTAGTTGCCTCCCATAGAACCGCTCTGCATCATTGCGGCGTTCTGCTCCTGGAAGCGCTCGTTCAACCGGGCGGAGCTCTTCAGGTTCTTGTCGACACAGCGCATGATGCAAGTCTCTTCGCGGTTGATGAGGGACTTGGTGGTGAAATCGTTGACACAGTCATCGAAGCAGCGCTGGACCATCTTGGAGTACATCTGAAATAAAGGGTGTTAGATCTTGAACATGGGAGAAGACAGTTTGTTGATGGTGAGCACATGGGATCACGGCCAGGGGGATAAGCGCGAAGTCGAATCTTCAACAAGGAAGTTATGAGGTACGTACAGTCATGAACTCCTTCATCTGCTTCCGCTCCATGCGGGAAGCGAACTCGCGCTGTTCCGATGCGTTAAGTCTGTGATTTGGGTGTTAACGGTTTGCTCAGAGAATGATCATGAGAAACAATGGGATAGAAAACATGGCAGAAAATCAAAGAGGGTTTAAAGGAGGTACTAACCCTTCCATTGTGATAGATGAATGAAATCAAGATGTTTTGATGGTAAGATGCTTTCCACAAGTCTCCTGCCAGCTGCCAGCTCCGCTGGTTCTGAGCTTCTCGGGTGCCGGAGAAATATTAGCCCACGCGACTCAAAATTAAGTGCCTTAGCTACCAGGCCACAACTTGATCAACATCTCGTCTTTTGTTAGCTCTATAGCCCATAGGGACTTCGGTTGAATGATATTCAGTTCACGAAAAAATACAGGACAACAAGGAATCAATTTCTATAGCAATAGTAGTATCAGATAGATGGGCGTATTGTAATGATGCTTTGTTAGCTCTACCTCTAGGACTGTTCCGTAAGAGGGTTTATCCGATCGGATAAACGTACCAAAGCTAGAAATTACAATCCACGTGATATCTCAACGTCACCAATACTTCTTCAACCTCACTTCATGACGCTATGAACGGCTGATCCCACCTCAGTGACTTTTTACATGTAATCAAAGGGCTTTTGTACCCGTGGATAGAATGTTACATTCCAGGCCCGAAGAACCTTCAGTTTTAATAGTGTTATTTACACTTTTGGGTGATCTAGATGACGTATAAGATGTCAAAAACTACATGCAACATATGCGCGCCAAAAAGATCTCCAAAGAGGCTGGAAATAATGCCAAAGACTCAATAGTAAATTTGATGCCTTTTGTCTTTCGAGAGACGATCTATCCCGTACCGGAGACTTATTTTCCCGTAATGAACTAAGTGGGAATGGATATGCTCTAACTGAGCAGATAACCTTGGAATTGGTATACTTCGTCGACTTCATTGGCCATGATGTTAACCCAAAAGCCAAGCGAGTTGGAGAACCAGAAAAAAAAGAAAATCGGTACCTGGTCCGGAAGATATCAAACCCGATATAAGACATTGATCTCCAAAAAAAAGGCCCCTAAAAGGGTCCAGACACGTTCCAGACAATCCAGGACCCGTCGGTTCCAAACTACGATGTAATCCCAGGCGGGGACTCTTCTTCACATTTTCCTCAAATTCTAGAAATCTCAAAAAGTTCTATCACTTAGTAGGGTATCGATGTTGTACTCCGTATAGATATTTCTATGTAGCAAATGGGAGTTCCCAACCAAAAACCCCCTAGCATTGTGTACCTGTACTCCGTACTCCGTACATTGATCCAATTTAATCTATATGACAGGCCGACCCTGACCCATCTTTAACTGGTCCCAGGAACCTTGGGTCTTTAAATTGTGCTATTCATAGTCCAATGTTCTCAAAAAGAAAGAGCCTTCCCCTAAACCATACCCAGGTCATTTAAAACAGGCAATAATCTCTGTCATATGTGTTCGGCTCTTGGCTCGTGCCCCCCCCCCCCCCCCCCCCCNTTCGAAACCCTGACCTTTCAGCCCTTTCGCATCCCTTCATCCATCAGACTTCACGCACATCCTCCCCTTTTCTTCTCAACCTCTTTGTTCTCAGTTTCTTGTTTCCGAATCCTATATTTGCTCTTCTTCGCCTCGGAAACGTGTCTGTGCTATTTTGGGCCCAGCCCCAGGATTTCCCACACGAGGGCGGTGACGCAGGGCCCCTTCAACTTTCCCGAATCCCTCGATCGACACATCCACTTTCCTGCGCTTCTTCGATTCTCAGCATCTTCGATTCCATCTCGAGTCGCCCTCCGGACTCGCCATGGTGACGGTCGGCAAGTCGCACCCGGGTGCTGACCCTGTCCACCCTCTCCCCACCTCACCCGATCCGGTCGGCGCCAACTCCCCGCCTTCAAAGCGAGATTTAGCTTCATGGTGGAAGCAGTTCAAACGAAGCACCAGAAAAGACGAATTGAAAGGTAAGCCATATTTGGTGAATGCGATGTTAGAACACAGCCGACCGCGTAAATGTTTTCTGAGGCGCTCCGGCCCGCGGCGGTTCGCAACAACCCCCCTGATGCCCCGGCTATACTCCCCTCGTCGCACAGAAGACAGTTGCTGCGGTTTACGCTGTCGGAGTTGAGGACTTTGCTCAGTCTCCAATTGATTTGTTTGGGCTCTTCGTCGTTTCTCGAACTGATATGCTGACCCATTTGTCGCAGTAGAGGCACCCCGCGGCATCTTCGGAATTGCGCTCAATGTCAGCATCAAGTATGCCAATGTGGCAATCTCCTTGACCAACGACCACGGCGAAAGCTTCATTTATGGATACGTGCCCATTGTTGTGGCAAAATGTGGAGTTTTCCTAAAAGAAAAAGGTTAGCATTCACCTTGCTATACTCGATGAGTTGTCGCTGACCTGTTTTGAAATAGCAACGGATGTGGAGGGCATCTTTCGTCTCAACGGATCGGCCAAGCGTATTAAGGACCTTCAGGAGGTCTTTGATTCCCCCGAGCGATATGGCAAAGGACTCGACTGGTCCGGATACACCGTCCACGATGCAGCAAACGTGCTTCGCCGATACCTAAACCAGCTTCCCGAACCCATCGTGCCATTAGAGTTTTATGAGCGCTTCCGTGAACCTCTGCGTATCTATCAGCGACAAGTCCTGGAAGGCAAGCACACAAACGATGCCGATAAGTTCGACCACGCAAAGGCTGTCGAGACATACCAGAACCTCATCATCGAGCTGCCCCCGTTGAACAAGCAGCTGCTCCTCTATATCCTCGATCTTCTCGCGGTTTTCGCATCGAAGTCCGATCAGAATCGCATGCCGTCGGCCAATCTGTCTGCAATTTTCCAACCAGGGATGCTGTCTCACCCCCAGCATGACATGTCGCCGGAGGAATACAAGTTGAGTCAGGATGTGTTGATCTTTTTGATTGAGAATCAGGATCACTTCCTGTTCGGAATGAGTGGCACAGCTGCCGATGAGCAGACCATGAAAGAAGTCGAGGCAGGGATTCCACGACCCGCAACTCACCCGACCGTTCGACGATCAGTATCCAACGCCAGTGCGAACACGGAAAGCCATCGCAAGCTGGACAGTATCCGACGAAATGTCTCCGTTTCATCGCGCAACTCCCGCCATTCTAACAACGCTCAAAGCCCCGTAACCCCCACCTCAATCACCGGCGGTGGTGGTAGCGGTGGTGGTGTCCACCGAAGCAATACTCTGCCCTCGAAGATGGGGCCCGTCTTGACCTCTGCCCGTTATACACGAGCCAACGACGCTGGCTCGAATAATCCTTCCGGTCTCTCTGTTTCTCATCAGAGTTCTCGGTCGAATAGTCGAACACCGTCAGTGCGCGAAGAGCCGGAGCAGCCTCAGCCGATCCCTGAGTCGATCTCTCATCCAGCTCCTCAGTCAGTCCCTGAACAGACTTCCGAGCAGCGTCCCGAGCAGCGTCCCGAGCAACGTTCTGAGCAACGTTCTGAGCAGCGTTCTGAGCAGCGTTCTGAGCAACTTCCCGAGAAACTTCCTGGGCAGCGCACCCCTAGTCGATCAACTGCCTCACTGACCCCAGGCAACGTCTATGTACACACGTCAACCCATGGCCCATTGCCTCCAGCAACTGCTGAACGTCTCAGCATCGGCGAAATTGCCAAGCCGCATGAGAACCTCAACACAGCGGTCCCCTCACCCCCGGTCGCCTCGCCTCCACAGGTTGTCACCCCGAGTCGTGAGCGCAAACTTTCAAATTTCTTCACGAAGTCACCGCCACCTGATAGTGAACTGAGAGAGCCCCGGCAGCCGAATCGCTTGAAGAAGAAGCGCATTCCCGGCAGTGCAAGCATCAGTGCACAAAGCTCGGCTAACTCTCTCCATGCCCCGAGTCTAGATCCCAGTGCGAATCTTGAACCCAAGTATGAAAATCGGTCCGTGGAAGCTGCTGTTGGTGACACCACCCCGAGACCGCCAACTGCTGCCACACTCGGCAATCAAGAGAACCCTTTCGACTCCAACCCGGCTCTCGTAGAGAGTACTTCGCAATCTCACACTGACCACTCTTTGCGACCTCATAAGTCGCGCACACCCTCCATGAACTCGCGTTCGTCGTTTACTGATCAGTCTGATATGGATCAGCCTGAAGACGTCTCTCGCCATGAAAATCGTCGTAGTTGGCGGTTCCATCGGTCGTCCAAGCGCAATAGTGAGCAACTTGGACTAGGTTTCGCGTCTCCACCCCTGGTAGCGACGAATCCCCGAGCCGGGCAAAGTACCAGTTCATTCGGCAGCGGTCACTATCAAAGCACGGATCTTTCCAGCCACCCATTAAGCTTGGATGCTGGCGTTCAAGGCACGTCCTCCATAGGATCAGAGCCCGAGAAGAAGAGTTTGTTCGGAAAGTTCAAGGCCAAGGTCGCTCAGGTTCGGGATGGTGTTAAGGATGACCGTGAGCGCACAATGAGCCCCACTCGGTCAGAGCACGACCCTGCCCTCACCAACCAGCCTCTTCCTCCCATTGTTACGGAGTCGACAAATGGCAACCCTGCTTCAGTCGAAGTCCCACGGGAACAGCCCAAGGAAGAGCATATGCGTTCCCCCGTATCTCCCTTGCCTGGCGCTGGCCTTCCTCCATCTATCCCTGAAGAGCCGCATAGCCCCGAACTGTCTACGGCTGTGCCTGTCGTTGAACAGACGGAGTCCGCTCAGCCGCCCGTTACCGAGTCAGTGTTGGCACCAGAGCCAACAATGTCGCATGAAATCCCGAAAGAGACCGCAGGATCGTCCACTTCGGCTGCTTGATCTCCTTCAACCTGTTCCCACAAAGTGTTTCCGTTCTCCCGCTCCTATTATTATCACGATTGCTCTTCCGTCAATTGCACTTTATCTTTTATCCAGTTGTGCAGGATTTGTTTGACCATTTGAGAGGGTATGGCTTATTCACGGAGCATTGGCGTCGCCTGAGGCGTTTGATGGTGTTGTTTTTCTCATCTTTATTTTCGTTCGTGATGAATGGGCTTTGCCCTCGTATTCGTGCCTCTCTTGCTCTCTCCTCCCCTTGCTATCCACTGGATTGTGCCGTGCCCTCCCAAGTCCCCTTTAAATGACCCCTCCGCCATGTATTCTTTATCCCGTTGCTCTCACCCTTCCCCCGTCTCCTCGCAATGGTCCGAAGGTCTCTTCGTATTATTAGCCCGTTTCCGGATTTCAGTTGATCACGTTGCCATGTGGAATGAATGTACGTCTGTCTCTGCGATTGCAGCCGGTCTGTGTTGATCTTATTCGTGTTTTTTCCCGATCTCGTCCTATCCTTAGGTTCAGCTTGCGATATCGGTCTGATGTTATTGTTATAAACCCGATGACAAGAATAGGCATGTTTTCCAGGTTTCTTTCGCCCTTCTTATTCTGTATAGCTGTAGGGTGTGTCCATTCACGTGGTGTCACGACGGGGAAATCCTAGAGCATTTGTCAATTCACATTGTATCAATGGTATTTATCAGCTCGAAATTCACCGGGAATGAAGCAATCGCATTCATTGTGCATCTTTGATGGTGATGGTGATGTGATGTTGTCGCCTGACAGACTAGGGGATGTGAAGTTCTGGGTTCACTGACGAGTCAGCAAAGCACCATCTGAACAATCCCTACGACTAAGCGGAAATATCACAACCTTGGAAAGGCTGGTGATATTCCCTTGCTCTGGCAATGATCTCTTATCTATATAATACCGAAGCCCGTCACATAGGTATAACTGCTTGCTGTGATGCTTTATAGGATAATCGGATCCATTTAGGGCACCCTGGTCACCCGCCTATACATGATTTATTCAGGTAAATGCAGAGGTAAGTTTTGAAGGCGTTGGCATCATCATTTCAATGGAGTTTCGAATCGCCCTATTCTAATGGAAGGCAAGAAGAAAATATATGGTGTGTACCTACATACATACGTTTGCCCACATCTTACTAGGGATTGGAATCCTGGTTATAAGCCACCTCGCATTCATGTAAGATTTGGATAGTCCGCGATAAATAGTGTGGATGTTCACTGAATATGAGTAATGAATTGAATATCTGTGACTTCTCTTCCTCCGCATGTCCGCTATAAACCCCCCACACTAGTACCCCGGCACGAATATATCACTTCATCGACTTCATCACCAAGAGTATCGGAAGTTCGGCTGTTCCCGATCTGTCAAGTCCATCAAATCAGTCTCCAAGATATGATGCTGGTTACCCTCGTCTACGATAACCGTTCCTTCACTGCGTTTATCACGACGTCGATTCTCGTTTAGGTAATACATCCTGCGGAAATTAGAACCTGGTAGCCCCTGGATTTTGACGGGTCACTTACATCAAAACGGCTTGAAGGACAATCATCATCGATGCGGTGACGAAATATGCCCGGAATCCTGTGGGATATGTTGGAGCTTCGGAGGAGATAAAGAACTGCGGCGTAATAATTTGGCCAACGCAATAACCAACAAAAATCAAGACCTAAATAGGATCATTAGTAAACCTTCTTGTAGTATAGGACGGTGTAGGTGCTCTTACACTTGCTGTCATCTTCTTCGTAAATCCAGCTATGTTGGATGAGATCATTGACATGCACATGATGTATGAGACAGTACATGTGAGGAGCGAGTAGACGGCGCCCAGACGCGACATCTTTCTTTCAGCGGGAAGAGCTACGACGGTTAGTATCATGGAAGGGAAATGAGGATTGTGGTTGCTCACTGTAGAGTAGGACACTCCCGACCAGCACGCAAATGTTACTCAAAATCATTGCGATGCATCGTCCTTTGCCAATATAAGAACAGATTCCACCACTGATTTGTCAGAACTAGAACCATATGAAGTGAAAGGTGGAAGCAACATACGCGAGTAGTACTGAGACAAGCTGAATCGCATGCTCTGGCATGGCAACCACTGTCGATTCGACACTTGAGTAGCCAAGACCAGTGAGAATGATTTTGTTGAACTAGAATAAGTGTCAGTTACCAGAATTGTGCACTGACGTTAGATTGTTAACTTACAGCAGTCAATCCGCCGCCAGGAATACATTGCAGGAACACAATGGCAAAGAGCATCAACACCTGGGGGTCGCGGAAGCATTCTATGACCTGGTATTTCTTGTACTGCCGGTTCTTCATTCCGGTATGGTTTTGCAAGACCTAGAGCATTCATCAGCCACGATCCTATTTCGTTTGGAAATGAAACTTACCCTGACAACCGCGATCTGCCTTTCCCGTGGGGTCAAAAACCACGCAGTCATGGGGGAGGAAGGCATGGCGAAAAAGAGGAAGATTCCCCAGGCCATTGTAATGGGACCAAAGATCAGATACAGATATTGCCATCTGCCCAACGCGCCATGGAAATGGCCGACTCCATTCGACACGCCGTCACCGATAAATGCTGCGATCGGACCACCAGCCCACCATAAGCACGCCCGCAACGCATGTTCCTGTCTGGTATAGTATTGGCTGACTAGGAGGGTAAACACTGGGTTGTTGGATGCCTCAAAGACGCCTAGGAAGAACCGGGCGACGGCCAGCGTAGCAAAATTGGTGACTCCTGCTGTAGCTGCGACACACACCCCCCAGAGGAATACCATGCTTCCTATCCAGCGGCCGATGGGTAGTCGCTGCATGAAGATAGAGTTGGGGTATTGCCAGATCAAGAATCTGTGTTAAGTTAGACTTGGAAATGGATGGGAGTGGGATTGAGCAACATACCCGAAATAGAATATGGAGTTTGACCAACTGTACTGTTGGCCTTTAAGGTGCTGTAACCGTCAGTTTGTGAACAATCATGAAGCTCTGAATGTATATGTCCTTACCAGGTCAGTTCGGAGCCCATAAACTGCGGCTGTCGATAAGATTCCTTTGTCGACAAAAGAGAGCAAATAACTTATGAGCATCTACACACTTAGCATGTGTATTGACAACAGCGGTTCGAGGATTGATTCATACCATGGGGACGAGCGATAGATCAAGCTTCCAGCGGACGATACTCTCTTCTCTCTCGCTATATTCCAGCACCAGGTCGCCGTTGAACATCTCTGCGGCATCGTCGCATCCCTTGTCATGCATAGTCTTCTCCCCTTGGGGGACAGCGGTTGCCTGTATCTCATGTTCTCCCATTGTTGCAAGCTGTTTGGGTTTTTGGAGACACAGCAGAGAGTCTTTTTGTTTAGTAAAGGGGCATATGGTACTGGCGGCCAACGGAGAATAAGTACTTCGCAGTTCCCATTATAGCCACTTGGGGCTAGCGAAATTCCCCGCAGTATTTTTTTAATTTCTTATCAATGTTGCTCCTTCACCTGACCTGGGGTAATGATAGTCATGATACTGGAGATATGACAGGAGTTTGTAGCCGGGAGTTCAGCGTCGGCTACGCCGATATATCGGCTCATACCGATGTCTCGGGAGTAACCGATATCTCCGAGATAACCTTACCCTAAGCATTTGCAACATCGGGAGACTGCCGAAGTAAATAGTTCATAAAGAACGCCAATCGTCGGGATAAGCATCTTCAATAGCCAATTGACTCTCTGGTAGACCTGCAAGAAGAATACTCCAATACCCCCGGAAGATGTCCGTGCATCCGTTTTATCAGCATGTGGTGGTCAAGGGTTTACCCTATGACCGTGGATTCTCCTATGGCGAGCAAACCAAGGAGAAGATCCAGCTCAATGTCAAGTACTATAAACAGCCGGGTAAATTAGGGCCATGGTACGTCACTCCGATCTCAAATATTTGGTGAGGGATGCTGATTTTCCAGGTCTTCGGTTTTGAAAGTCATTCAAAACTGCTATATTCCTGGGCTGCAGCGTTACTGGCCATCAGGATGGGAAGAGATGCGCGGTGTTGCAGCTGGTGCTGGCGTTACAGTTGAAGACATCGTCATGTTGAATGCGCGATATGACCTCTCGCATGTAAAGTTCGAGGCCGTTCCTGAAACTCCTGCCGCCGAGGAATCCAAGACTGTGGACGCTATTCCTGAAATTCCTCAGGAGACGCCTGTCGTCGAAGTCGCTACCACAGAGCCCAAGGCAGCTGAGGTGGCTGAGCCCACCGAGAAGACGTCTACCACCGGGGAAAATGCCGTCGGTGAAGACCAACAGGTCGAAGTCGCAGAGGAATGCACCTCCGCTATCATTCTCGCCCCTGCGACAAGGAACCGGGAAGTCTTAACTGCGCAGAACTGGGATATGTCCCACCGACTTTTCACTGAAGACGCCATTATCTACCTCGAGATTCATCCAGATCCTTCCGAAAACATCCCATCAATGTTCCTTGTCACCGAGGCGGGTCAGCTGGGCCGCTCAGGGTGCAACAGCGCTGGGCTAGGTCTCACAGCAAACTCCCTACAGAGCAACATGGACCTAGCGCCCGATTGCTCAGTCCCTATCCCCCCCTCTGGGGCATTGAGACGGCTCTTCCTTGAGCAGTCGAACTACTCAGTCGGACTGAAGTGCATTGCCCGAACCCCACGCCACGTCGCGTTTAATATCATGGCCTCGTCTGCCGACGATATTGGCATCTGTCTGGAAGTGACACCTCAGACGATCTTCAGGTCCGTCATTTCATCGGGTTCAGAAAAGCCGTACCTGGTGCACAGTAACCACTTCCAGACCGGCCCATTCCTGTCACAGACGCAAATTGCCGATACATACCTCGGGGGGAGCTCATGGTATCGCGGTGATCGACTCGAAGCAGGCCTGCGCGAACAGGCGCAGAAGGAAAATTTGATTGAACAAGATGTTGTAGCAGCATTCCAGGACCATGCGGGTTATCCGCATAGTCTATGTGAGCATGCCGTTGAGGCAAAAAGTTCCAAAGAGGAGAACCCTGGGCCATATTCTGGGCCCACATCGACCGTCTGCTGCGTTGTTTATAATCTGTCTAAACGCACTGTCCGAGTCTGTAAAGGTTGCCCGTGCGAGGGAACGTTTCAAGATTTCGAGTTGCGATGAAAAAAAATGTATCTGAAGTGTAACAATTTAACCCATCATTTCCTCAAGCCTAAACTGATCGCGAATGTAATCGTCTTCCACTAAATCATCAAAAATCGACCAAAAGCCCTCACCCCCGAACGCACTCGCATCCACTGGGAACAATTCGGTCCAATTCTGAGCTTGGCTGCGTTTCAAAATATCCATCATTTCGCGCGCCATGGTTTCAAAAATATCCCTGAACCGTTTTGTCGACGGCCATTGCTCTGAAATAGCAAAAAGAACACTGGAACAGGCTCGAATGTCTTCCAACGCGACAAGGTCGGGCCTGTCTTTCCTAATCCAGGTAGAATATAGGAGGGTCAGACCAGCCGTGAAGATAGAATGTAGCGCCAAGAGATTCCAACCCAATGGGCTTCGCTGATGGAGCACTTTGTAATGTTGGCAGATGTCCCCGGCTGCGCGAGCACTCAATGTGAGATACTCTGATGTCTTCGAAACGTCTCCTTCTGCTTCTTTCTTTGCCGTAGTGATACGTCGCTGAAGGAGCATACGTAGTGCCTTGCTGTATTGAATATCGAAGAATTCCCTTGTGTCGTACAGCGAGTAACCAGGGAGAACAAAAGAGGCATCTATCGAGACTGGGACAGCAAGTCGCCAAGCATCGAGCTCATACCGGAAACAGTCAATTTTTTCATCGGAAGTTTCGTGCACGTCAGCACCAAATATTTCACGGTGTATGCGGCTTTCCAGTCGTCGCAAATGACACATATGAGTGAATGATTGGTATTTTGTCGAGTCATATACCTGTTCCTTGATAAGTACTCAGCAGCATCATATTCGAGATCAAATGGAAATTACCGGAACGTCAATCTCATGTTCTGCTAGGGCGAATGGTCTGCCAAGGGTCAATGAGACCGCTCGATCCAAAATGTACGCACTCCAGAAGACACGATTACGCAAATTCAGGTCGTTTGTATTCAATTGTCTCGCCCGAGAATCGCGAAGATTGCGGTGAAGACCCATCTCAACCGCATGCCTGATGGCAAGCCCAATAATGTGCCAACTTCCAAGGTTTGACACATTACTGGGAGTTCGGAGAAGATAGAGAGCAACTAATAGAAGGGCTTGGACCCGTTGCAGGCTCTGGCTCGCTAGAGCAGAGTCGATATGGCGAAGAGCACGTGTAAAGTATGTCTAGCCACGTTTCAGAATTGAATGTATGTTCTTGAGAACGTGTGACGTGACGTACCTCTGGGCTTGTACATGGGCGCATCTCAGGGTGCAGCTGAATGGTCCTCGCAGCAATAGCGTACACCATATACAGTAAGAATAGATTGGGGGCATTGTGATCTTCGTCCCGGGTTGTTTGGCGAAATAAATCCTGAAGGGAAACCTCATCAAGAAGTGGATATCGAGGATGCACTCGTTGAAAAAAGGTATCGACTAACACATCCTCTTGATCTGAGACCACAGACTGCTCTCGGGTTGGTGTCTGACCAGTTACAGTGGTGTCATTATCTCGAACCCTTCCCGTTAACATGGACTCGGACAAGATTCCCTCCACGAGCCTAGAAAGCGAGAAACCTGATGTTGCACCGATAAATGACGGTTCTGCAGCGGCATTCATACTCAAAAGCACAACATCTGTCGATAGCTCGCCATGGTAGTCGGCTGGCGAGATAGAATGCGGGGCCACTTCATGGGTGCGGCTTTCATTCTGAGACTGCAGGCGATGTTGTAGCTCGGCGACTTGTCTTTCTAGTCTGCTGGCATGTTGTACCAGTTGCGAGTGCTCTGTGGTGTGGAGGGCATCAAGTCCAGGTAATTTTGGCCATGTACAATCTGCGCGTCTTAGAATCTCCACACAGTTTCTCATTTTGAGAGATATAGATTTTCAAGCATACTGGATCCTGACCGCTCACAGGCCGAACATACGGGGAGCTCGCCATTACACTATCTTGCTGTCAGTAATTATCGCTGATTCAAGGCATTGTCATCTCCTTGCCTTGGTCTTACGGCGCTTGCATCGCTCGCAAGCAATGGATGCCCGGGTTCTTCGATGAGGTGGCATCAACAAGATGGGAGGTGATAGCTGGCGGGGAGGTTAAAGGGGAGAAGACTGTATCTACCCCGAGTCTGCGATAGGCTAACCTATATAGGCAGCTAGATACAGGACGACAATCACCTGCATCCGGTAAACGGCGAGAGAACTAGAAACTCTATTTTCACTACGATAAAATGCTGGGGGAAAATAACAAGTCACGGCTTGGGTGGAATATATTTAAAAATGCTAAAAACCCCAAAAAAATAGCAGAAATTCTCCGAAACAAATCCATTTATTCCAGTAAGAACTGCTAATTTTAAGGAACATGTATTCATATAGATAACTATTGACAATGTGAGTAACCAGTACAAATCCGTTCGTGATGCGAAAATGATTTGTGGCCTAAGAAATAAGGCATGAACTTTATGCCTGAAATATCGGGAGACACGGCATCAAGGCCACGGCCAATCACCGTCATCCCCATAAGACCCTCCCATAAGACCTTCCCATTTCCACCCCGAATCAGCCGGGAGCTGCTCAGGGTTTGTTATCCACAGAAAGCTGCCAGTTAAACTCTGCAATGGTGCTAGATACCTCTTCTACGCCGGGGGCTTCCTCCTCGACACCCCAGGCCCACGATGAGAAGCCATCCGCCCCTCCCGTCAACATCCTCCCCTCGTTGATAGCCCGAATCTACTCAATTGCGCACCCAGCACTCCTTTTGGCATTGGGTGTTACTCGTTTTGAAGCATTGGTTGCTGATCCCACCAAAGAGCTTCTTTCCACCTTACCATGGCTCACCCTTGCACAAATTTTCTACGTGATTGTTTGTCTTCCGCCCGCCGGGTCGACATTGTCAACAGAGACGAGCGCGTCCGCTCCAGCTGATGGCAAGTCAAGCCCTCGGTCATCTGGCCCTGGTGGTGCTGCGCGTCATGGAAAACATGGAAAGCGGAAGCAGCATGCCAACAGCTGGGCGAGCATTTGGTCCCGGTTACTGGTACGCGATATCTCTCCAAATTGAGTGGAAACTGCGAGTCATTGATACTGACACGATTTTCTAGCCGGCTATCCTCTCGCTCTCTCTGACCTTTGCCCTGGCTACCCCGGTTCTTACAATCCTTCTCGTTCTATTTGGCGCCCCGCTCACAACGCACAATTCCGAGACCGTCCTATGTGCGGCCCACATGGCCGTTCTATCGGCGACAGCCCTGATCTACGCCCACGGGCTGGATCGCGCCGTTTGGAACGATGTTTGGGGAATTGCCCGCCCCGCTGATGCGGTCTGGGGAAGTGCGCTTGGCACGGGCTTGGGAGCGTGGTTTGGCGCTGTTCCTATTCCTCTTGACTGGTGAGTTATACGTTCATACTGTTCTTCAAATGCCAAATAGCTGGCTAACTCGGTACATGAAGGGACCGACCTTGGCAGGCATTCCCGATCACGATTCTCGTTGGAGCCTACATCGGCTATGCCGTTGGCTCCTTGCTTGCCCGTACTCCATTTGTTTACGGCAAGCGCGTCAAATTCACTTCAGAGGAGGTGAGCGAGACCGAAAAGAAGACTAATTAGGGACTCTAGTCCCTTTATATTCGCGCAATGTGGCATACCCCTGAATATACATGTCTGGCTTGTATTAGCATAAAAAGCTGTTACATGGCTGGCGCCACTAGTTATAATTGGTTTTAGATATCCAAAGAATTAATTTGATAATGTAAAATTCTTTAATGAGATCCTCTTGCTATTCACAACTTGTTGTGATCCTTGAAGCTGCCATGCCGCCCTGAGCCTTTGCTGAACTTCGCTGCGCCTGCGATGGCTTCCTGGGAAATCACCTTGCTTCCAGCATTAAACTCTTGGGAAATCGCATCCTGGAACGAGGATGCCTCATACGCACTGTAGTAGTATGACTGGCGATCTGTGTTGAGACACAGCTCAGGGAAGGTGATTAGCTGTCTTGCTATCCTGATAGCTTCCTTTAATGATTCCCCTTTAGGAACAAGCCGGCTGGCCAGTCCCATAGTCAGCGCTTCCTGAGCACTCACAGGCCGACCAGTTAATACCATATCCAAGGCACGACCAAGCCCGACAATAGCCTGCAGCCGGACAGTTCCTCCATCAATCAAAGGCACGCCCCGGCGTCGACAATAGACCCCAAACACTGCGTCTTCTTCGACCACGCGCATATCCGCCAGCAGGCTCAGCTCCAGGCCTCCTGCGACGGCGTAACCGGATATAGAACATATGACTGGTTTTTTTATGATGAGTCTGGAGGGACCCATTGGCCCTAAGTTGTGGCCGATAATAGGTTGGAGGTTGTCGCCAGGTGTATCGCTGTTTGACTGCGCAACGCTATGGAGGTCGGCTCCTGCGCAAAAGCTACTGCCAGCACCTGTCAGAACACACACTTTCTGTTTCGGGTCATCCTCAAAGACAAGAATGGCTTGATAGAGCGCCTTCGCAGTCAAGGGATCGACGGCATTCTTCCTATCAGGGCGATTGATTGTAATCACCGAGATGCCAGAATACGAGGAAGTATCTGTATTCACTCCGTCATATTCCGCCATAACCACAAAATCGAGGAAACTATAATCGAATGAAGGCGAAAAGTTGCTGGTTGAGCATTTTATAGACTTCCCATACCTCGGCTAAACCCCACTCTCGACCTCCTCCAACCATCCCCGTCACTCGGATCTACGCTGTCGGGCGTAACGCCATGTCTTCAGCATGTATAATCTGTCATAAAAGAAAGGTATCGCATTGATCATCCATTGGCACGTTCTTGGGTAATCGCTAATGGTTATAGGTGAGGTGTGATTTTGCGACGCAAGACCCTTGCACCAACTGCAAAAAGTCAGATGTGGAGTGCAGGTAAGTAGACCCGAAGAGAAGTTTGAATAATCGAAAATTGACTCCGTTCAGACCATATACAAGGAAGCGCAAGAGGTTCACCAATAGTCTATCGCCAGGGCGGAATGTGTCAACCTCTGCTCCCTTGAGTCAGACACCGCGGAGCTCACAGGTTCCTCCCGAGTCACAAGAGGCGCAAGTGGCTTCACAGCGGAATTCTTTGAGCGAACCTCTTGGAGTGATTCCAATTGAAAACAATGCAGTCGTGGTCGCCAATAATGGAGACCCGTTCATTAAAGAAGAGAGCTATCGCGGCCGCAGTGAATATCTCGGCGGCAGCGTTCCGTTTGATGAAAATATGGTCAAACCCGGTCGCGAAACTACATACACCAACCCCAAAGCATCAGAAACTGACATGCAAATGCTCCGCGACCAAGGTGCATATGAGTTACCACCATTATCAGTTCAGCAAGAGCTAATGGCCAGTTTTAACACGCACTGTGCACCCTGGACACCGGTTGTGGACCCAAAATGGCTAGACGAGAGTGCGCCGCGATCAATGCTGCTCCTGCAGGCTATCTTTCTAGCTGGAAGCAGAGTCTCTAAAGCCCATCTGGACTATGGGTCTAGCGAAGTGTTCTATCGACGAGCAAAACTACTTTTCTTTTTTGGTGGTTGTGACAACCCTTTGATTTCTATTGTGGCCGCGTGTCTCCTGCATTGGTATAATCCGGTTGGACCCGAGGACGTCTCTACCGATACCAGTGGTTTTTGGATTCGGACAGCCGGAGCAATGGCCTTCCAGATTGGGCTACACAAGGAACCCTCGCCGAATTCTCGAGATCGGGGGTTCCGGAGAAGGCTGTGGTGGTCTCTCGTGGTATGTATATCCCTTAATGTGGAATACACAACGTATCATGCGCTAACATACGTAGGTGCGAGATAATATAATTTCTGTTGGCGTCGGCCGACCACGAACTATCAATCTACGCGACAGTGATGTGCTTCCGCCATCACTTAATGATTTCCCCGTTGACAACTTCAAATCCCAATTATTCCTAGCCTACTGCACGATATCCCGGCTTCTGGGAGACACGGTTGAGTCTCACCTACGAAAAGAAATCTCTCGGCAAAGGCAGGTTGATCTTGAGAACGCCGTCTACCGATGGGCAAAACAAGTCATTCCAAGGTTACGATCATCTGTCGCAGCTCAAGACGATGCGGTTATCTGTAACCTCGAAGTGCAACAGGTGCTAGTAATGTATTTCGTCGTGCTCACTATTCTCCATCGCTCGCCTACGCCAGGTAGCGTACCACCCGCAGCATCGCTGATCGCATCTTCGTTCATTGCCGGGATCTACGAGGAATTCTTGCTTCGGGATGAGCTTCGATACCTGGGTCCTGTATTTGCATTCTATCCACTTTGCGCTGGACTGTCGCTCCTTTCTAGCTGTCGCTATGCCAACCTCCAGAGTACCGCCGAACATGAACTAACAGTCATGAAGCTCTCCCTTCAAAAGCTATCCGAACGGTGGCTCTCGGCGGTCGGACCACTGCGTGCGCTGAACAACTTGACCGAGAAAGTCCGAGAGCTGGGTCCTTTCGGGGGTTCATCGCCTACTCTCGACCCAGACGCGGCCTCTTTCTTTGAAGGGTTCGACACAAAGCTTTGCAAACAATGGCAAACCATTGGACACTCTTCAGAGCCCACAAATGGCAACACGGGTATTGCGCCTACTTGCACTATGGCGGACCTTCAAGATACTGATGCCCTTCAGCCCCTTGACGCTCCACCGGGACAACCTGTGGATACCTATGACTTCGCTTCTCTTGATATTAGCTTGGATCCATTCAGTAATAATTGGGAAGGTGCTGGATTTGACTGGAGTGGCTCCTGGCTACTGAATATATGAATTTAAGAAAGCTTTAGAATTGGGGTTATACAAAAGTTGGTCTCGGATTATATCTTGTCTTCTTTTAATGTACAACAGTTCCTTTCTCGTTTTTCTTTCAAATCCCACCCACGGTCTGTTTTATCGACTAGACTGCATGTCTTCTATAGCTTGGCTCTATTGTCCTTTTGCATCTCAAGAGTATAGTACTGCTTGAAGTGATCCAAAGACCCAGGATTCGCAACGGTACTGCTAATAACCTTGGGAAGCTGGCCAGAGGAAATGACCTGTTTTATCAATGTCTCGACCTTTTTACCATTCACCGTCATAGGACCTTCCTTGATCCCGATCACGAAGCGAGGAACATGCTTACTGCTCAAACCTTTGCGAATTGCATCCTTGAGCTCCACAGCAAGTTGGCCCGTGAATGCCTTTCCAGGCTGCATGACGACGAACAAAAATACAACTTCATCAGAGTCATGGGGTCGTCGACGTCCAACACAGAAAGTGGTTGAGATCACCGAGTTGAAAGGGGCCGATTCGGTGATCGAGTATATGTCTGACGACCCGAAACGAATACCCTGTGGGTTCAGGACACCATCGCTGTGAGATTTCCAATCAGCACACAGTTCCTCCAAATTATATTGTCAGGGAAATGCAAATTACCTCCTTCCATGAATCTGCCAACCTTTCGTTTGTGGGTTATAACTCGCCCAATCGTGTTGAGCCCAACAATTTTCGAATTTCTCAAAATACGCGCTCTTGTATTTCGATCCATCTTCGTCGCCCCAAAAGAATACTGGCATTGAAGGGAATGTTTGGCGACACACAAACTCGCCATGTCTTCCAGTGGCCTTGATAGAATCTCCCGTAGCGGGATCGGCGATGTCTAAATCATGTCCAAGCATCGGAAGCTGGATTTCCCCAGGATACAGTGGACCAGCAGGGTCAGTCCCGATCCAAGAAGTCGCCAAGTCCGTTCCTCCTGTTACACTGGTGAGATGAACACTCGAAGGGAATGTGCGGTAGAACCAGTAATATTGGTCTTCGCCTAGATGAGAGCCACCCGTCTGCACCATTCTGAGGGACGATAGGTCGAACTCGTTCTTTGGGATGCAGCCGGTCATCTCGAGCTCCTGCAGATAGCGAGGAGAGCAGCCCCAGTATGAGACTTTGTGGTACTCTGCGATTTTCGCCAGTCCTTTGGCACTGGGCCACAACGGAGATCCATCGTAGAGAATCAGAGTCGGGCCTACGGAGAGGTGGCCGACCATGACATTCCATAAAACCCATGAGGTACTGCTATACTGGAAAACAACATCGTCAGATGTCAGAGAGTTGTGCAGTACAGATGTCTTCTTGTGCTGCAAAATAACACTGTGGCTATGCACCAGGCACTTTGGCTGACCGGTAGTGCCGCTAGTGTACAAGATATACAGCGGATGAGAGAAAGACACTCTTTTGAACTCTAACTTGTCCTCAGGTCGTGACATTGAGAGGAAGTGATCGAGACTGGGGAATACCGGCTCATGGGCGCCGGTGATAGGAATCAAAAACACCTGTGGCTTTGAGTGCAATGCCTTCACGATGCTCTGGATCTTAGCAACGTTCGATCGCATTTTCCCTTTGTATGTGGACTCGCCATCTGCAAAGAGAATTCGTGGAGTGACTTGTTGCAACCGTGAAACACAGCCCTAGTATTTCTAATTAGTTTCTGTTATCGATGGCGATTCTCATTCCTTCAGAACATACCTCGTCACCCAAATCTGGTGCAATACTTGTCCAAATCGCGCCAATACTCGCAGTCGCCAGGAACAGACCAATCGACCAGACGCTGTTCGAGATTATAGCAGCAACCCGATCTCCTTCCTCAATACCAAGCTGGAGCAAAGCACTCCTTGCCTTTCTGACATTCTCCCCCAACAATCCCCATGTCCACACCTCCCCACTCAGATCCTGGCCCGCTCGAACTCCAACAAGAGCTGTCTTGTTCAAGTCCCGACCAGACACAACATTCTCCGCATAGTTGACAGTTGCTCTGGGGAAGAACTTGGGAACCTGCTCCATTGGCGTACTGGGATCAAATGCGGATGTTACTGTCGGAGGCAACGATGGAATAATTCCCGTATAGCCATGGAGGTCTGTCCAGAAATATTGGAGGTTCTCGACGGTCCATTGATGCAGATCATGAGAGGAGCGAAGCTGCTGATTGAACTTCTTGTTGATATGTGCACGATAGATGTTCATGGGTATCTGGTCTTGGGGGATAGTAGGCTCCCAGATGGGACGAGGCCTGAGAGCATCGCTCTTCGTAGGGATTAACATTTCTTGTTTCCTTCCCTGGTTCCAGTTGGGGACTTTGAAGGTGTATAGTCGGAATTGATTGAGTATAGAGTGATTTATATCGATAGATAGGAGGCACAGAACTACTCTCAATAATCACATTAATAGCCCGTCGGCATTCGGCACCCGGCCATTTAATACCCGAATGGATAATCTCATTCGGGTAAATCTGACGCGTTCTTAGGAACAACCATGATAGTGTAGACTCTTTCGGTGATCCTCGGTAGAAATCGGTGGGAATCGGTGGTGGGTGATGCAGTTCATAGGGTTGATGCTGCTGCTCGGCTGATGATGCAACGGCCCACCCCCGCACGAAGCTGAAGGATTATAAGAACAGGTTGAAGCTTTATTTGGTGGAGTAATTGCATATTGCATCTTATTTTCCTATATTGTCACTGCCAATATAGGCGTCTAACTTTAACCCCATGAGTGCAGCCGAAACGTTCATCTTTTTCTACCTAGCATTGGAGAATCCAGCGACCTCTGATGAAGTCTTTCAGCGAAAGTTCTAATGTAAGCTTACGGTTGTTAAATTGTATCTCTTTACCATTAACAAAAGCCTCTTCTATAGCTCAATGTTAGAATGAAAGGGCCGGTTGGATGTTCACATATGTACAATGATTCGACAGCTAAATAGATACGAATGTCAACAAGACTAGCTAGGATTGCATACTACATATGGCATCAGTATTTATATTTGGCTTGCTCAAAGCTTAGAGCTCGCCTTCTGCAAGGATCGGTGACCAGATGCACGGTTCGGCGGCAGGTCGATTCCCCAGGCAATGCGGCAGTCCCATTGCAGATGTTTCTCGCCGCCAGAGGAAGCGCTAGCAGTGCCACTGACTGTAACAATATCATGGAACACGTGCTCTCCCACACCTCCCTCGGCACTCAAAATCCAGCGACGAGCGATCTCTGTTGCCACAGGGTCATTATCACGCTCAGCATCAAGCGCCAAAAGAGCACCTGATAGGATCCAAGCCAGAGTAAACATAAAGCGACGACCATCAGCGACAGTTGAAGCAGGGTCCTGAGTCGTGAAACGAGCACGCAAAGCTGACCACGCAGCTGTCAGGGCATTTTGCAGATCTGCACTCTGGATCAGAGTCAAGGTACGGTCAAGCCATGCTCCGAATATCTTCAAGTTGTCCTTCTTAATAAGAAAGCGGACAAACTCGCTGGCTAGCACGTTGGTAGTGCCCTCCCAGATAGAATTGACTGCGTTATTGCGCAGAATACGAGAGATGTTGAACTCGGGCTCGTCAGCCTCGTCCATATAACCGACTCCACCCATAGATTCCTGACATTCTTGAATTCCCACAGTAGCCATCTTACTGATAACAGCCTTGGCAGTCGCAGTCAAGGTACGGAAAACCACCTCGGCTTCCTTCCCAGGTTGAGGTAGATGTGCGAGGTTATTGGACGACGGTGTTTGATTCTCAACAACCCCAAACAAAGCAACTGTGAACCATGCAAGGTTCATTGCACCGCGGTGCTTTACTTCCAAGTCTGCGAGAAGTCGCAAATGCATTGGGATCAACCAGAGCGGCTCACCAACAGTAGTCCTCGCTTTCGCAAAGCTCTTTGTGATACTAACAGCTCGGCGCCAACCAGCAAGCGAGCCAACGAAGGTATGAAGTCGGGTAACATTAAGAAGAGGCGCTATAGTGACGATACCCTGGTCTAGTTCGCCGAGGAGATGCGCACGCATGTCCTTTAGCTCCAATTCAGCCGTCGGCAATTCTTTGGTACCGAGTTTATTCTTCAGTCGATGGATCCTGACACCATTAGACACAACTTTGGAGACGCCGTCAGCACCCACGACGGTCCGTCGCAATGGCGCGAGGAATGTGCTTAGCTTCCCGGATGGCGTTTTTGCGAGCAAAAGAGCAAGGTTTGCATCCGTTGCGGAGGAGAAGAACTTAAATCCGCTGACGAGGTAGTCGCCATCACCTAGGGGATCAAAGCCTGGGGTAGCTAGCGGCGAGTATGTAGCCCATGTTTCGGTGTTTTGGACGTCACTACCACCGGTTCTCTCAGTCATCCACTGGCCCGAGGTCCAGTGATCATCCTTTTCGGAGATCAGCCCTTGGAACGCGGTATGAAAAGGATGCGTAGATGGCAGCTTGTTAATTCTCGATGAGAGAATAAAAGCAGCACCATCGGTCATGCTAATCGGACAGGAATAGAGTCCAGAAGAAGGGGAGTATAAATAGGTCCTGGAACCATGGCATGAGTGATAGCGTAGAAAGATCGATAACAAATTACTCACAACGCATACTGAACTGTTCTCCTGTCAACTCCCAGATGTTGGTCATAGCCTGCTGAGACGATCCTAATCGGATCAAGTTAGATTATGCATCTCATCTCAAAGGTAATTCATAGAAGATACCTATTCCGAGCACCCCATTTGCCCAATTGCTTCCAGCCCTCCGTGGTCACCAACCGATCATAATCATATCGCTTACCCCAAACGTTATGACTCTTCACATAAGGCACATTGCGCTCAGCATCGGCGCTCCATTCACGAACCTGCTCGGAAATAGCCTCGGCTCCGAACTGGGTGAGATGTGGTTGTACAGATTGCAATGTAGTGGATGGTAGGTACCCTAAATAATGTTGAGGAATTATTGTAACATATGAGGGAGAAACTCACATGCTAGTGTCCGTTGAAGACTGGGATCCGATGTGTAGGTATTCATCAATGGGCCGGGGTCGGTGATGTAGCCGCTATCTGCTGTCGCGGGCTGTGGGGTAGACATGGTGTGATTTTTAGAAGTGGGTGCAATTGTAAAATCACAAATGGACCGCTCAGAATGATATGGATAAAAGCCGTTGAAGATGCGGGGGAAATGGACCTCGGCCGTCGGTTGTCCATGAATGTCCAAAGTCTCATGTTTGCCCGCAAAAGCGCCGACAGCCTGTTCGTGCCACCTTATCGAACTTGCAGCATGATATCGTGTATGCTTAACTGTTTCTACTAGATAGTCTAGTCATAGCCTAATGGTGGCAAGCCAATACACGAGAGATAGTTGTTAAAATTCATGACAAGACTATTCAAGCCATAACAATCCTTCCCGAACATATCAGCGAGGGGAAAGGATCTCATTTTTTATTCATGTTGCTTTTGTAAACATCTGAAAACCATCACATCTCGTGCAGCGTATTGTATCCTGTCTCAACTAAGCTGCGCGGTCCTCGGGCATCAGAGCAGACATGCCAGTAGAACAGGCCACCCAGTTTCGACGAGGTCACAAATTCCGCCTTCTGTTTTACTGTTTCTGGGGTATCATATGTGACAAATCCGCTATCAGCTCCAACACAGAATGACGCACCAATGTTCTTGTCATAGTACTCCTGTGTCCCCGGTCGGGGCAGATCGCGATAGTCAAAAACACCATCCTCACCACCACTTCCAGTATACCGCTGACCAGGGCCGTTGCTACCCAAAAAGGATCGTCCATAAACTGGCACGCCCAGAATGATCTTTCTAGGGGACACTCCTTGCCCTACGACGTAAGAGACCGCCGAATCACCAGATACGCCTGCGCCATAAAGCTGCGCCTGATGGCCGGTTTCAGATTCCCATGGTCCAGCGAAATCGTAGGTCATGAGGTTGATCATGTCAAGATGCTTTTGTGCCGCAGCGAGGTCAATGTTCTGCAATGCCCACTGGCCAGCAGGGAGGGCGGTGGTAAGGACGTATCGTGGAGCGGGTAGCACTTCCCGCAGACGTGCGAGGAGACGAACATAATCCTTCCCTTGCTTGGAATCAGAGGGATGCTCCCAGTCGACTGTACAGCAGACACAGTCAATCATTTGCTTCCAAGTTGCGTCAGAATCAAAAAAAAATAAAGCGGCCTTACTGTCAATTCCATCAATTCCAAATTGATCCACCAGTTCCCGCGCTGTGCGAACAAAAGTGTCCACCCCAGAGCGGCTGTTGGCTACAGCGGCGAAGTTTTCACTGCCTTTTCCACCACCACCAACTGAGAGAATGACCCTCATCTTAGAGTACTGTTGCTTCAATTGAACGAAGGCTCTAAGACAACCTTCTGCACCGTCAACGGGCATCTGGGTATCAGCCCACTCATCACTCAGCTATGACGCAGCGTCAGTGAACATTTCTATATTGGAGGACGTGCATGCTTAAACTTAAACTTACATAGACAGTGCCATCTTCTTTCACCCTGCGGGAAACCAAATTTAGATTAGCGCATCAGCCATCTACTCGAACTCGGGCCTTTGAACGGCGATGATTGGCTGTTTTACCAGGCAAATGCGTAGAACACGTGAGAGATAAATCCCAAGCGCAAAGATGAAGGAGGCTCCTTTCGATAGATTCTCCAATTCGGATAGTAGGCCGCATTTGTGTACAACGGCACTTCGTATGAGACGTGGGACTCGGCGGGGTCACGATCCGCGCCCCGTCGGCGGAAGAGCCTGGAAGCTGAAAACATGGTCAAGACGTCAAGGTCAAAAATGTGTGAAAGCTCGCTCATTGGAGGAATCACAGAAAGGACTGAAGCTGGATAGAATTCCCAGGGAAAAAAAGGGACCAAGGGAAAATAGAAGAGAAAGAGTTGAATCGAAAGGTGGAAAGTACCCAGAGCAATGCTGTGTGTTTCCTTTTTTGGAATTCGTCACGTGGAACTTCGCCTCGTTCTTTTTACTCTCCTCTTTGCACTTGTACCAATTGGGTGGATAGTATGATCAGGCAGTTTGCAGATGTAAATCTGAGGTAACTTCACTAGGCTTCTTGGCGTAGATGGTCAAATCAACAATTGGATACAGCGAGATGCGGGGAATGCAGGCTAAGCATATGCGCAGCATGATTTTTTTTTCCAACAAAAGTACAAAGTACGTTGTACGCAATGGCTGATGTTTGTATGGCCAGATGCGGGGTCAAGCTTGCTTACTGGCACTGTCTCAGAGTTCAGTCAACAGCTCTAGATCCAAGACACACCGGATCTTCCCCGGTCATCTCCGTATCACCCGCGATCCGATCTAACCAGCGGATGTAGTAAGAAAATCCTATCAGGAAGACTTTCCAACTAAGGTACGAGTGTGGATCGTCATGCATGACCAATGCACCCCGTGTTCGAACAGATTTTCCAAAACGGCACCAGATCGTCGTAAAACAATATTATCGAGGACGATCATGACTCGTGACAATTCGGATACAGCGTCAAGCTCTTGTTGGGTGTCCCGGTGAGAAATATGTAGTTGGTGCGAAGCTAATGACCAAACAGGGAGAGTGGCGATGTAGGTTTGACATTTTGCTAGTGTTTGCTTTTTTCGGTTTGATTATCGAAGCATTTACAGGTATCTGATTCGCTGAGGGAGAGGGATTATGAAATGAGGCTGGAGCACTATAGGCAGCGATGCATGTTGCCCCGGCTTTGGGCTCTCCCGCGGTCAGAGAGTCCGGAATGCTTACTACATTCTACAGGGATACCGTTTGAATACCGACGGAGTACATCGCACCAGAGACCTCCTCAAATCACCTCGAAGTATGGAGAGGACAAATACGAGAAAAGAAACAAAAAGTGGTATTTTCAGCAGCCAAATGCGCTCATTGCGATTAATAGTCCCAAAATAATCAAGTACACAAAATTGCAACCTTCGAGGTCCAAGTAATTCCACTCATCTAAGCCGCTTGAAGCCCGTTGAGGTTCTTGGACGCCACTTTACTTTCACGACAAAGGGAGCTTAGTTGCGGATCATGTCGCGAATCAAAAAGTCACTGGGCGCAGGACTTTACAGTGTCAGCCTTGGATCCCTATTAGCCTTGTTTCTGTTGGTAATATTGGGGCTGTGCCTTGATAAAAGCATCGCATGTAGTGGTAAGCAAGGGTCAATAGGGTTACAGCTATCAGAAATGTTTACAGAGGATGGTCTACACACTCATAAATGTTCAAAATATGCATAATGTGGTAGAGTATCCTGAAGTATGTAGACACTGTAAAATGCCTATTCTCAATTTGTGCCTTCGGTATCTCCATGCAACACTAGAGCTTGACAGCCTTGTTCAGTTCGGCCCATTTCTTCTCTCCCTCAGATCCAGGCTGCGGCGGCACCAGACCATTAATCTTCCACAAGTCTCTGGATGATTCCGCTATGAAATACTCCCATTCCATGCCTTTTGACTCAAACAATGGATTGAGAATCTCATCAACAGCGGTCAAGAATCTTTGTTTGGCTTCGTCGGTCTTGAAGGCTCGAGCAATGTGATATATTGTCAGAGCTGCAAAGTTGGGGTGAGGTTCACCACCAACGAATGCAGTACCGGGAATGTTCTCGATGAAGTGCACTTGGACGTAGAATGCAGGCAGGCCAATGGAGACGTATAGCTTGGTGATTGACTTGGCGAGTTGTTCTTTCTCGGGAGCTGTAAGGGTGTTTGGACTGTGTTTGATATACCAGGAAGGCATTTTGAAGGAAGTCAATTTCTTGTAAGAATAACTTGTTGATAATGAGTTCAAGATGAATTCTGAATGAAGATGTGGTTTGATCTACTTTACATATGCTGGATCCTGTTCATTCTTATACTGCGTTGAAGATCATAAAGAACCAAGTAGACCGCGCAGATTACTGATATCAAATATTTTCGCGTCATCATCTATATGCATGATCATCTTCTCTTCTCCGTTTCCCATAGTCTTGATATTTCGGGGAGATAGTGTAATAGAAAAGCCTCGATACACAGCGGGCCCACTCGTGACACCTGGGTTTTTTGATCATTTCATCAGCCTCCCGAGCTCAACCCCTGATTTTTATAACTATGATTACTATATCATACAACTTGCCGAGCTTCACAATAGTATCACCAACAATTTCTCGGGTTGTATATTAGATCACTCGGGTTGTATGTCACCCTGAATCAGGCTAACATCCAAATATGATGACATCGATTATGTCGGCATCTCATGGAGTTGAGTCTCTCATTAGAATCAGACCACGGGTATGACGTGGGTCGATTCCATCATTTTGCTTATCCTAGCCTATCAATCATATGCAGGTAAAGATTTAGGCAACTTAGATTTGCTAGCAGCTTACAAATTCAGACGACGAATATAAAAGACCGCTGAGCGCAAAATAGAATGCTTTCCTCCCATCAGCACTCAAATAATCACCAAGATGTCTAATGAATTGATCTTTATCACCGGAGCCACTGGCTTCATTGGTAGCGCCACTGCAGTAGCTGCTCTCAAGGCGGGGTATCGATTGCGAGTTTGTCTTCGCAAGCCGTCTGAGCAATTGGAAACTCTGCTGTCAGAGTATAGTGACCAAGTTGAATTTGTCATCATTCCAGACCTGACTGATGAGACGGCTTTCGACAACAAATTGAACGGCGTGGACTATGTCTTTCATCTTGCATCCCCTCTTCCCCATGGGACGAACAAGCAGACATACTTTCCCCCAGCCGTGAAAGGGACCACTGCCTTGCTGAAAGCAGCAGCAAAAGCGCCATCCATTAAAAAAGTCGTGATTACCTCGTCCATTGCGGCTTTCCTTCCAATGTCTGGCATTCCTACTGGTGGTGTGGTGAAAGGTATATTACATCCTACTTTTCGATCTCCGAGTAAAAATTGTATTGACACATCTCGTAGAGGACAACGATTGGGACTTTTCGGTTGATGAAAATGGAGATTTCGAGGACCCCCAAAACCCAGCCGCAACACCAATGCGACTATATCACGCCTCAAAACTTCTTGCAGATAATGCAACCTGGAAGTTCCGGGCAACAGCAAAGCCACAGTATGCATTGGTGACATTGCATCCCGCGTTTGTGTACGGGCGCAATCTTGTTCAGAGTTCTGCCGACGGAATCAAAGTGGGGTCTAACACTGGTCTGTGGGATATGATCATGAAGGCCGATCCCAGTAGAAGCACTGTAGGAGTGCATATTCAAGATGTGGCTGAAGCACACATCAAGGCACTGGATCCGAAGATCGTGGATGGCTCGAAATATCTACTGGCTGGGCAGAAGACGACGGGCCCTGAGATTGCACGCATTGTGCACAGACTCTACCCGGATTCTGGAGCATTGATTTCCGAGAATTTCCAGGGTGCTTCGTTCCCAGTTGATACGACTAAGGCGGAAACAGAGCTTGGGATTCAATGGCGCTCATTCGAGGCGATGGTTCGGGATCTAATGGACCAGCAGCTCGGGTTCGTGTGAACATGTGTCTGTCAGAGCACATGTTAACAGGTCAATAACAATGGTTGGAGATATCAGTGGTAGTCTCAATGTCAAATATATAACAATTGGATTGGATATTGGGGTTTAGTTCTCTGTAGTCCTAGTTGCTGCTGGTTTTCCATCTGTACTCGGATTATAGCTCATTTGTCTCCCTTTAAGCGCATAGTCGTATATTTTCCAAGATAAAGATAGCATGAAACTCAAAGTTATTAATATCTTAACCAGAATTTCGTATCAATGTCGGTTGTAAAGATTTAGTATGACTTGTCCATGGGTATGTCACAATGCAAACGAGACAAACACCGTGTCGCCACCTGATTTCTAAGGCGACAACTAGAGAACAACCTGGACAGCTCCGCAACCTTTAACAATTAAGACTTTTCCCTCAAATCTCCTTTTCCATGTCAATTTGAGCTGAGTTACAACCAGAAACTGTGATTTATCCTATCTCTGCAAACCTTCCAACTTCATTCACAAAGAGGTGGGCATCGTCAATCGAATACACGCACCTGGCTCGCGACGACCACCGATCGTCTCTCTACCCTACACACTGCGCCCAAGCTTCATCGAGCCATGGCTGCCGTCACTGAAAGTGCAGCTGCGCACATCATATCTGCAGAACCGACGCGCGACCCTAGCTACAATGACTTTTCTTTCACACCCTTTCTGCGCAAGAGCTTCGGCTTCGGACTCGCCAGCGATGTACCTGTCTGCAAGGCTTATAGTGAAGGACACTGCCCGTTAGGACCTGCTTGTCCAGATCGTCATCCTACTCCGTCCCGAGTAACAACCTCGACTACCACAGCATCCGGAATGGCGCCATCTACAACACACGGATCGCTGGTTTGCAAACATTTCCTCAAAGGACTATGTAAGAAAGGACTCAAATGCGAATATCTCCACGAATACAACCTTCGACGAATGCCAGAATGCCAGTCGTTTTCACGATCTGGATACTGCACCAATGGTGACGATTGTCTTTACCAGCATGTCCGCGAGGAGGCACGCCTGCCGCCTTGTGAGCACTATGACCGCGGATATTGCGAATTGGGACCACTATGTGCAAAGCGACATGTCCGCCGACGTCTATGTACCTTCTATCTAGCCGGATTCTGCCCTGATGGAAAAGCGTGTGCCGATGCTCACCCTCGCTGGCCGGAAAACCTACCACGGCCTACAATGCGCACTGAAAAAACGGAGGAAGAACTTGAGCACGAACGAGTTCTTATCCGTGAAGAACAAGAGAGGGAAAAAGAACGAGAACGAGAATGGCGAAACGAACGTGGTCGGGGTGGTGGATTTGGGCGTGGTCGCTTCCGCGGCCGTGGAAGGGGTTAGGTGGATTCTTATCGCAAGGGTTTTTTTGGCGACATTGCATGGCATGGAGTGAGGTGTGGTTTCGGTAAGGGGTCCACGGGCTTCTTGGTTTCTTTTCATTTATGGTTCTTGCGCTAGTCCCGCGATACCCCATTGTATTTGACGCAAAAATATTCACAAGAAAGGTTTTTTTTTTTCTTCTTTTCACTTGAGCTCAATGGCATAATTGGTGTTACAAGGGAGACTTCCTTGTTCTACCCTTGCTGTATCATGTCTCCCGTCTGCTATACTGACTTGGCTTGGTAATAATAGACTCGTAGTGCTGTGAAACCAAATCTCCTTTCGTGTTAATGTTCAGCCACCGGACCCAAGTGCGCCGGTGTCAGCTTACCCCAATCTAACTCATATGTTGTATGATGAATTCGCTTGTGTGAATGTTTAGATATAGTGGGCGAGTCCATGACATCATGATAGAACTTTCGAGGCAAAGTATAAATATTCCCTTAATTCCGCTGTTGATTAAAAAGCAATACGGCACAGAATACGGAGTAGAATCTGGATAATTACTATTTTTTTACTAATGGTTTCGTAACTCTCCTAGGCGCATTGTCGGGAATGCCCACCCTTAGCGTGTAAATTTTCATTTGTCAGTCCTCAGTAAGAATCACTAAAGCTAGAGCTATATCCGAGTGGAACCCGTTCAGCCAATCATATTCCATCTTCAAGTGCTCTGTCATCGGTGACTGATGCTTTGTCGCGCTGATGATAATGGCGGTACCTCGAACACCTACTAATTAATATGGTGGATGAGGTACCTAGGACATTCCTCCCGGCGGGGTGTCAACCTTTATAATTAGCTCCCCTCCCCGCTCTCCCTCTCTCTACTTTCCCTCTACATCACACATCCATTCTACAATCCTCAAACCGTCATCATGGCTCCCAAGGTTGCAATTGTCTACGTATGTCTTCCAATTGTAGTGCATTCCTCTCTCATTTCACTAATTTTCCGAACAGTACTCTATGTACGGCCACATCCAGGCCTTGGCCGAGGCCGAGAAGAAGGGCATTGAGTCCGCTGGTGGCCAAGCCGAGATCTTCCAGTCAGTCATACCATCATTGCTACTCCTCGGGTCATTTTATTGATATTTTCATCTTTAGGATCGCCGAGACCCTCAGCGAGGAAGTTTTGGGCAAGATGTACGCTCCTGCCAAGGCCAGCTACCCCGTTATTGAGCCTGCCGACCTCCTCGCCTTCGACGCTGTTCTGTTCGGTATCCCCACCCGTTACGGTAACTTCCCCGCTCAGTGGAAGACCTTCTGGGACAAGACCGGTGGCATTTGGGCCACTGGTGGCTTCTGGGGCAAGTACGCCGGTCTTTTCGTTTCGACCGGTACCCAGGGTGGTGGTCAGGAGTCCACTGCCCTTGCCTCGATGAGCACTCTCGCTCACCACGGCTTCATCTACGTTCCTCTGGGCTACAAGACCGTCTTCGCTCAGCTCAGCAACTTGGACGAGGTTCACGGTGGTAGCGCCTGGGGTGCCGGTACCTTCGCTGTAAGTTAACACGACATCCTCCAATACATTGCTCTTGCTAATCATCCCGTCTACAGGGTGCCGACGGTTCCCGTAAGCCCTCCGCCCTCGAGATCGAGGTTGCCACCGCTCAGGGCAAGGCCTTCTACGAGACCGTTTCCAAGGTGCAGTGACTGCATGGTAGCACCGAGTCGAAGCCGGAAAGCTCGACTCCTGTCGCTCAGCAGGCCGCTCAAAATACTGAACAGCCTGCTAAGAAGCAACAGGATACTCAGGAGTCAGCCAAGAAGGAGAAGAGCAATGAGGGACCATGCGGTTTGCCTAAGAAGTGTACCATTCTTTGATTAGACCATGTCTCTTCTTGCGTTCTCTTATTTTCGGCTGTTCTCCCTGGGGCGTTTTCTCGGCGTTTCGAAATCTCATGATAATACGGACATACCATTCTCATTTTCCAACGGATAATTATATCTAGCCTAATGGAAGAAGTCTTTGGAAGAGTAGTGAATCGCTTTTTCAAATACCTATAGTAACTCGCATTTCTGCCTATATAATTTACCGCCCAAGCCGTTTTTGATACCTAGAGAGATCTATATTCATGATAGCTCTACCTAAAAATACTATAACATACTACATTTGACAGAAGATCCAGTTCCTGGTCTTACCCTCACTTCAATGTCAAGGGAACGGCAGACGAGTCTGGTACCATGATATTGACAGTGCCATCCTGGATTATGGCCATCTCCTTCCTTGGATCGACAATGACTGGCTTCCCTCGCTGCAGATCATGGTCATATGAAACGCGCGCGAAGGTGATCTCACCCAACGAATCACTCCCTGAAGCAGTGAGTCGCTCAACCTTAGCTTCAGCAAACCCCTTCGGCACTTGGAATCTGGAGCTTTTACTTGGACGAGGGCTGCTTGTATGATGAAAGGGTTGGAGGTTGAGAACAGCAAGCTTTCTCAGCTTGCCCCCTCTGTAGACTGCATAAGCAGACTCGGTATCACTGGGCAGGGGGATTTTCACGACTCGAGTGTCACTTGAGGAACCAATAGCAGAGGCAACCGTGATGTGACCATAATACGGTGCTCTGGTGGTTGGGGCCTGCTTGTTGCTTTGGACTAGCTGCCACGAGTCATAGCGGTAATCAAACCCTTGGTGGAAGTAAAGACACTAGATATTCTGTGTTACTCGTGTTAGCATGCTTAGCAGATATAGTAAATAGGAAACAGGACGGAAATACATACATTCTGTGCAGCCCATAGGGAGAAGTCGGCCACCCATACTGCAGTAATACATATGCGGGCTTGAAGTTGGTCTTTGAAAGCGGCGCCAGTATATATAACTAACTGGCTGATATTCTTCTACATTTCCAGATACTATCAAGGTTGATTACTAAAGATTTACTCAACGTGAAAGTCCCAAAAATCGACAGCTAATAAATATCTTTGTATAAATATTCACTTTTACGGGCTTGTAGTCAATCTTACTACATACATAAGGCTCTGTATCCGTGGTAACGACTTTACCGACGCCTCGCCCAAAACTCCACAGCCGACCGCGGGGTGTTTTGTCAGCCAGGTACCTTACCGCCCGCCAGCTGTGACGTGACCAGGGAAGCTTCGAGTCGAGCTTCTCTTCTCACTTGCATGTATCTTCTTTGTCTTCTTCTACCTATGTGCCTCTGAAATTGAAGACAATACTTTTCAGTCTTTCTCTTCAACATCGCTGCAGTTTTCTCAAGGCCAACATGGCCTCCATTCTTCTGCGATTCGAGAGTCGAAACGGCCAATTTCGACTCACGGTCAGCCCGGAGGAACTCTTCCCATCACTTCAAAAAAAGGTATTTCTCCGCCCTTGGTCAGAAGATGGTGACTGGAGGATGAGATCCAAAAGCTAATCTAGCAACCGGCATTAGATCCTAGAACACCTCCCGCCAAATGTCGAATCTTCGTCCATTGCCCTGTCAAACAAACCGATCGGCACAGGTGGTGAGGAGAGACTACTAGAGGGCCTACAAGGGGTGTCGCTTCAGCAGGTCGGCCTGAAGTAAGTTATGAATGTCATGTTGGCCTCTAAAGATTGAATTACTCACGCGCCGCTGACTTGAAGGCATGGGGATAAGCTCTTTATTGGGTACCAGGAACAGACACCACAGAACGGACACTCGAACGGCACCACATCTACCACTACAGAACACCGACTCAACGGAGCGCCGATCTCTAACCAACAGACAGTCCCGATCCGTCCACAGCCAAGTTCTTCCACATCAATCAAGAACCCGTGGGAGTTAGTGCAGCAATCACCGCTGGATAACCTGCTTGACAAGAAAGATGGAAAGATCAAGCGTGGAATGGACCACAAGATGTGCAGGCATGGTCCCCGAGGCATGTGTGACTACTGCATGCCACTCGAGCCTTACGATGCGAACAATATGACAGAGAAGAAAATAAAGCATCTTTCTTTTCACTCATATCTGCGGAAAATCAATGCCGCAACCAACAAGCCAGAAATGGGAACCTCGTTCATGCCTCCCCTCAACGAACCATATTATCGAGTGCGCAGCGACTGTCCATCGGGGCATTCCCCTTGGCCGGAGGGCATTTGCACCAAATGTCAACCAAGCGCAATCAGTCTACAACCCCAGGAATTCCGCATGGTAGACCATGTGGAGTTCTCATCCCCGGATTTAATCAACTCCCTCCTTGATTTCTGGCGAAAGTCAGGTGCTCAACGACTGGGCTTCTTGTATGGAACATATGAGGAGTACACCGAAGTACCATTAGGTGTCAAGGCTGTCGTAGAAGCAATTTACGAGCCCCCGCAAACGGGCGAAGTCGATGGTGTAACACTCCATGACTGGCACAACGAAAAGGAGGTGGACGAGGTAGCCCGTCTCTGCGGATTGCAGAAGGTTGGTGTCATATTTACTGACTTGATTGATGGCGGCCAAGGGGATGGCTCAGTGGTTTGCAAGCGGCACATCGACTCATACTTCTTGTCCTCGCTCGAAATTGCCTTCGCCGCACGACTCCAGGCACAAAATCCCAAGGCCACGAAATGGAGCCGGACAGGACAGTTCGGCTCGGATTTCGTAACGTGTGTTCTCAGCGGAGACGAAACAGGTGCGATTGCCATCAGCTCGTACCAAGCATCCGTGTCTGCAGTTGAGATGGTTCGAGGAGATATTGTCGAACCCTCAGCGGACCCGTCCGTGATGCTGGTGCAATCAGAGCATGACGAAGATCTTGGAAGCAGGACACGATACATCCCCGAAGTCTTCTACCGACGAATTAATGAGTACGGTGCAAGCGTACAGGAGAGCGCTGAGCCAAGTTTCCCAGTGGATTTCCTACTAGTCACCCTCACACACGGATTCCCAACAGAGTCATCCCCGTTATTCACCAACAGTCGCTTCCCTATCGAGAACCGTGAAGTCATCGGCGAGAGCCAAGAGCTTCGACACGTTGCCCAGAAACTCATGTCCCATGGTAATCCGGATAAAGCTATCCAAGGAGTTTCCGACTTCCACATCCTGTGCTTCTTGCATGGAGTCGGCACATTCAGCAAGGTCGGTGTTCTATTACGGATCTTTTACTCTAGTGTACGTGACGCTAACTCGCATTCTCGAACAGGATGAGGAATCGCTCCTCTGCCGCGTCGCCAGAACGAAGTCCCCCGCCGAGGGCATGCAGCTTGTGAATACCCCAGGATGGGCCACGTTGATGACAATCCTTCAAGAGAGTGGTGAGCGCCCCCCTAAGCGCCCCTGGCCCACACCGGCCGAGCCTTCTCGCTCGGATTCCCAAACCCGGAAACGTCGCAACCCCCCACCCTCCACCCTACCCCGGTCCATATCTCCCAGTCCCGAGAGTGACCAGCTTGCTAAGAGGTTTAAGGGAGCTAGTTTAGAGTGACGGGTTTCGTCTTTTTACCGTTCGGTTTTCATCGCACTCCCCCTAGATCCTCCGGTTCAGTTTTCCCCGCCGTGTTGCCCTAGAAGTTACGAGGAAGGCACCAGTGACTGTTTATCGCCTTTTCCCCGAGATATTGTGGATTCCCGGACCCGAGATGGAGATTTGATAGTGCGGGAATGGAAGTTACAACGCCCTTGGATTCGGTTCGTCAACTGGTTATAGCAGGTTAAAGTTCTGCCCGATATCACTGCATTTTCGACGAATATACCACTCGAAATCCAGTTTGCGTCTTTAAACGTCTTACAGCGCGAGTGTGCCGTAATTAGATAATTCACTGATGCTCTCATCTCGGAGCCTTGTTTAATCGAATCTGTTTTTCTCAGATGACATAGATATGAGGTAGAAGTTTCTTATTGTGTTGATTTGTCTAGATTGCTACAGGTGGATGTTACAAAGCAATGAGCCTATGGGCATATAAGATGTTGATGTAGCCCGTGGCGTCAGACGAGGAACTCCCATAGCCTAAGTCTACTACTCATCAACTTCGCGGGAATGTATTTCATTGTACACAATTATGAAAAATGCACTGCCCTCTCCACTATTGCACTACCCATGAACGCCCGAATATAGATATCAAATTCCCAGATAATACAAGTTACTGGCGATCAACCTTATAGCTCATGCGCCTTGACTTTTTTGGACAAGCTCCTTCAAGCGCCTTTCCAATACCTCCCGCCCTTGTCCGGTAGTCCATACTTCATGGGGTGCATCATCAGCAATATCCCAAGACAAAAGGTTGTTTGTAAGATGGGACAAATCCTCCTGTCGCGCTGCCCACTGTGAATTCTTTCGAACTTCTTGACCAGAGCTCACGACGACTACAGGAGCATGACCCATCTGGATATGGCGAGAAGACTGCATCTCAGCAGCAGTCATGGTAACGGCCACGAGGCTTTCCTGTAACTTTGCTTTGATGTATTTCCCAGACTGGTTAGCAGCACGTCCAATAACGCGGTCCTGACGAGAACGGCCGCGTAAGATGGCGCCTGCAAGTCGATCCAATCCCAGCGGAGAAATGATACCACGAAGCCAAAGCAAAAACCCACGACCGGGTCGCCCAATGTCTCCCAGGTATGTCTCGTGGAGGGGATCGATCATGAATATGCCGCGAACTTCGAGAAGATTGCGACTAGCAAACAGCCTTGAATAGAGACTTCCAACTCCTGCGGAAACAACTATCCATGGACCTGTCTCCCCTGCAAGAGCCAAGGCCTCTGATAGGACGTCCGCCGACATGCCCGCGGAATGCGGCGAGGGTGCGTTGTCGGACCATCCGAAGCCTGGTCGGTCCCAGTAACAGTATCTGTTGATACCGCCACGGCCGTATACATCGTCGATAAATGGTTGCAGTGTATGTTTGACTGGGGCACTTCCACCCTCCAGAAGAATTGTTGGTGCATTGCTGTCTGCAGTCTTGTTCCCAACACAAGCGAGGTGAACTTGATAGGTATCCCCATGCACCAAGTATCGCTCGCCTGGAGCTTCGAGCCCAGCATCGAAAGCACGCAAGATTAGAGTCGCCGTGAACAGAACAGCCGCAATCGCCATGACAGCCAGTAATATCGTTTCAGCGAGAATAGCAATCCACTCCAGCAGGGAGCGCCGGGTCTCTTCTCGGCCAGTAAGACGCTCTTCTTCCTCCCGCTTACCCCAAGCAACTGCTCGGTTTTGAATGGCTTGGTAAATGGAGATCAGAGCTACCCAAACGACAGAAGCAATTCCCACCCAGCCCTCTTCAAGGCGGATCCGCGGCACAGCGAGGATAATACACATATCCACTAAAAGCAGAACGGCAAGCGTAATGGCCGATATAGTCATAGGCTTGGATGGCACGGCAAAGAACAATAGTCCAAGGACGAGGTATCCTGTCGCCAAGGTGGTATATGAAAATGCAAGGAAACCCGACCCCCGTGGGTGGATCATTGGTGGACTGACGAATATGGAGACTAGCAGGAATGTCCACCATATGAAGCTCAGTGCCAATGCGATGACTGACACACCGCGCACCGCGCGCACACTCCATAGATTGTAGGGCGATACCTTGTTCTTGTGTTAGCTATAACTTGTCCCTGGTGTGTTGTTTAATATGGTTTTGGTTATTAGACTCACTGCAGGATCATCTGGGCTTAAGAACCCCTGATTCCTATCTGCAGGAAGCAGTCTTGATCGCTCAGTGGGTTCTTCAAATCTTTGCTCTGGCACATGTTGACCTTCCCCATTTTGGGTGTGGGGTGGCCCCGTAGATTTGTGGTCTTCCTTGCGACCCCAAAGTGACATGGTGAAGATTAGTGTCGATCTTCGATTTAGCAGGTTTCATATAAATTAATTAATTTGAGAGGGATGTATGTTTGAAGAAATGGACCAAGGCCCAACCTGGTATTATCCTGACTGATGGGTATGACATCATGCATTTCCTTTACAGGTTGTTCGCGGGTAACGCAGATCTATATCTTGGATATTCGGTCATTTACATTATTTTTTCTAGCTTTTCATGTATTCGTTTGCCACAGCGTACGAATGACATCAAAGCGTTCTCTTCAAAGTCATACGAGGAAAGAGAGCAAGAAAAAATGTAACTTCAGATGTGAGTAGAGATAGACATGAGTTCTTCTAACAGATACATGATTACCTTCAAGTATTTTGTTAAAGCATATATCAGACACTCACTAATTTCCATGCTAATACCTTTGAGTATTTGAGCAAGGGAGTCCAGAGAAACTAGCAATATGACTCCATTCAACCATATCTAACGTTGCCGGAGCCATCTCCAAACCAGTCATCCGCGGCCAAGGACTCATCCGGAGAAGCATAGTTGATGATTGTGCTTTTCGATGCTGTGTATGCATTGTAAGCCTCAACCCCGTTCTCGCTTCCGACCCCACTTGCAGACTTCGCACCTCCCCATGGACTGCTAGGGTCATTTCGATGATGGGTATTCACCCAAGTAATTCCTGCATCAATCTGCTCCGATACTCGGAAGGCCTGGGGAAGATCGAGTGTCCATACACCAGCTCCCAATCCAAACTCGCTGTCATTTGCCAATGCGATTGCTTCTTCCTCAGTATCGAAACCAGCAACGACAATAACAGGGCCGAACGCCTCCTCGCGCCAGATAGATGTATTCACAATACTGTTGTTTTCTTTGCTGGATACAAGTAGTGTTGGTTCGTAGAAGTATCCCTTCTCGAAGTTAAATCCGTCAAGCGGGCTTTGAGAAATCATCCGCTTTGCGCCAATGACAGAGACCGCGTTTCCTCCATCTAGAGCGCTGTTAACTAGACGCTCCACATTTCGCAATTGCTTCTCGGAGATAAGTGGCCCCATGGTTGATTCCGGGTTGCTTGGAGCCCCAATTCGGCGTGTGATGCTCTCGATCTTGACCTTGAGCTTGGTCAATAGCTCGTCCATGATGGAGTTTTGTGCTATAATACGGGTGCTGGCCACACATGTCTGTCCACTGGCGATGAAGCTTCCAAAGACGATTCCGTTGATTGCTGTATCGATGTTGGCCTTCTCAAATACGACCAAGGGCGCCTTTCCACCCAACTCCGCAGTATATTTTGCCAGATTTCCACCAACAATTTTCCCAATTGCCCTGCCGGCCTCGGTACCACCAGTCACATCCACCTTTTTCACCAAGGGATGCTCAACCAGTGCTTTGCCGGTGATGGCTCCATAACCAGGTAAGACGCTCAACACACCATCTGGAATTCCCGCCTCGCGAAGGATTTTACCCAATAAAAGGGTTGTCAATGGAGTCAACTCGCTAGGCTTGATTATGACACTGTTTCCAGCGGCAAGCGCCGGGGCAAGCTTCTTCACCGCAATCAACAACGGGTGATTAAATGGGGTGATCTGAACGACCACTCCGAGAGGCACTCGGTCGACAAAATTGTGCAGTTTACCCATCGTTGGCAGAACAGACCGCTCCTCGACCCTTAGCAGGGAGGCATAGTATTTGAACCATCTTGTCAAAGATGGTACCTGGGCCTTCATTTCCCGAATCACACGACCCGTCTGCTTTGATTCTGTTGAGATGAGTTGCGGGAGGGCATCGGAAAGAAGCACTGCGCATCTGTCTAGTACATCGGCACGATGGTGACGACTCGCACGCGACCATACGCCGGACTTGTATGCTGCGTGGGCAGCGGAGATGGCGGTCTCGACATCTTCTGCCGAGGCTGCATGACATCTACCAAGGGTTAGGCTGGGATCAAAAGCTTCCGGAGGTAGGCGAGTCAGCTTACTGCGCAAAGATCTCTCCGGTTGCTGGGTCTTCAATCGGAATGCTATATAATTGTCAGCGCTGGTTCAAGTGTGTGTCAGGATAGCCGTTACCCACAGATCTGCATTCCCATCTTGCTCTTTGCCAGCCAACCACAAGCGATATTCCATTTTGAGAATAGAAAATATTCAGGTACATAAAACGCCCCCACGGAATCAGGGGGAATGATGCTTTATAAATTGCGCTTATCTGGCTTATCTCCAGCCCTGGAGGAGGGGGAAATGCCCAGGTGAGGGGTCAAGCTTGGGGTAACATTCGACCTTCCGACTTTCCGTTTATAAAGGGTTTCCCTTATAGTCCTTATAGTCCTTATAGTCATGTTCTGTCAATCAATGGATCGAATTGATCAACGATCATAAGACTAATTTGTCGAGGAGGGGGCCATGTCGATCCCTTCTCCATCAAATTGAAATGTCGCGACCTGCACTATTTTCATCCTCAAACTCCCCGCCATGTATACTGATCATACACCGGTAAATAAGACTGTCAAGAAACTCTCCCAGCCTGTCGGAATTAGACCAGAACATATTGCCGAGGAAGAAACTCTCCTCTACCTAAAACCTAAATACGACCACCGTTCGCCCAATGAATATACCATCAAGAGATATTGGGACGACTCAACGATTTTCACTGTCACTGGCCACAAATATGGTGACAGCCCAGCTCGCGAGTTTCGCGATTCGTCAGGACTCCCGATGTTCCATTCTCGTGCAGCGGTCCTGGCATGGAAAAGACCATTACGGGTACGACTACCCGGCAATGAAGACGAAGAGCTTGTGGATTTCAGGGTCGACATGAACAAAGTCTACAGACTCACATTTCGCAACTCGATGGAGCCAGACTCGAAAAGTGAGAGCGATAAATCGGCAACGGTTGAAGTCCGAGAAACAAGCACTTATGCGTGGCAAGGGTTCTCGGCTAGTGTTGGGGGCCAGAAAGTGGTTGATGTTCGTGAGAGCATGACGATGAACAAAACACTACCCAAATGTACCTCTCAAGGTGACGTGTCCTTGATGCCTCGACAAGTGCTTGAGATTCTTGTGGCTGAGGGGTTTGACTTGTCGCTAGTGAGTGTATCTTGCTTTTCTTCATAAACACACACTAACGGTTTTGTTTAGGCTGCGCTCATTGCCGTGTACATGGCAGATACGAGGTTCAGTACTGCACCTCCTTCCCGATACTAAGTTGATACAAGGAATTTTGCATATTACAATTGAATGAGTCTCATTCCACGCCATTTGATGCAATCCGGGGGATACTTCTTATGGCTGTGTTTTTTGTATGCCTCTTTGTCTGTCACCTCTCAAAGGGCTATATAGATATTCCCCTTTACCCACTTGTATCTGGCTACTATTCTTCTCCCATGGTTTCAAGGGTATTTCCCTTCCACCTAGGATCTCAGCTTGGAATGAGAAAAAGGCTATATATTCAAAGCCCCCACCGCCTGTTTCTGGTATTCTATTTAGAACCATATCCCAATAGTTCAAATACATCACTAAGTGTCCTATCTTTTTGTTATTGTTTTATGGCCTGCAGAACACCTCGGCAGATAATAATTTCGCTCTGGTCAGCGGTATCATCCCAGTTCCTTAGAAGTATCAAATTCACTTATCTTAGTATATAAAGACAAAACAATGACTATACTTGGATATTTTTCCAATGTTGTCTCCAAAGCAAACGTTTGCAACCTTGGAAGTATATATCACATGTCGTTCGTTATGGTTGGGATGTCTGTTTCATCTGATTTATGAACTGCGATGGCTGTATCTCTCACTTTGCTATTTGTTTACTTTACCACCTCAGTGACTTCATCATCTCTCACTATCCTCTGTTTTAACCTCATCGTCACCTACTGTCCGTATCATTACCATCAACCCGAGAAACAGAATCGCAAATCACGATGAACGATTCAAATCCCACCCAAACCGAGCATGATGAGCTCCTTGATCGGCTCCTGGACAAAATCCACACAGAGGAGCAACTGTGTAAGCAACACTATACAACTATGTCCACTTGCATTTCTAGTGGCTCACGTCGTCCCGCAGGAGGGGTTATCCAATGCAATGAGTTTGCCAAGAGTCCAATGCCCAAGGAAAATACAGCCAGACGAAAGGTTCTCGCCCTGGATTGCGAGATGGTCGGGGTTGAAGATGGTCGCAAAGAGCTAGCGTTTCTGGTAGTCCTGGACGTCCTCACCGGAGAGGTTCTGATCAACAATTTCGTGAACCCCATCAATGTCGTTCGAAACTGGCACACTCGGTGGAGTGGCATCACTTGTTCTGATATGAAAGCTGCAGTGAGGGAGAACATCGCCCTTCGAGGGTGGAGAGCAGCGCGTGCCTCGCTATTTGAATATATGGATCACGACACCATACTTGTCGGACACGCACTGCAAAACGACCTCAACGCCTTGGGCGTACTACATTCTACGGTAATTGACACCGCAATTCTCACCGCTGATGCGGTGTATGGACCGCTTGCTAGACCCTTTCGGAGGACTTGGAGTCTGAAAGCCTTGGCCAAAGACTTTCTTGGCCACGAGATCCAAGCAGGTAAGAATGGACACAGTGCGCTGGAGGACACTCTAGCCACTCGAGATGTGTTAGTCTTTTGCACAAAGAACCCCCTAGAGTTTGAAACTTGGGCTGACAAGGCCCGAAGTGAGGAGCCGCCGGTCAAGCCCGAGGAACCGGAGGAGGAATGTGATGAAAGTTGGTTCAACTGAGAGCAAGTTAGTGATGAGAAAGTCCTCTTCTTACTTTTCTGTTTTCTTCGTGGGCCGATTCAAGCCTGTCTGTTTTATTAAATGCAACGTGTTGAATTGCTCAATCTCGTGTCTGGATGTTTTCAACAGAATTAACTAACGAGTGAGCTGAATGTCCTAGAAATCTCACAACTCCGAATCACGCATACCACACATAGCGGATACTGTTTTGTGATCCCTTCAAAGGCCTATATGTTGAACATGGAGCCTTAAAATGTTAGCTGAAGATATGCTGAATCGGAGCATTCAAGATAGGGAAGGGCCACGGCACCCTATAAGATATAATAGCAACACAGAGCATAATAATCTATTGCGCCAAAAACCCAGTCCTCCTTTGTGATGCCAAATTTATACAAAACTGATCTCACTCCACACATTTTTATGCAATGTGGGGAATATAATGTTGTGAAACACATAGGCGTCTTTGTTAGATCTGGCTCTTTGTCACCTCTCGAAGGTCTGCCTATACGAACAGCCCCTCTATAAACTTTTCTACCCACCTATATCTGTATGTTATTCTTCTCTCGCGGTTCTAGGGGTTTTATCTCTCACATTCACCTAGGATGTCAGCTTGAAATGAGAAAAAAGCTACGTATTTGTAGCTACCACGGCATTTTTCTATATTCTATCTAGAGCTACCTGCCCCCATAGTTTACAGACACCACTGAGTGTCCTGTTTTCTATTTTATAGCCTGCAATCCGCGTAGGCAGAAATGATTGCGCTTTTGTCGCCCGCTATTAAAGTACTCACAGTTCCTTATAGTACCGTTATTTGCTACAAATCACTCATCTCGGTATATAGAAAGGCAAAATACTAATTTTGAGTTATTGTTCCAGGTCATTTGCCTATGGATGTAAATAGGCGATAGCAAAGGTTTGGAACCTTAGAAGGTTATATCACATGTCGTTTGTCACCGCCGAGATATGTTTTTTTATCCGATTTATAGACCGTGATAACCGTATAATTGTTTGTTTGATTTGAATTTCTCACTTTGTTTCTTATATATCTACTTTACTCCCTCTAAGACTTCTTCCTTTCTACACTCACCATCGAATCTCAACTTCATCTTCTGCTTCACATTTCATCACAGCAACGCGTTTACCTTCTACAACAAATCCAAGCTAAGCCTACGATGACGAGTAACACAACCCTCATTCTCTCCCTCGAGGATAACACCAAAGCAACAATGATGGGTGATGCGAAGCCCATTCTCATTCACCTCTGAAGAAAGGGGGTTGCTCTTCAGCCATTTCCAGGGCTGGGTTCACCCAGATGGCCAGTTGGAGAAACACCATTTTACGACGGTGAATAGTTGCCATCTTGCCCCTTCTCATTGTCCCATGGGGGGCGTAATCAGATGTGATGAGTTTGCGGCGACTCCTCCACCAAAGCCCAGCCTAGCTACCCGACAAATCATTGCAATTGACTGTGAGATGGTCGGGGTTGGAGGTAACCGTCATGAGTTTGTTTTCTTGGCAGTTATCGACGTCCTCACTGGAGAAGTCCTTATCAACAAGTTCGTCAAACCTACGAATATCGTTCAAGTGGGAATTCTAGTCTGACCTTTACCTCGCAATTCTCGAGTTCCGGGTCACCCTCAAAATGCTTCATCAACAGCCAGCGTAGCTCAATGGTAGAGCGTCAGGCTTTTATTCCTCGTCAGAAATGTCGAAGATGGTATGGAACCTGAATGTTGCGGGTTCGACCCCCGCCGTTGGCTTTGCTTTTTTTTCCCTTTTTTAATACACAAGTGCATAAACGGGGCTGGCGGGTAAATGTCGATGGTAATTTCCATGTCAAATGCTCATATGGAAGAGCCGTTCTGCACATCCTAAGCGGGGGGAGGGTGGGATATCTAGACTACCATTACGGAGTAGAGAAACGTGAGACAAATGCCGCCGGCTATTCTTGTCCCTAAATATAGAAAGGTTAATTAAGTATTAAGTATTTTATAGTAGACATATTATAGAGTATAATTAAAGATTAGCTTAGGCTTAGTAGAGCCACATAGATATAATTATAGAGGGGGGTATAAATGATGTTAGAATTTCAGGTCTCTTTTAAGGTTCCCAACTTATTTTCGTCTTAACTTGTTAAACTCCGAAGCCCTACATATATGCGCGTTACATTCCATCACTCCAACAAACAGCCAGCGTAGCTCAATGGTAGAGCGTCAGGCTTTTAGTCCTCGTCAGAAATGTCGAAATGGTATGGAACCTGAATGTTGCGGGTTCGACCCCCGCCGTTGGCTTCTCATCTCATACCCGAGAAGCCCCAATTTTTTTGCTAATGAACAAGTCCCTCCTACGTCAATTCACAAAGAACAATTAGCCACACAATTTATATGTTTACTTTATCCTTAAAATATGTCTGAAAACACTTCGGAGAGTTACATAAAACACTTATAATATCATTCTAGGGTAAATAGATCGGACCCGGGAATTATCGTCTGTCGTTAAGGAAAAAGGTCGTATAAGGACGACTATTCTTACGTTCGCAAAATATATATGTATATATATGTATTGTATGTAGGTAACCAGCGACCTGTGATATTTTAATATATGGGGATACATATGTACTCAGAGAGTCAAAGGAAAGAAAGCATATCAAAATTACACTGTACTTCGTTGCACCTATATTGTATGATTGTAAATAGTGTATGTAATATGAATCGCGTGTATGTACCATCTTCCAGTTTTTCTCTTATGTATGGTCTGCTCTGCTATCACGGACACACTAGACTAATTCTGTAGTACTATCTATGCTGCACTACATAGTTAAACTAAGTGGTACCTAGGTATACAACATAGGTGTAGTGCTATATTTATATTTATTGCCCGAAAGATCAACGACGGGTTTTATAGAACCACCATGTATTTATGGTTATGAAAATATTTATTATATTATAATGGATAAAATCCTGTTTTTCATTATCATTTTGTCGTTATGAAGTCCGTTGTCCCTGTAGCAAGTTGAGACGAGACGATTGCGTGTATATATTTCTTTCACCAGTAAGTTATAGGCCAAGCCACCAAGATGACTAGCTATGTACACAGGAACCATAATTAAAGTCGATATATGATTAGCAATGCTAAGATTCCACATAAAGGGCACTGACAAGTTCTACAGCTTTGGCAGGACCCCTCAGTCAGGGCTAGAAGGTCAGCGATGATATTAGTCAGCAGTAGACTGACGACACAGCAGTCACCCCATGTGAATGAACTCGATTATGTTTCTACCAAAAGCCATTTCGCTTTGAGAAATTAATAGCAGCGCGTGGAAGAGAACACGCGTTTGACAGCCCTCCTGCATGCACCCCTCCTTTTGATCGACATAGCCGTGGTATCCACTTGAGATGAGTGACCTTCAGAAATCATTTGCCAAGTCAAAACTGGCCAAATTTCCACTAGAAGCACCAATGCCTGAGTCAATGAGCCAGTCAGAGGATACATGGGAGGATGGCTCTTCGGCTTCTTCGCTGTCGTCGACCGGAACGATGGTCCCGTCACCTACGCGACAGCTATTCGCCCGAACGGGTCGACGGTTCGTTTACTTCTCCAATTTCCATGGGTTCAAATTGGGATCAATTGGCTATTTGAATCAACCGACTTCCTAAGATAAGGCTAACTTGCGACCATAGACAATCATCTCAAACCTCTTTGACATGGACAGACTTCTTTGACCAGGAGCTCTTCCTCCCAGAGGATGTGGATAATCTGCATATTGTACACCATGTCTATCTAACACCACCAACTGAATCAGGCCCGCTTTTTGTCATGCACCATGGGGCTGGATCATCTGGACTTTCCTTCGCCACGTGCGCAGAAGAGATTCGGAAGATCCTCCCAAAGGCGGGCATTTTGTCACTGGATGCTCGAAGCCATGGCCGTACTGTCGTGACTCCACTAGACAGTAAGACGGCTGACGGAGCTCCTTCTACAGCAGCAGCTGCCCAGGCTGAATCCTCGGGGCAGGTTGAGCTTGACCTTAGTCTCGAGACTCTGAGCCGGGATCTAGTCCATGTTATCTACCAGACACAAACGAGGATGGGCTGGGAGAAGCTCCCTGATATCATTCTGGTCGGACATAGTCTAGGCGGTGCGGTGATCACAGATGTCGCGAAAAAAGGAGAGCTGGGCCCGAAGCTGTTGGCGTACGCGGTGTTTGACGTAGTTGAAGGTACGCTCGCCTTCTTGGTTTATGTCTTATCGGATACTGACATCGCTCGTTGACAGGGTCTGCGATGGATGCTCTCCAGAGCATGGAGAAATATCTTTCGACTCGTCCGACCCGGTTCCCATCTTTGCTATCTGGAATTGAATGGCAGTATGTCTCCATCTCGACTGTCCTTTTTTTTGTCGTCGCTAAAAAATACCACAAGTACTCGTTCCCGCACAATCCGGAACACCACCTCCGCTCGTGCCTCTGTTCCGTCCCTATTATATGAAGAAAGCGATCCCAGCGACCCATCCCGTCCTTGGGTGTGGCGCACCAACCTCTCAGCAACGAAACCTTTCTGGGAAAACTGGTTTGTTGGCTTGAGTAGGAAGTTCCTCGATGCGCGAGGTGGCAAGCTACTACTACTTGCTGGGACCGATAGATTAGATAAAGAGTTGATGATCGGGCAGATGCAAGGTATGCGTTTCGAAACACCCCCTGTCATCCATCTATTATAATTCGACGTCATGCTCACTTCAGTATCACAGGCAAATACCAACTCCAGGTCTTCCCTGAAGCAGGTCACTTCGTCCATGAGGACCAGCCTGCGAAGACTGCGCAGATTCTGGCAGACTTTTACCGACGAAACGACCGGAGCGCATTGGTGCTTCCGCCCAAGGTGGCGGATATGCAGGCATCAGCGGCGATGAAGAAGGGAACAGGTGCCCCTGATAGCTCGACGGGGCACTCGAGATAGTATCTTAGGATTTGTCTCAGGGCGTGGAATGATATGATATCCAATAAAAGGCCATTCATAGATGTCAAAACATGCTTCTCGAGCAAATGCGTGATCTACTCGCCTCTTTCTCTAATTCGATTACGGCTACAATTGATGGGATTTAGCTACTTCCAAGTACGGAAATAACATGATATGAGCAGAAATCGTTTCAATTTCGAACGGGTTGAGAAGCTCCTTGGGCCCAGGTCAACCCGGCCGCACAGGGCAACCAGGAGTCCAGCCCTCAGTCCGAAGCTTCATACCACCACGCTGCGATAAACATTAGAGCAAAGAAAGAAGAAAAACAAAAAAAAAGCTGCCGGGCACGGTAAAAGGTTCGTGCCTCTTCATCGATAAACACCGCGAATCAAGTTTTCGAGATTCCGAACGCCACCGGGATTCCAAACGGAATCATCATGCGTGGATCGTGAAAGGGGATGTGATAATACAAGGAGGAGTAAGGGTATTCTGAGAGAGAAAAAAGCGGGCATGACGCCGAGAAAAATGGACCTAGATGCCATTTCAAGGCAAATAGGCACCACCAGCAACTACCAAGTTCATATTGGTGAACTTAACCTTGTAGACAGGAGACTTTTTAGTCGGGAAAGCACTAATTTGGTCGGCCGTGACAACGACATCCTTTCCCTTCTTTTTCTTGGTCTGGCTTGTCGAGGGGTTTGCGGCTGCATCCAGTCTGGTGCCAGTGCCTGTTTCACCGATGATACGGCCACCCTGAGTGGTTTCCTGAGAGCCAGCAACATCCCAAACTCGCACGGTACCATCGGCTCCACCGGAGACCAGCACGGTGGACTCCACGCTCCAGCTGACAGACCAGATTCCACCCTTGCCGTGGCCACGCATGCGCTTCAGCAGTCTGCCAGGAGCCAGGTCCCACAAGATGATGCAGCCCTGGTCATCAGCGGATGCTAGAAGCTTTCCATCGCGACTGCACTCCATAGCGGTGATGCTGCCAGTGTGGCCAGTGAACATGCGGACAGCATTACCAGTCGAAACAGCCCACATGCGGACAGTGTGATCAGAGCTGGCGGTGAAAATGTATGCTGAGTTGGGATGGAAGCAGACGACATCAACATCATGGTCATGGCCAACGAAAATACGCTGTTGGCGGATTTGGTCACTAACCCACAAACGGGCGGTCCGGTCAGATCCACCGGAGACAAAGTAGTGACTAAAGGGTCCCCAGCTTAGGTCCCAGACAGGGCGGTCGTGGCCCTTGTATACGACCATACATTGCCAGCTGTCAAGAGACCAAAGGCGAATTGTCTTGTCCATGGATGATGAAAGCAACCAGCGTGCGTTGGTGGCAACCTTGTCATCCCCCGAAAGGCCCTCGCGGGCAGACGCGCACGGCTGGAAAGCAACAGCAGTGACGGGACCGGCATGGCCGATAAGGCGGCGCGAACTGGCAGGTGGCGAGTTATCAAGGTCAGGGTCGGCAGCTTGAATGTTCGTGCCATCAAGGCTCCAAATTCGGATATATGACTGCTGGAATCCGACGGCAACAACCTGGCTGTCATCTGAAAAGTCCATGCAAGTGACTCTGTGTATTTGTTAGCAAAGATCTGTGTTGAAAAGATAGTTTAGATGAACATACCCATCGTAAGTGTTGTGGAATGTGAACATGCACACACTGAGCCCAGGACCGACACCACCTGTGCGAGCCTTGATCTCGAACCGGTCGCGATGTTCCATAACTTTCTTCACCTCAATCTGGACGTCACGAGCAGTGGATTGGGGGAAAGGAAGATCTGCACGATTAGGTGCTTCGTCATCATCTTCATTTTTAATCATTTGTTCAAACTCCTGAATGAGCGTGTTACGCCCAGCGGCAGGAGGCTGTTTGGCATCTTCCTCGGCCAGTTCAGCCCGCACGTCCTCCTCCAGAAGCTGTTCCATAGGGAGTCTTCCGAGTTTCAAGCGGGGAAGTGTACCGGCCATGGCCGGGTTGTCACCGGTATAAGCCGATCCAGGGTGATGTCCCGGAATGCCTTCATCCTCAGCAGGGAAGGTTTGGTCCGCACTAATCTGGTTCAACATGGCAGCGAAACTGAATCGGTCATCTGCTGCTCGGTCCAAAGTTTTCACCGAGCAAAAGCTGCTGAGAATTGCGTTCATAACAGAGCCTCCCTCTTTATCCTTGCTCTCCAGGAATTGGAGAAGATTGGTGTAAGCGGGGTTGCTCAACACAACGCGGTATTTGTTGTTTCGGTACAGCTTAGCAACGGAGTTGTCCTGCAGATGCTCCGGTAGGCTGATAGGCTCGAAATGGCGGACATCGTCGGTATGCTCGGGAAGGAACATGTTCTTGTTGGTTTCAAAGAATGACTTTGCATCCTGAGGATAGAAGGAAGTGACCATATTGAAAAAGGAATAGACAAACAATGGCCATAGAACACGCCGAAGTTCAGGCTGTAAGATAATTAGCATCTAGTTATCAAGTGGCTCCTTGTTTGTCGCACCTTGTACAGATCAAGGTTTTCCTCAACCCAATTCTTCAGTAAATCTTATAATGTATTAGTTGGTATGTTGAGTCATTTGGGTGGAATACCCAGCTCACCAAAGCCCTGTCGAGTCTTAGGACGGGAATCCTCCCCAAGCTGAGGGAGCGGACGCCCATCAATCTCCTGGTTGGCAGACTCCATACGTAACATTGCCTCTGTACGGCTGTAGCCCTTCTTGGCCAAATAATCAATAACCTAGAAACGATCAAAAGTCAGCGTACAATTTAAACCGAGCTTATTTCAGCAAAAAACAACAACAAAAAAAAAACAAGGCAAGTAGGGTGTGATGGGAGGGGCCTGAGTGAGCAAACAGACAGCCTGTTCACGTGCGCGGGTCTCCTCAACGGTGAGGGGTTGCAAAGACTTTGCGATGGGTGGACGCTGCACAGATTGTGCCGGGGTCACATCAGCGGTAGTCACATCGGCCGCCACCGGCTTATGTCTTTTCTTGATCTTCTGGGTCGGCGAGGTCGGGTGTGGGCGCCGGCGTGGTTGCCGGCGAGAAGGCTGCCAGTCCTCGTCCCGAGTTGGCATAGCCACGGCGGTTCTGGTGGTGTTTTGCGAAAGCGGTGTATTTTATGTGGAGATGAAAGAAAGGTATGGGTTGATAGGTTGATAAAGATGAATAAAGCGAATGAATGATAATTGTGGAAGTGTGAAGAGTGGTTGTTGGGTGAGAGCCGTGTAAATAAAACGGTGGATGACTCTGAGTTGTGATGCCTCGGATCCTCAGTCACTCATGAGGTATAATGCGCGATAACAGCTACCTCTCAATGCTTTTCGAGGTCTGTAAAATGAGCCTTATTGTCGGCGTTGTAGAGAATCCCGTGCGGTCCTCCGTCATGGACTTCCGTCACCATCCAGAGGCAGCAATGATCGATGGACGAGGAGTCCCTGACTTTGTTGCATCAAAGAAATTACCAAAGTTGTGGTGCGCTGCCTTGGGGTTTCAATCATGACGATCAGCATCCAAGGGCTGCAACAGCCAAGGAACAGGCTGCTCGAGGGCTCGTGGCATCTTCAATGTTGTTGGTGTTGAGGCAAAATGCCTCAGAGTTCTCCGTATTGGATCTCTACCAGCAGGTTTTGGGGAATCCGGTGGAATGTCGCCATTATATCAAGCCTCTCAAATTCGGCTCCAAAACACATAGGACAGACATAACGCGCAAGGAACAATCATCGCAAAGGGACAGCAAAGGGGCACAAGGAAAATTTCTCGAACAACGCACAAATAAATCACAACAGTACCTACTATTTGGTTCAAATTCTGCTGTGACATAGCACCACTTGGTGGTGCACTGGGTCCTGGAGTCGGCGCAGAGTGAACGGGGGTTCCAGGTAATGGTTGTTGGGAAGGCATCGACATCCCATTCCCATTTACACCTGGTCCCATACTACCACTGCGAGGTCCAGGGCTTGGGGCCCCGCCTGGTGCCGACATAATCGACAACTAATCGATGACAACTTCGAGACAGATCCTCAAACTGCGATGGAGGATGGCAACGGAGCTGGGTTGCGTACAATCGCCGGCGATTTATATGATTGACTTAGGTGGCCAGCTATCAATATTTCTCCTATTGTATATAGCGCCCAAAGGTATATGGGACTTTGAGCGTTCAACAATAGAATAGTGGATTTGATATCTTGAATTTGATATCCCGACGAGCTGGCTACCTCACCGCTTATTAAGACCTCCCCAGCTTCCGACACGTGACCACGACTAATAAGCTTCCCAATCTCCATTGGGATCTTGATCTCTCGTCTATAATCGGCACCGGTAGAATTGATTAATACGACTATCTATCTTCTTCCTTCTTATAATCCTCCACCAGTCAATATGAGCGAAAACGCACCGCCGCAAGAGCTACCGATCTTTACCTCTGCCGATCGCATTCGACAGCTGAATGATATGGATAAGGTACTAGGATCATACAATTATGCAGTAACCATTTGCTGATTCTTCCCATAAGGATGTTACAAAACTCCTCCATTCTGCCGGTCTCGCGATCCAAGCGTTGACCAACGCCAAACCGGGCCCTTCTTCCGTTGCACCAGATGGATCACTCGACTCACACAAAACGCGGTTCAAAGAAGCAAGTGCGAAATACTTCGCGCTTCTCTCCTCAGCCGACGTATCCCTCCGCCGACAGGTCTACTCCCTAGAGGAATCATCTCTTGTAGGACCCGAGAGGCCGTCGCGCGCAGGAGAGACAAAACCTGGAGCCAGAAATGAAGGAGTCGCAGGAGCGAAATCGCGGGCTCCAAACTCACTGGATATCAGTCGGCTTAATAGCCGGAAGGATACAGTTGGAAAAGATAAGGAAGCCGAATTGTGGGCGGCTGCTCGTCAGTTTGTTGAGCAGATGCAGAAGCCTTCCGAGACAAGCAAGGACTCCAGGCCAGCGAATGGACCGGAGGACATGCAGGTGGATTGAATGATGAGCCATGTGTTCATTCGGCGCAATTTGTTGAGCTTTCTTCATACGTTTATGATACCCCGGGCTAGATGCTGCCACCGGCATTGAAATTACGAGTACAACGAGTCCCATTGGAAGATGATACATATATTCAGAGCGTGCAGAGTACATATGTAACCAACGCTAGGCGCAAAGTGTGTATGGATCAGTGTTCGAGCATGTTCACAGAACTACGCTATACAAAACGAAAACGCAACGACAGGTATAGTTCACCGGCCTAGCCGAGCAAGATATTTGTCGGAACAGTAAACATGGCTACTTCTGCATGGACTTGATCATTTCCCGCTGGGTTTCCCGGTCTCTGTTCGCATCAGACAATGGGCCCAAGCCTAAATTCATGTTAGCATATTGCAACGGCACGGATATTATGTGCATCCACTTACTTCGGAGCTCGCCAACTACATCCTTCGCCTTGCCGAAGTAAACCTCCTCTGTGATGTGAAAGTCCATGTCAGCATAAAGCCCTCAAGCCATTAAATGACGAGCAGAGAAAGAAACATACGTAGCAAGTTTCGCATCTTCAATTCCATATCCTCCACCAACCTGCCCACATTGGCGACATGGCTAGCATCCGACTCCACAGGCAGATCAACTTCCACTTGGCGAGTCATGTTCCCGCTGAGGTCCATATCACCAAGAGCCTCGGTTTTGTTGGCTAGGTGAAGGATAACAGTACTAGTGAGTTTGTAGTGGGACATACGAGCGCGGTCGGTAGCCTCGAAAACGTGAATGCTGTCCCATTCGCCGGAGCTCTGGGAACCCGGGGTGACACCTAGTCGAAGGAAACAGTCAGTCGCAATCTTAAGGATAGAAAGTGATCCGCAGTCAGTTCATAACGCACCCTTCTTCAATAGAATCACGCCGGCAAATCCATCATCCAAATCCCAGAAATACACACTTCCCACGCCTCCTTCATAGTACAGCTCGCGGTAAACATCGAACGACTCGTTGGCGGCAACCTCGAGCTTGCGCACTCGCTCACTGGGCACGGTGCCATCCTCAAGCGGAGGGTCAAACTCATTGCTCCATGGTGACCGGTAGCTATCGCCGTCGCGGTTGTAGTCGCAGAGCAGATAGTCGCGGCTGCTCTGCGGGCAGCGGCGAATCTCCAGGGGCTGGTCAACGGAGGAGAGGAGGTCTTCGGTGAGTTCGGGGACGATTGAGGTAATGGCTTGCAAGTTGGTCTTGGTGTCCCGCGGGTTTAAGCGCCGAAGGAGGTCGCTGCAGAAGGGGTGGTCAGCTCACTTGTCTCCGACTGCATGGGGCGGGGTTGTGTCGGGGTCTGGGGTTGTCATAGCGAGTGTCATGGATGGGGGAAAAAGGGGCCTGTAGTGCCGTATTTATTGCGAGACAGGTTACTCACAGCGCGCTGTCAAATTGTGCATCAGCCATGGTTGCGAAGGTTGGTTGTATATCTGTTGCTTAACGAATGGCGGTGTTGATCTTGGGCGGGTGAGGTGCGTGCGTATTTTGGGCTTCTTGCGTGGCAGTACATGATATCTATAGCAATCGGAGCATATCAACTTCGACAGCACCCATGAGAAGACAAAAAAAGACTACACAAATGTATGGTTACAGAAATTTGTATTCTTTGTTTTCTTAATGATCTTTAATTCTTAATCTAGCGTATGAAATACGCCCACTGTCTGCAAGATCTTCATGGAAAAGACAGGCCATACCACTGCCGGATTGTTGAATCGTAAGGGTTTTGGTGAGTAATGAACCTTGGAAGAAAATCAGATGTGCGCGATAGATTTGTGATACATTTTTCTGTCTCCTAAGGCGAACCTGAAGCAAGACTCATCTCATCCTGCCACCAACCCGCAAAGACATTCAACCTCTCTGTCCTTACCCTAGCCATCTCCCTCCCCGTAGCAGTCTTCATCATCCCTTCCAGCTTAACCAGCTTGTCTCCAAAATGCTCAATGGAGTTATCCATCTCCCATTTCCCATCAACACAATATTTCTTCCCTACAGCTCCAAGGAAGGTAAAACACCTGCCAATTCCAACAGCCCCAATGGCATCAAGTCGATCAGCGTCCTGGACAACTCCAAGCTCGACAAAGCCATCCTCATCAATCATCCTCCGGATCAACGCCGGATCCTTGCATTCAGTCGTATAAGAAACATGCGACACAATTGTCTGCACCCTGGATGCGATTTCTGGTGTCGCACCCCGTGCAAGAAGCGCATGCTGCACCATAGTCGTTGGGTCGAGTTCTTGGCTTCCGGGAGCTGCATCCATCTTGGATAAGTACTTTCTGTCACCGATATCATGCAGCAGTGCTGCGAGTTTGACAACTGCCCCGTTGTATTGCGTTGTGGGGTGTAGCGCCCGCTCTGCTTCCAGGATCTTGTTGGCGAGCGCTCCCACTCTGTGGACATGTGCTGGGTTATGAGATGGGTCGTGGCCTGACATACAGTCTGTCACGAAAGCGGACATCTCGCTGAAGAGTGCTTGGAATTCTTCGCTGGTATCATCCATTGTGGGCGCTTTTAATCCGGTTGTTGGGGGATTGAAGTTTTTTTGGTCCGATGATATGAATTGAGTGGTACTCAAGACTTATGCCAGCGGTGTAAGTTGGATTTTTATAACAAGCTGACTATTGGTTGCTATGTTTCTAGGCAACAGCACCGTATTTTGAAGAGAATACCGGGTTTCCCCCGCAGTAAACAGATTTGGCGGTGAATGACACTCGACTCGTAGCTACGAAGATTGCCCCGGGATGCATATTGCACTCTCACGTTGAAACCGGTGTTTCCGTGGAATTGTGGGAACAGCTTCATATTTTTTTTTTGAAGATATAGACCGGCCTCTATATTGTACATGTGGGATACCAACTTTACGGGGACTAATCTGCAACGAAGGCGTTGGGCTATGATGTTGAGAGATTTCTATGCAAGGTCTTGGTTGAATGTTATAAGAAGTACGATTATACTGGTTGTAAATTATGATGTTCCATTTGAAGAAAAGGTTCGTAACTGATATTTAAGACAATATCACACGGAAGAAAGTAAAATTATGTTCCAAGGCCGAGAGAGCCATCCCATAGATCCAGATCGGGGGTGGTCCCGTATGCCCAGACCATGCCGAATTACAAAGTCGCAGACCAAAAACCTAATATATTTCGCTCACAGAGCAAAGGCAGCAACAACCAGGCCGAAGAGACCAGCAGCAGAGGCACCGAGTTTGACATTAGCAGCGGCGTTGGTGGTTTGTTGCGAGAAGCCCGAGGAGCTGGTAGCAGTCGCTGAGGAGGAAGAATGATTGTTGTCGTTGTTGTTATTGCTGTCATTGTTGCCCGAAGCTGAAGGCTGATGTTAGCAGAGTTCCGTATCGACAAAGTTGAATGAGAACATACACTGAGAATCGGTGCTCGACGAGTCAGAGCTAGTCTGCGTGGCAGTGCTGCCGGTACTGGAGGTGGTGGAAGAGTAGGTTGCAGTTGCACCGCTGCCATTGCCGCCCCAGAAGTGCGAGTTGTAGCAGGATTGCTCACACTCGGCGTACTTCTGGGCATCGGCAGGAGAGCCAGTGCCCTGAGGGCAGGCAGCAACACACTTGTTGGTGTCGTTTACCTGGCTCTCGCTTGGACAGGGCACATGGTAGCACTTGGCTGTGCAGCAGATATCCGTGGCTTCGCCTAGAGTCAAGCTGGATTAGCATCAAAGCTCAAGATGAGAGGCTATGAGAAAGGGTAGCTTACAGCTCTTTGCGCACTCAACCTCGGGAGTAGAAGTAATGGTTGAAGGGTTCGCGGTCGTAGTGTCTGCGGCAGCGGCGATAGCCAGCAAGGCCGAGAGAGCGAGGATGCTGAACTTCATATTGAGTAAAAGGGTATGAGAAGATGACTAAATCAACGAAGGTAAAAAGTGCTGGTAAGTAGTGACAGTATATTGAAGAAAAGAATGGCAGATAAATGTAGGGTGGGAAAAGAGCAGACAGCAAAGTATTAAATATTATTGATGACAAGCCCACAAAGCAAACGGACGCCCTTGGCCCTGGCATGGATTTTATTCAAAACAACCTCAGAAACGAAAGCAGGTATACCACAGAGTCCTATTCGCGATGTCTCAGATTTAACCTAAGGATGTCAGAGTTGGCGCTTTGGTTTCGACGAACCAAGTCCATCCAGGTGATGCACGGCGATGATCTTACTTCCCCGGACAAGAATATTGTGCATGACAATCTCCCCCTTAGGAAGGGGTTTGCTGTTTGGTCGCAAATTGAGACCCTGAGGGACACCAGACCTGTCAAATTAGATAATATTGATTGACTTCAGGCATTAGCGTGTGAGCAAGGGATCGGTTCTTTATGGGATGGAGAATTTTGCCATTCCTATTGGCTCTCAGGGCTTGGCAGGAAAACTTTGAAAGTCACAAAGAACAGAAAAGATAATCTTAAGGCTGTTGGTAGTACAGAGTATATTGTACGTAATCTTGAGGCTACTGTTTGTCAGGTGGGATATCAAAGTAGAATGGAGGTTTTTTAAGGGGCAATGGGACCAAACGCATGTTATATGATAGACAAGCATGGAATATGAAACCCTCAAGCACCTATGTAGGTACAATATACTGCATAGTTCGTCTAGGCTCAGCCATTCGAGAGATGAAGTGCATTCAAAGATTTGGGGCTCACCTGGGCAATGAACAAGGGTCCGGTGCAAACTATACAAACATAGCTTCATCACCTGACTACGCGACGCGACGCGTGACGATTGCACATGCAGAGTGCTATGGGAATGCCTTTCAACTATCCACGCGATGTCGACAGATTCTGAGTCGGATTACTTCGATGATGACGACTTTGTAGTCCCTGGAACCCCCGATGGGCCCTCCCGTCCCGCAAAACGCCGCCGCGTTCGAAATCGCGGGGAAGAGCGCGAAGGTCAAGATGACGGTTCTTCGATCGACTCGTTCTCTGATATGGAGGATGACGATTTACCCTCCCGGCGCCGAGAATCACCTCTTGGTTTCGAAGAATATCATGATCGCCCCAAAAATAAGAGCTGTGTGTTGAAGCAAGCCACTGTCCAGAATGACATGTTTGTCACGCAACTCACGCAGCCCTCCTCAAGTCCGGAACGAATACGGGGTCCGCGATGGCAGAAGCCTGTTGCAAAACCACCTCCTCCGAAACTCGAAACTAGAGAACAAGATGGTGGTGGTGGTAGTGGTGGTGGTGGACAGGAGGGGAATTATTCCCAAGATGATGAGGAGTTAATGGCCGCTATCGCAGCTTCCTTAGATTCATTTGAGGAGGAGAAAACAACCAGAGGGGTATTCCAAACCCCAAGTTTATCAAACAACACTGCTCCCAAACCGTTTGCCCCGCCGGAAAAGACAAACACGCATGTCTCGGTGGATACCCCGTTTGAGCTGGAGGACATACCTGAAGGTGCATTTGATTCTTCGCCATTATTGTCACCAGTAGCACGACCAGTCCATCCTGCAGCTCCGCAGTTCAGTCAATCCCGAGGCCCAATTCGACAACCCCATCTCAGACAGAGCACCTTATTCGGCATGGTTGCTCCAAACCCCGATGTCTTGGTACCGCACCAACAAGACTGGGGCCCGACAGAGAAGACTGAACCCCCGACCCAACACAAACTTGTCAAAAATGCTTTGGATACATGGGTCTACCCCACGAATTTGGGCAAAACCAGAGATTACCAGTTCAACATCGCTCAGGCAGGCCTGTTTCATAATCTACTCGTGGCCTTGCCAACAGGTTTAGGAAAGACATTTATAGCGGCTACAATTATGCTCAATTGGTTTCGCTGGACGAAAGATTCGCAAATCATTTTTGTAGCACCAACGAAACCCTTGGTCTCACAGCAGGTATCGGCCTGCTTGGATATTGCCGGAATCCCACGCTCGGAGTCGACAATGCTCACAGGAGGGGCATCACCGGGTATTCGCGCCGAGGAGTGGAAATCAAAGCGGGTGTTTTTCATGACACCCCAAACACTGATCAATGACCTGAAGACCGGGATCGCCGATCCTAAGCGAATCGTGTTGTTGGTCGTTGATGAGGCTCATCGCGCGACGGGTGCGTATGCATATGTTGAGGTGGTCAAATTCCTTCGGCGTTTCAACAACAGTTTCCGCGTGCTCGCACTCACAGCAACGCCGGGCTCAACAGTCGAATCGGTCCAGGCGGTTATTGATGGCCTGGACATAGCGCGTGTCGAAATCCGTACAGAGAACTCAATCGACATTCGCGAGTACGTTCACGCTCGCAATATCGAAATCGAAACATTTGAGAATTCAGATGAAATGATATTCTGTATGGACCTTATGTCTGCGGCCTTGCAGCCTTTGCTTGACCAACTCCGGACCCTCAATGCCTACTGGGGACGTGACCCTATGGGGCTGACTGCGTACGGTCTCACAGTGGCGAGACAGCAATGGATGCAGTCCGACGCCGGTCGGAATGCCCATTTTGGATTGAAAGGCAAAGTCAACTCCATTTTCACCGTTCTTGCTAGCTTGGCCCACGCTATCGATCTCCTCAAGTATCATGGCATCGTGCCATTCTATCGCCATGTAACCCATTTCAAATCAAGCTCCGAGGGACAGAAAGGCGGAGGTGGGAAATACCACAAGCAAGTCGTACAAGATGAAAGTTTCAAGAAACTACTTGGCCATCTTGAACCATGGAGTAAGAATCCAGAGTTCATTGGCCATCCGAAATTGGAATATCTCAAGTCAGTGATTCTGAATCACTTTATGGACCGGGGTGAAGGGAAAGACTTGCCTGATGGCACTAGCCAGCCTGCGACTCGTGTCATGATTTTTGTACATTTCCGTGACAGCGCCGAAGAGGTCACGAGAGTGCTCAAAAGATACGAGCCCATGATTCGGCCTCATGTTTTCGTGGGTCAATCCAGCGCCAAAGGCTCTGAAGGCATGGACCAGAGGACACAGCTCAGAATCATTGAGGATTTCAAGAAAGGCACTTACAACACGATCGTTGCGACCTCCATCGGCGAGGAAGGTTTGGATATTGGAGAGGTCGATTTGATCGTGTGCTATGACTCGTCGGCATCGCCCATTCGTATGCTGCAGCGCATGGGCCGAACTGGCCGCAAGCGGGCCGGTAATATCACCCTGCTATTGATGAAAGGCAAAGAAGAAGACTCCTACATCAAGGCCAAAGACAACTACGAGAAGATGCAGCAAATGATTGCCAGTGGCTCCCGATTCACTTTTCACGATGATCGCTCTGCACGCATCTTACCCGCGGGCGTGCGTCCAGTGCCCGATAAACGACAGATCGATATACCCCCGGAGAACTCGCAGCAAGAACTACTTGAGCCGAAACGCAGAGGGCGAGTACCGAAGCGACCTGCCAAAGTGTTCCACATGCCGGATGATGTGGAGACAGGGTTTACTCGAGCCTCGACTTTGGCTGGCGACAAACCCCAGAAGAAGAAAGCCACTGCACCCAAAAAGGCAGCCACCCCCAAAAAGAGACCTCGGAGCCCCACACCCGAGCCTGTAGATATTCCATCGGTGGAGGACGTTGTTCTTAGCACGAGTGAGCAAAATGATCTTGAAAATCATTATCAGAACATCGGTGCCACTTCTCCGCAGTTCATCCGATTCCCTCGCAACGACGCCTTTCCACGTTTGCAGCTCATTGAAAGGCCCACAAAGAACGTCAAGCATGGTTCTCTCACTCGACGCATGGTAAAAGCCTTACAGAAGATGCACGAGGCTGGCCCTGACTGCGATCATCGGTTTAAAGAGATTTTAGCCCGCGAACCCCCCTCGTCAGACGAGTCCAGTCAAACGGGCCGGAGTGGTTCAACTAAGAAGCCTCGGCACAACCCAAAGCCCTTGAAAACACCATCTAAAAGTACAGCTCGACGGGCTTCTAACAAAGCTACCGCAAACCCCGCTGGCGGGGAGGTTGTTTCCTTGTTATCTCCAGATCGCGAACCCAAGCAGAAGAACGATCCTTTTGCCTTTATAGATGATGACTTTGGTGATGATGGCTCGGATTTCGAGCTGATGGATGCTAGCCTTTTGTTTAGTAGCGGGTCTAAACCTAAGGGTCGGAAACCGAACAAACCGATTATTGGAACTAGTGATGACTGATGTAATAGAGACAGGCATTAGATGCTATTTGGACATGGGAGGATTCTTGCCACGTTCGAATATAGGAATTCTATTGGATACACTTCATCAGACTCATTCCTATAACTAGACCTATCTACGGTGGTTTTACCTAGTCTAGTCGGACATGTGCAATTATATCTCGCCTGGACATTTCCAATCTTATTTAATTTGAGTACACAAGAATAGTCGGCCGCGTTTGCGGCCTTGTGACGTCTTTTGGTTAGTCTTTTTGACTGTCTTGTTAGCTGGTCTTTTAAGACGTATGCGAAGGCAGGGAAAAAGCATACTGTGTGCAAGAGACTTTTCTACGAGGGATCAGAATTCCAATAACACATGAACCGAATTTAGAAGACATTACGATATAGACATGCCCTCACAGCTCCCATCCCCCAAGCTTCCAAGCTCCGAGCCTTGATTAAGTACGGAATTCCCTCAAACCGTGGCTGTCGCTACGCAACCCGTCGTATAAAAGTAGTTCTCAACCTCTGTCACCTGTACAATATTGGCCGAGTTCCCCTCCATGATATCAGTCGCTTGCCATGTAAAGCACGCACACGTACTACTTCCCAACATCGTCCATGTCCATGGCCATATGAAACACTTGGTGCTTCTCCACTTCGCAGGTGGCAGAGTCGTAATTTCCACACTGGACGGCAGGGGGGCATAGTTCGTTACCTGGGTATACTCAAAATAGCCACCACTAGTTGGTATGACTACAGCCAGAGTGGAGGTTCCAGTAATCTCACCAGTTCCGAATGGGTTTATTGGCGCTTGGGTTTGGGTGGGCGAGAACTGAGAATTGATAGGGGACCCTGGCGTGGCAGGTTCTGAAGTCGGGGAGCCCGATGTAGGAGTACTGGTTGTAGAAGATCTTCCGATAACCTGCTCAGAAGTTTGCGTGGAAGACGCCGCTGATCCATCTAGATCGGGTATATCAGCCAAAGGACCTCTTGCTTTGTGTTAAACATAGTGGTATACCTGATGAGGACGTAGACATATCCAAGGGACATTCTGTACGTTTCCCTATACCAGCTGCGGGCCATGATAAAAGGGTATCGATATCAAAGTTCCAGCTTTCAGGTGGATATCTCTGCGTAAGTAGAGATAGAGCATCCGTTTCGGCTTGGCCGTTCCTTTTATCTTTGCTGGCCAATGTCCACCTATTAGACATTTCCGTAGCGGCATGAGCGCCCTGCGAGGAGAGATAGGCTGACATGAACCTCGAATACGCCGGTGCCCAGCCACCCTGCGGAGCGTATTGACTACCACAATAATCGAATGTATCGCGGAGGAATTCATAGATACGGGCGTTTGTGGTCTGGAACTTTGTATACACGTCCTCAATACGCATATAATCAAATGCCATGGCGACATTATAGATTTCCTTGAGCCTCGCTGCGGTGCCCTTGCCGCCTTTCAATTTTCCATTAAATATCTGTTTAGAAATTAGTTCGATGAGCGTTTAGCTTCTCATAAGGCATCTGTCCATACCTTTCCTTTCCAATCATTCACACTATTGTCGAGAACAACAAAGTCTGGGTTGGTAAAGCTAGGAAGCTAGAATCAAGTCAGTATGAACGAAAGCATCGAAACCGTATCCAAGGGTTTCTGGTATCCAACTGCTCATACCTGATTAAACAATTCTTTTCCTAGATTCTTACCGTCGCTTGGAAAGAACGTCTTTTTCATATCTTCGCACGAAATCAAATTTTTGTCAATAAGATAAGTCAAGAAAGCCGGCATAGTTTGCAGTTCATCTGGGGAATTTCGAACCTGATTAGTATAATATAATCAATGTTAGGTTTACAAGTGTTAGAACTTACAAACATACTCCGTTTGGACAAACGGGGATTTGCTTGCGCCCATAGCAGCGTATTTCTTCTTGTCCTGGTCATAACACGTTTGTGACGTTAAAGTATCAAAGTCAGAAAGTAATGCCACTTTGGGTGCTACTCCACAATCCTGTTCTGGGACGATGTATAACCCTTTTAATGGGGTATTCTGTTTTTTCATGAAGTCCACGATCTTGCTGGGGCCTGGGTGCGACGGATAATGCAGCGGGTCATTCACAATGCCAAGATTGCAAGTTCCGAATTCATAGTAGCCGTCATCTCGACCTCTTGGCCATAGCGAGGAACCAAAGAAGACGGTCTTATCTTCGTCGACATCGCGCTTTGTTTCAAAGGTGGTATCATCCGGAAACTTGTAGCAGCTGGCTGTCGTCGTCGAAGTAGTGACACTAGTCTCAGTAGCTCCAGTAATAGTACAGCCACTGATAGGGGTGCATGAAGTGGTGGTAAATGTCGCGGTAGTGCGATCGGTAATATCTACTCCGTAGCTTGTTATTACAGTACAGGAAGATGCCGTTTCTGTGATTGTGCAGGATGACGAGGACGTGGCCGAAGAGTATGACGTTGATGAAGATGAACTTGACTCATCAGTTGGTTTTGGATCCAAGTTTGCGCTAGAATATGTAGGTTTTCCTATCGAATCGACTGTGATGGCGGGAATTGAAGACGGAAATCCAGGAGGTGGTGGACCAGGTGGATATACACCTGGGGAACCCATCAGAAAGGCCGAATCCTGCACCAATATCTGGAGGACAAAACTGTTTTTCGTTAGCATATATGGATTAAACCTCTAAAAATGATCCCATACCCAACAAAGAGATCCACCAACGATTGGAATCAGAGTCGTGTGGTGATCCGTTCCGACGGTGGACGTATGGGAATTACTCGTAACGCCCTTTACTGTTGTGACCGATGTCACTGAGCGCGAGGAGTAAGTTGCCAGGGCTACGATTCCGTCTTCGGTTGATGAGCTTATGTCTGTTGTCGTGGCCAATGCCCTATGAGAGGTAGTATCGGAGCTGTCATTACTTGAGTTAGGTGTTTCGTCAGGCGTGGAGGTCCCGGGTACCAGACTTGCTGATGTTCCGACAAGCCCTGGCACAGAAGGCGGGACAGAATTTTCTGTTGGTTTATTTGAAGGATGGTCTATAAGGCTGGAGGTCCCAGATGTGGTCGATATTTGTGTACTGCTGGTCGAGAACCCAGAACGCTGGGTTTGGCTCGAGGGAGCAGGTATTTCACTCGACATAGATGCATGTGGTGTGCCATTGGGAGTCCTGGTTCTCGTAACCATAGAGGTAGGATAGGGTGTGGTATGGGGTAGACTGGTAGATTTTGATGTGTCAGGAGTATAAATTGAGTCGAAGTGAGAAGGGCACCCAGACGAGAACGGAGAAGAGGAGGCCAAACTTCCAGTAGGAAAATGACTAGAGATACTAGCACTTCTCTTTCCAAGGGATATCCGAGCACCTCTGACCAGAGAAACTAGGAAACAAATAGTAACAAAAAGGTTGACAGCCCTCATTTGAAGGATTTTATTAAAAACCGATGTAGACGACAATATTAGAACGATTGAGGACCAAGGTGCCTTGCAATCAATCCGGTTTTCTTTATATTATATATTGGAATAAATTGCTGACCGGAAAGCCCAGGTTCCTTTATATATTTCCTCACTATCTATTTTCCAAATACCCTCAAATGCTAGGATATTCTATCTATTAGGGTTGGGTCCGTGGAGTGCTCAACGTGCATGGATGAATTTGGAGGTCGAGCCGCACTTAGATTCGAAAATCTGGGAAGTTAATTGATCTCGACTGGCTGAGAATAGATTGCAATCTCAAGTTGGCGCCTACTAAGCACTGAAGTATGAGCGGGGGTAGAGTGGAGTCTCAACAGGGTTCTTAGGGGCCGGCGCTTAAACGAAATACAATTAGAAGGGGGCGATATTGTTGCTAGCTGTATTCACATTCGTAATAAAAGAAGCCTGGTGAGGGGAAGATTACTTATTATAGATCTTTATCCTAGGCGCTAAGTGAAACTGGCCAAAAAAGGCAACATCCTTTTGAGGAGTTTAGTCAACCTCAGCCGCAATTCCTCTTGTCATGAATCTCACTTCTCGCAATCTCAGAAAGCAACCAATCGAGCCCAACTACATCTGAGATCAATCTGTCTTGCGCTACAGAATGAATGGACCAGTCTCCCTCCTCAAGCTACCCCCTGAGATCCTCGGCGCTATTTTGTCAGTAGTCCGTTCGTCATTGGACACTCTTAAGGCTCTATCTCAGTCCTGTCATCACCTGCATGCCATTGCAACACCTTTCCTTTACAGTTCGGTTGTCATTCGGAGTCCAGAATCTATGAGTTGTTTCCTTGAGACAGCTGCGAACTCCCATTACTTAACTTCCCTCATACGAGAACTACAGATTCATTATCATGATCTCGATGAGGATACTGACAATTCGCCGGAAGATATTGAGCCTGCGCTTCCAAAACTCGTGAATCTGGAGTCATTGATCATCAAATCAAGCTGGTTTGACTGGGTCAAGCCTAGTAAGATGCAGCTACTTTGCCACCCACAAGAAACACTCCCTGCTCTGCGATCCGGTGAGTCGCGTCTGATCTTTTCATCGACACATGTGTCGAAGACAGAACTGATGAATATAGTTACCCTCAGCCTTGACTATGGGTACGAGTGGTCTTTCCCACTCGGATCATATGGGGTCTTACTTCATCATCCTGGTATAGAGAGACTAACTATCGCCGGAGCTAAATTCCAATTGATAACTCTCAACGAGTGTGCAGCACCGTTCCGATCAACCCGCCTTCAAGAGCTCAGATTGTTGAACTGTGATATCAAGGCCAGAGACATCGAAGAAATGCTTCGTTACCCCCATCAACTCAAGCATTTCACTATCAAGGGCCAGGAAGAAAGATCTGAACTTGGCTGCTTTGGGGATAGCAATCGACAGTTGTATATCGATGCTCTCAGGTCCCATTCTTCATCTTTAGAAACTCTCGATATTGACCTTCAATTCGATGAATGGAAAGAGCCAATGGATCTCAGTAACTTTTCAGCCCTCCAATCTCTCACAATTTCACCAAGAATGTTGATTGGAGACAATGGATGTTTTTGGCTCAAGCCAGCATCAACTTTGGACTGGGCGAAACTTCTCCCATCAAACTTACAGCATCTCAAATTCCGCAATGATTGTGGAGTGTTTCCCATATTACAGATCTACGAGGCTCTCCGCGAGGGCTATATCCGTCTTCGCTCTTTGACTTGCCAAATAGCTTCAAATGTGTTAGAAGACGGCTCACCTTACTTCGAGGAGAGTGATCTTGATTCGGTTACTCCAGAAGGCATCCGGGTCTTTCGTTCGCCAAATGATCTCATGTCTGAGGTTTCTCCCGACGGAGTTTCATACTCGCAGGGATTTCAAGGACTTGGCGTTGGGTTCTTTGTGGTCGAAGTCTCTCGTACTGAGAAGCTACCAGGGTACGATTCATGTCCGTGCCCCTGCTGGACATACAAGCATCGCCTCTATCGTGACTCAGATTGGTAACCTTCTCTGGAATTCAATGGCGTGGCGTGAATGACGAAATCGCCTAACTCAATCATAAAACAGGAAAATAGTTCCAATTTATCATCTAGCAATTTGATACGACCCAAGACTATTCTTCGGCAGCTCCCCGTGACAAATGGACTCTATGCCTTCCAATTTTAATCATGGCTAAGTGCGCTATTTTTAAGAGCGGAATGAGAGTAGAATATCATGCACCTTCAGAAATAGGGGTAAGGTGAAATTAAGGGCCGTGAAAGGTACTCGCAGAGTAAATAGGATTATGGAGCCAAGTGCTTCTTAGGGTATGTTCTGAGTGTAGACTGAGTGCTCGATAGATGACTCTAAGCGGTACCTGAGTGTGAGCACCCAATTAGACTTACTGAGCATCCATTGGACCTCACTGGTTCATTATGTGATTAGTCTAAGCAGCTCAGTGAGTCTGAGCCAGGACTAAAATCTACTTAACCTGACTCTCAGCGCCCTTATAAAAGCGATAACAGCTAAGGTAGGAACGTATATCAAGTACGTATAGCTACATAGGATTATGGAGGAAATGGAAAGGGGGGATATGCTCTTTCGACTGAACTTATAAGCTTCTGTCTTACTAGTTCTGGATTCTGATAACGATCGACGATTTTAAAAATCATTATAAAGGGGTATTAATTATTAGATATTATAAAATAGAATATAAGTTAAAGATAGTAGTAATATGTATACATGGAATATATTGTATTTTTTTGGTGCTTTGCAGCTATCTGTTTTTTTGGTGATTGTATTCCATTCTAGCTTAGGGCTTGTTGAAAGGGTGCATGTCACTCCCGCTGCCTTAAAAAAGAGAGACAAACCTGGCTGTAAATCATCGCCGAGCCTCCCATCTATCAGAACATAATAACTCCAACAACGTTCGGGGCTGGATCTGGGTATTTGGGTATTTGGGTATTTGGGTATTTGTGTGTTTGTGAACGATATCAAACGTGGAACGTCAATCCGAGAGCAAAGAAATCCGAGAGCCGAAAACAACCCACCTCGAGAGAAAGATAGATAGTATGGGTTTATGCAAGTGTTTAGTATGTAGAAAGTCAAAACAAAATAAAATCGAAAGGGAGGAAAGAGGAAAGAAGAGGCGCCAAACTCCGATTGCGATCAGCGCCGCCGCGCGAGCACAACTTCTAAATCGATGCAAAGAGTGTAGAGCGAAAATAAGACAACAAAAGAGGGATCTCGAGTCAATTAGACGCGGTCCCGAGCAAAGTCAAGCACCTCGCAATCATCCTCAAAGAAGCCATCGTCGGCTTTCAGCGGAGTGGAGTGTCTCTTCTTGCGGCGAGTGGTGATAACAACTTCCTCCACATTGCCAGTGCTGTTTCCAAGAGTAATGAGGTTTTCTATATCTCCACCAGCCCCAAGCGAATGTCCATGGATGACGGCGTTCTCATCCTCGTCATCGCCATGGTCATCGCTGGAGCTGTTGAAGGACCTCAAGTGCACTTTGATCAGTGGGATATCATTGCCAAATACCCATTGTCCACTCGGTTCACTTGCATCGCTGCCAGAGGTGAAGACACTCAAACCAACCCGCTGATCTGTGTGGAACGGCTGGTATGGGGTATTTGTCTCAATCTCAGCCTGGGAGAGAGGCTGGCAAAACGATCTTGCAGCACTAGATGGCTGAGAGCTGACCGAAGGAAGAACAAGAGAGGCATGGACTTCTAGTTCTGGATCAAAGGCAGATAAAGGAGCTGGTCCACACGGAACCTGGAGATTGTCAGGTAGTTTGATCTGAGACTCCTTACCGCCGACAACAGAGTGAGGCTGTCGGTTCTTGTGGCCGGGTACAGTAGCCCGCTTGAGGCGGTACATCTTGAAGTACCCGCCATCCACAACACCCAAGAATATGAGGCCCTTGCTGCAAATCCATGTCACCCGGGAAGGTGCAGGGTCTCGAGCTAGCCCTGGCAAGTGTAAACGGTTCTCTCCAACATGGCGCAAAGTATTCACAGTACCCGTTGCGGCGCCCATTGACTTGCTCAGGCCTGCAGCGACAACCTTCCCACTCTTTACACTGGCAGCAGAAGGTAACGCAAATCCACTCATATTGGGAAATGCAGCTCCCGTCGACGGGACACGACCCCGGACAGCGGAGAAGAATGGCTGCGTTTTACCGCCAACCAACTTCATAGCCGCTGACAACGAATTGCGACCGGCAGATTGACCGGGCACCTCATCTACCATGGGGTCGGTAGCCGGCGGCTTATTAGCAGTAGGCTTTGCACGGCGGAATGGGGGCCATTGAAATGCGCTTCGAGGTAGATCGAAAACGTGGACGGTGCCTTTACGTGTAATTACAGCCAATCTATCACCAACCGGCGCCGTCCAAATCACATCAACGATACTAGATGTAGTCAACCGCGCATATCTAGCAATTTGGCGCACATTGGGATTTTGTCCCGTTTGGTCATCAGCCATAAAAGCCATGGATCGACAGTGCTTGAGTTGCATGAGATCCCACACGTATTGCACATCGCCCTTCTTGCTCGCTGTGAACAACATCAAGCCGTTCGGAGAAAGAGACAAGAAGCTGCAACCATTGGGAACCTGGAACGTCGAGACTGGGTGGATAAACACATTTCGTATATCTGTGCCGTCTTCGAATCGTCTCAGGTCGATGATGGATACGGTGTCAGGTTCTGTGGCTGATGTTTGTGTATCCTGTGCATGTGTGGGAGGGAATAATCCATATCCCTGTGTCTGGGGGTCTGGTCCCTGAGGTGGCCGACGTGGAGAGGTGCCGGTTGATTGCTGAGTATTCCAATAATTGTTCCAGGCCTGCATTCCCTGATCACCCATCCAGCGGGCACCTCTGACAAGTTCTTGGGCAACGCCTCTTGCCATTTTATCAAAGAAACTTTCCCCTTCCCCTACATCTGTCGCACATGACACCGAGGGGACAGCAGGAGGACTGCGGGTTTCAATGCCCGGAACCTTGCCGAGTATTAAACTAGAAGGGACAGTGCCCTGGATTGATCCTCTGTACGCTGAGGACGGGGGAGCGAATGCAAGCCACCTTCCTTGTACAGCTAAAATGGGTCTTTCCAGGGCAGAAACACCACGAGGAGAGTCGGTGCGAGTCCCCTCAGGATCAGTTGTAGAACTTGAAGAGGTCGAGTAACGCCGGGTTTCTTTGGACTGAACCCCAGTCCATGTCTTACCCAGACACTGGTATGCAGTGGTATCCGAGGATAGGACATGTCTATAAACATAAACTTCCCCACTGACCCCGGATGCTAAGATAATGTAAGCACCGGTTGTGAAGAGCTTCAATTTTCCCACAGGCGAGGGTGCAAAGGATGGGAGCCCGGGAAGATTCTCCAGACATGGCACAGGCTTGCTTGCAAACAAGGTAGAGACATGTTCACCGGTCCGGAAAGAGTAAACTTCAACTCGAGTTTGGTAAAATTGGATGTCGTCTCGCGCTGAGCGCTTGTCGTTAAAGTGACCACGAGTCGTCGAAGGAGGAATTTCATTTGCGTCCGATGTTGCAGAGGAGAGTTGACCTTCCTCCTCGTGTGGCGGTAACGGCCCATGAACAATGACAGCCACATGCGGCCGAGACGATGCAAACGGGTCGCTGGATGGGTTGCCAGACAAGAGTTTGGCCTCGATAACACGGCCATTTAAACCAGTAATCTGCCCCACGAGCCGAGTTCGACGATCTTCTATGGCGAGGATCTCCACGGCACCATCTGTCCCAACCAGCAAGACGTTCATTCCTGTTCGCGAGCCTTTGGGTGACAAGCTAGGCAGCGTTTCAAAACTACAGAAGGAATAACTTCCGTCGGTGGGCGATCGATTCTGAGTTGGAATAATATCAATGTCCGGTGCTCCAAAGAAATGTGCTTGAGGAAGATGAGGTGGAGGCGCGTGATTGCTCATTGGGCTCCCGTAAGAGTGACTCTTTCTTCTGTCCACAGACTGTTGCCTCGAGTTCAGAATACTTCGGTAGCCATTACCATAGCTAGATGGTAAAGTTCGAATCTGAGGAGAGGCCGAGGAAGGATGACCGAAGCCACTCCTTTCTTGAATCGTTGGAAAGTTCAAGGGCGATGCACTAGGCAGCGATGCACTTGGTATATCCCCATCCATAAGATCGGTGGGCGGACTCTTTCCATAAGGCACCGACTGTGCCCACGTATCGGTGCGGCTAGCAAGGTCGTCACCCTCTGGCTCATCGAGGGAGTCGAGGACATCCAGGACAGGCGACGTGATAGATGGGTTTACATGATGATGTTCAATAAGAGGTTCAGGGTCTGGGAAGGAGAGAGGTTCCTCGGGTGGTGGGACAGATGGCTGGAGGCTATCCATGCAATCTGGCGTTAATGACGCATGTTCATCAGAAACCAGGCAATCACCGGTGGATACATACATATCATCCGGTGGGCTTTCAGCTACAGCTCTGGCCACCTTGTTCTTTTTGCCCTTCTTCTTTTTGCCTTTCGCACTTGGTTCATGCTCTGGTATGGTCCGGTTCTGGTCCGGGGCGAAGGGACTATCGTCTTCGGGCAAACGGCTGTGCTGGCGGATGAGATCGTCAGATTCGGCCGGGAGCATTCAAATAGATGATGCCTCAGTGAGAGGCGATAGAGAAGTAACAGAATGAAGCCGCTCTCAGGACCTTATTTGTGGTCTGAGAACGGATATGCAGGATCGTTCGGTTCGAGATCCTGAACGGGCACCGGAACCGGGATCTCGGGAGATATCACTAGAAAGGAGGATGGCTTTCATGGAATCAATCAAATGATCAAACATCACAACGGCTTGACGAAACTGGGAATGCATACCTGTAGTGTATTCACAGTATCCTTAATAATAAGGGGGTTGTGGCGAACGGAGGCACCACTGACAGCGTATCTAGAGCGGAGATCACTCTAGACACGCGGGGAAGCTTTAATAGATAAGCACAACACAGCAACAGCTTGAGATAGTTCAAGCTGCAGAAAAAATGTAATCCAAAATGACTTGCATACACAAGTCCCAAGGTTGAAGTCCG